GATATCCGTATCTTGGACCGGAACTGGGTGAATCCAAGACAAAATAATATGATTTCTTGTTTGGCAGTACACAGCTTGGTGCTAATCGGAAATGCATTAGGAGTTGCCAAAACAGTGCAAAGGCAATAGAAATGAATCCGGAAAAGCGTGTGAATCCGCCTCGCCCTGCTCGGTAACGGTTGTATTTGGAAACACAAAAAAGCGCCAAATGAGCGGAAATGAAAAGTTCCTCCTAGTTGGGACGCATCTTTATAGGTACACAGCTTTTATTTTCAAAATACAGTGATGCTTTTTCTAATTGACGCCCGGGAAAATCGCCGGTATAGAATATTGCTCTCAAACTTGAGCTTTGAGCTTGGCGAGGTTAGAAAGCTTTCTGACTTTGCGATTCTCTAATCACAGTCTTACCACGTGCAGCCGCTTACAAGCCCACCACTCGTTTCAATCTCTTCTAGAAAGAATATACAACAGAAGTGTCAAGAAAGCACCGTTGCGAAAATCATACCTTTCGTAACTCCTCGATGCAAGATCCACCTGTGCAGCTACAAATTTCTACACAAGTCCGTTTTGGTCGGGAGCCCAAAAAAGACCTTTTTTGTAAAAAAATCTATTAAAAAATAGACAGTCATAGTTTAATTTCTAAATTGCTGCGTCTAAAATTTGAACATTTCCGCTTTAGTTCGTGACAAGTTAAACAAAAAAATAGTCTATTTTTATTTTAATAATGGCAATAAGCTACTATTTGAACAAGGCATACGGTTACTTCGTCTTCTAAAAAGAGGACAAACAGTTGTTTATCGCGCGGAACCAGATCTGTATGCTGGTCCAGGGCGCTAAAAAAGCATTTCCGGGCTTTTTGGCTCGACTGGCCCCTAAATATCGCAAGTGATATTTTTACGCTAAGTCCGGTTTTCGCGGATCGCCAGGGATTAACCGTTCACTTGAAATATATTTGGAGCGGCTCCGGAACCGATTTCCGGACAGTGGTTACCCTTCCCGGACAAGGCACCGCTGCTTGCTCATGTTAGAACGTGGTCCGTCTTGATTTTTTTCCTGTACTTATCGCGGCGATCTTTTTTCTTCACATCCGGATCCTGGACGAAACATTTTCGAGTTTGTCGGACCTTTTCTACAGTTATAATTTATAACATATAAACCCGTTCTAGTATGATCTGACGAGGGCTTTTTCCCCAGAACATTCCTTTTTTCCACACAATTGTTCACGCAACTGGCGGTTTTCTCCTGGAAAATCTGACTTCCGAACACTTGCGCTCAGCTTGACTTTCGTAAATAAAACAGCATGATGTGATCCTCATAATTCCTTCCTAGCATGCTAAGTCGTTTTAGCACGGACTATCTATCTTTGCCGGGATAAAAATTTTCCATCTGAATCTCGTGCTTCGTCCTAATCCATCCAATTTTATGTTAGGGTTTCGCTTCCGCTTTCTAACCACGGAAATTCGCGCAAAATCCAAATTTACGCGCTGCAATTCTACAATTCTAATCGAGTCTCCCTTCTCGTGGGATCTCCAGGGGCCTTGTTGAAGGCGAAAGACTTGTCGAGATTTAAGCATGAACCCGCAGGTATTGTTTAGAGGCCGAATTGCGGCACTTGTCTCGATCTCGGGGAGAGAAAATTTCAATGTTCGACATGGGCTGGGTGATGCCGAAACATTTGTTCGACATTGAGACATTTGGATCTTGGGCCAACGGCGATTAGGTCACAAAGATTTTTAAGAGCTCATTAGCAGGGGCCTTAACAGAACGAGTTGAAGCAATTTTACCAGTAAAAATCATGTTCTACGAGAGCGTTTTCAATTTGAGTTTGAAGCGATTGTTAGATTAATATTTGGAAATATATGAATTTCGATATTATCGGATACAATTTTTAATCATTTTATGAATTGACGCATATTCAAAAGAAAGTCCATGTTGAATAGATATCTCCCAAGCAATTATCCTTGTCTACTTTTTGTAAAATTCATTTATGTTGAAATTTACTTACGATAATCAAGCGATATTCTCCTTCATTTTCAATCGGCAATTGAGAATCGCCCTCCATCTAGAATTATTCGCCAGTCGCCGGATCAAAGGACTGTAGGTGCGAAGAAAAACCGTCACCCTGGATAAGAATTGAAACGGGCGACATTTTGACGATGACAGAGCACTAGAAGAATCAAACTGTGCCCAGATGTATGTGAAATCGGAAAAATTGGCCGAAAATTTAAATTGCAATTAGGCGGGCGGCGCGAGCCACAGATGGAAATTGTTTCAAGTTGCTCCATTTTGAATTTTCCGGCGGCTAATTGCCGAGCTCTACTGGTATTTCGAGTCACTCTTTTTGTACTTTTTAGTTTTAATTATTTAACGGCTAAATCCGGTTCCGACATTTTGACCTCTAATTCGACCTTTTTTCGTGGTGGTGACATTGGTGCGGCGATTTAGCGAGGCTTTACACTCGTAATTGGCTTTTTTATGGCCAAGTACTAAATGGACAGTCCTTTGAGCAAAGCGAAAATGCATAAAAATGTCAAGCTGCTTCCTAGTTTACTCATTTAGATCCCCACGAAACTTTAGACAGCAATTTATGTCGAGCTATTGAACGCATTCCAAAAGAGGGTAAGAGTGGCTTCCCGTTTCTCGCGAAAGTCTCGAAGGAAAACTGTGTACAAGGTGCTTCTAACGAGAAAGTGGAATCTGATCAAGATAGGCGACTGCATCCGATTACGAATTTCCAGTTGCCATAATTTCACAGGTGCTTGAGGAGCATCCTCCTGCTTCTTCCCACTTGCCAATTGGGAGTTCGCGGACAGATAAAATCAACACCACACTAGTTTGGCCAGCATCGAGCAATCTACCGTTCTAGTGCAACAAATCGTTCACCTGCTTTATCACTGTTATTGTAAATAAATATAAAAAGAAAGTCTTTCTTGTGATGTAATTTCTAAAAGAGCTGGAAACTCTGTTCGCGCTTGTGCAAAGCGGGGCGAATGGGATTGTTTCGGTTTCAGTCTTTTCGCCCCTATCGAGGTGGCGAACACTACCGAAGTCTACTAATTGAATTATGTGAGAGGAATTTTAATTTTCTACTCCTGATTTTTATCCTCACACGTTCGACCACGAGCTGCGACCACAACAAGGAAGTCAATAGTTGTGGGAACACCCGATTGCGTAATAAAAACCAACGAAATTCAACTTGTAAAGCGTTTAGCTGCTGATTGAATTGCTTCACTCTGGAAGGGAAAATGATTACTTTTTACGATCGCTACATGTGATTGAGCTCGTGTGAATAGTGCTATTATTATGTTAATGATTTCAGGATAAGCTAAAAGTTAATTCAACAATGATTCCTCGAGAAGAATACAAATTGTCATAAAACAGGAAGAATCTTGCGAATGAAAAATTGGCACTAGAACTTGGTTTTGCAGATTGAAGCTTAGGCGTCTAGCCAGGGCAATTTGGCATAAATCCGGGCATAATCTTGACCGTGTGTTTTATCCAAATGCCATCTTTTGCATTTTTTTTCCAAAACTATCAAATTTGTGAATTTTCCGGCTCATGCGCTAATCCGCCCTGCGATGGTCCTGTTTTGTACCACTGGTAACTACTGGTGCAACTCTCGAAAGTGCTCTCAAATCGTCGATAAAGATCCAAACAAATATTCCTCGTTGTGTGGAAAGAACCGGAAGAAAAGGGAGCTCCGGATGATTTGCTATTTGACCGGCCAAACAAATATTATTCGTATCTGCTGAAAGTGGTGATGAATTGCCCACAATCGGAAATGGTAACCGATCTCCATCACAACTTCCTTTCACAATATTGACAACGAAAGTGGAGCAACCGTCGGTCTCATGCTGCGCGTAACTTTCGAATCTATTTTTAATAAGTGACTGCCAATAAAGTTTTTAAATTATCGTCTTGTTTTTAACAAGAAGCTTTTATCTCAAATATAAAACTCATATTTGATTATATTACGCTTGTCTAAAGTATGAGAGAAGAAATCCTTCGATACAATATTCTCGAGTGTTTCTTTGATATCAAGATTTTACGAAGGAATAAAACAATGATCAGTTTGAACATATTCAACAGATACATTTTGAAGTTTTCAAAACTATCAGCAAATTTTATGGTAGAGCGATTTCAATTTTCAAAACTTAGCTGATACCAGTAGAGATCTGCGTCAATGTGTTCCATCTATGTGAATACACTGAATTAAGTCTAAAAATACCCTTTCTTCTCCGAATATAAAGCTAGACTTTCCAACTGCAGCAGTTATCAGTGTGAGACCAACCGTCATTTTCTCGTCCTTAAGAATTCATTCGAATTTGCTCAGTTAATCAGTTAATAACTTTTAATATCTTTCTACACTATCATGATGCGTTTTAACCGACCTTTTCTCGTTCCCATTGCATCTGACGCAACTAATCTGTGGCCATGGTATGTGAAAACTATGATTTTGATAGTATATTACTAGATTTATTGTCTATCGCTAACCGAAGCTATTTTATCGTTTAGTTTTTCCGAGTTTGAACTATTTTTAAAGTTAGTCAAAATTTGACTGTTTTTCATACAATTTTTTATGATTTTTTAGTTTCCAATAGAATTAATCCGAATTATCTTGAACTCGAACAAACCCATTTTATCCATGCTTCTTCAACATGGCAATGTCAACTTTGGGCAAGTATGAAATGAGAAGTGATTCTGTTGAACTTGATAGGAATTTAACGATATTACTGTCTAATTAGCATGCAATTATCGCCGCATTTTGAAAATTTCAGCCCCCACGCCAGGCCAGATTTTAGCACTCTGACGCCACCGAACGCGCGTGGCGCACCGCACTGCTGCGCCCTCGCGCTCTCCCGACTGGACTGAGCGAGAAAACGCATCGAACATTACTAAATCAGTCATTAGACAAGCTAAAACCACAGAAAACGTTATTCTCACAAAACTCAACACTCCAGAGATCCCTTTCAATTGACCCAAGTCCCAAAAAAGAGATCATGAATCCTCAAAGCCTCGGCCTTGCATCGTCTTTGCTCGGCGGTCTCGACCAGCGATTGCTCCAGCAACAGCAGCAGCTTCTTCAAAATCCGTTTCGTCTTGGAACCCAGGCGCTTGACCCTGCTCTCATCGCCCGAGCTCAATTGGTAAGTCATTCATTGTTGATCAAAACAGGTTCTTTACTCGTTTATCTTCAGACATCGCAACTTCCACGACTCCCACAGCTTCCGCAAATGATTGATCCGATGCTCGCCGCTCAGTACGGCTACTCTCAGCTTCTTCACGGAGCTGGTGCCCGCAAAAACGCCACACGAGAATCTACTGCTCCGCTTAAAAACTGGCTCAAGGAGCACCAGAAGAACCCGTATCCTACAAAAGGAGAAAAAGTTTACCTCGCGCTCATTTCCGGTACGTATCGTAACATTTTGTAAAAAAAATATATGAGTGACTTACCTTTATGACGCGACTTTAATATTCATTTTTAGGAATGACCCTCACACAGGTTTCAACCTGGTTTGCTAATGCGCGCAGACGACTCAAGAAGGAGAATAAATGGTCTCCAACATCCGGCTTCGAAGATGATGATTCTTCTTCTTCCCCAAATAAGAGTTCTTCAGTGCTCGGTAAGTCGTCGTCACATACCGTGTGCGATGATAAATTCAAAAGTTTTATAATCCTAGATACATTCTTGCGCTTTGAGGTTTGACTAACTTTCCATTCAGACGAGGAAACCAATGCAGTAAAACGCGTGTCCGAAGATCATATCGAATCCGGATACAGTTCTCACCAGTCGGACCACAGTTCGGAAACATCACCAGATAGAGCCGACTCACCAACAGTCTCCGAGCCCGCGCCCATCCGAGTATCCGCCATTAGCGCGAGCATTCCCGTTTCTCCCCCAAGCTCGACTCTCCCCAGGCCGAAAATCTGGTCCCTCGCAGAGATGACGACCTCGTCAGATGACGAGGAAGAAGAGTTGAATGTCAACTGAGGTTGCAGCGAGGTCAACTTTTTATATTGAAGCAACTACTGTACTCAGTGACTCGATCGCATGTGACAATCTTAAATACTCAAACTGTACATTCGCTGACCTCGTTTACTTCACCAATTACTTTGACATTATTTTTGTTCCGAAACAAACTGATTCCTAAGGATTTTGATTACACATTCGAGCTGCACAATTTGTGAATAAATCATCCAAATATGAACATGCCGTCAATTATTTTAGACAAAAAATATAGATAGACTTTCTCTATTTAAAATTTATCAATAGATTTTCAAACCTTATCACTTTAATCAGGTCTATCACGTATTGAAATAAGGATAACAGTATGTTATCATAACAGAGCAGAATATAACTATTAGCATAAAACGTATCCAAAAACACAGAACTGTAGCTCAATATCAGTTATTGAGTTTCCCGAGAGAAAATGGTTTCATCCTTGATTTCAATGACGAACACGATTTCAAAACGCATGGGGCCATCAAAACTTCCGCTTTTGAAAACGAGGGAAAACAATTTCTCCCTGTGGTATATGAATTTTTGATAGCGACAGGAAAGCTCTAAAGTAATTGTAGTAATATCGATAATCTGGGCTCGCCTTTGCAAAGTGGCTCTCTGAAACAGAAGCCTGGAAGGACACGAGCCATGTCGGGCGGATCCAGCTGTCTGAGATCCGTAACAAATTTAAAACGCGAACAGGCCCATTCCAAACGTGTGAACCCAAGGAGCCCCGACTCAGATCGAATTTTACAAAATCAACAAGTTACGCCAAAATTGGTGTTAAAATCCACAGCCGGTAGTACGGACGAAAACGGCATTATCAAATGTAGAGGCGAGCGGTGGAATTAGTCCACTCGCTCTGCAAAGTCAGCGATCTGAGAAAGTGTATACAAAGGGATTACACAGATTTCCGCACTCGAGTGTGCTTCAGCAGAAAAGAACACATATGGAATGGACCAGCTTATGTCATACAGTCATGGCTAGCGATTTGGCCATGCCTTTTTCAGGAGAAATGCCGAAAAAAACAATAACGAAGGCTTTCGAGAAAAAAAATGCGAATTATGAAGGTTTTCCAGCTGTTGATCTTGAAGCGGTTGTCTTGTTACAAGGGGGTGTTAAAAGACCCCACTGTAGCTTGTATTTTATAAACCGATCTGAAGTCTTTTTTTTATTAGGTAATCAATCAGTTATTATACACTACTTGTACAACTTCAAAAAGCATAAAAAACCTAATGAAAATAATTACAAACGATAGCAGTACATATCATAAATTGATACTTGAAACGCACTATTAGTTATCTTAAACATTAAAATTGCTTTAGTTTGTTGTTGAGGTGCTTCGTTGACTACTTAACTTGATCATTATCCGGAATTCATGCTATACTGTCAACAGAACATCGTGAATTGTTGGGAGAAAAAGTGGACACAGCCATGGTTGTTGGACTCATTTGAAGGATTTCTAATGAGTGCGAATTGGGAACGTCAATTCTTGAAAAGCACCAAAATGTTTCAAGATTTTGAAAAAGGGAAAACAAAACCATCCACAAAACAAAGCTCATTTCGATTTTTCAGAATCGAAAATGGGTATTTTGCTCACAAGCCTTTTTCGACAAAATGGAAGGCTTGAAGCGGAACTTGCTGAGAAAAATCAACAACTTGAGAAAATCAAGGAAGAAATTCTTGCAATAAGGCGGGAATCAGCTCGAGATAGAGAAATAATCAGAGAGCTACAGATAAGATTGGAAATTATGGAAAGAATTCACCGCGCGGGGAGTTCACACCGCAGCTCAGGTAGCCAACCAGACGGTCACCAAGATCTGGGAGGACTTCTTCGTGGTGCCTTTGGTTTCGGCCAACAGCTAGGCGAATATTTCAATCGTCAGGGATTTGACTTCGATCCGACAGGTCCTCAACGACATTACACAAGTACTCGTCAATCGGAAAGATCACCCTCCAATTTTTCCTTCCGATCAAGCGGTAATCAAGGTAGAAAATTAAAGTAAAACTGTTAAAGATCCTTAGTTGACCAGTAAACCAATGAAGTGTTTAGGGCGCTCGGGAACATCAGGTTATCGTGTGAGCACGATCAGCCCTGTCGACGAACTCGATGAATTTTCTTTCAGGAACGGACTGAAAAAATGATATCATTCGCGTCTAATTTGCTTCAGTCTTTTTTCAGTGAAATGCCCGACCCCGATAATGACGAAGAAGAGGACACTTACATTGAGGATTTGAAAGAACAGTTGGTGCGTTTGAATATCCTACTTTCTCCTCAGGAGAATAAGTCAGCGAACTTCAAGGACAGTTTTCTATTTATTCATTCTATTCGTCAATAAATTGAAAAACATCAACAAGTTCGACTACGATCGTAAAGTTGAGCTTATCTACTCAGGATGGAAACTTCAATTTGACCGTGAAAAAAGAGGAAGGCTCAAGCATATGCTCATAATGAAGAAAATTGGTAATCCTATAAGACTGATGAAAAGTAAAAATAAATTATTTCTAAGATGGGAACACTCCTCCTTTTCGCGCGGTTATCCGTGAAGTCGGCAAAGGAGGTGCAACTTATGACATTCGTACGGTGAATAGTGAACCACAAGAAGAATGCGACGGTCAGATGATCGAATTCGACCTTTTTACGGAGACTGTAAAGATCACTGTCAGCTTTTTTTGATAAATTCGGAAAATAAATGATGAGGAACATTTCTGGATTCTCGAAGAATATTGAGGCGTTTTATCTTTCCAGATTTTGAAAAAAGGGAAAACCGCTTTTTCCACTCCCGAAAAGTCTGTCAGTTTCAGTCAGCATTCGTAAACCTCGAAAATGGGGATTTTGCTCACAACCCTTTTTCAACTAACTCGGACAATTCATGTCGAACTGGCTGATCATGACGAACGAATCAATAAAATGGAGGAAGAGATATTTCTTCTAAAGCAAAAATTAGCCAGAGATGATGAAAACGAAAAAGAAGAAAAATTGGTAGCTCTCGCAAGAACGGGAGATGCAAGAAGTGTCCGGTCTTCTACGCCTATGCTGGGAAGTGGTGGAGAAAAGCACCCTTCCCAAGATACCAGACCACTTAGACCAAGAAGCTTTGACAAGCAGATCCGACTGCTGCAGAATCTTCCTCGATTCCCCGTCGCTCTTGGACACCAGCAGGGCTTATCCGAAGATGTTTTGAAGATGAATGAAAAGCAACTGAAGAGGATGAATGAAGGCTTTTCACCGACTTCTAAGGATTGTTTTACTTACGAGTTATTTAAATTAAATTATTAAACAGTTTTTACTCAGAAAAAAAAACATTAAAAAGTTCAACTTTCACCGAGCCGGTCGACGAACTGAAATTTTCTCTCCTCAATGGAAACTCATTTTTGAGCGAGAAAAAAGTGACTGGCTTGACTTGCATAGACTCATCCTCGATAGAAGAGGTAATCGTAAATGCATCCAAAGTAAACTTAATTATTCATTTTTCCAAGATCGCAATACCCCCCAGTTCGAGGCAAAAATCCACGAAATCGGCGAAATTCGCCGCGAAGGAAAGAACCCAACAAATTACCGTATTCGCATGGATACAAGCGGTCCGAAAGGTGAATCTGGTGGCCCTCAAATGATAGAGTTTGACCTTTTCGCTAAAACTGTACTCATCACTGTTACTCTTCCCAAAGAGAGCGAATAAACACAGTAGCAAGTCTTACAACTTGTATAATAATAATTTATTATTGTATTATTACCGCGATTCACATTCGTGAGTGACCAATTCAAAAATCGTTTGAACATTTCCCTGTGCTAAAACATAGGACTTTTGTTCAAACGCATTACAATAGAAATTGATTCTGGTCAGTCAGAAATTGTTCTTAGAATGAAATCTAAGATTTATTGGTGAATATATTCAGTTTTAATAATCAGCCATTAATAATCATTTAAAGTATAAGCTTTGAAAATGTAGAAAAAGCTTGAGTTCTTGTAGAGTCTAAGTTAGACTGGAAAATCGCGAATTTCGGAGCTTTCCAGCGTCCGATTTGTGATTGGCGCCAAGTGCGCGCCACGGTCTGAATTGCCGCGAGAGATAAATCCTCGATTCGCTACAGAGAAAATCTTCGATTCGACAAGATGTCTGACTCTGACGACTACGATTTGCTACCAGACGATGTCCAAGATGACTTATCAACTGCGGGGTCTAATTTCTTCGATTGCTTGGTAATTATTTGTCAAATATTCAAATAAATTCAGAATACGAACATAATGCCTTTTCAATTAAAATACGCAATATTTTTATTCAGACTGTTGGCCAAGCGAGCTCAATATGTCCATCATCAGTTGCCCTCACAGCCAAATCAGGATTCCAACGAAATAACTTCCAGAAAAGAGAGAAAAGCTCGTTCCAAAATAGCCGCCCGCGACGAAATTTCCAGCAAACTACTCAAAAGATCGGCTATATTCCGCCGAAGCTGTCGGAAGAAGAATATAGATGCCAAGAGAATGAAATTGGGAACAACTTCGAGAATTATATGAACATGGAAATGTCGATTACGCCTGGCGATGGAGTGGAAAACGAAGAAATGCCACCGTTACTGGTTAGTTGGGATGATTTGGATTTGCCCGAGAATCTGAGAAATAACTTGAGGTAAGGATACAAACCCAGAATTTCTCTTTATGTTGTCTAGGAAGCTGAAGATGGAGGTTCCAACACCTATTCAAAGATGCTCTTGCAATATTATCAGACACAACTTTGGTAAAATAACGAAATTCCAACCTCTCTTATAAAAATTTCTTTCAATTAGACTGTCTGGCAATATCCGAAACGGGCCAGGGAAAGACGGCAGTTTTCCTTATTCCCATCATCCGAAACCTTCTTTACCAATCCTCCCTGCCTCCAAAGAAAGCAGTTCCTCAATACCCCCACGTGATCGTCATCGCACCGACTCGAGAGCTGGCAATTCAAATCTACGACCATGCAAAAAGATTCACAGTTTATACAGAATTGTTCGACAGGATCAAGATCACCTACGGAGGGGCAAGCATTGATGACCAGGCGGATGAGATTGAGAAGGGATGCCAAATTATTATTGCTACTTTGGGACGGCTTGTGGACTTTGTCAATAGGGAAATCCTGTCCCTCGAGCAAGTGAAATATTTGGTGATTGATGAAGGCAGAGTTTTAAAAATTCTTACAATTTTATTTTGGCATAAAAGGTCGTTAAACATACGCACTTGAAATTTATTTTAAACTTATTTAAAAGCGGATAAGCAACTGATGGAAGGCTTCGAAGAATGCCTCAATCAGTTTCTCCAGCACGAAGATCTCCCGGACAAGAATTATCGCCGCACAATCATGACTTCTGCAACAATGACTCCGGATGTCCAGCTTTTGGCGAAAGATCAGCTCTCTGACAGGTCTTATTATTGCCAAGTTGGCGAGCTGAACCATGCGAATCGAAATATTCGGCAAGAAATCATTCGATGCTACTCGCATTCGAAGTTGAAAACACTCAAGGAAGTTTTGCAACGACCAGATGTGAAAGAAGGAAAGACGATCATCTTCACGAATCAGAGAAGACTGTGTATGACGTATTCGTTTCAGCTGCGGAATTGTGGCGTCTTTGGAGCTGTAGAAAGCATTCACGGAGATCGACACCAGCAAGATAGAGAAACTGCTCTGAGAAGATTCAAAGAAGGAGAAGTCAACATTCTCGTTGCGACGGATCTGATTGGGCGGGGCATTCACATTCCGAATGTCCAGACAGTCATCAATGTCGATTTGCCGGAGAAAATCCTTGACTACATCAATCGGATTGGACGAACTGGCAGAATTGGCCACAACGGAAAATCCATTTCGTTCTATGACCCGTCCAACGACTCAATCATGGCCGAACGTCTCTGCAAGGTCCTTGCACAGAACGACCAAGAACTGCCTGATTTTCTCACGGCAGAGACTTTCATGCATAACCGAGAGCGATATCGATCGATTGCCCAGGAAACGATGCACTCAAATGACTACCTCATGTCAAGAAGCAATTTGAATGGACAGGGAATCTTGACTGGCTTCGATTTTAACGAAGAATGGTAGAAAATACTCAAATTAACTTTAATCACTTATACTTCAAAGTTCACTTACTCACATCACCACAATTTTTACACTGCCACAAAATATTATTGCAAAAGAAGCTCAAAAGAAGTGTTTTTAGAGATGGCGCCGAACGATCCGCGAAAAGCGATGCAGGACAAGTTAGCTCGCGAGAAAAAAGAGCAACTTCAACGCCAAAATTCTCAGCAACGACTTAACTCTCAAAATCATAAATATACTGACGGGACGCACTTTATCAAGGTTTGAAAACGATTATTTTCGGAAATGAAAACTAGCTCAATTTACAATTTAGACAGACTCGAAGTGGCAAAACACCTATTTGCCGGTTATTCCTCGACTCAATCCCGACGGAACATTCAAAGAAAACTGAACTGTTTCCAGAATGAATTCTAGACTTTCACTGCTAAAAACTCTCAAGTAATTCATTGATCTTTTCCCTCTATTTTCTTCTGCCCTTCATTTTTGTAACATATTTCTATAAAAAATACCTCAGAATATAATTGCCCTTCTTTTGAAGATAGAAATCGCATGCTCCGCAGGTCGAATGCGTTAAGAAACATCCTTAGGACGTCCTATCAAGAGAAACTCGTGTTCACTCCAGTAGGATCCATTTCTCCTCCTCTTCCAGCTGGCAAATTTCAGCCCGGCCAATTTTTCATCGCCAAAAATTATGAATACAGAGGACTAGTGCTGCTTTCGCAGGAGACTGAAGTTATAGGAAAGGGTTCAATTTCGAGTTCGAAAGAAATTTCAACGATTGATAATTTGAGAGTCCCATGAAAGGAGAAAATGAAAACGGCAGCTCCTACGAGACGAGTTACATGGTGCTCTGCGATGAGCGCGACACACTAGCAGACTCAAAAAGCCAAATCGACTATCTCGACTACTTTCTCAATGACGGCGAGGTCACATACACCATGAACATCGACATAATTTCACACAAAGACATCATTCCCGCTGGGGACACGAACGTCACTTTTCAAAATCAAGTGGCGGACTTTTACTTCAAAAAATCAGAGAATCCATGGCCGACTGCACCAAATAACCCAAAATTAGTTCCTACATCGAATCTTCTTTCGCTCACTGACAAAAGGTATCATTTATCTATCCATCTTTGATTCATCATTTATCTCAGAAATATCAAACTGAAGAAGTACGTAAAAGTAACCAACAACGTTCGCGTTTCCGTTATTCCAGTCTACCTCGGCCAAGGATTCATCCGCGATCGACGAATCTCCGGCGAAAAATTTTCACGGAACGACTTCATCAAGTCCAGACACTACTGGCAGTATCACATCACAATTGAAAACCTGACAAACGAGCCGCTCGAGCTCATCGAACGGCTGTGGTATATTTATGAAGACAATGAAAGTGAGGACGGAGACAGTAAGGAGGGGAGCTTGAAAAGAGTTGCTGGGAGAGGAGTTGTTGGAAAACATCCGATTTTATTCAACGAAACGCAGCCTTTCAAGGTGAGAAATTGCCAAATTTATCTTTTTTTTTCTGATATTTCAATTGACTTGAATTTAGTATACTTCCACTTTGGACATTTCCACTGGCAAAGGACACATGTGGGGCAAATTTATCTTTGAAAGTCGTCTCGATGGACGCCCAGTAGAAGTTTTCGTGCCCAAGTTTGAACTCTCCTCCCACGTCGAATACGGCGAATACTGATCAAACCTCACTGAAAAACTATTTATTAAAAAGATACATGTATAAAAGACTCAAAAATAAGTAAACTGCCTGCTGGAGCTTACTCGTGTTGATTTAGAAATAATGCTTCGATCAGCGATTCTGTGGCTGGGACAAAATATGTCCGACCGTCGGAGTCAACAGAAAGAGACCACACCGTTTCTAGAACACGTTTATTTTCGAGGGGATGCATGGAGGAAGAGGGAGGAAGACTTCAGTTTAATTTTCGTACTTTTCAAAGGAAGAAATGGTCCGAAATCAGTTCGTTATTCAAGGTACATTTCTGAGTCTTTTTATTTTCTGTCTGATAGACGCGATGAGCCAAGAATCTAAGACTATGGATACAGTGGTGAAGGAAATCTAATTATGATTTTTAGTTCGCAGAAATGCTGAAGTTTTTTCAAAAGTGGGAGTAGTAACATCACCAAGTTTGAAGAAAAAGTTCCATGAGTAAGTCTAATTTTCACTTTTCTTTCGCACTTATTAATTTTCAGATCCGGTCAGAACTTCATCCACAAAGAACTGTCTTACCGTGGTGTTATTCTGTACCCATGGCCCGGAACAACTGTCGATGCCGAGGGAGAGTCTGAAAAGACTCTTTTCTATCAAGTACTTGTGGATCAGCGGGATGCGGAAGAGCTGCCGATGGAACACGAGCTGCTCAGGATTTCTGATGCGGATCGTGAAGCTTTCGATTTCGTAAGTTCTTTCAAATCGGAGTATAAATTCATATTTGATTTTAGTCTCCAACCCGATTCAAAAATTGGGATATCGCGACCCACGAAGAGATCTTCCCGTTCGACCCCATCGACACCAGTCTAGGAGTGAAGCATCATCTAATGCATCATTTCCTCAAGACGTTCTACTCGTACAAGGATGGAACGCCGACCTGGGAAGTAAAAAGAACTCCGACTCTGACGTATTGGATGAACAAGTTCTCGTCTAAGCCGCTTGTTTGCCATGTTGCAGAGGCCGAGTTTGACGTAGCGATGGAAGAAGACTCGACTGAATCGAAAGATGTTGTATCGATTCATGTAATTCCTTATCATCTAACAACAAACGTAAGTTTCAATTTTAAATTTCTCGATAAACTTAATTATCTCCTACGGGATCTTTAGATCTTTCCATCAATAGTACTCTTTTGACGTTTTTGAAAAATGTCCTAACTAGTCACTGATATATTCCTTTAGAATGTTCAAAACTTCAATTTTATCGGACATCTGACACGATTTGCATCACAGAACAGCACTGAATATGAAATTATCGAGAGGACGGTCATTGCTGAAAACGATCAAACGGGCGATATCAAAGAAGATGTTGCCGTAAGTCTATTAACTCCTCAATCAAGCAATAAACGATCATTCAGAAACTGAACATCGCTCTCGGCGGCGAGTACAACAACATCTACCAGCACTCCCGGCACATAGAAATCCCACACGGTGAAAGTCATCTGGTCTTCAATTACAGGGTGAAGCGACTATCAGATGGACTCGAGAAAGACATCATGGTATCGGCTTTTAATGTTTCTTCAAAACACGGTGATCCGCTGTCTCAAATCTGAGAATCTCAGACTGAGATACTGTTCAATCTTCTTTTCTTTCTAATTTAAACTTCGACTTTCTGTAAACCCCGTTCGTTTCAAATACATTCATATAAAATATATTTGACGCGTTTTGTCTCATCCTCCTTGCAGAAAAACATGTGATTCTAGTTAGTAAGCCTTAGATTTTTCAAGAAAGTAAGCATTAGAAATAAGTAGGTAGAGAATATTTTTGAGTTCAAGAAAATCCACATTATAGAGAAAATCTTATTCTCTACCATTTCAGAATGCCGAGAAAGAAAGCCCCTCAATCGACTGTCGATCAGTTGCTGGATCGACAGCCAGAGACTCGCGCCACTGCTCCTGTTTGTGACTATTTGTTGCACGCAGCAAATAGCGATACAACGGCAAAAAGCATAGTCAGTGTGAGAGCATACAGAGAAGGTCTTTGTCAGTCAATTTACCTAAATCACCTGTTTCCTGTCGATGGAATTGCGAATGAAGAAAATCAGGGACGTAGTTTTGAAAGTTTCAGCGCGGCTTTGTTGAGAGGATCTCATCAACACTTTGAAAACTTTTTAAAAGTCACAGTTGAGAGAGCGAATCGCCACGCATTTGGTCGGCATGCATTTTCAAGACCAGGAGACTCTCTTGGATACAACTGATGCGCGATTTCTCCAACCACCAGTAGAGCAAGAGGCAAGACCGCAAGCAGCGCGTGATGATTGGAACCGCATTGACGAGGATAACACATGCCTTGTCTCTCAGCGACTTCTGAAAAGCTACCAGAAGAAACGACAGCTTCTACGAAATGATCAGCACGAACGAGAAACCAACTATCGAAATAGTTTGAAGACAGAGTATCTTGGATACAGACGATTTTCACCACTGGCATTGAAGATAGAGCATGAAACGCTCGAGCGAAACATGAAAGCTGTCCGAGAGAAGATAATGACTCCGGAAAACAGAGAACTAGAGTAAGTGGCACTTTTAAGTTCTAAAATAACAGTTCAATAAGCGTGAATACAGTCGTCATCACTGTTGCCGTATTCCTTCCGAAATCGAGAGGAAATCAAACTCGACAAGCATGGTAAAAATTCTAAACCGACCTCGATTTTAATCGTTTTCTCAGCGAGTTCAAAATTCATAATCAAACGAGGCTGGTGGATCTTGTTGACCGTCTGGTTTGTCCGAACGACCAAATTTCAATGGTCCGCGGGGAGGAGTTCGCTAAAGATCCAACGAGAGATCCTAGACCATATGCTGCCGATATGTTTCCAGACAAATTTTTATTTATACACGATACTTTCTACTACGACAACAGGAATGAGCAATCGCTCCAGGTCGCTTCAAGAATCAAAGATTTTCTTGATCGTCGGCCAATCTCGATTCCCAAGCCGACGAAACTTATTCCGCTCGTTGCTGATCCGGAAAACGGTTACGACAATGACGTTTTGGTAGGGCATAAAGATTTATTCAAGCATAAATGTCCAATCTAGGTAGATGATCTAGAGTTCAACTTGGGAATGCCATATCTTTACCAGCATGTCCGAGACTGTGAACATCTGATTGTATTTATGGATATGAAAGCGATAAGCATTTCTGATCCACAGACGCTCGCAGAATATCCGCAAATGATGAACAAGGTATTCCGGAACGAATATTAGTTTTCTCTAGCCAAAAACTTAGCCGACTCCCCGACGCGTTCTTTGTCGAGTTTGTGAGATGCATTCGGCTGTTTGGGAGACAAGAAAAGATGAAGAAGCAGACTATGATCCTTGTTTCTGGTGTGAGAAGTGCTTCCATATGTTTCACTATACAAAAGGTATCAAGATTACTGTTCTAATTTAGCTTTCTCAGCCTTCTTTTTAGACGAAAAAATGGCGCACAGTTTTCTTGCTAGGCCTTTTACGGATCCCGCTATTCTCTACGGGGATATGAAGAATGAAGAGCCGAGTGGCGAAACAAATGAAGAAACGATGGAAGAAGAATGAACAAGCCAATATATTTTGGCAAGAAAAGAGCTTTGAGACTGTAAATAAATTTCTCGCTCTTCTTATAATCTCAGGCGTTTTAAATAAGAGCAGCTGTATATGTGTTCACATTTGACTGTTTAATGATGGAAAGCTGGAGAAGAAATAAACACTGCCTCAATCGAAATAAAAATGGTAAAAACGACGGAATTAAGATTGATTTCTCAAAATGCCTATGTGCCAGGTTTTCACCAATGTCTCTGCCGATAAGGTCACCGATGATGTCCTGACAAAGTTGCATGAAGTTTTCACTGAAGCAATCAAGAAGGATAAGAAATGGTGCGTTGTGCACATCGTCCCAGACCAAAAAATGGTCGGCCATGGACGAACAACTGATCCCTGCGCATTGGTCAACATCATGTCCATTGGAAACCTTGGCGCTGATGAAAACATCCGCATCTCTGGACAGATCCAAGGATTCCTTGAGGAGCAACTCGGGGTTTCCAAGGAGCGAAATTACATTCGATTCGACGATGCTCCAGCCAAAGAAGTCGGCTGGAATGGATCTACCTTCGGCCCTATTCTTGGATAAATTCCAGAAGCACTTTTCAATACATCAAAATGATGCCTAATTCAATTAGTGTTCACTTCTTCCGAAATTGTGTCTTTCTTAATCCTTTCACTTCCCAATCAATCAATTAGTTTGTAAACTGAAGCCTTCTAAAGTCATCGTCTAGTCTGGAATTGTCGCCATCGAATAAAAAGTATGCAATGGTTTGGATTAGTAGAGGAGATAATTTGCCTCGTTTCATTGTTTCAATCTGCCAACAAGAGTGATTGGGATGCAGGATTTATACTTGCTGGTATTTCAGACCAATTTAATACAATCCAATCATTTGAGTTTAGGAATCACAGCCAGGGGTGGATAATTTGAAATCAAATCATTATTCCATTTTTTCCAGAGCAAAACCGGCTTGATGAATCAGTCTGAAATTTTAGGTAATGATTCGAATATATGAAAGATGAAAGCATGCGAAATTTCAAGCCGATTCATCAAGCCAAATTTGCTCTAGAATAAAATGGAATAATGGTTGATTTCAAAATATCCACCCCTGATCACAGCTCTACTGAATCTTCAGAAATTATTCACTCCCAGTGAACAAAGGTCTCGTTTGAAGTCACCGTCTGCATTAAACTTATGATTAATTTAGATACTACGAGTGCAGCCGCCAGCGAGCATCAACGGGCACATGCATCTGCATGTTTCTCGTCTGTCAACTTACGCTCTCGTTGAGTGAGAGTTCAATGCAGAAGGCGCTTGCATATTCTGCAGCGATGAGCTTTATGATGTACCAGGTGCTATTTTCGGGCTTGTTCAGCGGAGTCAGCCTTCCTCTGTTCGTCCAGGCGCTTTTGTTACTCGTAAGTTGATTATTGATTACTTAGTTTAAAATTGGCTAATCGAAAATATCTTCAAAAAAGTGAATGATTTCAGGTTCCTTCACTCGTCTGCCCCCAACTCCTCACCACATCAGGGATCATCGACTGGGACGATTTAGTCGAGATCAGGTTCGGGATCAACACGACACGCTGAGGGCACGTTTCGTACGTAATGAAAACTGTGTTGATCCCCCTGTGAGCATTTATTGCTTTCTAATCCTGGCTCTTACGGATTCGCTCCAATTTTCCTTTCCTCGAACATTTACCAATGGCTAGAGTTCAATACATACGAAGAATATCTATTAACACGAGAAACAAATTAATTATTCTTGGTTGAAACTAGGATATTTCATTAAAATTGATTGTATTGAACTTTTTCGCAGTGAAAGCTTTCTTGTATCATCTTTGATCATTCTCTCGTTGCGATGGACGATAGAGGCCCAAGCTGACGTCCTAGTAGAGGTAAGAAAGTTAGCAAGTGATGATGTTGTTTTAATTTGGATTAGACGTTTGCGGGTGTCGGAGTAATCATAAGTGCTGGCTGGATGGCATTGATCGTCACAGTATTGATCGTCGCTTGCGCCACCTTAACCAAGAGAGAACGCAATTCTTCCCCTAAGCTCACTCGAGCAGACTGCCACTTAGGAAACGGATACGCCTACGGATCCGTAGTACACACTTGTTCACATAACTTATGGGCTCTGAAATAGAAAGAGAGAGAGCCCAGTCGCCCGTAACGAAACCAGAATAATGAGGCTAATTTGGTAGAGAGAGCGGCGAGAATTTAGCCAGAATTACAAGCCTCTGAAAACACGACATCAAAAAGCGACATGTTTAAACGTAACAGGATTGACATGAGAGCAAATGTTGCACTGCGCAAATGTAACACGGGGCGAAATAGTGAATCATGACCTTTATTGATTCAGAGTAACCAGTGATTCTTAAATACGAATTCAATGATTTCCAAAGAGTTTATTTTGTATCCGAAAAAGAGCTCTCGTTTTCTATGGGGGCATTTGTGCGTTTTGTCTCTTCACCACTCCCGTTGGCCTTATCTTTGGGTATGAGAGCGCAGTAATGACTGTAATCTACGCGTTGGCCCGTCTGTGTGATTTTAATCACTTTCTGATGATAGCTGCCTGGTGCGGACTCACGATTCTCACCACTAAAATTATTGAGAAGCAGCAGAAGAACAAGATGCATCAATTTTGTACAGCACAACGCAAGGTAAACTCGTTTATTTCGATTCTCGCTCATCAAAACAATAGTGGAAGAGGTTATATTTTTTCCTTGACACGGCGATCTTGATTTTACAGCAATAATATTTGCCAAGCAATGGCTTCATAGTTCAAAGTTTTCAAGCGTTTTATCCCGCTAAAAATAAAATCAGACAGAGATAGTTATCGATGGAGAAAAAGAGCGTCTTATATTTAAGCTGGATAATGCTTATGCCTCATCCTCAGATTGTCCACTTTTTTCGCTATGAATATATAGCTTTTAGCCGCTTTTTATGTGTTCAATTCTTTTCCATGAGATATCTCTAGCTTGCTAGCAAGCTCGAATCATATCGAATTATGTCAAAATGGAGAATTAACCCCTTGTGCATTTAGATGTTTCATGGGATCGCTGTTTGTGCACTAATGGTCGGAATCGCTTTCGATGCTGAACTTTTGGCTCTGGTGACCTTTGCCATTCTAATTATGTTCATTTGGGTGGCGCTTTATTCAGGATATCAGGTAATAAAACTGTTAATTCAGCCAAAATGCGTCATCAGAAGAGGCTTAAAAGCCACCTAAATCATTTCTCTAAACGAGAGTTATCCGGCTTTCTATCAAAATATTCCTTTTAGATTTATCCGTATGGAAATAAAGTTCGCCGACTACTCGTGACCATGACAGACCACAGGGATCAAGGGAAAATTATCGCAACGCCGATATACCTTCTTTTTGGAGTGTCATTTCCAATTTGGTGCGATTTAATTAAATTCGGCAAAATAACCAACTCAGCGGTTGCTGGAATCGCCTCCATTGGCATTGGCGACTCTTTTGCCGCCCTGGTAGGAGCTCGGTACGGAAAAACGAGAATTTTTGGAGAAAAGACACTTGAAGGTTGCTTAGCAAATTATGCTAGTCAACTTGTCTTCTACTTGTCCCTTTGGCTTATTGCGCCGCAGTCCTTTGTGTTTTCGGTTGATTTGATTATCAGCTTGTTTCTTTCTTCTTTACTAGAAGCAGTAACCGATCAGATAGACAATCTTATACTTCCAGTATTCCTCTACTCATGTCTCGCGCTCTAGGCAGAAATTCACGATTTTAGAATCTTCCAGTTATCCCCATTTACCTCAACATTCTTCAGTTCAAGGATCCCAATTCTATTTATTTAGCAACACTAGATTATAATAATTTTTCACCGCCGGAATTCTTTTTCTTTTCAGAAATCGTTGATGCGGTGAATTTTAACCTGGCCTTCTTCCTTTTCTTTGGTTGCTGTGTCGTACTGACTGCCTCAAGATTGCATCGTTTACGTTTTTGCGCGAGAAGATGGGCAACCTTTGCTCATGCATGAACAAGCGGAGGCAGCGGTCGACGCGAAATTCGTGCCGCAATGGTGATCCTAGTGTTGGCCGACAGAATGCCGATAGTGTAGCTACCATGTCTGATGCCAGCAGGCCTGTTCAACCGAGAGAGACTCAGCACATAGCAGGTAAGCGCCCTTAATCAAACAGTAACGTAAGTCTTCGCCTTTTAGACAGGGAAGATATTGCTCCAGAGGGAGAGGAGCAAATCAACCCGGCGGACAACATCGCCGTCCCGCCTAAGTTCAAAGCCAAGTCGATGATGAACATCCACGAAGATAGACGATCAGGATCAAGTGCGATGCGCGGTCAACGGGCCTCTTCCACTTCCAATATTTATATCGACGATTCGACGGTTTCGAAGCCGAATGCAAAGGCGATGCAAAAGTGCCTCGCGCTAGCGATATATTATCATGTGAAGAGCAATAATCATGCAGATGATTTGTCCTCCAATGTTCCTGACATCTTCGACGAGCAGAAACATCCGCTCAGAAAGAAAAAGAACCAGAAACCTGTAGACTCACAGTCAGATTTAGTAAGTATCGCGAGTTTTTACATGTATTTTTTCTTGATATCAATGAGCTTTTGATATCCTTCGTAGTTGTCGATCTGATATCGACTGGCGTGTTCGAATATTTACTGTATTATTAAGGAGGATCTGCCGCCACCAGATCATCGCGATGTTTATAAATTCATCCGCTGCTTATTCTCGCAAGCGCAGTTGGCCTCCGAAGTCGCCATGGTCACCTTAATTTATCTCGAGCGACTTTTAACTTATGCCGAAGTCGAGTTTTATCCGGCGAATTGGAAAAGGCTCACGCTCGGTGCTATAATGCTCGCTTCTAAGGTTTGGGATGATCAGGCCGTCTGGAACGTGGACTTCTGTATGATCATCGATGCTGATGTAGAAGACCTGAATATGCTGGAACGAAGCTTTTTAGAATTACTACAATTTAATGTAAATGTGCCTGGATCTGTATATGCAAAGGTAGCATTTAATATTTAATTATGCGCTTTGAACTCTTCGTTAGTATTACTTCGACCTTCGTGAAATGGCGGTCAAGTACGGGATTAAATTCCCTGTGAGTCTGCTTACCCACGATCGCGCGATTAAATTAGAAGCCTCCTCGTCCCTAAGGACGCCCGATAAGGTCTCCGGGCCGAAGACCTCGTATGATGTGCCCAAACATCGCAAATGCTTCTCACTTGACTTCAACTCAAATGCTAATGTGGGCCGTTCGCCCTGGGTGATTTCTTAATATTCAACCGCCACCCGGATACGAAAGCCTCAAATCTTAGTCGTACTTCACATTTCACCAGTTGGTAAGCATAAAACTAGTTTTAACGCACTGTTGATGCTCGATCAAAGGTCAATGATCTGTACTCGTTCCTCTGATTGGCTCAAAAGTCGCCTGTAATTATCTCTATCTAATATATTCTTCTAGCTGCCAAATGTCCGTCTTCAATCTGTCTGAGTGATCCTGGGCACGTCCTGCTTATTGTTCACCAAAAAAATAATCCCTAAAGTTGCCACTGTTATTGTCCCAGAAAGCTTGATGAAGAAATTACAATAAATCATATTTCATATGTTTTACTCCTCAAAACACAACTTAAAAATATTCACGCTGATCTCTTTTCCGATTGTTCTATAAGATCTTTTTACTAAAATGTTTCTTTCTACCTTCTTCGTACTTCTCCTTTTTCTTCTTGTATATAATAATTTAAAAAATATAACAAAGTAGTCGATTCTTGTGTAAAATTCAACTTAATTCGAAGCTAGTGGATCATTACTCTTTGGTGAGCCTTACTTTCTAATCTACAGTAGTCGCAGTCATTCTTTACTGTACTTAAAAACTGTAACCAGCTGTAGTGAACGCTTTCAGCTCGGCGAGGTTTCCCTTCAACTAGCTCTAGAGCAAATTACCCTCTGATGCAAATTATGAGATAAAAAATGCCAATAAATTCTTGCGCTTCAACGAAAAAGTCATCAATCGTTTCGTTGTTAGTATGGGTTTTGTGACCGCTCACGCTGAGACGCAATCGTTCGCTCACCAGGCCGGCTGGCTTCATGATAAACATGATTTGACCAAGTCGAGGACTTTGGCACTTCCTTCGCAGTCGGTTCCCAAGCAGGGTCAGGCCCCAAAGGTAGAGCATTCGAGAGACAATCTGTGTTGATGAATTCGTAGGTCTCTGAAAACACCGAATCAGCAACCAACTACAATGGTCCATCTCCAAACCACATCGCTAACAATCTCTGGGGCCCCGTCCGACCCATCAAGGTAGCTTTATCACTGTTTTACTTCTACTCAACTCCTTTTAGTGGTTCATGGGACACATTGATGTCACCGGACGATCCATGTTCAAGTCTATGGATCACCAGGGTCAGTACTTTGGTTCTCTGACTCCCGGAGCTTCGCTCAGATTCGCTAATGGACACACTGAGCATCCTAGTGGTGCTTCTCGATGCTGGAAGGTAGACTATCTTTAAAATCGTCGAGAATAATGACCTCTTTCAGGAACGATTCGCGCTGATGATGTGCTCCCGAGAAATGAGCTCCGAGCGAGCAACCAATGGACCCTGCGCTAAGGAAGCCTACTTCTTTGAACGATGCCAGACATACAAATCTGATACCGACGTAACCTTACTATATTTTTTTCTACTTTGTAACGCTGTTCTTAGATGCACAGAAACGCGAAAATTATTTATGCCGACGAGTACTTCGGTGATTTGACAAATCAGTACAACTCGCAGGCTTTCGAAAACAACTTCGGTTGGAACAAATTCGGCTTCTCTGGCCAGAAAGGTGGCATTCCTCACCCAGACAACCTCTCCTTCGGACACGTCTAAGAAGAAGATTGAAATTAAATTATTATCTTTCTGTTCAACTCTAATTTATTTACTTTCGTTGGAATTACGACAATAAAATAACGGAATAAAGTTCTTGGCTTCTGAATTGGAGACTACCCAAATTGACGAACAATAAGAAGCTACTTGACTTTGAGATTTGAATAGAACTACGATTTACGAGAAAAACCAAGACGCAAATAATAGCGTCATTCGATTTTTACGATGTACTTAATAGCTCTGAGCTTTAAAAGAACTAAAAGCGATCAAACCGATTCAAATATTTGAGAAATTAGAGATTCGTGGATATTCGATGACAACGGAGGTAAAAAGCTTTTGAAACGATAATCGTTTAAAATTTTTAAAGAAGTTAAAAGTTAGGAACTAAGGTGGTCTTGCTAAAATTACAAATGCAGCACAAAACAGACTACTCCATTTCGCGAATACCCTCGGGTCTTTTTTGAACCCAGCAGAAATCTAGTTAACCGTGCAAACTCGCCTTTCAATGCTGGATTAGGTTCTTTTTTTTAATTCCAAGAGAGGCTCTTTTTGGCGAAACAAAATAAACTAGATCAGCGAAGAAAAGATTTTGGGTGTCCAAATATTTGATGCACTGTAAGCTCTGTTTGTTTATGAGATTTATCTTTTACATGAAGCTAAGAATTTAAAAATGAGAGAATATTTCTATCTGCATTTAATGCAGCAGATTAAACAACTTGTAACATCAAGTGCCCTCGGGTCTTTTACGCCGAGAGTCATTCATTATCTCGGAAAGAGAAAGAGATAAAGCTTGTTTCCAATTTATCATTTTGAAGCGGACGGCGCGCTTTGGATATCCTGCTTCGAGACTGCTTTAAATAATACATGACGTCTCATTTTAACTTTCAGATCGATTCGGTCTCAACTAGAGAAATGCACAGGGCTGTTCTGGGTGTGCCGGACATAACCTGCACCGCCTGCGTTGAGACAATCGAAAGTCTATTCAAGAATGATGAGTTTATCAAAATACGCGTTAATCTCGTTCCCGAAAAGGAAGCGATTGTGTTCTGGGAACCGGAGAAAACTACCTTAGCAGCAATTAGAGAACGTATCGAAGATGCTGGCTTTGGGACAAAAGTATTGAGTAAGTTTTTAGTATATCATTTTGATATTTTATGATAAATTCAGGTGAGAACTACGAGACACCCGATAATTATCTCGAGAAACGAACCGAATTCCAGATAGAAGGCATGACTTGCTCATCCTGCACTGGCACCATTCAAGGAGCACTTGCCGATCATGTTCTGTCATGCGATATTTCTTTGGAAACGAAGACTGCTTCTATAACTTACAACGAGTTCGCGATTTCTCCGGCGAAGATTGTTGACCTTATTGAAGACTGTGGCTTCGAAGCAAAGTTGAAATCTGCCGTTGTTACCACGCTGGAACATGTTAAAATTCAAGTTCTTGGAATGGTTTGCATGTCTTGTGTTCACACGATTCAAGATGTCCTTGGCGCTTATACAGGAATCAACTCAGTTGTCGTATCGCTCGAGAAAGAAGAAGCCGATGTCACCTTCCAGCCTGATCTACTTACTGGGGCTGTTATCGCTGCGCATATTGAGGATATGGGTTTTGAAGCCTCTGTCATAAACCTTGAACAAACAGAATATCTCAAGAGCACTTTCAACATTACTGGCATGCGTTGTAAATCATGTGTTGGCAAGATCACGAATGGAGTGGAGGGCCTCTTCGGCGTCGTCCAAACTGTTGTGAACCTTGAAGCTTCGTCTGGCTTCGTAATTCACTCTTCCACTGTTTCGCCTGCGGAAATTCAAAAGCTCATCGAGTCAATGAATTTCACTGTTGAACATGTCGGCTCGGAGAAAGACGATTACTCACCTTCACCATCTTCTTTGCCGAGAAAAACTCCGCCAAAGAAGAAGCAGCAGATCATGAACTCAACCGTCTCAACAACAACTTTCATCAATGCATCTGGCGAAACTGAGAAATGCTCCATCAAGATTTTAGGGATGACATGTGCAAGCTGCGTGGGAAATATTGAGCGGACAATATCCAAAGCCTCAGGTGTTCTGAGCATTGTTGTGTCGCTCATGTCTTCCCGTGGTGATGTTATTTTCGATCCCTCGCTGACTTCCGCGAAAGAACTGGCGAACGCAATTGATGAGATGGGATTTGAAGCTTCTGTAATTTCCACCGGAGGATCTACTGAAGAAAAACTTACGCTCACCGTGACCGGAATGACCTGTGCGAGCTGTGTACGCAAAATTGAGCTGTCACTGAAAAAGATTCCTGGCATTTCTGACGCTGTTGTTTCTCTTACTACTTCATCCGCTCTTGTTACACATGATAGATCCGTCATTCCAGCACGAGAAATTATCACAGCTGTAAAGGACCTCGGATTCGGTGCTGAAATTCGAAACGAGACGGATAACTACGCTCTCCTGGAACATAAGGATGCTATAAATAAATGGCGGCGTTCATTCCTCGTCTCACTCTTTTTCGGACTCCCTGCTATGATTCTCATGATGCTATTCATGCTTCCATCGCACGACGAAGCAGTTATTCCCCCGCATAACATAATTCCAGGCTTATCCGTAGAAAACTTGACGATGTTTATTCTTTCGACGCCGGTTCAATTCTTCGCCGGATGGAAGTTTTACATCGCAGCATGGAAAGCTATCAAACACAAATCACTCAACATGGATGTTTTGATTATGATGGCTACGACAATCTCATACCTATACTCAGTTATTATTGTTGTTTGGGCGATTGCCGTAAAAACTCCCCATTCACCCAGGACCTTTTTCGAAACAGTTCCCATGTTGATCACTTTTATCTCTTTGGGACGATGGCTGGAGCATATTGCGAAAGGAAAACTTCCGAAGCTCTTGCGACTCTTATGAAAATGGCGCCTTCAGAAGCGACAGTCGTTCAGTTTAACAACGGCCAGGTCGAGAAGGCGGAAGTAGTGAACATCAGCCTCGTTGAGCGAGGTGATTTAGTTCAAGTTAAGCCCGGAGAAAAGATCCCCATTGATGGCCGTGTTATTGATGGCAAATCATCGTGTGATGAAAGTTTCATTACAGGCGAGTCAATGCCTGTCACAAAGCGAACAGGAGATTCCGTTTACGCGGGAGCGATAAATAACAATGGTTCAATTATTGTCAAAGCAACGCACGTTGGCGGCGATACAAACCTGCAGCAGATTGTTCGAATAATGGAAGACGCGCAGTCTAGCAAGGCTCCAATTCAGCAACATGCTGACGTCATCGCCGGCTATTTTGTGCCCGTGGTTATCAGTTTGTCCCTCATGACTCTTATCGGATGGCTTATTGGCGGATTTAAAAATCCAAGCGTTATTCCTGATCGGATGAACATGAAGATGAACATGACGGAAACTGAACATCATACAGAACATCTGGGTCACGGAGAAGTCGCTGTAACTGAGCGAGTAGTCAATTTTGCATTCCAAATGGCAATCACTGTTCTCGCAATCGCTTGTCCTTGTGCACTCGGTTTGGCGACTCCTACCGCTGTCATGGTTGGTACTGGCGTTGGCTACAAAAATGGTATCTTGATCAAAGGTGGCGAAGCTCTCGAAAAAGCTCAAAAGATCGACTGCGTCGTCTTCGACAAAACGGGAACTATCACCTATGGAAAGCCAACTGTATCCGTATTCCAAATCTTGACGTCAAAGATGCCTAAAAATGACATCATTAGAATCGTCGGCTCAGCAGAGAGCCAGTCAGAACATCCGCTAGGAACGGCTGTGTGTAACTATGCGAAGAAAGAGCTCAACACTGAAGTAATGGAGCAAGTTTCTGACTTCAAAGCTGTCCCGGGCTCCGGCATCGAATGCAAGGTCGCCTCGAAGTACAAAGTTCTCATTGGCAATCGCTCGTGGATGACATCAAATGGTCTGAAAGTAACAAAAGACATGAATGCAATGATGAAGCAGCACGAGGAGCTTGGCCGTACCGCTGTATTGGTATCTATTGATGGACTTCTGTGTGCGATGATTGCAATTTCCGATCAACTCAAGCCGGAGGCTCAGCAAGTTGTCCACGTTCTTCAGAAAAAGCTCGGATGTAAGGTTGTCCTTCTCACCGGTGACAACCAAATCACAGCTAAAGCCATCGCTCGCGAAGTCGGCATCTTTGAAGTCTTCGCTGAAGTCCTTCCAACGCATAAAGCCGATAAGATCAAGGATCTCCAAGCTGCGGGAAAGACTGTTGCCATGGTGGGCGATGGTGTCAATGACTCGCCCGCTTTGGTTACTGCTGATGTTGGAATTTCATTTAAAACTGGAACTGATGTCGCCGCTGAAGCCGCTGACATCGTTTTGATGAACGACAATCTTGAGGATATTGTGGCGGCGATTGACCTTTCAAAGGCAGTCGTGCGAAGAATCAAATACAACTTTGTCTTCGCCTCTGCTTATAATCTTGTGGGCGTTCCTATCGCTGCTGGATGCTTTGTCCCCATTGTATAGAGCTTTCAAAATAGTAAGAATGTTAAACTTGCTTTTAGGGCTTTGCTCTTCAGCCCTGGATGGCATCTGCAGCCATGGCTCTCAGTTCCGTCTCCGTTGTGACCTCTAGTCTTCTTCTCAAAAAATACACCAAGCCATACTTTGACAGTTCTTGGAAGAAAGGCGATATGCTCAAGTTATTAAAATAAAAAAGACAATTTTTAAACTTGTTCTAGGGAGGACGAAGTGCTTATTCAGACCGGGAGAAACTTTATCGACAAAATTGCCACCAGCTTGGTAGAAATTAGCGAGAAATTCTCAAATGGTTCTAACAACATCGGTAAAGTACCAAAGGTTCAGGCTTTCAATTATCTACCTTTATTTTTTATCTGTCCATTTATGACTTGCATGAAAAAGGGTTTGACGGAACTAATTGGGAAAGTTGTTTACGTCTTCGAAGCGGTGTCCGTACCTATTGCATGAGAGTGGGATCTGATTTTAACGCTCCCGCTATAGTGAAAAGGAACTCCGATTGATGACGAAAAGAACCAACCTTTTGCATGAATGAGAGCGGTTATGGGATTAAACTGACAAACACCTCATTTATCGTCCATTTATCAATTATTCTAATAGGAAAATATAGAAATTTATATAGATTCTTGTATGGTAGTAGGGATAAATGTTTCGGCAGAATGCCGAAATACTGTGAGCTAGTTTTCTGATTAATGTTTCGGCAAGGGCCGAAACTATTTTCACTTATGTCCTCTTTTTTGGCAAAAACATTTCGGCAAGCTGCCGAAACTTTTTTCGTATTTGACTTCGGTTTTTGTAAAAATGTTTCGGCACACAAACTGAACTGGAAATCTCAATGTTTCATACAAAAAAACTCCTATCGGCAAAGTCAAACACTCCTCACTCGTCATCCTCTTCTTATCCTTGCTATCGGGAGAAAATTTTCATGTCTTAGTGCCTAGATTTTAATTCAATGACCATGAATGATGATATGAGCAGAAAGTATTAAATCTAACTGCCCCTTACCACGGGGCTTCGCCCCTTAGGTCCTAAAATGCCGGGGTCTAGTCTAGGGTTACTTAGGGTTACCTTCGGTAACCCTAACTAACCCTAGCCTATCCCCCTCGGGTAATTTATTCCGTCATTTTTGCAGGTGCCCCCTAACCCTAACCTTTATTTTAGCCAATACTACGATTTTAATTTTTTCATTGAAAATATGTCTTCCGGGGAGCTTCAACTTTTTTCTTTGTTTTTCTATAATCGGCTCATAATCACCCTCGAATTCCTCCATTTTTGCAGAATGAGGAGTGAAGCGCGAGACAAAACTCTTCTTATTCAGAAGTTCTGAATATGCGAGAAGAAAATAAATCTAGATTTTGAAGGTAACAATTTGATTTAATGCACATTCATTGGACGCGCATACCAGCGCGCATCAGGATGAGAATGAAAAAGCCTGCCGAAACTTTATTGCTCCGAAGGCGGTTAATTCTGATTTTTGTTTCGGCTCCTGCCGAAATGTTTTGCCAGAAAAATGAGTCAAATTTGTATTAATATTTCGGCAGGCTGCCGAAATATTTATCACATTTATGCCTTCATAAGTGACTTTCAGTTCGGTCGCGTTTGCCGAAACTTTTATCCGTACTACGTCTTGTATAGATAGGTTAACAAGAGTGAAATGATTTATCAGTTATTGATCGTAAGTGTATACATAATCATAATGTGCCCCGGCTGTAGGTGAAAAGTTTGCTTCTTTGCCAAAATCATGCGAGGAGCAAATTAACGATCAAGCTCCAATGATTGACGGAATACTGGTTGAAAGCCGAGATGAGAAAGAGTACCTGCTCCTCGACGACCAAAAAGACTCCGACTCAGAAACCGACCTATAGACACAAACCTCTGCAACCTACGAAGAATACGCAAACCTATGTTAGTTCCATACCTTATCAATGTTCTCCTAGCAGCACTAAATTAATCATAGCTTCAAAACTTTCTTTTATTTCTCCATCATGCCTTTTAATTCTTTCTATTTTGTTTGATTACAGTTCAACTCTTTTGCGTTCTATCAACAAAAATTCATCGTTCAAAGTAATAAATTCCCTCAGCAACTCGACGGAACAAAACATTTGTTGTTTATTTCAAGAATTTGTTTTGTTTCCGAGCATTTTGAGCTCGTACTCGTTGTTGAGTCTATTTTGCAGGCTAATAATAAGATGGTCGATCTTGCTTTGGATGCTTTTGACAACCTTCTCTCGGTGCAGATTATTCTCGCTGTAGTGACCAAGATGCTCATCATATACATAGATGAGTATAAATGCCATGGAAGCGCAAATGCAATACGCAATCTTATCTAGGATCAGCCTCGAAAGCTTTCAAAAGATATATTAAAGTTTCTGATCCAAAACAATAAGACAGAAATGAATTCAAAGGGATTCATTCTGATAAAAAGTTAGCCAGAAGGTTAATTATTCTACCTCTACCTCTGAAGAATCACTTCGTGAGTGACACTTTTGCACCGAACCGGACCTTTTCTGATCATTCTCTAATAAGATTTTTTGATAATATTCTCGCTCGAGGTAATGAGCTACTCTGATATTTATTAGCAGACAGATGAGATTTCAGAAATCAGATCACGCTTGTCAAACCAGGAGGGCGTCGGGTACCTGATGAACTCTGGGTTCTCGTGAAGCACATAGTTCTGTGAAAATATTCGAAAAATGTCATCTAACTCGAATGATACCTTATTTTCTGTTTTGTCATCGAATTTTGAATGCTTTGCCGGGGTCCATCTTGGCTTTGCATTTGTTGCTGGTCGTCCAGCTTTCCCTCGGAAGTCTCTCCTGACAGTTGTTATATCCTGAAAGGCCGGGAGCACATCTGGTCTTTTAACGGATTATAATAATCTCTCGTTTAGATAAAAGGGTAATTAATTGTAAGCTCTCCTATAGCGTGCTCTTTTCAGCATTTCATTATACAGTTCAATCGCAGTGCGGTCTTTTTCGATCGGAGTTCGGAAATCATTTCGATAGCTAAAAGCATCATACACTTAGGCAAAAAACTCGACCTACCGTGATCTACTAAGAACATCTCTGCCCTCTCCAACAGCAAGTTTATCTGTTGGTTTTTTATTTGATGCTGGCCTTCCTGCTGACCACTTTCTGTAGTCAACACGATGCGTTGTCCGATCACCTTTTAGCGGATAGAAACAGTAAACAAGAGCCGCCGCTTGGCGACAGTAAGTGTTTCTATCATTTCCTAATGGCGCGGATGATGGCTTGTAAATTTCGCGCCTTGGGACTGGTCTATGAGCTGAATGTGGTCTGTAGTCCACCTAAATTCTGCATTTATGTGAAAAGCATTTTATGATAAACCTTCATCGTTGTTTCGTCCGCAAGAGGCTCTTTTGCCCTGTTAAAGTTGCAAGTCCAGGAAGTAAAAGTGGGCTTGAGTTGTTCTGTTGTCTTTAAAAAATACAAAATATATTCCAAGAGAAATTCACGAGCTTGCCTTTGGTCGAGTAAATTCTCTTTCAATTTCAGTTTGGAAATTTCTGGGCATTCGGTAATTTGCAAATGTGGGCATTCTTCTCCGTTGAAACCTGAAACATTTCTCTCAACTAAAGGTTGACCTAAAAGCCTTACCATGGCTTTTTCTGGGTCTTTTCGGGCTCCATGGAAAATCACTATTAGCGTTTTGGATGATCTGTTAGCGCTTGTTGTGTGGCGCTTTCAAACAAAGCATGCCAAATTCAACGAAATAAAACCGCTGGATTTAAGTTACTACGATCGTAGTTTACAGTAAATGCCCAATTTAAAGAGAATTTCCTGATCTGCTATTCTCGATTCTCCCACACTTTAATTGATTATGATGGGCTCCCGCAAATATTCGTTCCAAAATTTCGGTGTTCAAATTTCACGGAGGTCGATGGAGAATCAGATACTAGAAAGTGGAAATGTCCACCATGTATTCCCATAAAACTCGCCAAATTGCTATAAAAGAGACCATTGAAATTGGTGATTTCTATCGCTTCCAGTTTTATGTTGCATGGTTACTCGCATTATTAGATTTATAGCTCCTGAAATCGAAAGACATCCAAGCTGAAGCAGGGTAGATTCTAATGATCTTGTCCGAAAATGGAATCCTCCAGGCTCAAAAGTCATCCTTTACTAATTCTATCAAGGTGAGATTTCTAATTTGTGCTCCCGTTTGCAATATTTTTTTCCAGAACCATGTACGCAAAACACTTGTCGGTCGTTATATCACCTTCCCGGTTAATTAGGTTTCCTGTACGCTTTTCCTGGTGTGAAGAAAATAAATTCCCCGGACATGGCGTGTAAGTGTGGAAGTGTCCCTAGAACACATGTAAACAAATGTAAATTTTGCGTTGAAAATAAAAATCAGATTTGACGCTAGAAAAAAAGGGTGAGAGATTTAGGTCGAGCAGCCGGTGCCACGAGATCGGATCCAGATCGATGGAGTTCGACGTAAACAGAGGAGATGTTCGCGGCTAAATAGGACACTTAGCGGCCCGATTGAGCTTGAACAACGGACAAATGCACTAAATTTACTAACAAAAGCAAATACTGTACGAGGCCTTTTGTCTTAACGCTTTCACTTGTGTATTTGTTCATTCTGATGATTTTCGCAAATACAGGGCTAGTTTCACTTTTGAAGTGTCGATTAGTACTTCAATAAATGTAACCATGGCGTGCCGCGAATTGTCGAAAACATGGGCCATGATAGCTGATCATTTGCCTCGGTTATCTGAACCTGTGTGAAAGATGTGCCCTAGAATCATACGCACACGATAATCCCTTCTTGGTGATGCTATGCTGCAACGCTCAATTGCACAATCTGGGATGGGCTGTTTGACTTGTAATTGCGACTTATCCGGCAACCTTAGCCTTCAGCGCAAATCACCTCATCTCGTCCCCACTCATGCGAGTCTTGTGGGAACAAGTTCCAGAGGTCTTGTTTTGCCTAAATTACGAGAGCTTTTCTTGTCGATCCCTATCGAGTAATCGCTCACTGGAAAATATATTTGAGACTTTCAAATCGACTTTTCTATTTTCTAAAAGAAAATCAGCGTTAATTAAAAGTGCACCCCGTAGTTAGGTTCATTTTCCTCGCCTCAGGAAGCATCGAACTTGGGCACTTCCGTTGCACCATTCCAAATAATTTCCATGGAAAAAGGCACCTTGACCGGATCGATGGCGAATTTCGATTTCAAATTACCAAGTTGAGCTCAATTATGCAGCTCGAGTGGCGAAGGGCTCAATTAGGGACTCTAGCTCGGAAGTGGACCGTTGAAGTGTGATATAGAGTCCAGAATTTTTTCAATAAAAGCTTTGACTTCCGTTTGTCTTTGAACGAGAAACTGTCAGTTTCCGGGAAGGAGGATAAGGTGCAAGAGCAGACGGCGCGATCGGAAGTCGCCATAATCTGATTATGCTTTTGATGCGAGCCATGTTCTGCACCTGACCTAAGTAGGACACCGAAAGATCTATCAAGCTCTGATGCCAAGCGATCTCTGGCTCACAATTTAGCTCGGTATTGACACTCGCTTACGGCATCTTAAATTTAGCGAGAAGTTTAGCGAATTCTGTATGAAGATGAACGACAAGAATATTGACATAGAACTCCTCGACAAGGATTCTTATTGTAAAATTTTGATAGATATTTCAATGATTACTTTAGTATTAATGAGTTCGCAGTTGTTCACGATTTCCTCATTAAACTTTGAACATTTCGATTCCTTTTGTGCATTCAAATCTTTGAAACGCAGATTTGATGCAAGTAGTATTAGTTCAATTTGTGGAAGATCTTTTGTTACAATTTTTGAACATATAATATGTTACATATTGAAAATGATATTTTAGAAGCATTGTATTTTTATTCCAGCATTTTGTGGCCTACTAGAATTCTGATAAGATGAAACAAACTTCCGATAGCGATCCTAACTGATTCCATCCGTCGGTGCAGGTGCTGGTGTGGCGCAATTTGCGCCCTCGCGCGCCTAGCGCTCCGTCGATCAGCCCTTCTAAATCCTGCTTCTGGAATCGAAACAGTCATTACCAATCTCTTCCTCCAAAAGTTACAAAACAAAGGTTTACGTTAGAGTTTTTACAAGAGAGAAACACGCAACCAAATATGCCCGGCTTAAACTTTTCTGTCGACTGGATCATTTCGGACTCAAGCCGACAAAACTCCGTCGGTTCTCCCAGTTCAGCGAGCTCCGACGGAAGTTCTAGCCCGACACAAACAGGTAAGCAGGAGAAAAATAATTATTTTATAATTCGAAGTAGTACAGAAGTCGAAGCCAGATCATTTAAATATGCACACAGTGATAATATAATTAGAAATATATTCGAGTGATTATCGAGTTGGGTGCATATTTTAGTATTTATTTTCCTCTCAATCGGCGCACACCGCAGTGAGTGTTTAATAAGGATTCAATTGTTAATAAACCAGGGCCGAGAATCTGAACTGCTTCTCCGAACGGACATTAGCAATCTTTAGCATGAGCAATAAAAAGAGTTTATCAAATTTTGAATTTTCAGTGAATCCGACACAACCCTTTGGTGTCCCATTTGGCTTTCTTCACCCAGCTCTTCTTTTGCATCAACAACAGCAAGCCCAACAGCAAGCTATGCTCTTGCAACAGCTCCAACTAAAACAACGACAGCAACAAGTAGCGGCGATGCAACACACCAAACTCGACCAAGAGATAAAACAAGAGCTCACTGCGAAGAGTAACAAGCGCGAAAAATCCGTCAACCGACTTTCCACAGGACCACCATCAGGTAAAACTTCGTTGATAAGCATCAGACCTTGTAAAGTCATGGGAGCGTGAATTGGTCACACTTTCGAGAGAATCTAGATCAGAACAATCTTTACAGAGCCATTTAGATTCATCGGAAGGTTCCGCATCTCCACCAGCGAAATCGCCTCCAAAATCGGACGACAACAAACCTACTCTTGTTTCTAACCTCAGAAGACATAAACGAGATCGTAAACCCCGAACTCCCTTTTCCAGCGAGCAGTTAGAACGACTTGAATCAAGATTCGCAGAGAAGCAGTACTTGACAATTCCAGAGCGAGCAGAATTCTCTAATGAGCTGAATCTCACTGAAACTCAGGTAAAATATTTTCGTAAAACAATTTTTAATTATTTTTCTAGGTTAAAATTTGGTTTCAAAATAGGCGAGCTAAGCAGAAACGACTCGCCGAGGCCGAAATTGAAAAGGTAAAATCCGACTTTGACGAAATTGAAAATAATTGCCAAATTCAGGTTCGCTACATGGTCGGAACTGCACAAGCACAAGCTCGACTCGGCCTTCTAGGCTCGCACTTTCCCGGTATCAGCTCACCGATGCCCTGAGAAGTCGCATTCCTAACTGAGTATTTGTTCCAATTTTGAGATCAATGGCATCTCATCTTTTCGCGATTTCATTCTTACAGTCACTTCTTTGCTTCAATCTTATTCCTTTTGTAAATTCTCATATATCTGTCTGAAACTAATAAAAGCTGTATATTGATCGTTTAATTTCGAGGTCTAAAGCTCAAAGAAAATTTCATTTATTGCGCAGCAGGAATGATTCTTTCTAGTTTTTTATTGATTCATAGCTTTGGCGATATTGAAATCAAGGAAGACTCAAGACACTTATATTTGAACGTATCACTTTGCTCATAAATCTACGCGTTTCTTCGTGCTTGGCATGTGAAAGAGGGTACCAGGTGGAGGAGGCGATAGTTGACACCTCATAATTTTTACAAATGTTAAAATTTGTTCGGATGTAGCATTTCGTCTAGCATATGAGACAGAACGCCTTAGAGATCAGCGAAAAAAGAGTAGAAAATGGTAGTGAAACAGCATGATCAGATGGACGAAATGAGCCAAGGAAATGTTCCGAATCGTATTATTTTCTTTTGATCCTTATAATTGGAAACACAGTAACAGTGACGGACCTCCTCTTCACTGCTCAAAGCTTGACGGAAAGGTTAAAATGCTCCTGCGCTATCGACATTATTGTAAATCAGTCACAGTTTGGCACCTGCATTGCTAGTTAATTTCCTGTGAACTTTGTGTCTGGGAAGCATCCGATAAAAATCGCGTATAAATTTCATTCCTTGAAAAATATCAAAGCGCAATCGAGAGAGCGTCTTCTGAAAATTGTGAGTTTGAGCGAGTTTCTCATTGCCTGTTCTTTTCCGAGTTGATTTCTGACAAATATTTGTGTACTCCTTCTGGTAAATGTCAAAATATTATACGTTTAGCGGGGCACGCGCGAGAAGAATATTTTCAAAATCAAGTTATTTTTTTTCACAGGGAACTGAATTCTAGTGCAGAGAAGAGAAAGAAAAGGGATGAGCAGCGTTTTACCCCCTCCAAAGAAAAATCTTAAGACCAGAAGAAAGGCGATAATAGCACTGGATGTCAAATCTACAATCAAGCGAGAAGGAACGGGTCTTATTTAGCGATGAATACTGTATTCAAGCTTAGTTAGTCCAAAAATGAGAATTAATTAATACCCTCTGAAGAAAAGAAGAAATCAGAGTCAGTATTTCTCCTCGGCGAGTTGAAAAAATGCGATTTACTGAGACCGCTTACTGATGACCAATTCAAGGAAATGGTCGCCGTGGCAAAACGTCGAGAAATTAAGAAGACAGAATTTATCATCAAAGAAGACGAAGACGGAAAGGAAATTTTCGTCTTGGAACAAGGGCGAATTGAAGTGTCGTATTACGATGAAGATGGTACGCGAAAAAAGCTCAAAGAAATCGATGCACCAGGCGCGGATGAATTTCAGTTTGCTTTCGCTCGTTGAACAAACTCCTATCAGTCATTATACAACTACCGCGGTAACGCGGGTAGAATCAATTAGAAAAGCTCAGCAGAAAAGTTTCTAAAAATGCTAAAAATTCATCACTCAAAGAAACTTTCGGGGAAATCGCGCTCGTCTTCGAGACCACGCGCACTGCGAATATCATTGCGGTTACAGACTGCACCTGCTGGACCGTCAACAGGGACGAGTTTGCTGCCATCATGACAAACAGCAATAAGCAGATTTATATCGACAGGTAGGACAGTATTCTTGACATTATGTGACCCAATTATTCAAGTACTGTGTGATCATTTGTGTAAACTCATGCTCGTTCTTAGATCGACGTTTTTGCGAAAAATCGAGTTTTTGAACCATCTCTCCGACTACGAAGTCGCCAAAATTGCCCATGTTGCTTGGGATGAGACATACAAAAAGGTAACAATTTTATTACATTGCCGATTTATGAATTACCTTTAGGGAGAATTCATTGTCAAAGAAAAAGAACAAGGCGATACTTTTTACATCATCAAAAAAGGCATCTGTAATGTCTACCAAAAATCTGGAAAGGAGCAAATTCTGATCAACCAGATGAACGTTTTTGACCATTTTGGAGAAAAAGCGCTCCGACAAGCAAATGAGACTCGAACTGCTTCGGTTCAAGCGGTTGAATCTGTTGTTGAGCTGCTCGTTTTTCACCGCGACGATGTTTTTAGGTACATAGGAGGAAAATTCTTGAGGCAATTTTTTCTAGGTTGATTGGAGATATAACAGATATTTATCCTGAACGACCGGTAGAGCGCATTGGAAACACGACTCTTCAAGACTATGTTCAAGAAGAACAGCTTTCGATAAAAGACTTCAAGGAGCTGAAAACTCTTGGAATCGGTGGATTCGGTCGCGTTGTATTAACTCAGCATCAAGGTTTAAAAAATAATCAACTATTTTTACTAACCGTTGTTGATTTAGGAAAGTTTTTCGCTCAGAAACAATTGCTGAAGGAAAAAGTCTCAGACCAGGAAATTGACTTGGAAAAAAGAATTATGAAGAATATCAAATCGAGCTTTATCGTCGAGCTTATTCATGCACTCGCTGACAGGAAAAGGCTGCAGCTATTCTCTAAATAATAACCGGAATGAAAATCTGAAAGCCTATGGAAGAGACTACCATTATCTTCTCATGGAACCGTGCATGGGTGGCGAGCTGATGACGTTGCTTCAGACTAAAAAACACCTTCCGGAATCATGGACTCGTTTTTACGGAGCCTGCACAATAAAAGCAATCCAGTTCCTCCACGAGAGGAAGATAGGAAAGGTCAATTAAGCTTTTAAATATTTAAATATGTGAAATTATTTGACCGCTGATACTAGTTTACCGTGATATTAAGCCTGAGAATCTTCTACTAGATTCGAAAGGTTATGCAAAGCTTACTGATTTCGGCCTGGCTAGGAATGTGTTCCAGACTGATTGTAATAAAATAGGTGACTGCCTTAATCGTTGTTAAAACGTTGCATCGGACTGCTTTAGTCGTCGCTAAAACGTTGCATGGGCTGCCTTAATCGTCGTCTGACTCATCTTGCCTTTTTCAATTTCAAGATAGGTAGGGGAAATCACTAATAATTGAGCTTTTTTTTGGGCTTAGTAGGGTGGGCATATAATACAGTTTTAGAAAGCCCAAAAGCTGGGGATCATCTTGACTATTGATAATTGGGGGTTTCAGAAGCATCACTGAGGAGAAATGTGTACTTTTTGCAAAAAGTACCAATTTTCGGTCGACTTCCCCAACTTCGGAGGTCTCTAGCGCCTCAGGAAGGGGGTAATCAGTACTTTTGACCCCTCCAAATGGCCGTCAGAGCCTAGGCTACAATCCTAGCTATGTCTCGGGCTCTGATAACCCGTTCTGGGCGGAGAAAATTCACGTGACCGAAAAAGGCCAGATTTTGGGACTTTGGAGGGCTCTTAATAACCTCAGGGTACGAGATCACCCCCAATTATCAATAGTCAAGATGATCCCCAGCTTTTGGGCTTTCTAAAACTGTATTATATGCCCACCCTACTAAGCCCAAAAAAAGCTCAATTATTAGTGATTTCCCCTAAAGATAGGTAGGCGCGCGCCAACCAGCGCTTTCAGAGTGTTTCTAGACTTTCCAGATTCTCCCAAGACGACGATTAAGGCAGCCCAATGCAACGTTTTAGCGACGACGATTAAGGCAGCCGATGCAACGTTTTAACGACGATTAAGGCAGTCTCCTATTTCAATTAAATTTATACATCCGGGGTGTATTTGATAACATTACTCGTAACACGTGATGAGAATTACAGAACCGGGGGAGAAGCGATGGACTGTCTGTGGCACACCTGAGTATATGGCGCCAGAGTTATTTCTGAAATCCGGGCATGACTTTGCTGTGGACTACTGGGCAATCGGAGTTTTACTTTACGAGTTGTGCCAGGTAAACTGTCATCGTTTGAGTAATTTTTGATGATTTCTCAGGGTGAACCGCCATTCAACGATCCAAAAGAAGTCATCAAGGGCATCAAACATGCAAAGTTCCCAGTGAAGATAACTCCCGGCGGAAAAAGTATCATCCAGTCATTCGCAAAGCAGCAAGCGTCTTTGCGGCTTGGCAATTTCAAGAATGGATTCCAAGACATTTTCAAACACTGTTGGTATTCTTCATTTAGTTGGGAAAAGCTCGAAAGTCGAACAATGACAGGTAAGAGTTCCGGATTTTAATTTTATTAATGAGCTGTTCTAGCTCCCTGGAGACCGAGTCTCGACCATGAAACGGACACCAGATACTTTTCTTCGCAATGACTGTAAATTTTTGATTCTTCATTTAAATACTGCAGATAAAATTTGAAAAAATACATTTATTTTTTCATATGAGGAATTGTCTTGTTGCTGTGACAGCAATGCTGTCGGGATGTTTTTGCTGAAGATAGAACTCTTCGGGTTGACCAAGTTGGTTTATAAGGAGGCTAGAACCAGCTACTTCCGCTTAGCGTCATACCGCGTAGAATAAACCAGTTCTCGTCCGATCACTGAAGTCAAACTACTACGGGCGGGGTTAGTACTTACATGGGTGACCGGTTGGGAATACCTCGTGCGCTAAGCATTTTACTTTTTTGAAACGCTGACTATTCTTTTTTTCGAGGATACATTCAGCCTCTGAATTTCAGAGTCGTGTTGTTGAAGAATCAACTCATCAGTAATCGAAAAAAGTCACCATGTTTGAGTAAAGCAAGTATTGAGCGTTGTGCTTGCGTGGCGGGCGGCGTGGCACTTGTGAAAAAGCGCCCTCTACCGCGCGCTTTTCTGAAAAGAGGCCGAAAATAGGAGCGTGCAGCGACAAAACGACCTCGAAATCAAGCAGCCCTTCTCTGTACTCATCCCATTTTTGAGTCCGATTTCGATTGTCTAACAGGTAAGAATCGTCTCCATGCCCTCTCTCTCCTATCCCTCTCGCCTCTTACAACTTCTTGAAAGAAAACCATCCCGCAGCCAAGCGGCCTGACACCTTTTTAGGCTGTGTTGACGTGCTTTTTAGGTTGTGCAATTTATTTCACCCACTTCCTCACTTTTAGACCCAGAATACGATCCATATTTGAAATCAGTGGAGAAAATCTAGAAACTTGACCGTTTTAGTTTTCGAAATTCACTTCCGGTTACGATTCTAGAGCCGGAAGTAGGCGAAATTTCGGAGTCATGGTAAAGTGTGACCTATCAAATTGATGCGCAGAAAATTCTCAGTCATCTCATCATCAATTAATTTGAAGAAACAGTCCCAAACGCAGTTAAACTGACCGGTAAAATTATGAAAAAAGCAGGATTTAATGAGAAATTTTTCTATTTTCACCGGTATTTTACCGGCGGTTTTTGACCGCGGTTTGACTCGGTTCCGATTACTTATAACTGGACATGTTGTAAGCTTCAATTTGATAGGTCATATGCACGTTTTTCATATAAATTTCGTGATCTTCCGGCTCTAGAATCGTAACCGGAAGTGAATTTCGAAAACTAAAACGGTCAAGTTTCTAGATATTTTTACTGATTCCAAATATGTATGGTGTTCTGGGTCTTAAAATGAGGTAGTGGGTGAAATAAATTGCACAACCTTAAAAAGCACGTCGTTATCTTTCTAGCCCGCTTCATTCTTATCGGTCTTCACGGTATAAATACTGTAACACGATACCTTTATGGAATCAGCGAGAAAAAGAATCGAGGTCACAATTATCCAAACTCCTAAATTTTCTCCGCTTCCGCCTCTAGAATCCGACCGGAAGTAGAATTTTCGAAAAATAAAACGGTCCTTAGAATTTCTTCTAAGAGGCAGAAGCCTGTAACTACAGTATTTATACCGTGAAGACCGATAAGAATGAAGCGGGCTAGAAAGATAACACAGACGCGCTTTTTTAAGGTTGGGCAAGTTATTTCACCCACTTCTTGATTTTAAACCCTGGAACACCATACATATTCGGAATCAGCAGGAAATTTTAAGAACTTTGACCGTTTTAGTTTCCAAAATTTCCACTTCCGGTCCGATTCTAGAGCCGGAAGTTGACAAAATTTTGAGTTTGGCCAACTTGTGACCTATCAAATTGATGCTCAGAAAATTTTGAGTAAACTCATCTTAAAATCATTCAAAGAAACCGTTCCAACCGCAGTAAAACCGACCGGCAAAACTAGGAAAAAGGCATAAATTTCTGATTTTTCTTTCAGTTTTTAGCGGTTGATTTGACCGCGGCCGGCATTGATTCTTCTCTCAGATGATAGGAAATCTTCTGAGAATCAATTTGATAGGTCACAAGTTGGCCAAACTCAAAAATTTCGTCAACTTCCGGCTCTAGAATCGGACCGGAAGTGGAAAATTTGGAAACTAAAACGGTCAAAGTTCTTAAAATTTCCTGCTGATTCCAAATATGTATGGTGTTCCAGGGTCTAAAATAAAGAAGTGGGTGAAATAACTTGCCCAACCTTAAAAATAGCGCGTCACAGCCTAAAAAAAGGTGTCAGGCCGCTTGGCTGCGGGATGGTTTTCTTTCAAGAAGTTGTAAGAGGCGAGAGGGATAGGAGAGAGAGGGCATGGAGACGATTCTTACCTGTTAGACAATCGAAATCGGACTCAAAAATGGGATGAGTACAGAGAAGGGCTGCTTGATTTCGAGGTCGTTTTGTCGCTGCACGCTCCTATTTTCGGCCTCTTTTCAGAAAAGCGCGCGGTAGAGGGCGCTTTTTCACAAGTGCCACGCCGCCCGCCACGCAAGCACAACGCTCAATACTTGCTTTACTCAAACATGGTGACTTTTTTTCGATTACTGATGAGTTGATTCTTCAACAACACGACTCTGAAATTCAGAGGCTGAATGTATCCTCGAAAAAAAGAATAGTCAGCGTTTCAAAAAAGTAAAATGCTTAGCGCACGAGGTATTCCCAACCGGTCACCCATGTAAGTACTAACCCCGCCCGTCGTAGTTTGACTTCAGTGATCGGACGAGAACTGGTTTATTCTACGCGGTATGACGCTAAGCGGAAGTTGCTGGTTCTAGCCTCGTTATAAACCAACTTGGTCAACCCGAAGAGTTCTATCTTCAGCCAAAACATCCCAACAGCATTGCTGTCACAGCAACCAGACAATTCCTCCTGCGATAATCTGATAGAAAATAAAAAATTCCAAGATGAACATGTAAGCTTAGCCGGATATGCTTTGTGCAGTTTATTGAAGTAAAGAATTGAACTTGCTACAGCTTAGTAAAAACCTTGCGGTCCCGGGCCCATATTAAAAGGCGGTACATTATTGAACTGCATATTGTCGTATTGCTCCGGTCCAGGTCCGTGTTGTCCTGGATGAGGTCCTGGAGGACCTTGCATATGAGGAGGAATCTGCTGTCCAGGGGGGCCGAAACCGTTCGGCATCTGTCCTTGAGGAGGGCCTTCCATAAATTGAGGTTGGTTGAAGTTTTGACTGAAGAAAGAAAGTTAGTACTCGATCTTTTCTTTTGAGCTTACATTTGACCAGGATCTGCAAATCCACCTTGGTAGCTGCCTTGTCTCTGGTGCGGATTGTTCATTTGAGGAGGAGGAGGTTGAATGTGTTGTGGCGGCATGTTTGACATCTGATTGTGTTGTGGAGGCGGCATGCCTTGAGATCCAACGAAAGAGCCCACATGGCTGCCTGGATACGAGGGTCTTGGGACGTCATAAGTCGAGTCTGGAGGCGTTGCGATCGCTGGCGAGAACTGATGTGATGGCCTGACCATATCGTAGTTTCCCTGAGTCATCATTTGCTGTAGCATCATCTGTTGATTAAACCTTAATTTTCTAATAACAAAAAATAATAAAAATAGTGACGTACCCTTCCAGATTCATGCTAGGCGTCCTCTGAACGCTGCTGTTCGGCGGCATCATCATCATTTGTGACCCCGTCATTGATCCAGCAATCGAAGCGTGTCGCACGATTCCGGAACTGTTCATTTGATTCAAGGCACTTGCGGTTGGTAGATTAGTAGAGCGCATACTCAGCGAGCTCTGAAGACCCATTCTGTTCATACTGGGGGCTTGCCCTTTTTCGTATTTAGAAACTTTGCGCAAAATACTCTTCGGCTCGTTTTCTTGGGCTTTTTCAAATGTCTGAGCGACTTCTGCATCCAAATCATCTTCATTATCTTCGCCAGATTCAGACTCAACTTGAGAAGGCTTTGCAATGTCATCATCATCATCTTCATCGCTTGAGCTAGAGCCGTTTTCTGACTCGTTTTCAACTGGGATCGGTTCTTGATTTTCCTGGTCTATTGTCAAAGCGTTCATCATTGCTCTCCGTTCAGCTCTCTGTCGGGCGAATTCGGCCTCACGGGCTTCGCGCTCGCGCTCTAGTTGAGCCAACTGCTCAACCTTTTCTTGCTCAGCTCGTTCGTTCCTTGCATGGCGCTGGACAGCTTCAAGGTGTTTTCGTTGACGCTCTCTCTTTTTCTTGTGGATAACGCAGACGATACATAGAACGAGCGCCAAGAGTATGATAAATCCAGCAGCGCAGCCAGCAATCACAAAGGGGAGCAAACTTGAAGTTTCCTGGATATCATCGATGCATTTGAAGATAGATGTTGTTCCAACACTGATTGTTGTTTTTCCTGCAGGACAACTAAAGCACTTGGACGTACCAGGAATCTCTTGATATTCTCCGATTCTGCAAAGCTCACACTCATTTCCATATAATCGTGATCCTTTTGGACACTTCAAACATCCATCTTTCACGACTTTATGGCCATCATCGCAAATGAGCTGTCCTAGAATTGGAGACGAACTGTACGCACTGTAGCTAGGAAGCTCTTCCGCTTTTTGAGCGATGTATTCCTCCTGGTCAGAGCCAGTTAGTGTCAAAGAACCTTCTACCGCTGCGACTCTTATATCTTCTAGAACAAGATCGAGATACGACAAAACGGTAGCTGTAGTCTTCATGTTCTCAGTTTCCTCGATTTCGACGGTGATGTTGAGCCTGATCTTTTCTTCATTCTCGCATTCTATTTGCAAAAATGACTCTGGTCTTTCACAGAAGCCTGCTCGAGCTTTTGTCTCACATCGAGGTTGATTTTGAATCTGTGGTTTCATAACTGCAATCGAACTTTTGTAAAAGCTTGGATCAGGAATGCAAGGCGCATCGTATGTAAGTTGGATTGTTTTGGACGCACCGGCGATCGCTGGTTTTTGGCATACGTTCGCATCAAGAGCGGGCAGCCAAATGTGCTCCTCATGTTGCAGTGACGTAAAATTGCATGTCATTTGAGGGAGATAAAGAGCATTCTCGTATCCGTCGCTGCAGAAGACTTGGCAGTGCTGAACGAAATTGTCAGCATCAGTCTGGCACATCAATTCGGAATTCGGAGGTTTCGGAGGATATCCACACCCCATTTTCGGCCGCTCTTGTTTGACCATCACTTCAAAGCCGCACGTTGCCGAATTTCCAAATTGATCCGTAGCCGTGATCAGAATCTCATGAATACCGATGGGGAAGAAACCAGGTTCATGGCTCATCGTTATGTTCAAATTCGAAGCACCCAAGTTGTCTTTGAACTCTGGCATCGGCCACTCAACATAAGAGGTCAAGTCTTTTCTGAAGCTAGAAATGACCATCTCGTTTGGGCAGAAAACCAGTCTCGGAGGCTCTGTATCAATAATATCCACGAGAAATCCGCATTTAACGGTATCATTGGTGATCGAATCATACGCTTCGAATTCAACCATTTGTTGTTTTCCAGCTCTCAATTTCTTTGGAGTAGACTTAGATCTTACGACATCAAGATCGACTCCGCCAGAATTTGCAGTGAGATTGAACCTCGTATTGTCAATAGTCGAAAACGTATAGCCTCCATCTAACTGTAGCTCAATGCCGTTGTCAGTATACTCCGGACAATTCGCGAATTCCGCCACAATCTCTGGAAGTGTCTCAGTGGTAGTCCCAGTAGTAGTCGTTGGCGTTGTTGGCGTTGTTACTGTCACTGTAGACGTCGTTGTTGTCGAGTTTGTCACGGAAGTGACTGGTGGTTTATCCTCTATTATTTCATAATCGTAATTACTTATGTCGTAGTCGTATTCGGAATCCGTCTCATTGAAGTTGTCAACGTATGAATCAAAATCAGACTCATCAATAATAATCGCCGTTGTTGTCGTTGCAGCGGATGTTGTTGGCGTGATTTCTGTTGATGCTGCATATTCGTCGAGATAAGACTCAAGGTCCCCATACTCGCCAATTTCACCGCGAGTAGCAACACAAGTTTCATAATTTGCTGCCAAGTAAAGGTTGTCGGGACATTTACAGTCGTATCCATCATCGGCAGGCAGACAAATATGAGAGCATTTTATATCATTTGTCATGCAAATACCATTGTCCGCAACAGCTAAACCACTGTTGAAGAAAAGTTGCGTTGGCCGGATCAGATTTTTGATAAGAGTGTTGCCTTGAGAGACATCACGGCTGAAAGTGTGTACACTTTGCGTTTCCCAGTCGGAAAAATAGTTATTGCTTCCATCAGTGGCAATGGAGAATAAATGACCCGCTTCTATAAAGCTCGAGGAATGAATAGGGGCAAAATCTGCCGATGTGTAGCTCTCCATTTCTACAGTTTTTGCATCGCCAAGAACAATTTCTTGTGATAAACTGTCGAAGACAATTGACGCTGGATAGTGCGACTTTGGCACTACTTGTTTCTTGTCCGATCCATTAAAGTCCATTTCCCAAATACCAGACTGCTTTCCCATTTCTGTCCAGAAGATTTTACCAGTCGTTGCGTCTAGTGCCACTCCCATTGGAAACTCTCGTTGAGCAGCTGCTGTTGCATGGAAAATCGCGCCAGGTCGAAGGGAAAGAATTTCAATGCTACCTCGTCCACTATCAGTCCAAACAAGGAGCCGATTTTCGACATCGAATGTGAGTGCATTTATTTCACCGATATTTTCAATATATGGCATAACTTCATACTCCAGGGTTCGATCTCTATCTTTGATGCTTTCTGGTGGCGTTACAAAGAACTTTCTCCTCGCAATATGCTTAATTCCATTATCTGACCAGTAAACATAATTTTCGATGGGATCGTAAACAACACCGGCAATATTGGAAAACATATTCGGAGACTCATAAAGAATGACAGGTCCAGGAGTTTGATCTGGATATCCATCTTCCAGAGTTTGTAGAAGAATTCGATTCATGTCGGCAACAAGAAGAAATCTTTCAGGCGTCTTACATTGAACACCGTCGGTTCCGATAACAAGTCCAGTGTTTTTGGGACAACTGCAGTAGTATTCTCGGGCCGAAGTCTTGTCGGGAACACAAATATGTGAGCATAGATTCTTGAGACAAGGGCTGTTCTTCACATTCGCCGAGACACGGTCGACAAAGAATATTCCCGTCGGTTTCGACAAATTCAGTTTCAATTTTAAAATCACAGAATCTCTTCCAAAAGTAGTTGGGTCGATTTCGACGATTCCTCCGAGTTCCCAATCAGTGAACCAGCTCATATCTCCATAGCCAGTTACACCGAATGGTAATCTGATTCGCTCAGGTGGAATAGAGTAACTGTCATGTTCATAAATATTCTTTTCTGGACTGTAAATCCAAGTCACACTGGGAGGATCTACATATGCATATCCATCTTCGCCAGAATATTGAGCATCGGCAAGCAATATCTTTTGGTGCCTTCGGACAAGATAACAGCGAGGCCATTTGGGTTTTTCAATCGAAGGTCCTTCATTTCATTAATCGCGGAGATTTCAGTTAAATCCCTTCCTTGATAATCACACCGGTAGATTGCTGGTTTTTCTCCCCAATCAGTAAAATAAATGACTGTTTCAGACGGATCAACAGCAATTGCTCTCGGATATTGAAGCCCCCAAGAACCGATGAGAACTCTGTCATAGTTTGCAAGCGAAAGTGACTCGATTCTTGCTTGTGATTTGTTATGTTTGGTGGTCGATCCCATCGGCAGCACATTGGTGAAAAATAATAAGCGGTTGTCAACGTCGATGGCGAGTCCATCAACAGTTCCAATAAGATCTTCCAGCACTGTTTCGTGGGTAACTTGTCCAAGCTTTTTCGATAAATGCGGTTGAATGCGACATCGGACCAATAAACATACTCGTCGACTGGATCATAGACGACTGCGGAAGGTCTTTCAGAAGTCGCAATAACGACACGATCATGGACATCATCAGGCTGAATTTGAACACCGCCGATAGCTTTAGGAATGAGACTGATTGTCCCTTCGTCCAAAGATGTCACCAGAAGAAATTGATCTGGAATAACGCACGTTTTTCCATCCGGTGCCAGGACAAGCCCTGAATTTGACGGGCAAAGGCAAACATAATCATCTTTTCCGATGTTCGCGCAGAGGTGTGAGCATCTATGTCGGACAGTTTTGTCGTTAGAATTTTGTTTTTCGCAAAATCTTATTCCTTGCTCACGTGGCGATTTTTGCATGTGCTTGTGAACGACTATCATCGAGAAGGGCCGCGGTGAGACTCCTCGGGATACTTGTGCGAGGTTTTTACTCTCTCGATTTACTGCGTAAACAGTCATGTCTCCTTGATACCAGGGAGCAAAGTACAGCTCATCGTTGTGGAGAGCGAGTCCGAATGCTGGAACGGGAGAGCCATCGACCTTGAACATGTGCTCGAAATTGAGAATAACTTTATGATTCTGTCCCCAATAGTCGATTTGTTCTATTGTCCGCTTTCCTCCGTCAATCCAAAAATCATCCCTAAAAATGACTTTTAGAAATGTAACATGTAACAAATGTTGAGACCGATGACTAGGTTTGTGAGGACTAGGTTCGTGGGACTAGGTTCGTGGGTGCCATGTTGGAAAAAATGGCTCGTGTGACTAGGTTCGTGGAATTTGGATTTTTATATGTATTTTTTTGTATCTTCACCATTTTGGGGCAGTAAAAGAAATGGGTTGATGACTAGGTTCGTAGGACTAGGTTCGTGAGTTTTAAATAGTAAAAATTTTGGGGCAGTAAGGGAAATGGGTTGATGACTAGGTTCCTGTGACTAGGTTCGTGAGTTTTGAAATAGTAAAAATTTTGGGGCAGTAAGGGAAAGGGGTTGATGACTAGGTTCGCGGGACTAGGTTCGTGAAGACTAGGTTCGTGAAGACTAAGTTCGTGGGACTAGGTTCGTGAAGACTAGGTTCGTGAGACTAGGTTCGTGGAATTCGGATTTTTATATGTATTTTTTGTATCTTCACCAACTCATTTGAACTCATTAGGGATATAAAATCCTACATTTTGCTTGTTCAAAAACCCACGAACCTAGTCCCTAAAACCCTTTTCTTGTCAAATATATACCATTTAAAAATTCACGAACCTAGTCCCACAAACCTAGTCATCAACCCATTTCCTTTACTGACCGAAAATCTTTACCATTTAAAAACTCACGAACCTAGTCTCACGATCCTAGTCATCAACCCATTCCCCTTACTGCCCCAAAATTTTTACTATTTAAAAACTCACGAACATAGTCCCACGAACCTAGTCATCAACCCATTTCCCTTACTGCCCCAAAATAAAGGCCAATTTCAATACTCTGGCAGAACCCAACACGAACCTAGTCCCACGAACCTAGTCCTCACGAGCTTAGTCGTCATTCCCCAAATGTTTTAACCTTTTCAAATCCCTCGACCCAAAACAAGTTCACGTAAAAAGGAAAGCCGCACGTGAAAGGGTAACTTACCATTTGTTGTGATTTGAGATCCGTCCGGTAATGTGTTGTTGTTTTCTTGATAGGGATCGATGACAATTTGATTAGGCCAGATACCGTCTGCATAAAGTGTTTCAAACTTCGATTCTTCGGACAAATACGGGTGCATTCCGTTCATCGTTGCGAAGTTAATCGTTCCGTCCGTATGATCGGACCAGACAAGCGAGCCAGCGATCGGATCCACTGCGAGAGATCGAGGATCGTGGAGACCAGAAATGAGTCTCACTCGATTTCGCCCGAACTGATCTGCCATGAAGATGGCCCCGTGCTGAGCATCTGCCCAGTAGACATTCTTCGAAAGCCAATCGATAGCGACTCCATTTGGTTCATATATATCGTCGGAGATAAATCTAGTAGCACGGGAGGAGCAATCAAGGGCAGTGACGTAAATTCCAACGTGGCCGTTGACGACATCCGTAAAATACATTTTGTTGTCGTTGAGATCTGCTGCAATACCAACCGCAGTCCCCGGAATATTGTTGATGCAGTCTTTACGGTAAACGTCTCCTTCGAAAAGAGCGATTCTATGAATTTGCGGCCCATCAGCAATGACGAGAAAGGCTGCTTCATTTGTGTACCCACAAGAGTACTGCCCATTTCCTCCATTCAAACACTCGCATCTCTGTATTTTCCCGCCGATCTCTTTTGTCCAAGAAGTCCCTTGGAGATATCTGCTTCCCGAATCGTCAACGCAGACACTCAATGTATTGATGCTCTGACTCTGGCATAATATCGTTTTTAACAAAAATAAGAATAAAATCATTTTCTCATAGTTTTATCAATCACTCATTTTTTTCAAAAGCAGATTCAAAAATGAGAATGAAAAAAATGGGACTGAGCGCGCTGATAATAGAACATTGCCGCGGGCGATTGCTATCAGAATAAAAACTTTTAAAAGGACCGAAATTTATCGATTTATTGGTTCCGGAAACGGGATTAGGATGTTCTCATCACTTCGTTTGCACGTTGAAATCTAAATTAACCACTATTATCGACGAAATTGATGAGAAGAAACCAGTAAAAAGCGCCAATAACCTGGCGCTGCGACATGAATGAGCGCCAATAGAATCTGGTGGAGTACCTCGCCGCGGGAGATCAGCGCGCCGCGCCGCAGCGGGATACGGCGCATAAAAATCGGGAAAATTCTTAGCAGAAAAAATGCAGTAAAAATAAGATTTGGGTATTTATTCTTCATTTTGAACAAAATTGACAGGTACAATTCTTTCACACTTCCTGTCAGCGGTAAATGTAAGATTTGAGCCGTTGAACTTCGAGAAAAGTTATTCAAAATCAACAGTTTTTGCTACCATTAGAATTTTCTTCTAGTTGTGCGTTGACTCGATCTTCATTCCATCCATATTCTAGGTTAATTTTGTTAATCCCGATCTGTGAAGCTCTCTCTTTGACTCGTCCTTAACTTCTCAATACACGGGCGCGCGACTAAGCGCTCAAAACACGGGGTCGGCAAAACCGACCACAAAGCATTATTCAGCCCGCGCGGCGCGCTAAATCCGGAGTGTGAAAAATAACGTCGACTATTTTGATCCCTCATTCATATTTCCGTCGAGGTAATAAGTTCAAAACTATACTGTTAGAAAGCTTAAACACTCAGCTATTTACTCATGTTATTATCAAGGAGAAAAAACCTGCCAATTTTTCGATAATGAGCTCGAAAGAGATCTGGTGCAAAGCGCCATCCCTCTTGAAAAATTTCACGAAACTTCGCAGAGTGGTTCGGTTTGTTCATATGAGTGCACATTGCAAAAATTAGGTCAAACGGATTACCACATTTGAAGTAATTGAAGGCCAAAGCCGCCGTGGTCGGTTTTACCGACCACGTGTATTGAGAAGTTAAGGACTAAAGTAACCAAGAGATCTTCATTTTTCGGTCAACTTAAGCTGGCCACGTTGTTGGGTCGAGGTTATCTTCCTAAATGGAGCAGGGCTTGGATTGACGGACGCGGCACTTGCGCTGGACTGGCCAACGAAGTCGAGGGAAAATGGAAATCGGGAGATCTTGATCATTGGTCTAAATCTCTGAGGAAGATTTTTTAGTCTGAATGACTTTATTGCAACGATTTTATTAAATACTCTTGAAAATGATCCGTAGCAAACCATATTTCGTAGGAAACACCTAATCTAACATGTTCAATAATAAAAAAGTAATATAAAAACTTTCTATATAACAGCAATAGAACTAGCCCCCTTCGCTTAGCGTCATACCGCGTAGAATAAACCAGTTCTCGTCCGATCACTGAAGTCAAACTACGACGGGTGGGGTTAGTACTTACATGGGTGACCGGTTGGGAATACCTCGTGCGCTAAGCATTTTGACTTTTGCGCCAAACATGGATTATCCTTTTTCCTGCGGGATCATTTTTACATTCTATTGATTATCACACGAGCTATCAGACTTTGAAAAAGTAATCACGTTTGTTCCAGCCAAGCATTGAGAGCTTGGGTGGCGGGCGGCGTGGCACTTGGGAAAAAGCGCCCTTTACCGCGCGCCTTTCTGAAAAGAGGCCGAAAATAGGAGCGTGCAGCGACAAAACGACCTCGAAATCAAGCACCCCTCTTCTTCACTCATCCCATTTTTGAGTCCGATTTCAATTGTCTAACAGGTAAGAATCGTCTCCATGCCAACTCTCTCCTATCCCTCTCGCCTCATACGAACAAAAATTTCTTAGAAAGATGCCTCTTTACGTCAGTCATCTTTTGCGGATATCATTTATTCGTCCCTATCGACAAAACTGATTGGAACGGTAGTACCGAACTTTCTATCAGCAGTGAATAATAGGTTTTTTCCATCGAATTTGGAGGAGAGTGAATCAAAGTCAACTGTTTTTGGCACAGAAAGGGTTCTCTTCCAGTTGTGTGATGACTCGATCTTCACTCCTTCGACGATCTCTGATGTTTTTGATGAGCCAGAGATTTGTAGCTCTCTCTTTGACTCGTCTTTGGTGATTTTGAGGTCTTCTTTCTGTGTTGGAAGCGACGCTAGATCAACTCTTGCTGACCAGGTTGTAGGAGTGATCATTTCCTGCGAAATGGAGTAGGGCTGGAAGCGACGAGAACGGCATTTGCGCTGGATCGGACGCTCGAATTCGGGAGAAAAAGGAAATGCGGCGATTTTATCATCTTTTGCTTTTTTGAATCTCTTGGAAAGATTTCTTAGTTTGAATGTGCTCTTGCTGAAACAAGCCCATTTTATACCCTTGAAAACTTCAAGAACATTCGGCAAATCAAGTGTAGAATATTCCAGAATATAACAGAAAATTCCCGAAGAAATCGAACATTCCAGAAGATTGGAGAAGATAATCTTCTTAGTAGATTTTTCAGAAAGAAGATTCCAGAACATTCTAAACTGGAAATAGAACCTTCTGGAAGGAACGGCGACAGTCATCAGTGGCTATAAATAACGAGTGGGAGATAGCTTTCTCATCACACCAGAGATACAAAAACCAACGAAAATGTTTACTTTTTCCGACGAACACTTCGAACCCCTGATGAACCAGTTGTTTTCTGAGTTTGCCCATTCCGCCAACAAGCGAGGAGGATGCTGCCAAACTGCTGCGAAAACGAGCAAGTGGTGCAGCTGCATTAACCTTTCTTCACTCCCCACCAAGGCCGAGGAACTGCACGTGAAGGTGGACGAGAAGAGCCGCACTCTGACCGTCTCTGGAAAGTCTGAAACGGAGTCTACTCGACGAGACGGATTGAAGATCTTCTCAACTCACGTCTGGACAAAAGAAATTCGAATTCCAGAGGATGTGGAGCTGAAGACGATCGCGTCCAAGTTGCACGAGAATCAGCTCACTTTCGTTGCCGAACGAGTTCAGAAAGAAGAAGACAAGCAACAAGAAATTCCGATCGAGATCGTCGATACTCCTGCTCTTGACTGAGATAGTCGATCTTCGTTCAGTCCTTTCTTACCTGATTTTACGGAAAACACATAGATACAGTATCAACCTGCAATAAACATAATTCTGATTCGAAAATTTGCTATATATACCGGATAGAACCAGCCTCCTTCGCTTAGCGTCATACCGCGTAGAATAAACCAGTTCTCGTCCGATCACTGAAGTCAAACTACGACGGGCGGGGTTAGTACTTACATGGGTGACCGGTTGGGAATACCTCGTGCGCTAAGCATTTTTGACTTTTTGAAACGGTGACTATTCTTTTTACGAGGAAACATTCGGAGTCGTATTGTCGAAGACTCAACTCATCAGTAATTGAAAAAGTCGCCATGTTTGCGTGAAGTAAGCATTGAGAGTTAAGCTTGCGTGGCGGGCGGCGTGGCAGATGTGAAAAAGCGCCCTCTACCGCGCGCTTTTCTGAAAAGAGGCCGAAAATAGGAGCGTGCAGCGACAAAACGACCTCGAAATCAAGCACCCTCTCTCTTTACTCATCCCATTTTTGAGTCCGATTTCGATTGTCTAACAGGTAAGAATCGTCTCCATGTCCTCTCTCTCTATCCCTCTCGCCTCTTACAAACAAAGACTCTACTCAAAAATTCTACTCCGGGTGGTGCTTCTTTTACCCCATGAGTCCATCTGGACCTCCAGTGGAAGTTTTCTAGCCCACTTCCGCCATACCGACCCTGTAACACCATACCTTTTCTGAATCAGCAGAAAATTTTACACACTTTGACCCTTTAAAATTCTAGAAATCTTCACTTCCGGTCGATTCTAGAGCCGGAAGTCATCGAAATTTTCGAATATATATAAAGTGTGACCCATCAAATTGATGCTCAGAAGATTCTGGATCATCTCATTATCGATTCATTCAAAGAAACAAATCCGCGGTCAAGCCGACCGTCAAAACTACAAAAAAGCATAAATTTATGAATTTTTTCAGTTTTTAGCGGTTGATTTGGTCGTGGCCGAGATTGATTCTTCTCTTAGATGATCCAGAATCTTCTGAGCATCAATTTGATGGGTCACACTTTATATATATTCGAAAATTTCGATGACTTCCGGCTCTAGAATCGACCGGAAGTGAAGATTTCTAGAATTTTAAAGGGTCAAAGTGTGTAAGATTTTCTGCTGATTCGGAAAAGGTATGGTGTTACAGGGTCGGTATGGCGGAAGTGGGCTAGAAAACTTCCACTGGAGGTCCAGATGGACTCATGGGGTTAAAAGAAGTAGAATTTTTTGAGTAGAGTCTTTGTTTGTAAGAGGCGAGAGGGATAGGAGAGAGAGGACATGGAGACGATTCTTACCTGTTAGACAATCGAAATCGGACTCAAAATGGGATGAGTAAAGAGAGAGGGTGCTTGATTTCGAGGTCGTTTTGTCGCTGCACGCTCCTATTTTCGGCCTCTTTTCAGAAAAGCGCGCGGTAGAGGGCGCTTTTTCACATCTGCCACGCCGCCCGCCACGCAAGCTCAACTCTCAATGCTTACTTCACGCAAACATGGCGACTTTTTTTCAATTACTGATGAGTTGAGTCTTCGACAATACGACTCCGAATGTTTCCTCGTAAAAAAGAATAGTCACCGTTTCAAAAAAGTCAAAAATGCTTAGCGCACGAGGTATTCCCAACCGGTCACCCATGTAAGTACTAACCCCGCCCGTCGTAGTTTGACTTCAGTGATCGGACGAGAACTGGTTTATTCTACGCGGTATGACGCTAAGCGAAAGAAGCTGGTTCTATTGCTGTTATATACAGTATGTTTCCAAATTTCCGGACTAATTTTGTCCCCAGATTTCCGAAAAATGTCCGGAAATTTGGCCTTCCTATAAAAAATAATGTCCCACCAAGCATCCTTAAAATTTTTTGAAATATGGTCACTTACCCGTGTAGAAGTCGTCTAAACGCAAAAAGACGACGACAAAGTGGGTTTGATAGGAGAACTCAAGGATAAACACAAGAAAGTCGATGTATTAAACCTTTTGTACCTTATTTCGAAGAAAAATATGAGCTACCGTCAATTTTTTTCTTAATTTGAAAAAAGTCCGGAAATTTAGGTCATCGTCAATTTGTTAGTGTCCCACTAAAACCCCTTAAAATCTGAAAGGTGTCCGGAAATTTGGACTCCGGAAATTTGGCAACAAACTGTAGAATGTTTTTGTAATACTTTAATAATTATTAAACACGTTAGATTAGGTGTTTCCTGGTTTGGTACGAAATATGGTTTGGACCGGATCATTAGGGTTAATCACTAATAATTGAACTTTTTTCAAGCTTAGCAGGGTGGGAGTATAAAACAGTTTTAGAATCCCCAGAAGCTGGGGATCATTTTGACTATGGATAGACTATCTCACTGTGAGGGTGATCTCGTACCCTGAGGGCATTTTGGTCCCCGGAAGTCCCAAAATCTGGGTAATTCTAGGAAATGTGAATTTTTGAGGGCGAAGATAAGCTTCTCTGATGAAGCGGTTTCAACAGATTGTAGCGCAGGTTCTGACGGTCATTTTGAGGTGTAGAAAAGTATGTCCTGGGGGGGTGTCTAGAAGGTGGTGGAGGTGGTACAAAGTTGGGGTCAAAGCCGGAAATCCAGTCAAAATGCATTCTAGCATGATTCAAATACAGTAACACCCAAGTTATAACTATAAATGCATAGAAGGTTACTTGGGGTAAAAATAAGGGTCATTCGGGGTCATCTGAGGTCAACTCTGGTGAACAGAAACATTATTTTGAAAAAACACTAACATGACCCCAGATGACCCCAAGTGACCCCAATTTGACCTCAAGTGATATTCTATGGATAAATAGTAATAACTTAAGTGTTACTGTATTTGAATCATGCTAGAATGCATTTTGACCGGATTTCCGGCTTTGACCCCAACTTTGTACCACCTCCACCACCTTCTAGACACCCCCGGGACATACTTTTCTGCACCTCGAAATGACCGTCAGAATCTGCGCTACAATCTGTAGAAACCGCTCCATCAGAGAAGCTTATCTTCGCCCCCAAAATTCACATTTCCGAGAAGTACCCAGATTTTGGGACTTCCGGCGAACTAAAATGCCCTAAGGGTACGAGATCACCTCTCACTATCAATAGTCAAAATGATCCCCAGCTTCTGGGGATTCTAAAACTGTATTATACTCCCACCCTACTTAGCTAGAAAAAGTCGTAAATATTAGTGATTTACCCTACGGATCATTTTCAAGAGTGTTTAATGAACTCGTCTCAATAAAGTCATTCAGACTAAGATAATCTTCCTCAGAGATCAGAACAAAGCAACCAATTATCAAAATCACCCGATTTCCATTTTCCCTCGACTTCGATCGGCCAGTCCAGCGCAAGTGCCGCGTCCGTTGATCCCAGCCCTGCTCCATTTAGGAAGATAACCTCAACCCAAAATAGTGGTCAGCTTTAGTTGACCTTGTTCTGCTGAGAACGAAAAAGAAGATGTCAAGGTGTTTTGTCCGATGTCGCGATGCACCACCAACGCTGCGCCATACCGGGGTTGATTTTTTCTCAATATGTCTCCGCCGGCGGCTAATTCGCTAAAAACTTTCCTGCGATATAGAACTTGTCGCCTTGATTTTCCAATTTGGCTCTATTAGTATTCTAAACAAACTCTTTTTATTCCTAAAAAATATGACAGATTTAATGTCGACGGTTTTCAACAGAAACAATTTTATAACTTTTATCTCGCTTTTATGTATAGTCATGTTTGTGATGCTGCAGAGAATTGAAAATCAATTACGAAGAGGAGAAGATGTGGATAAATATATCATCAAGGACTTTGAGGTAAATAAGGGATGATTAAGAAAGCATAAGTTCTCAATTTCGTGCAGGAAACCTAATTTAACGGAGCGCTGTTTAAATTAATTGAGAAGGTCAACTTGAAAACGAGCTTTTAGGATACCATAAAGAGACAAAATAGGCTAAAATCTTGAAGGGAAACTTGTGTCTTCTGAAGAAATCTTTCAAAAATAAAGAAAAAATTTTTCTCTATTTATAAAGCCGAGTCATTTTCAGAATACTATTCACATGAAACCTCCGGATGTCCGAGGCCAAAATGCTCTTCCCGGGCTCGCGCGACGTTTTCCAAAAGTGATCATCACCGGGATGCAAAAATGCGGAACTGGAGCATTAAAAGACGCGATGACCCGTTCTCCATATTTGGCCTGGTCTGCGCACGGAGAGTCACACTTCTTCGATCGACAGCAAAACTACAACCAGGGCTATCAATTCTACCTCGATCTGCAGCCAGAAGTCGGGCCCGAAGTCACCGTTTTCGACAAGACGCCTTCACTCTTGACGGATTCTACAATTCCTCCTCGCGTTTACGCCTACAATCCAAATGTCAAAATCATCGTGATTCTTTGCGAGCCAGCCCATCGAACACTTTCGCATTATCTTCATGCGAAAGCGATGATGAAAAGTCAAGAGGAAGAAAATCACAATCGTCACTTCAACCACGACAGGTAAGCAAAAACGACAGATATCTATTTTAGCGATTTTCAATTTTCGACCAAAAAGATATGATTTAAAAAAAAATAAATAATTTTTATGATTTTGCTATAATAGAAATGCCATCTTCAGAATGCACTTGATGAATTCCGACAGCTTTGAAGAGGTGATCGACTCTGCAATCAGCGAAATATTCGAAAACGAAGAATTCGTCAGATCAGCCGTTTTCGATATGAAAAACGAATTCCGAGCTCACCAAGCTACGCGTGCTGCGTTTTACAGGTAGATCAACCCAAGAACCTCCTGAATCTACTCGCTTTTATTTTTTTAGATATGTGGCAAATCCAGCGAATTTCGAGCGAATTCAGTCAATTCCTATCCAGCTTGTCCAACGCGGCTTATACGGATATTATCTCAACCAGTGGTACAATCTGTTTCCCAAAGAGAACATTCTGGTGATCTCTTCAACTGACATGAGCCAAAGACCCGCGAAAACAATTCAAGCTGTCCAAGAGTTCGTCGGTGTTCCGCAAACCATCGACGCGAGCAATTTCTACTGGAACAATGGTAAGACACAATTCTTTTTTCTCTCTATTCAATATATATTCAAGAGACGCAGCACTTTTGCGTGATGGGGCCAGAAGAAACGGAGCCGCATTGCTCTCGCCCCAGCAAGCACAGATCCGGAAACTTTGAAATAAATCCAAGGACGAAAATCTTGCTCAACAGACTTTACCAATCAGGTATATAGTTTTGCATTTCTTACATTTTCAACCCTTTTTTCAGTGTATCAAGACCTAGTAGACCTCGTCGGCCGCGATTTATTCGCCGATTGGGGCTACGAATAACAAAAAAAAAGAAAAAAATGATGAAACTCAAAAGTGTAAAAATCTCCACCACAGCCATCGTTCACAAAAGACACAAACCTTCTTCAAAGTTTGACTCAACCTAAAAAAATATTACGAATAAAAAAACTTTACTCATTCAATAAAGAACTGTACAAAGCCTTTCTGTCGTAGTCAAAATATATTTATCAATCTTTTCCACAAATTTTAATTGAAATAAATGTCCAACAAGAAATTGCGTAAAATTGGAGTATGAATAAAAAATCTAAGCCATATGGGAACGAGTCCCTTTGGGATACATTTGTGACATCGCTAATCTACTCGCTGTCGCACGATTGCCTTCTGGATTAAACAATGTGTCACTGAGGAGATAATGTTCACGGGTATTTTTTGAGACGAGAGAATAAAGAAAAGTGCACATTCTTTACCGAAAAGGTAGGATCTGTTGATTCTATGAAGGATAAAGTATCGCCAGCCTATATTTTTCCATTTTAAAATTGAAGTTGAAATTAGTGACGATTCATTTTCGTCTATTAGAAAAATCCGTTCATTTTCAATTTTTTGTAGCATAGACAGTATCGCATAGAGTGAATATAAAAATAAGATCGCCACGTGCAAGAAAAAGAAGAGCCCTCTCGCTCGCCACTTGCAGAAGGTGCCTAACCATCACCTGTACGGATAGTGATCAGCACTTGATCAAAAATAAATGAGGACTGTGCTCTCCACGAAATAATTCATTTCCTTCAACTTCTTCCCTCGCGCCGATCTCCACGGGTTCTTTTGATCGACTCGGGTCTTTCAGCTAATCGCTCGAATTCTTTTATGGAGAGAAACGCCAAGCTAGGAAATCAGAAGGCCACGATCAAATACTTGAAGAATTTGATTCAAGAAGAGCACGTGAGAATAATTGTTGAAGAACGGCTGTGAAAACAAATTTAGAATACTGTTAAATGCATCGCATCTATACTTGAAGACTTGAACACAAAACTGGGATCTAAGCTGATGGAAACAACAGGGACAGAGACAGAAGTCGATTTGGTCATTGAAGATTGCATTACTCAGGTACCTTTTTTCTTCACTATATACAGAGTCTTTCCTGAATAAACGAATAATATAAGGCCAACTTGATTTTAAGGAGCGTGAACTTCAATTTGCCAAGAGGCGATATCAATTTCTTCAAATGTTCGCCAAAACCATCGAAGATGGGAATCAAGAAGCACTTACTTCATGTTCTCCTTTGTCTTCCAACAAATCTGTGTGACGATTAAATGAACTTATCGACCGAGAAGTAGACATTGAAAATGGGCTTGATATTTATTGCATATTTAACTGTCTTTGGCATGGATTTTATAATCATCTCCGAGAATGTCGAATAGACATCGACATTAATAATATCGTATTATTGGTACAGGTCGACATCTAGTCATCATTCAAGATTCTCGGTAAATGGAATTACAGTCAGGTCTTTTTTTAATAATTGTTGTACTGTGGCTGATAGCCAGCACCAGCTCGGAGTTGTTTGATGAAAATGCAGGAGAAGATAATTCCGAAGATCTGAAAAGAATTCTTTAACTATCGATAATTTTTGACAGGTGCTGTCAGTCGCAGGGAGAATCGAGCGCTTACCTGAATGACACCCATGGTCACTCCTGTGCCAATAATCAATCCTGCATTGTCTTGAACAGATTCTTGGAAGATTACTTTGCATCCTTTTTCGTGTTTTTCTTCGACCATATCTTTGCTGCAGAGTTTTTCCGCGTTTTCTTCATCGTGTTTGTCTAGTCCGCAGCAAGAAAGGGGGAAATGCTTCTCAGGATCGCCCTTTGATTTGCTCTAGAAACACTATTATTCCCTAGAATGCCCTCTAACAACCACTTACCCATTCAGACTTTTCCCAATCGTTGAGGTCGGTGTTGCCACAGCATTTGAACATGATTTGAATCGTGTCTACGGAAATTAAAGCATTTAATTAGATTTAAGACTTTTATTGCCAATCAATGCGCCAGGAAAACAAAATTTACAGCTCATAAAGCTACAGTTAATTTTCCTGAATTACAGGAGCTCCTTCTTACCGATCATGTTGGATTCTTTAAAGTCAGTGTCGTTGTAGTCAACGATTAATTGGTCGAATGCATCGGAAATTTTTTGGTCCGCGTTTTCGTCGAGTTTTCGCCAGCTGGCAATTCCACCCGCTGCGGAGAATTCAGTTATGCAAGCGATGAAAAGTAAAACAGCAAAAGTTCCAATTAAACAGGGACCTTCTTTCGTTGCTCCCAAGCAGCCGAAAATCGTGATAATGACAATGATCACTCCTGAGAGCATCAGTAACGTCGGCGCAGATGAAAATGCTGATGCGACGCTGGCGAGTGTTCTATCCGACTAGAATTCATTTGTAAGGTAATTGGTAAAAGATTCAATTTTTTAGCTTAGACGGAAAAGTCTGCACGAAAATCCAATTGATGATCTCTTCAAAACAAGGCTTATCGGAAAAACGCCAATTAGCAACAATTAATGAACCCGATTTTCCTTCAATTCGTAATGTCAGTTGAAGACGCAATTGTCTTTACCTGGTGATTTGCCACAAAATGCATCGGAATGCTGAATTTAACACTGACAGCGACGCCCGTGCAGATCATGGCAATGCCGCTTATCAGCAAAACCAAATTGAAAAGCAGCAACAAGTATTTGATTATTTTTCCACATGCACTTAGCTCTGACATTTTTCTCTATAAATTGACCTCCTTCTGAAAATTAGGTTCTCAGGCAAAACGAAACCACGAATGATTGGGTTCTGTGTTTTCCTCTCTTTTCTACGGCCGCGGGGCAAATTTCCCTTCTATTTTTTTCTTGTCAAAATATCGAATCTTTTATCAGAAGGCATTTCATTTGACGACATATGATATATCGTGTCTTTTTTTTTTATTTCCAAAAATACTTCAGTCTTATCAGAAGAAACGAAGTTATGGTATCACTCTTGCATGTAGAAGAACGAGTAGTAGTCGTCGAATTTGTATGCTTCTAACAAAGGGGAGGAGCATTTATATTTATCAAAAATAAAATCTAACTTCTTTGAAAATTTAGAAAGCGGGTGAGCAAATGTCTCAAACCCAAGCCTACAATATCATCGTCATAATATGCTGCTTGAATATCGTTAGAAATTCCTGAAAAGCTGCTTGAACTATCCTCGCCGCTACTCGATCCAAGACATTCTCCAATTTCCCAAGGAAAGAAATTGCCCACTACGAGAATCATAAATTCTATCGATAGTCGTTAAGCCTTACTCGTCTCCATATCTTCCTCAGCCTCGACCATTGCGTTTTCGTTGTCCATTCCTATCCGATCACAATCGCTGCCAACGTCTGCTGCGATGTCGTAATCTTCATCGCCGCCTCCGCCAACGCTTTCATTGTCGGAGGAATATCCGTCGCTTGCATCGTCGCCAGAAATACGAGTTGTTTATTTTTTACGATTTCTCAGACAGGGCTCAGTAAAGCTCAATTGAAGCATAACTTCAATCGACGAAGATAAGAAGGAGAAAAGTCTATTTTTACAACTCTGCCGAAAGTAACATCACAGTCGTCAATGTCATAATCATAGATCTCGCCGTTGCCCGCGCAGGAGTCATCGTACGCGATGCTCTCCGATCCCGATGCTTCAGTGATTTCAGAATCGGACGCTTTCATCGTCACTGCACCTAGTATCGCCGTCTGCTCGCGAAGAATATCGCCAAGAGACGCCAGTCTTGGTGACTTTTTCGGTCTATAAAATATTATATTTTTTCTGCAATATTGATTTTCTTGACTTAAAAAGGCGATAGATTCCACTGTAAAATCGTCTTAGAGAGAGCTCTAGGTGGTCGAGAATCCGGAAGAATTTAGGCCGGGGCTCGACGAAGGTTATTCTGCGATGTCGCTCATTTTGAGTTCTGTAAATTATTGTTTTTTCCTTTGAAAGATGACTTCGAAAACGAAAATATTTATCATGCTCTTGATTCGTAAAATTTCGGAGATTAAACTCTTTCTTGTAGACTTTCTCTAGTTCAACCGCTGTCGGCGTATTCCAATGCTTCCTAAAGTACTTTTCATGGATTTTCAGAAAAAAGCTCTTCGTTGATTTGCACATAGAAAAAACCCGTCTCCTGTCTTGCGTCAAGTCCATTCCGAAAATATTTCATCGAGAGAAAAAAAGTTATAACTGCAAATCAAGGGTAGCAACTTTCTTATGCACGCGGGCCCGATAACTGCTTGATTTCTTATTAGAAATAAATAATTATCCTTTCATGCGCCAATTCCGCTTCAAGTACTCTGATTCAAAATCAAAGGAGCGTTTTCAATACAGTCGCATTATTAATGCAGCATTTTTGGTTTACTTTATTTATTTTGAACTGATAAGTTTTACAGTAAAGCGATAAAGAGATGATTTTTTGTTTACAACCAGTTGAATTGTTCGAATTGCGGATAACAGTTTTCCTTGTCTGCGCCTCTTTTTGTCGCTTCTTCTCGCGCATCAATATGTTTTAACCAGTCGGCAATGTACTGATCCAAGTATGAAATAAATTTCTTATTTTTTTCCTCGCCAAAGAGATTGTTCTCTTCTTCAGGATCCCATTCAGTATTGAAAAATTCTTCAGCGCCAGGGACGTATTTCATGTTTCCTTTTCGAATCCCAATGTACTTTCCCGGAGTGTACGCATGCGTCATGATAGGTTTCTTTTTGACTTCATAGCTTGCTTCGCCGGTTTCGAGGTACGAAACAAGACTGCGGCTGTCTGGCGCCTCGTTGCAGCCCAAGTCGTAGTCGATCAACTCGGCAAGAGTCGCGTAAATGTCGACTGTAGAAACTTGAACTTTCGGTTCGTAAATAGTTCTATTCGCGGGTTCATAATTGCTCAGTTCTATCTTACAATTCATAAATCACTTATTGAACCCTATGCTTGGCTCGAACTTTCGAGGATAACGCCATAAAAATGGAGTTCTGTGACTAGCCTCTCCCATTTCATTTTTGAATCCCTTGAGTTTGGATCTTTACTAATTCGATTAGGGCTGATTTACATAATCTTTATTCAACTTGAAATTGCATAATTAATATTAGACTAAAATTGCGTGGAAGATCCGAGTCCTGAAGTTCTACAGTTCTTTCCGGGCCAACGTTTGATTCTGGCAGATCAAGAAGCCACTGGTTATGGCCCCACTTTTTCAAAATTTGTTTCCCCGTTGTAGTTGGCCCATTATCACTCATGAAAATCACCAAAGTGTCATTGGCAATGTTGTGCTCTTCCAATTTGTCGAGAACTCGTCCGACGATTTCGTCCGCCTCCATGATCACTTCGCCGAAAAGGCCAACTTCCGTTTGATTTCGAAATCGAGCGGGCGTATTGAACGGTGCATGGCCAGACTGGAGACCGTAATAGGCGAAAAATGGATCCTCGTGATTTTCGTCAATGAATGTTTCAAGTTTTCGGGTGGTTTCTTGCTCGACTTCGCGACTGTCGAATGATTTTCCAGCGATGGTTTGCCGCGCCCACGTGAGATAGTAAACACCAAGTTGATGTGGATCGGTCATGTTTTCAACGTGACCGGCTGGGCCAAAGTAACCGGTGTAAGGGAAGGAATAACCGTTAGAGTTGAAGTTTTCGACTGGAGTATTTTCAGGATAAGGTTGTTGCTGGACCCAAGTTTCTGCCGGCTCTGTGCTTTTTCCGTTTTCAAAGAATAATCCAGGATTGCAGCAAAGACCGGGCTCGAAATAAGGTTATTTTATGATAATTTTTCAGCTTTGTAATCTTGATAAAAATTGAATTCGATTTGCTTTAAATAAAAAACGCATTATCCTAAATTAATTTTATCAAAAAAAAAAACAACCGGGCCTGAGTAAAAGAGTAATCATAGTCCAAAAGTTGTGGTGGCTTCGTCTGTATGTAATTTCCGAATTCCTGGAAAACGTTGTGTGTGTTTGGGAATCTACCGACTTCCTTTCTGTACTTGTGAGCTTCTTGGTTGCGCTTCCGAAATATTTCAAAGTGTTCTTGTGTGAAATTTTCGATGTTTATTCCATTTGGCAAGGGCTGCTGTTTTCCGAAGAGTCCCGTCTTGTATCCAGATTTTTTGAACATTTCTGCTAAATGCGGCTCGCCTGATTAAAGGATTCAAAAACTATTGTCAGAAATAATTTTTTTGTTATAAATCTCATCAAGATTTTTACGATAAAAAATTAGACTCATTTATTTTTTTTATTTTTTGAAGCCTGCCTTCGTTGATTATTCTCGCCTCTTTATCCTCCATCGAGTATCGTCCTGTCATGAGCATATACCTGCTTGGGGAGCATCGACTTGAAGCCGAAGTAGCGCCCAGAAAGTTTACTCCTTCATGACCGATTCTGTCAATATTCGGCGTTGGAACTTTCGCTTCTCTATTGTAGATGGTAAAGTCTCCGACTCCGAAATCATCCGTTATGAGCAAAATAACATTCGGCTTTCTGGCTTCTATTCCGAGAGAAAAAAGTGCAAAATTTGAAAAGAGCTTCATTTTTTGAGAATAAAAAAAGGTTGAGTTTTTACTTTATTTGTCCCAATTATGGCGCTGAGGAGCAAACCAACGTGAGTACGAATTATGGTCGACAACATACGGAACTCATTATCAAGAGAACATGACAAGTAAACAAGATCAATTAACGATCAACGTACGCGATCAAGAGTACTTTAAAGTTTAAACAAAGCCTATTTTGAATGTCATATTCCCAAAGAAATTTTTCTCGAGTTATTCATTTATCTTTTTTATTTGCTCAAACATTTATAACACACTGTTATTCACAGTGATCACCTAACATCTTTTACATATTTTCTTTCCCGCTCAGCAACAGAATTTTCTCCTGCGAAAAGCTTCTTTCTTAGCTTTAATTTTTTCAATTTGTTTGCGACGAGGCTGAGCCAGTCCAGTTCAAGCTCATCTTCTCTGACGCTTTGATTCGTGTCGCAGATTATGACGATTTCAAATAACTCGTTCAAAAATTTTTTCTAACAACCCCTTTTTTTGTGCTTATTTGAAAGAGCGTGAAAAACTGGTCCAGAAAATGCTGGTCTTATCATCGGTGACGTCACGAGTGGCGCGCGGGCGCCCCCTAAAGGTCTAATTAGGTTCATTGCGGGCTACGCGATTTCTCCGGTCATGCATATCGCACATGCATGGTTAGCATCTAGAATTGATCGTCGTGAGCAGGGCTACATGTCCCGGCCAAAATCGTCAAAATCGGACCACGTCTTCACCAGCTGGTTGACCGGCAAATATCTCAAAATGACAAAATCACTTACTTTTGATAAAGGCAACCTACCGATGGAAGTAGGGGGTTGCCCTGGACTCGAGCCCGAATTACTGCCGTATTCGGCAACTAAGTGCCGGAGGACCTCCCGGAGGACTCTTCTGCTGGAAGAAAAGCTGCTGGAAGACTAATATTAAAAATATAAATACAAATAAAATTTAAAGCCATGATTGGATAGTAATTGCCGTATTCAGCCACTTAGTACCGGAGGACCTCCCGGAGGACCCCTCTGCTGGAAGAAAAGCTGCTGGAAGACCAATTTTTAAAAATAAAAATACAAATATAAAGCCTGGATTGGCTTAATATTGTCTAATAAGCCGCATTGAGCCACTTTTTGCCGGATGACCTCCCGGAAGACCCGCCTACTGAAAAACCGACTGCTGGTAAGCCAATATTTAAAAAAAATTAATAAAAAGCCTTGCCACATCTGGCAAAACTCGATCACTTTAGTTCATACGCCAGTTCATACTTTTCAATCAGACTCAAAGCGAAAACGACCCGAAGGGGAGGCCACGCCCGTTCATCCTTTACAATCAGAGTCAGGGCGAAGCCGACCCGAAGGGAAGGCCACGCCCGTTCATTCTTTTCAATCAGAGTCAGGGCGAAGCCGACCCGAAGAAATGGCAACGTCTAATCATTTTATTCACTAAGAGTCAATGCGAATAAGATTGAAGAAATCTTCTCTGGTTTGCTTTCAGATTTTTGTAAATGAATGAAAATGAACGGGCGTCTGGCACTTAGTGCCTGAATACTGCAATAACTAGCCAATTATGGCTTTAAATTTTATTTGTATATATATTTTTAATAGTAGTCTTCCATCAGCTTTTCTTCCACCAGAGGAGTCCTCGGGTCGGCTTCGCCCTTTTTCTGATTAAAAAGAATGAACGGGATTGGCCTCCCCTTCGGGTCGGCCTCGCCCTTACTTTGATTTAAAAGAATGAACGGGCGAAGCCGACCCGAAGATTACCAGAGACCTTACTCTGATTGAAAAGAATGAACGGGATTGGCGTCCCCTTCGGATCGGCTTCGCCCTTACTCTGATTTAAAAGAATGAACGGGCGTTGCCTCCCCTTCGGGTCGGCTTCGCCCTTACTCTGATTGAAAAGAATGAACGGGCGTTGCCTCCCCTTCGGGTCGGCTTCGCCCTTACTCTGATTGAAAAGAATGAACGGGCGTGGCCTCCCCTTCGGGTCGGCTTCGCCCTGACTCTAATTGAAAGGAATGAACGGGCGCGGCCCCCCTTCGGGTCGGCTTCGTATTTACTCTGATTGAAAAGAATGAACGGGATTGGCCTCCCCTTCGGGTCGGCTTCGCCCTTAATCTGATAAAAAGAATGAACAGGCGTGGCCTCCCCTTCGAGTCGGCTTCGCCCTGACTCTGATTGTAAAGGATGAACGGGCGTGGCCTTCCCTTCGGGTCGGCCTCGCCCTTACTTTGATTTAAAAGAATGAACGGGCGAAGCCGACCCGAAGATTACCAGAGACCTTACTCTGATTGAAAAGAATGAACGGGATTGGCGTCCCCTTCGGATCGGCTTCGCCCTTACTCTGATTTAAAAGAATGAACGGGCGTTGCCTCCCCTTCGGGTCGGCTTCGCCCTTACTCTGATTGAAAAGAATGAACGGGCGTTGCCTCCCCTTCGGGTCGGCTTCGCCCTTACTCTGATTGAAAAGAATGAACGGGCGTGGCCTCCCCTTCGGGTCGGCTTCGCCCTGACTCTAATTGAAAGGAATGAACGGGCGCGGCCCCCCTTCGGGTCGGCTTCGTATTTACTCTGATTGAAAAGAATGAACGGGATTGGCCTCCCCTTCGGGTCGGCTTCGCCCTTAATCTGATAAAAAGAATGAACAGGCGTGGCCTCCCCTTCGAGTCGGCTTCGCCCTGACTCTGATTGTAAAGGATGAACGGGCGTGGCCTTCCCTTCGGGTCGGCTTCGCCCTGACTCTGATTGTAAAGGATGAACGGGCGTGGCCTCCCCTTCGGGTCGGCTTCGCCCTGACTCTAATTGAAAGGAATGAACGGGCGCGGCCCCCCTTCGGGTCGACTTCGTATTTACTCTGATTGAAAAGAATGAACGGGATTGGCCTCCCCTTCGGGTCGGCTTCGCCCTGACTCTGATTGAAAAGAATGAACGGGCGTGGCCTTCCCTTCGGGTCGGCTTCGCCCTGACTCTGATTGTAAAGGATGAACGGGCGTGGCCTCCCCTTCGGGTCGTTTTCGCTTTGAGTCTGATTGAAAAGTATGAACTGGCGTATGAACTAAAGTGATCGAGTTTTGCCAGATGTGGCAAGGCTTTTTATTAATTTTTTTTAAATATTGGCTTACCAGCAGTCGGTTTTTCAGTAGGCGGGTCCTCCAGGAGATCATCCGGCAAAGTGGCTAAATGCGGCTTATTAGACAATTTTTAGCCAATCCAGGCTTTATATTTGTATTTTTATTTTTAAAAATTGGTCTTTCAGCAGCTTTTCTTCCAGTAGAGGGGTCTTCCGGGTGGTTCTCCGGCACTAAGTGGCTGAATACGGCAATTACTATCCAATCATGGCTTTAAATTTTATTTGTATTTATATTTTTTAATATTAGTCTTCCAGCAGCTTTTCTTCCAGCAGAGGAGTCCTCCGGGAGGTCCTCCGGCACTAAGTGGCCGAATACGGCAGTAATTCGGGCTCGAGTCCAGGGCAACCCCTACTTCCATCGGTAGGTTGCCTTTATCAAAAGTAAGTGATTTTGTCATTTTGAGATATTTGCCGGTCAACCAGCTGGTGAAGACGTGGTCCGATTTTGACGATTTTGGCCGGGACATGTAGCCCTGCTCACGACGATCAATTCTAGATGCTAACCATGCATGTGCGATATGCATGACCGGAGAAATCGCGTAGCCCGCAATGAACCTAATTAGACCTTTAGGGGCGCCCGCGCGCCACTCGTGACGTCATCGATGATAAGACCAGCATTTTCTGGACCAGTTTTTCACGCTCTTTCAAATGAGCACAAAAAAGGGGTTGTTAGAAAAAATTTTTAACGAGTTATTTGAAATCGTCTATGGCGACAATAACATTCATAGTCAAGTACATCATCGAAAGATTTAAGGCAAAATAGATCGACTGTGCCAGAAGCCGCCAATTTGGATCTGATAGTTGGTCAACCTCTATCCTCATATCTAGCCAGCATAAAGATCAAATGAATAAATTGCTTTTACCTGAAGGTTTTAGATATCCTTGCCAGATGATGATGAAAAACGTTTTCATAAGAGATCGGAAAATAAATGACGAGTAACGGAAAATAATGAAAATGACGCAGGATAATCCAAATTGAATCGGCAAAAGTGCCAAAACGAAGGGAGCCAGGCTCTTTTTCAACTGTTTGAGGATACTTTTATACTCTGAAAACAAAATAATAATTGTTCTTTTCGAAAACTCTTACGTCCAACAGCATTCAAAGTCGATAAAATGTGTATCAGCAGAAAGCTGTGGAGGAAGGAAGACATGGCAACGAGGGATATAAAATGATGCTGTACCAAAAATACTGAGGAAAATTTGGGAGCGCCTTTTGGGTCCAGAACAAAATTTTCGATTCCTTTTGATAGAAACTGAGCTCTGAGAATGATTAAGCCAAGAATAGTAACGTCGAGGGCGAATAAAATGATCTTGTAGAGTGACAAAAAACTGAGCTGACGATTTTTAATCATGGCGATGATTTCTTTTGTTTCGACGAGAAGAAGAACCAAGAGAATAGTAAGACTGAGAGAGAATGTGTAGTCAGATAATTCAGTGTTTTTGAGCTGCTGAATATTCTTTGAACAGGCTTTTTTCATGGAAGTTTCAGTTCTTCTAATGAATGTTAACTTTAATTTTGAAGCCTTACCAGAGTTGGCAAAATCGCACCGCCTTCGACGAATTCGAAAATGACCCGAAGTTTTACAAAAGAGTTGATATTCATGTTCAAAAAACTTTGTTCGAAAATCAGAAGCTTCGTTTTTTGATCGAACCATGCGTTTTTCCGAAGATAATTGAGCATATATTCAGCACTTTCTTTTGAAGTCCCGAGATCGGAAGTAAATTCGCAAGTATTTGAGGACAACCGATTGGGAGTCTGAAGATAGATGTCGGACGAAAGAGTTGATCTCGTCTCGGAGAAGTAGGAAGACAGTAGCGGGGATTTTCTCATTTTGCGCATTGTTCTTTTGGTGGCATTCGGCTGAACATGCCAGTCGGTTGTGAAAAAGCCGCATTGGTCTCGATGCTGCTTGAGCGAAGATGGCCCAAGTCGGAAATTCACGCCGTCTCGAGCAAAAGCTTTATCTTTCTTTCTCGGTATTTCGCCATTACTGTAGTTTCTAGCATGAATAAGAGGCAAAATTTCGTTCTCCAGAAGATCCCAAGTTGACTGGACATGAAGTTGTGTTTTACCAGGAATGATGGAGATTTTGTCGCGAAAATTTTTGTCCAGATCGTATTTTTCGGCGGGAACGATGACTGTTGAAAGCCCGTAAAGACTCAGTGTCAGGAAGAAGTACGAAAAGAAGCGCCTAAGAGTGATTTTCAGATCCATTCTGTGTTTTGAAGTATAGACCAATTTGGTAATCGCTGCTCGATCTAGGAAGGATTTGACTGGTTCTTTGTACTTTCCCTGCTCGTATTCGTTCGATTGCTTGATAAAAATATATTCTTGGTTATTTGCATCGATGGTTTTAGACGCGAAAGAAACTATGAGTGGATTCAACAAGAGTTCAACAAAAATAAAGAAATAGTTTGTGGTCATCCATAATTCGAAGTTAATTTCGCTAAAAATCGGTTCAAACGGTTGATTTATCCTATGTGTATTTAAGATGTCGTAAGATATGAACCTAGTCTGAGTATTGAAGCTCGAACAAGAGTCATCAAAGCCATAGAAGTTAAACCAATAAATATTAATAGATATGATGTGCAAATAAATGTACTCCCCTTTCTATGGACCGTCAATAAGAAGCGTCGACTGTAAAATTGGATTGGCAATAATAAAACCTCTATCAAAATTGTATGAAGTTGAAGTCTTCGACTCTGAGTCGATAAAGTAAAAGGACCAAAGACAAGAAATTTCGGAGAAACAAATATCTCTGCAATCAATTTTTCATTCAGGAAAAAATGCATGGATAAACAGACGGATAAAACGAGGGGAAAAGCAGCAAAAATAACCCTGGAAGATTTTGAAATTTCACTGTGTCTTTTCGATACAGCCGGTCCGAGCCAATGATTATTCTCTAAATATATTTCGAATTGGCTTTCTCGTTGAGGAGGATGAGGATCCTGGTGAACATCTTTCGAAGAAACGCAGTCTGTTTCTATAACTGAAATTTCATCGTCCAAGTCAAAAATAACAGTGGACTCGTGCCACGCAATGTCTTCGATGGATCCTTTTGAATACTCCTTGGGGAACGTGTGAACGAAGAAGAATGATATTTTCCGTGGAAGAAACGTTGTTTCTTGTTCTGCATGAAAATCGACGGAGAGTTTTAGCTCTCTGATTTTCATTATCGGAAGCTGAAGAAGGAAATAGCTCGAGCGGCCGTTTCCGAAAATTCGCTCTGTTTTTGAACCTAGATAAAATTCAACTCGGTCCGCATTTCCCAAGAGATCGTCGTAGAAAATTTCCATTTTGAGCATCTTCGGAGCTTGGCTTAGAGAGAATCTCGTGTCGATTTCGATTATATAGAATCCAGCTGTGCTAAAATTTCGAAGTATCGCAGGTGGATGCAGAATACTGGCCTTTTCGTTCAGTCTGTCAATGTGACGAGACCGGAGAAGCAAGAATATCCAGAAAATGATGAAGAGAATCGGAAAAAGTTTCACGCTCACTGTTATTATTTCGTTCACAATCAATGTATAATAGCTCTCAATTGTCGTAAATTTGCCCGATCTTGAAGTCAGTTTGTCTCTACTTTCGATTTCACAGGAGCACTTGATCTTGCCAGGCCTTGAATCGCTTCTCACAAAGCAAGATTGTCTATTCCAATTCTCCAGTTTGTCCGTAACGCAAGAACCAGAAAACAAAGAAATCGTCAAATCCATCTTTTCCGAAAAAGAAGATTGAATGAGCACAAAAATTGAGCACTTTTGTCTGGCAAAGCAAAGTTCAATTTCTTTCTCATCAAAGTGCAGCCCAAATGGGTCCCCAACGCAATCTTCCTCCGAACAAACAGTGGATGATATTTCTGACTCGTTTTTGAATGCTGGTAAGATCGAGTGGTGCCGGTAGGAAAGTAATTTAGGCTCGGGTAAATACCAGAAATCAACGAATACTTCTACTTGTATATTCTCATCAAAATCAAAGAAGAGGAAAAAATCCTCGTTGTTCTCCAAATCGAATCGAAGAACTTCGCCTTTTCCCGGCAAAATCTCCTTCTTGATTGTTTCAATGATTTCATGATCAAAGGTAACCGATGCTTTGCCTTCATAATTTGCAGAATAAAGAACTCGATTAGCAAGTCTCAAATCATCATCGGAGTAAATAAACGGATTCGCTTTTAATTCTGCAAAAAGAGGAACGTCCGAATTTCGTGAATTTGGGAGAAAAATTTCAGTGACGATATCATTTCCGAGTGCAATGAAATCTGTGGACTCGGTGTCGGACGTAATAGATTCGAGAAGATGGGTTAGGCTGTTCCTGATTGTCACGATATTTTCACTTGATTCTAAAATTAAATCGATTCTCGAAGAGCTTATTTTCGTTAAATAATCATCATTGCCGCTCTTCGGTGAGAGCAAATTTGACAATAAATTTTTAGTTCTTGCGGAGACCTCACCGATCGCTTCTGCTGCAATTTCTGAGTCATTCATAGCTGCTTCCATTTTCTCCTCAATAACTGTAAGTTCTTGCTCTACAAATCTTTTCAATTCATCGTCGTCCATGTTCAGCAAGTCAGCCCCGTCAAAAATAACTGGCTGACATTGGTAAAGTCCGTGTTGTCGCATTGTCACAGAACATGAGCAACTGTAATTTCCAACAGTATTGTCACAAAATTCATCGCACAAATGGCTACCAGTCGAGCACTCATCAATATCTTCGCAACTGAAGTCTAAGCAATCATCAAGTCCGACGCATAAATCGCCAGAAAACCCGGATTTACAATGACACTCAAAGCCTTTGTGCGTATTCTTACAGACCGAATGTTCAGGACACGGATTCGAGATCAAAAAGCATTCGTCAATATCGACACATTTCCCGCCAATTTTCTCCATTCCCTCGACACAGTTACACTCAAAACTTCCAACAGTATTGTTGCAGGCCATATTTTCCGCACATGGATCGACAACACACTCATCTTCATCAATGCATTGAAAACCAGCGCAGTTATCGTATCCTTGGCACATTTCTTCTAGAAACCCAGCGTCACAGGTGCACTCAAAGCTTGCGAAAATATCTTTACAAGTTGTATGCTCCGGACAAACGGGATCTTCGTCCTTCGCGCACTCGAAAATTTCCTCACAAATGTCACTTTCTCTAATCAGGCCATCAATACAGTCACAGTTGTAGCTTCCAATGGTGTTATTGCAGATCTCATTCACGAGACATGGACTTTGCAAACATTCGTCCTCGTCGACGCACTGGAAATTGTCGCAATTTGTTCCTTCACATGAAGCATTTTCGTAACCAGAATCGCAGGTGCATTCATATGTCAAAGGTATGTTTGAACAAGTCATTGATTTTGGACAAACAGGTTCAGTTGAGTTGCATTCGTTGATATCAACGCATTCTCTGGCGTTCCAATCAAAATATTCGCTTATAAGACAGCAACTAAAAGTGGCACAGTCGTTGCCAAAACATTTTTCTAAAGAACAGGAGTTACTTTAATAATAAAATGTCTTAAAGTCACCTTCATTCTGTGTTCCTGGATGGCAGGTGCAGCTAAAATCAACATGATTGCAATCCGCATCCTGCGGGCAGAAGGTTGTATCATCGCAAATATTGACGCCAACTAATATTTCCATGAAAAAATTTCGGATATGAAAATATTTTGCTGCCTCGTGAGAAGGAGATGATACATAAACTGTCAGATTTTGTCCTAATGGAAGTAACTTTGTTGGATGAGAATCTGAGTAAATAGAAATATCAGGCTCAGGTCAATATTCGGAGTTACCATGGATTGGAGCATTTTTTTTGGAGTGAGTTCTGTTTTTCGTTTCTAAAGTGGAGGAACTTTTTTTGGAGTTACACCGCAAAAAAATTTTAAGGCGACGTTAGACGGATTTTTATTTTCTCAGTGGAATTTTTGGACCTTCTTCTTTATCCGCGGTTCTATTTTTTTGATGGGTTTCATTTGGATTAGTTTATATATCCGTGGTTTTATTTTTTTGATGGGTTTCATTTGGACTTGTTTATCTATCCGCGGTTCTATTTTTTTGATTAATTTTATTTGGACTTGTTAATTTATCCGCGTTTCTATTTTTTTGGTTGGTTTCATTTGGACGAGTTTTATTATCCGCGGTTCTATTTTTTTTAATTGGATTCATTTGGACTAGTTTTTTATCCGCGGTTACTATTATTTTAATCGATTCGATTTAATGGAATGAAAATAGTGATGAATAGCCAAAAAAGTGAGGTAAATGTCAATGAAAAAATTCAGTGTATAAGCAGGGTTCGTGGGCCCGGGAGGGCCGCGCGCGCGATTGGCTGAAAATGGCTAATTCTCTTCTTCTGTTTCCGCGGTTTGCGCTTCAGCGACGGCTATATTGAACTTCAGCGATGACACCGGTAACGTTTGTCATCATTTATTTTTAGGGGATTGAGAATACTTGCTTTTTTCCGCGGTCATTTGGTCAATGAAGCTGGATTTTTTGTCGTCGTTTTTCAAATGAAGGTTATTTTCTAAGTGTGAATGAATTTTTGGGGCTCAACGGGGTGCATACACGTCGACTGTTCCATCATTGCTACGAATCTAGGTTATTTTAGGTGTGTTATTGAATAAAAGGGGCGCAGGGGGTACATCAACGTCGACTGTTCCATCATTGCTACGAATCTAGCACCGCTAACGTTTGTGAACGTTTATTTTTAGGGGGTGAGAATACTTGCTTTTTCCGCGGTCGATTGGTCGATGAAGCTGGTTTCATTTTCGTCGTTTACTAAATGAAGGTTATTTTTTGTGTTATGAATTTATGGGGTTCTACGGGGTACATAAACGTCGACTATTCCATCATTGCTACGAATCTAGCACCGGTAACGTTTGTCAACGTTTATTTCTAGGGGGTGAGAATACTTGTTATTTTCCGCGGTCGATTGGTCGATGAAGCTGGTTTCAATTTCGTTGTTTTCTAAATGAAGGTTTTTTTCGGTGTGTTTATGAATTTTGGGGGCTCACCCCAACTTTCGTTTATTTTTAGGGGTGAGAATACTTGCTTTTTTTCGCGATCGATTGGTGGATGGAGCTGGTTTCGTTTTCGTCGTTTTCTAAATGATGGTTATTTTCGGTCTATTTGTGAATTTTGGGGGCTCACGGGGTACATAAACGTCGACTGTTCCATCATTGCTACGAATTTAGCACCGGTAACGTTTGTCAACGTTTATATTTAGGGGTTGAGAATACTTGCTATTTTCCGCGGTTGTTAGGTTGATCGAGTTGGTTTCGTTTTCGTCGTCATCTAAATGAAGGTTATTTTCTGTGTGTAAAAAAATTTTTGGGGGGTCTACGGGGTGCATAAACGTCGACTGTTCCATCATTGCTACGAATCTAGCACCGGTAACGTTTGTCAACGTTTATTTTTAGGGGGTGAGAATACTTGCTTTTTTCCGCGGTTGTTAGGTTGATCGAGTTGGTTTCGTTTTCGTCGTCATCTAAATGAAGGTTATTTTCTGTGTGTAAAAAAATTTTTGGGGGCTCACGGGGTACATAAACGTCGACTGTTCCATCATTGCTACGAATTTAGCACCGGTAACGTTTGTCAACGTTTATTTTTAGGGGTTGAGAATACTTGCTATTTTCCGCGGTTGTTAGGTTGATCGAGTTGGTTTCCTTTTCGTCGTCATCTAAATGAAGGTAATTTTCTGTGTGTAAAAAAATTTTTGGGGGCTCTACGGAGGGTTGCATAAACGTCGACTGTTCCATTATTGCTACGAATCTAGCACCGGTAACGTTTGTCAACGTTTATTTCTAGGGGTGAGAATACTTGTTATTTTCCGCGGTCGATTGGTCGATGAAGCTGGTTTCAATTTCGTTGTTTTCTAAATGAAGGTTTTTTCGGTGTGTTTATGAATTTTGGGGCTCACCCCAACTTTCGTTTATTTTTAGGGGTGAGAATACTTGCTTTTTTTCGCGATCGATTGGTGGATGGAGCTGGTTTCGTTTTCGTCGTTTTCTAAATGATGGTTATTTTCGGTCTATTTGTGAATTTTGGGGGCTCACGGGGTACATAAACGTCGACTGTTCCATCATTGCTACGAATTTAGCACCGGTAACGTTTGTCAACGTTTATTTTTAGGGGTTGAGAATACTTGCTATTTTCCGCGGTTGTTAGGTTGATCGAGTTGGTTTCGTTTTCGTCGTCATCTAAATGAAGGTTATTTTCTGTGTGTAAAAAAATTTTTGGGGGGTCTACGGGGTGCATAAACGTCGACTGTTCCATCATTGCTACGAATCTAGCACCGGTAACGTTTGTCAACGTTTATTTTTAGGGGTGAGAATACTTGCTTTTTCCGCGGTTGTTAGGTTGATCGAGTTGGTTTCGTTTTCGTCGTCATCTAAATGAAGGTTATTTTCTGTGTGTAAAAAAATTTTTGGGGGCTCAGGGGGTATATAAACGTCGACTGTTCCATCATTGCTACGAATTTAGCACCGGTAACGTTTGTCAACGTTTATTTTTAGGGGTTGAGAATACTTGCTATTTTCCGCGGTTGTTAGGTTGATCGAGTTGGTTTCCTTTTCGTCGTCATCTAAATGAAGGTAATTTTCTGTGTGTAAAAAAATTTTTGGGGGCTCTACGGAGGGTTGCATAAACGTCGACTGTTCCATCATTGCTACGAATCTAGCACCGGTAACGTTTGTCAACGTTTATTTCTAGGGGGTGAGAATACTTGTTATTTTCCGCGGTCGATTGGTCGATGAAGCTGGTTTCAATTTCGTTGTTTTCTAAATGAAGGTTATTTTCGGTGTGTTTATGAATTTTGGGGGCTCACGGGGTACATAAACGTCGCCTGTTCCATCATTGCTACGAATCTAGCACCGGTAACGTTTGTCAACGTTTATTTTTAGGGGGTTTGAGAATACTTGCTTTTTCCGCGGTCGTTTGGTCGATGGAGCTGGTTTCGTTTTCGTCGTTTTCTAAATGATGGTTATTTTCTGTGTTATGAATTTAAGGGGCTCTACGGGGTTCATAAACGTCGACTGTTCCATCATTGCTACGAATCTAGCACCGGTAACGTTTGTCAACGTTTATTTTTAGGGGGTTTGAGAATACTTGCTTTTTCCGCGGTCGTTTGGTCGATGGAGCTGTTTTCGTTTTCGTCGTTTTCTAAATGATGGTTATTTTCTGTGTTTTAAATTTAAGGGATCCCCCCTCCGTTTTCGTCATTTTCAACGGCGAACTTCATTTTTCTGGGATTACAATTTTATGCGTGCAATAGTGCAAATGAAAGCTCGTTCATTGCGGTTTATTCTCTAGTACAGAGATAAAAATCCATAGACGCAAACCTACCACAGGGAGGCGCTGAAGTTTGTGTATTTTGAAAAAACGCTGTTTTTGGCCATTTTCACCGGCAAACTACTTTTTTTAGAGCTTAGCTAGAATTAAGCGGAGTTAAAATTCAGAAAGAGTAAAGCTTAATCTTAAAACTCTAGTACAGAGAAGTCATTTGGTCTAGTAAAAAAAATTTTCTTTTAAACGACCTAGTGTACCCATATTTTGCGTTTTTTGGTTTTTTGCTCTCTAGCGCCAACATTAGGCCGAAATTTCTAGTTCGGTTATTCTTATTAAGGATATAAGCTATGAATTTGAACTTTCGTAGCGCCTAAATGCGTAGTAGGATCATTTTCATTTCAAAAGCAATCCTACCTAAAAATGCACGCAAAACTCAAATATGGTATTTTTAAAAAAAAATTTATTGAAAATTTTCCTTTTAGAGCGATTTCAAATCTTACTCTCTCGATTTCTCGAAATTTTTCCATTGAATCGCTAAAACTAAACCGTGTCTTTTATTTCGATGATGTTAAGCTAAAAAATTGACGGGCTTTTATTTTGAAAGTCTTTCGAATTTTTATTCTAGCGTTTTCCTCTTTCTTGCTCGTGTTTTTCTTCTTTTTGTGCTTTTTCGCGTGCAACCAATCAAAGCGCTCCGCTCAACCGCGCCACTCTCACGGAAAAGAGGAGTCGCCCAGCGCGCCGCTTTTTACACTATTCGCGCGCTTGGTAAGCCTCATGAAAATGGCTCTAAAATCGGTTTCGGTCGGAATTAGGGAAAACTGATCCGTCAATTTTGTAGATAAGGGTTAAGAGAAGTTATTTATCGAAAAAACTGGACCGATTTAGTGGAAAAAATTCGAGGAATCGAGAGAGTAAGATTTGAAATCGCTCTAAAAGGAAAATTTTAAATAAAAATTTTTTTAAAAGTACCATATTTGAGTTTTGCGTGCATTTTTAGGTAGGATTACTTTTGAAAAGAAAATGATCCTACTTCGCATTTAGGCGCTACGAAAGTTCAAATTCATAGCTTATATCCTTAAGGAAGTTTTAAGCTTTCGAAAGACCCCTTGTATGTCTTATTTCGATGACATTGAAAAACCGAAAAAAATTCCAACAAATTTCATGCATTTTTGAAATTTTTGAAGGCTAAAATTCTGAGGAAAGATGTTCATAAGGGGATCATATGATACATCAAAATGATCCTTAGAACACGAGGAATCTGAAAATATCAAATTTAGACCCTTATCCAGTAATTGAAAAAACAGGGAGAAATCTCCATCATTGCTACGAATTTAGCACCGGTAACGTTTGTCAACGTTTATTCTTAGGGGTTGAGAATACTTGCTATTTTCCGCGGTTGTTAGGTTGATCGAGTTGGTTTCGTTTTCGTCGTCATCTAAATGAAGGTTATTTTCTGTGTGTAAAAAAATTTTTGGGGGGTCTACGGGGTGCATAAACGTCGACTGTTCCATCATTGCTACGAATCTAGCACCGGTAACGTTTGTCAACGTTTATTTTTAGGGGGTGAGAATACTTGCTATTTTCCGCGGTTGTTAGGTTGATTGAATTGGTTTCGTTTTCGTCGTCATCTAAATGAAGGTAATTTTCTGTGTGTAAAAAAATTTTTGGGGGCTCACGGGAGACATAAACGTCGACTGTTCCATCATTGCTACGAATTTAGCACCGGTAACGTTTGTCAACGTTTATTTTTAGGGGTTGAGAATACTTGCTATTTTCCGCGGTTGTTAGGTTGATCGAGTTGGTTTCGTTTTCGTCGTCATCTAAATGAAGGTTATTTTCTGGGTGTAAAAAAATATTTGGGGGCTCTACGGGGTGCATAAACGTCGACTGTTCCATCATTGCTACGAATCTAGCACCGGTAACGTTTGTCAACATTTATTTTTAAGGGGTGAGAATACTTGCTTTTTCCGCGGTCGATTGGTCGATGAAGCTGGTTTTATTTTCGTCGTTTTCTAAATGAAGGTTATTTTCGGTGTGTCTATGAATTTTGGGGGCTCACGGGGTACATAAACGTCGACTGTTCCATCATTGCTACGAATCTAGCACCGGTAACGTTTGTCAACGTTTATTATTAGGGGGTGAGAATACTTGCTTTTTCCGCGGTCGATTGGTCGATGAAGCTGGTTTTATTTTCGTCGTTTTCTAAATAAAGGTTATTTTCTGTTATATGAATTTATGGGGCTCTACGGGGTACATAAACGTCGACTGTTCCATCATTGCTACGAATCTAGCACCGGTAACGTTTGCCAACGTTTATTTTTAGGGGGTGAGAATACTTGCTTTTTCCGCGGTCGATTGGTCGATGAAGCTGGTTTTATTTTCGTCGTTTTCTAAATGAAGGTTATTTTCGGTGTGTTTATGAATTTTGGGGGCTCACGGGGTACATAAACGTCGACTGTTCCATCATTGCTACGAATCTAGCACCGGTAACGTTTGTCAACGTTTATTTTTAGGGGGTTTGAGAATACTTGCTTTTTCCGCGGTCGATTGGTCGATGAAGCTGGTTTTATTTTCGTCGTTTTCTAAATGAAGGTTATTTTCGGTGTGTTTATGAATTTTGGGGGCTCACGGGGTACATAAACGTCGACTGTTCCATCATTGCTACGAATCTAGCACCGGTAACGTTTGCCAACGTTTATTTTTAGGGGGTGAGAATACTTGCTTTTTCCGCGGTCGATTGGTCGATGAAGCTGGTTTTATTTTCGTCGTTTTCTAAATGAAGGTTATTTTCGGTGTGTTTATGAATTTTGGGGGCTCACGGGGTACATAAACGTCGACTGTTCCATCATTGCTACGAATCTAGCACCGGTAACGTTTGTCAACGTTTATTTTTAGGGGGTTTGAGAATACTTGCTTTTTCCGCGGTCGTTTGGTCGATGGAGCTGGTTTCGTTTTCGTCGTTTTCTAAATGATGGTTATTTTCGGTCTGTTTGTGAATTTTGGGGGCTCACGGGGTACATAAACGTCGACTGTTCCATCATTGCTACGAATCTAGCACCGGTGACGTTTGTCACTGTTTATTTTTAGGGGGTGAGAATACTTGCTTTTTTCGCGATCGATTGGTCGATGAAGCTGGTTTCGTTTCCGTCGTTTTCTAAATGAAGGTTATTTTCGGTGTGTTTATGAATTTTGGGGGCTCACGGGGTACATAAACGTCGATTGTTCCATCATTGCTACGAATTTAGCACCGGTAACGTTTGTCAACGTTTATTTTTAGGGGTTGAGAATAGTTGCTATTTTCCGCGGTTGTTTGGTTGATCGAGTTGGTTTCGTTTTCGTCGTCATCTAAATGAAGGTTATTTTCTGTGTGTAAAAAAATTTTTGGAACTCAACGGGGTGCATAAACGTCGACTGTTCCATCATTGCTACGAATCTAGCACCGGTAACGTTTGTCAACGTTTATTTTAAGGGGTTCAGAATACTTGCTATTTTCCGCGGTTGTTTGGTTGATGGAGCTTGTTTGTTGTTGTCGTCATTTAAATGAAGGTTACTTTTCTGGGATATAAAATTTTTGGGGGCTCTACGGGTTGCATAAACGTCGACTGTTCCATCATTGCTACGAAACTAGCACCGGTAACGTTTGTCAACGTTTATTTTAAGGGGGTTAGAATACTTGCTATTTTCCGCGGTTTTTTGGTTGATTGAGCTGGTTTGTTGCTAGGTTAATTTATTTAATGAAGCCTAGTTGGCGAAAGAATGAGAAGTGCAAGAAGAAATATCATCGAAAATTCATGAGAGCAATTCGAAAATCGTTAAGGATATCCCTTCAATCGTTGGATAAAAAAGACAAGTTATGAGGGACCAGGGCGGACAAAGATCATTTGAAAATATTTTTCCATAAAAGATTTTTTCTGTCCTCGGCATCCCTTTTTTCTTATCTGATTTTTTAATCCAAGGATTGAAGGGACACCCTTAACAATTTTCAAATAACTTCAGTCGAGCCATCTTTTGAAACAAGAAAACAAGGAAAAGTCAGAGGGTTTTCGCCCCGATATGAGGATCTTTATTAGCCGCGATGTTGGAAATTTTATTGGCCGCTAAAAGTTGTGTATTTATCCTTTATTGTGGCTCATTATACCGCGCTATTACAAGCGTTTTACGCGAAGAGGAGGAAAGCGTGTGCAAGCAGGTGCATGCGCTCGCCGCCTGAAAAAGGGATCATCAAATCAAAACGCCGCGCCAAAATCAAAGTGGCGAGTTTGAGCACTTTCCGAGAATAACTGCGTTTTGAAAAAGAGGTAGACAAGTTCAAGGGCGTTATTAGGTCGGAAGAATATACAAAAACCAAGGCGATCATTCTGAGAATATGATGAAAAAGAACATGAAAAATTTTTACAGCTTCTCTTCACTATAAGACCACCCATAAATAAGACTAGAAAGTCAAAAAGGAAACATCAAAATTAAACTATGTTCTAAACATGAAAAGCCCCAACATTGAGCAGAATCATTATTTTTTAGACAATCTCAGCGGTAGTGCTCAATTGACCTTATTTTAGCAGAGAAAAAAATTTATCTCCTTTCCTGAAATTCTTGTAAATCGAATCTCTCTTCCAGCAGACAACTAGCAGTAGCTTATTAATAGTAGTATCAGTAGAGTTCCGCTACTGTAACGATCTTCGAATCGTGACGCTTTCGATTATCCTCTCTGCTGCTAAAAGAACAAAGTTCATTTTTTTCGTTCTCTCACAGAATTCGTCATAGTTTCGTAATGACTCATCGGCTCATTCGAAATTCGCGGAAACTGGGAAGGGTCTTTTTTCGTTAAAACCGTCTGATAGACTTCTGCGGAAGCCCTAGAGCAGCCGGCCAATCACCGGCCGCTCATTCGTCGACCGCATGTGACCCGACGAAATTTATTAATTTCTCTAGCTGACTCTACCTGTCATAAACTGTAACCAAGGTACTGTTAGCAAAATGGCTCTGTCTCTCGGTAATGGCCAGAAAAAAGTTGACATGGTCGAATTTTGGATTTTTTTTTTCTTAAAAATGAGCTAAATCAGAGGAAGTTCTAGCGGATGTGTGATTGGCTGAATTAGGTACAAAATCGCCCCATACTTTTTGGCAATAAATAAGAGAGGTAAACCTACTGGGGAAGAATTGGGGAAGGGGAGGAAGAGGAAAAGTGGGCGTTTTTCGGATTCTGCGCGAAAATAGCCCTTTACGCGCACTTCGGATTTCGTGACGATTTCGAGCATTTCTGATCGAATTTTAGGGTCTTTTGGAGAGTGAAGATTGGTTTCCAAAGGCTTGGATCTTGATATCTTAGGGTTCTTTATTTGAAAGAAATTATTTCCCAAGTTAGATTTTAGGGCGAAATAGTGCGAACTTTCGCCGAGTTTTTCGACTGAGATTTTTAACCCCTCGAGTCTAAGTCGACACTTTCAAGGAAGAGCTTATTTTGATTGACTAAAAATTCTTCATTTTCAAATGATTGCTATTTAATGTTATTTATACTGTTTATCGAATTAATATTTTTAGGAAAACTTAGGCAATCAACTTGTTCTCGTTTCAATCTAATTTGTTCTCGACGCCCACGCGTTTCAGTCCGAAAAGCGACGTTTAGAATAAAGCGACGCCTGGAATAATACGCCGTTCAGAATAGTGTTATAATCGTCGCTTTGTGTAAAACGTCGTGCATCCATATTGTTTGGCGCAGCTATATGACAACCAAAGCAAAATTTGTAACTTCCGGGATTCTTGTGACAGCACACCTTGCACAGCCAGCAACCATCTTTGAGCCACCAACCCGAGGATAGTTTCTTTGGAATCCAGGCTTATGCTTGAACCTGCTGCTGGATTTCAGGACGCTCGTATATCAGCGCTTGTCGACTTTCTGCCAGTACAGATCTTCAATACCTCTTGCTCGTTTAGCTTCCATCACCCTTTGGAGATTCGGGTTCTTCTGGAATTTCTTCCTCTGGTTCTTTTTCCTCGTCGCTATCACTTGATTCTTGAATTTCCCCGGATTCGTAATCTTCCTGGCAAGCGACACTATCCGCATTTTTATAAGCATTCTCTTTGATTCTCTCTTCGAGAGCATCTTCCATTGGCAACGGTTGGTCCTTATCGAGATCCAAGCCCGGGTGAGACTCTTAAATTGACTTCATGAAATCTTGCACCTGGAAGAACTGCATCTCGTCATCAGTCATGACAGGAACCTGAGACATCGCGTTTATGTATTTTAGCAAAGCGGGACCTCTCGCGAGCTCTTTGCCCTGTCGGATTCGCTCAAGGAATTCTTTTATGCGATCACGAATGGCATACTTTGTCTTTCTTCGCTCCATGCGCTCTTTTTAACGAGAATCATCTTCCTCAGCTTTCATGATATAAAAGAAGTACGGATCAGCTGGAGCTGCTTCCCCACAGCTTCGCCAAACAGTTCAGTCTAGTTGATTTATTCACAGAATCACATGGATACCTAGAGCATTGCCACTCATCAAGCGACCATTCGGTCAGCTTCTTTGCTGTACGATTCGTCTTTGTTTTCTTGAAGAAACCATCTTTCAATTTCTCCGCTTGTGAAGTAATCAGGCCTCTGTGATGCATGGTGCAGACATTGACAGCGACTTTCTTGAATGAGGCGGCTTCTTTATTTGCAATCATCATGATTCCACGCGAAGCTGGATAATAGGTACTAAAATAAATTCTTCCCGAGGCCCACAATTATAAAGGGTTCAATATACTTCCCTGGGCTCACTAAGTAAACGGGTTTCAGATTCTCGAAATGAATCGAGCGCCCATGGCAAACTTGCTCTTCGTTTTTTTTCCAGAAGTGCTATTTGGATTTTCTAGAAGTGCCAAGAACAAAATTCAACTGGTTCGCCGATTTCGAGTTCAACAGAGTTCGTACAATTCATTTTGAGAATCTGAAACCCGTTTACTTAGTGAGCCCAGGGAAGAATATTGAACCCGTTATAATTGTGGGCCTCGGGAAGAATTTTCCCTTTATAATATTGGGCCCCCTTTTTGATTACGAATGTAAATAATTAATGGAGATTCCTTTATCTTGTTTCATTTTGGGTAAAAGTGATAACCTTACCCTTATGCTTATCGGCGCGGGTGCGCGTCAGTAGCTACGGTTTGGGGGCAGAGTTGCAAATTTTGTGAGCTAGCTGAGCTGAGCTATCTGAGCTAGCTGAGCTACAGCTCAGCTCAGCTCAGCTCAGCAATTTTGAGGTTAGTGTCAGCTCAGCTCAATTTTTCTGAAGAAAACTAGCTCAGCTCAGCTCAATAGATTTTCGAAAAGAGCCAGCTCAGCTCAGCTAGCTCAATTTTAACCTCAGCTCAGCTAGCTCAGCTCAGCTCAGTCTACTGAGCTGACAAAGATCGAACCACTTTTGATTGGTCTTATTTTCAAAAACTTACACGTATTTTCTATTGCGGCTTTCCTGTTGGTCAATTTTAGATAGAAATAATTCGAGTTTTCTTTGAAGCAAGAGAGAAATAAGATAAAAAATAGCTTCTTATAAAAAAAATAATAAGGTACAGATGGTAAATATGTGATTGCGAATGTGAGAGACTGGTCTAGGGGTGTGCGAGGGCAGGGGCTCCCTGTCCGTCTACTCTAGAAGGTTGAAACATTGGCTCACCCACATAAATGATACCACTGTATCATATATTGGAGGATTCCTTATTGTTAAATTACAGAATAAATTTTTTATGTCAAAAAGTGCGATGTTGCGAGTGAGATGCTGGTCTAGGGGTGTGTGAGGGCAGGCGCTCCCCTGTCCATCTACTCTAGAAGGTTGAAATTCGCTGCAATACATTTTGTTGACATTTTTTGTAGTAAATAAAAATCAGCTTTCTCAGCTCAGCTCAGCTAGCTCAGCTCAGCTAGCTCAGCTTAAAAAAATGGTCAGCTCAGCTCAGCTAGCTCAGTTTGAGAAATCATCAGCTCAGCTCAAAAATTTTCAAATATGCCCCAGCTCAGCTCAGCTCAGCTCAATTTTTTTGAAAAAATTCAGCTCAGCTCAGCTCAGTTGTTCTTAAAGGGGGCCAGCTCAGCTCAGCTCAGCTCAATTTCGACCTCAGCTCAGCTAGCTCAGCTCAGAAAAAATTTTCAAAAATTTGCAACTCTGTTTGGGGGGTTTGCGTCAATTGCTACGGTTGCGTCAATAGCTACGGTGCGTCAATAGCTACGGTTAAAAATGAGTCATAGAGAGCATGGAAATTGACAGACAGCTTAGGGTGGGCATCAACCTAGGTCGGGTCTGCCGGTAAATTAGAAAATTACAAGAATCTGAAGCTATCTAGGTCTGTTTGAAAGATAATGTGGTCGTTTAAGGGGGGGGTCGACGAGAATTTTTTCAGGGGTGATCGTAATTTCTCATGTACACATAGTCTGGATATGAAACTTATATTTTTGGAATTGTCAGATCCTCCCGAATCCGTTAAGCCCAAAAACATTTGATAAAAATGAGATTTAGGGGGTGAAATTATGAAAAATGTAAAAAGAATGGCCATTTTTGGTGCATTTTCGCGAAAATGCCCCTACTTTGAGGGGATTTTTGACCGATTTTTTCTGGCGAAAATTTTTTCTAGTTTTCGCTGCCTGATTTTTTCAACCCTTTTCTATCCACCAGTATACTCAGATTTTCCCTATCTTATCCGGTTTTCCCGCATTTTTGGTCACGGAAATCCCGATTCTCGTCGACCCCCCCTTAACGCTTACAAAAATGATACGTAAGAAAAATAAAGCCTCAGAACGATCGATCACGCGTCCGAATGGCGGACAACTTTCCTGTCCTTTATCGGCGGCTGTGGAGCACGACGGAATTTCGGATCTCGCGCGGATCAAATAGGTTTGGGACAAATAAGGACTGATAAGTTGGAAACAAATCATTCATGAAATGATCGATGGCTCCCTTTTTCTACTCCTTGTCTTCATCCCCCGCCGGAAGTTGAAAAAGAAAGAATCAGTAAAAGAACAAAATAATCGAATTAGAAAATCCGTTATTTTTAATTTGCATATTTTGACCGTGGAGAGCATAAAGAACGAAAAAGTTTGGTATTGCATTTCCAAAAATTGGTAATGGATTACCAAAATTGGTAATGCATTACCAATTGGTAATTTAGACGAGCGTTCCCCATCAAGAGGGCATAAAAGAGTCGGTTGAAATGTAAAGGTCTAGCGAGCAGATGGACGGGGATGAATATTTTACGCCAACTGAAATTGAGAAAAATGGAGTTAGGGCCCTGCAAATTCGATTAAAGCTGACTCGAACTTGAAGACGCTTTCTGCCAACAAAATTAAAACAGATTACCTTTCTGACAGCTAGTTTCGCTCGAAATTCCACAAGGGGTTAAGTCCCTCTAATGGCCCTTTTGCCGATAACTTTTGTTGTGTACAAATGGTCGAGTTGTGTACTCTTCCGATAACGCGAAATAGAAAAAAACTGATAAAGGAGCTCAAGGCCAGCCGGAGACGGAGCGACGCGATTTTTGAATTTTGTCGTTTTGGCGGAAATTTGGACAAGATTAAAACTCAAATTCCAGATACAAGAACAAGCACACACACAGTAAGCAGTTTTGGTAATGTAGAGTGGGCTGTATCTACAAATTCTAGTCTTGGCATTTAGAATAAAATGATTTGGGTGGGTAACTTTTATGGTTGGTATTCCGAACTTGATTTAATTTTATCAGCTGACCCGAATAAATATCACGTGATATTACGACGTCATCAGATAGAACTCGTCAAGCAGGTCAATTTGATACCCGAATCTACTCCGGGAAACGACAGGAACTTATCGTATACACATTTTAAAGCTCTGACTTTACCGGAATTGACCCTTATTTGACCAAAATTTTTCAATTTTCATGATTTCTCAGATTCTCAAAGTATTTACCCGGAAGGGAACGGAGGTATTTGAGGGCTCAAAATGATCAGCGCAACGAGCTCTATCAGATAAGCTCAAAAAACAAAGCGTACAGAAAAATTATTTGAAAAGTGACCCACCCTAATAGTGATACCTCGAAAAAAACAATTTTCCCGAAAAATCCTATGGTAATTCAGAAAAAATAAAAAATGATTCTTTTCGAAATTAAGAATTCTAAAAATGATGGAACTGGTCAGGCTTGACGCAGTTTGGCAGCGCTTTGCCTCTGCAGAATGCGAGTTTTTTGAAGTTGTCAAGCTCATCAATGACAAACAATCCTACGGGCCATCTTTGCTCTAGTGCATGTCCGAAATTTCAAAATAAGCTTGTGTTCGCGCATTTATCGAAAAGTTCCTTTACTACAGTCACTGCGGAGCTGGAAAAACCAGTCGTCGAGTTTTCGTGGCACTCTTTTGCAGTCCAACTTAGTTCTGCTTCGTTGTGTTCTGGCAGCGTGACGTGTATCATTTACCATGAAGTTTTACTCTTGATGGAGAAAGTCCCTGGCACTCTTCCCCGTTTCCCGCGCAATTCAATCTCGTGGGATTCTAGAAATTTTGTCAAGCCCATGTTTAGCTCTTTCTCGAATCTCGAAATTATGTACGGAAGAAAAATGTCCGCTGATCGACAAGTTTTAGATCTGTTCTCACAAACTAACCACAAAATCTTCATTCAAAATAAGTGCCAAACTTTCTCGTTCAATTCAACTCAACCAATTCGGCAACATCTGACTTTCAAACATTCTTGCTTCTTTACTATCACCCGAAAAACTGCGACTGCTTCTCGGTGCGGAACCTGGCACCGACAGGGCGAAACGATGCCTGTTTGACAGGTAGACTACGTGGTACTCCTAATATTCGAGCGGCTGTTCATGCACTCTTAGCATCTCCGTTATGTTTCCACTTCTTGATCAAATAAAACGATGGCCTCCGGTTTCTGAGCGTACTCAATAACATCCGATGGCCATTTTTATAAGACTTTTGCGGAAACTGCTCAATGGGAGTGATGTTCCATCGGAACTTATTGGTGTGGAGAATAATTCGTTTGCGATCGTTGGAGCCCTTCGTAGTATGGAAAAATGTTTCGGTAAAAGCGACCGAAATATAAATCACTTTCAAGGGGTCAAATATGATAAATATTTCGGCAGGCAGCCAAAAGAATTCTACAAATAAGGCTCGTTTCACGGAAAAATATTTCGGTACGGGCCGAAAGAAAAATCAGAATTTGATGTCTTTTGAGCAATAAAGTTTCGGTAGGTTTTTCCACTATCATCCTGATTTGCGCTGGTATAAGCATTCAATGAGTGTGCCTTATCAATTTTCACCTCAAAAATCTCGAGTTATTTTCTGCTCTCTTAATCAGAAGATCATCTCTGGCTTCATTCTTCATTTCGCAAAAATAAAGGAGGCCGATGATAAAAAAAATGAAATCGTAATATTTGCTAAAATAAAGGTTAGGGTTAGGGGCCACCTGCAAAAATGACGGAACAAATTACCCAAGGGGGATAGGCTACGGTTAGTTAGGGTTACTGAAGGTAATGAGAGTATAGAAAGAGAAAACGCAGACACCAAACCAACATCACACGAGTTAGAATGGGCCTCCCGGCCCCGCAAACCCTTACCTTTATACAAAATTTGTTCTGATTTTATAGCCTTATTTTATCATTCTTTCCGCGGAAAAAGCTCTAACCTGAAACCGCGGAAAAATTAAGAACTGGCACAGTAAAGCAGTTCCAACCAGAAACAGCGGAAAAATTAAGAATTAGCACAGTAAAGCAGCTCCAACCAGAAACCGCGGAAAAATTAAGAACTGGCATACAGAAGCAGCTCCAACCAGAAACCGTGGAAAAAATTAAGAAATGGCATAGTAAAGCAGCTCCAATCAGAAACCGCGGAAAAAATAATAACCGAAGTATGAGAGAAAATCCAATCAGAAAACACAAAATAATAAACGACGAATATAAAGAGTCGGTCCAAGGGGGATCAACCAAATAAATAAAAATATACCTATTTGAAGGGACTCCATATACATCTCACGAAAAAAATAAAAAATTGCCTACGGAAAGGTACATCAGAGAAAAAAAAGTTCCTCCACTTTAGAAACGAAAAACAGAACTAACTCCAAAAAAAATGCTCCAACTCAACCTAACTCCAGATTTTGACCTGAGCCGAAATATCATCTCTTTTCAGAGTAAAGACGGTTGATTCTGGCGCAGATGGATTCTGTTGCGAATGCAGTTCGTATGTGTTCCAACCGTCAGAACAAAAAGTCTCTTTGACAGCTTCAAATGGTTGTCGACCAGCAACTGTTGTATCCATAGGATCATCATCTGCTTGGTTCATGATGAATCTTAAGATATTGTGCTAGCAGGGGTCTAAATATCAGCCGAAATCCCAGTGCGAAAGCGAAGCGAAAGCGAACTTTTTCAATTTTTTTGCGAAGCGAATAATTTCCCCATGTGCGAAGCGAAATATCTTCGAAAATTGCGAAAAAAAAAGTCTATGCAACATAGTGCAAACAGCATTCTCTACCTCAGTAGACCCTTCGTAGATCTGTACAAAGAGAATATTCGATTTCCGTTGATTCCGATGCCAGCTTCATTTGTTATTTCAAAAATGTTGAGCACATCGCCAAACCTTCCGGAATTATCGCACTTGACATCAATCCTGATGAGAAAATTGGGACTGGCTTTAAAATCTGCAATTTTCGTGTTCTCAAAAGTAATTATAATTAACAACTTGATACAGCCAATTAAATACCTTTTTTGGCGAGAATTCACATATTTGCCAATCTTCACAATTGCTTCTAATATCACAGCCATTTAAGCACTGTTGTAGATAAAAATTTTTTATCTTGCAGTTTGTTTTGTCAAGAGTTGCCGGTCCTATCCAAATTTGTTTATCATTAGTATGGTAATACTCGTAATTAAAATCGTCATCAAGAACAATATTATTATGACTTAATTCCGATCCAGTTAGATCAGAGGTAGAATTATAAACTGATGTTTTGACTTGAATATTCTGCCTTTTTTGGATAATTTTCGGAGATTATGTCGTACAAAAACATTTTAACAAACTTAATTTAGTGAGTTTTTATATCAACTCTGGCTTGTAGAATCGTACGAAATTATCCTTTCACAAACATCCGGTTGAAATACCATATTGAAACTATGGAAACTAGGAGTGGTGCGTGCTCTGTATTTATTAAGTTTAAACGTGTTGACACTTGTTCGCTTCAGCAAGAAATAAAATGATTTATAATATGGAATAAAGACGAGATTTTCTCGATTGAGGGTCTCAGTCGGGCACATCACATCAAAATTAAAAATAAAAATTCTTCCAATTTTCATTGTATGGACAAGATTCCCAGAAGTCGGAGTCATTTCACAGGCATCAACAAAAGTAGTACAAGATTCCAAGCCGTAGCAAAAGTCCGAACAATTACCAATATCTGGAAAAGACTGATGAAACAAATTGCGAATTTTTTGGTTTTCTCCGACAACTTGCGAAGGATCCCCCAAGTAGACAAAGATTTTTCGATTCAATTTCAGATTTCTCGGTGCATATTGTAGATTTCCATTGACATAGCCATCTTGTCTCGACGTCATCAGAATGTTATCGAGAGTATCTTCTCGCAGTTGTACGACGATCTCTATCCACTCTCCATTTGGACAACTTCTTGTTGCATCGGCGGGACTGTTATATGTTGAAAAATTGAAGTTATATCTAATTTTATCATCCGAAAGCATTTCAAAAGAAAACAACCAGTTATGGATAGAGCCCCCTGCGTCATGCTCAGTAAGATGAAGGATATTTCTGTTCTGTCCACCGAACGCATGATGACATTGAAATTCGAAGCTGATCTTCATGTTTTTGCTTGTAACAAACTGACCGACGTAAGAATCGTTCGAGCTTGGTGAGGATTCGCAAGAATTAACGAAAGTGGTACAGCTTTCTTTTCCATCGCAAGGATCCGTGCAAGGATCAAACTCCTGAACGAAAAAATTTCTCACTTCCGCGAATTCACCTGCTGTGTCTGCGTACGAATGAGGATCGTATGACAAATGAACTCTCATCAATTCGTTGGAAAGGACATTTTCAATGTCAAACAATTCTTGATCGATGATATCGTCGCCAAATCGGACTGTACGGAGAACTTTTCCTTGTTGTATTTCTCGCTGCTCCATGGATAATTTTTGCCAGGCACCGATTGTCGGTCTAACATATCTGCCTTTTCAAGCTTTCACTTTATTTTATCTCATTATATTATATATAATTATTATTGCTGTAAGAGCCCGTTTCCTATTCCGTAAAATTCTGGGCTTGGCCGCTGATCAAGATATCTCAACCAGAAGTCCACGTCGTTTGCATCAAGCCACAACGCAAAGTACCTCTTTCCGACATCATTATCACCTCGTCCAAGATATTCGTCATCGGAAATATGTATTATACTTCTATCATTAGCTCTTGTCAGAGTCTTTGTTCGTATTTCCATGCTAATCAAATAATTCAGCGGGATCGTGATTGACCCAATTTGCTGGTTTCGGATCGGAATTTTGCCGCAGTGATCGATAAATCTTGTGCATTTTGAAATAGACACCCATTCATTCGTCAAACAGGGATCCGTGCAAGATTGAGCATAAACATTTCTAATCAGAGCTCCATTTCCCGCGGTACTTCCTTGATGAGAGACAAGGACGTGAACTGCCTGCCCGATAACCATTATATTACTTGTTTGATACTCACGTTCAACAAGTTTTTCATTATTTTTCCAAACTATTTGGCGAATTTTGCCAGGTTCGATTTCTCTTTGTTCAAGCACAAATCTCGTCCAGGTATTTTCTTCACAAGGACTAGGTTGTATGCTTTGCCCACATTTAGCATCAAACGTTGATTGATCAATAAATCTTTCTCAATTGATAAAAAGATCATTTTTATAATACAAAAAAACGAGCTTTAGAAAAAAATCTATAATCTTTAAACTCGTTTATAAATGCAAGTTTTTATCCGTCCGGGAGGTAGAATCCACCTTCAACAATCCATAGGCCAAAGATTCGATCTCTTCTGTCACTCGTACTAGTACAATCGCCTCCTAGATTTACTGAAAACTCAATAATATTCTTCCAGCTCAAAGTACAGTCAAGGACTAAAACTTCAAAGCTGAACTTTAGGGTCAAGAATAAGGCTCGGTGAAAGCTTCATTTAAAAAAGGGATGCTATTATTGACCCCTGGCTGAAGTCGTATTCCTTTGTGGCAAGAAAAGCTCCTCGGTTATTGTTCAAAGTTGGGCTGATACTGCAAGAATCAACAAAAGTGTCGCATTTATTCTTGTTCTGACAAGGGTCAGTGCAAGAAAAACATCTCTCGAGAAAACTTAAAAATAAAAAAGCAAGGAGCATTTTGTCCAAATTTCTGGGTAAAAATTACCCGAAAATTCTCTTTCATTCAGCTTTTTAATGAATATTAATGTTTGTCAATGTAAAGAGTGGATTAACAGCAAAGGCGAACTGACAAATGCAGGTGTACAAAAACGACGGAAGCGATGCGAGCCTAAATAATTGATGTTTCTCAAAAATATTTCCTAATTTTTGAACTTGAAAATGACCGTGGAAATGAAGCGAGGATCAATTATTTATTTGGGCTGAAGTTTTGAAATATTTTCTTGATTTTATTACAGTTCTTCCTTGGCAAAAGAAAGCTTATTGCTAGAAAAAAGCTTCTTTAAGAATTCCGCCGATTTCTTCGGATAGACTCGTCTCCTCGGATCTAAATTATATTTAGAGATTTTTATACAACCCTAACATACCATTGAAGTCAACCCAATGAACACCAAAACGCTCCGTGTATCCACGGGCCCACTCGAAATTGTCCATCAAAGACCAGGCCATGTAGCCTTTGACATTGACGCCATTCTTCATCGCTCTCTACCAAATTATTTAAAAAATATGAATGAACGAAAAGATACCTTCATCGAAGACACGTAACTCGAATAATAATCAATTCTGAACTGGTCCTCTAAATCTTGAGCTCCAGTATCTTTCGAAGACGCGCCATTTTCAGTCACGTAAAGCGGATATTTTTTGGTATCCCAGCGATTATGAATGAACTCAAGAAGTTTTTGAAAACCCCAGGGGACTGGTCGAAGCCAGACAGAACCAGTAACTGGCCAGGAATCGCACTCAACTTCTTCAAAGCCGTATTCGCAAGAGTCGCAAGAACGGACTAGGCGGGTTGTGTAGTGATTTAGTCCGAAGAAATCAGAAGCTCCTTGGTTCAACTTTTTCTGATCTTCCGAAAACTCTGACAAAGTCTTTCCTTCGTCAGAAATCAGCGTTTTCAGCTCAGATGAAAAATCTCCAGAACCGAAAATTGGTTCTGCCCACCAGCCAAGATCAAGCTCCATTTTAAGATCCGCGAGATCTCTTTCTTCCTCTGTTTCAGGCTCATTCCACATTGAGAAAAGGGTAATTCCAACCTGTCCTTTCTGATTGTCTCTGTATTTTTGATCGTATCTTCGGTAAGCTTTGACATGCGCTAGAATCGTATTGAATCGCGCCTCAAGCATGTAGCCCTTCCTTCCCGGAGCCATGATTCCTTCGTGATATCCTTGATCGACAAATATTCCAGGCTCGTTGAGAGTGATCCAGTTTTTAACTCTATCGCCGAATGTTCTGAAGCAAAAATCGGCATAATCTGCAAACAGGTCCGAAATTGATGAGTTTATCCAGCCACCAGGAGCAATGGTATTCTGTATCTCACTAAAAATAATTGGTGAAGCCAGATTGATCTTTCTACCTTGGAAGATCCCAATGATAGATAGTCACAAATGGAATAATATTGTTTTCAAGCAAGTCGTCGATCATTTTGTTGTAGTAATCAACTCCTTTCGCATTTATACCCAAGTCTTCTGTTCTGAAAATAACCTCTAAAAATCACCTCACAAAATTTTCGATTCTACCCGAAAGGAAGCAAGCGGGACCATGAAAGGGAGAAGCGATACGTCTTCACATTCGTATTTTTTAACAACTCAAGATCCCGATCCCACTGTCTGTAACTGTCACAAGCGATGTCTCCTGTATGACATTTATCCACATTACAGCGTGTTTCTCCATTGACATTTATATTTTTCTCGCCCCAGTAGTGAGAATAATCGTCCCAGATGCTATTTCCCCTGCCATCCTCAGTAGTTATAGTAGTGACTGACCATTTGATAATTTTTCTGGGAGTCGATTGGTAGAGAGCAGTGGAGCACTGAACCATGGTACGCATGGCTCAGTGCGGGGTGAAGGCCCCTCAGGGCCTTCTTGCCAGTCATCAGACACCAAAATGAGAGCATTAACACCACCACCAAAGTGCAGATGCACATGCATTACATGCATGCACCATCTTACACTATAGGGCGGCGTGATTTTCAGTCCACTCCACTGTAGCGCTTTTCTAATGGTCAGTCACTACTATTTCGCCTATTAAATAAAAAAAATTATTTTAAACGCACTATCCCCCATTTCTAACGCTACTGAACGTTTTTATGCTATCCCCTTACTCTTAACTTATCTCTAACCCTAACAAAGCTACGTTTAGAAAAAGAAAATACGCTAACTTGTGCTTATGCCCCGCTTCTCTTCGCTGCACCGACCAGCGCTCCAATCCCAGCGCGCCATTCGGAGCGCAGATCCACGCTCAAGGATTAACTCGCCTTCCCCCCGCCTCCGCTCTTTCTTCCGGTTAGTCATCTTCCTCTAGAACATTCTATCCATCGATTCTCTCGAACATTCTTTCTCACCATTGATTTTTAGCTCTGCCCGCCCGCCCCGCGCCGCGTCAACAACAACGACGACTTCTTATCACGCTGCTGCCGCTGCTGAATTATCTGCTGGACGCTCAATCTTTTCTCACTAGCCAAACATTTATTTCTCTAAATTTTATTTTGGTAAGTCAACAAGGTATTACGGTGGGATGGTTGTAAAACGGTGGGGGAAAAGTTCTTCGTCGCTATAAATTGGGGGAAGGTTTGTGATCACAATGAAGACAACGGCGGCGAAAGTAGCAGACATTAGCACGCAAAAGCAACATCCGAGTATGATGCTTTCCAGGACAACTTGAATAATATTGGTAGCCATTTTGCTTGTTTTTGTTTTTTCAGTTTTGCAAATTTTATACTCGAAAGAAACATTTTGCGTGTTATATGTTCTTTCGCAGGTGCGGTCCAACTGGTGCACCTCTGCATTTTATGCAATCAGCCGCCACTTATCGACCTCTCCTACCAAACAAAGTACTTTTGGGTTAAGTACCTCTTTGATGTTTTAGCTACAGGTCTTTCTCACTATTAATTTTAGCTTTGCCCGCGTCGCGCTGCACTGCCAACAAGAACGATTTCTTATCACGCTGCCTGGGCGCTCAACCTTTTCCCACAAGCCAAACACCGTAATACCTTTCACTGCCTAAATCCTCCTATCTTTCAATAAAACCAAATATACTTGAACAAATGAAACATTTTAACATCGGTTCGTTTTCTTGACGCAAGCATCAATCTCAATAGTAATTTTACGGCCCTGATTTCCAGCGCACATTTTCTCGCGCCCTTGGATATAACTTTCAATGAATCGATGGCGTAAGCTCTGCCTTCAAATACGATGGCCCGCATCTTTCGATTTTACTTTAGACTTTTCACAAGGAAACGATTTCACAGTCCTTATTTTTCGCATATATAACCGCAGAGCTAAGTAAAGACTCTACACTTTTAAAATGCTCCTTTAGCTGCAATAACGAAATCGCTACAGAGTTTTATTGTCAATTAAAAATATGATTTTTTGAAATGTCCAGCAAGATCAGGAAACACAATGGCAATGCCACTACAACGAGCTTAAATAAGAGAAAATAAAAATTATAAAAAGTAAGTCCTTCATGATTTCAACCATCTCTAAAGGGTTCTTCAGAAAAAAATAAAATGACCACAGAAGATATACCGACATCTGAAGACTTTCCAGAGAGATAATTAACTTTATAAAATGAATAATCTAAAGCTCACCTGAATCCTTTGAAGTGCTCACTAATTGTTTTTTAGAAATGAATATTTATAAAATGTATCGTTTCTTTTTTCGATTTTTCATTGATCCGAACAGTTGTCCAGAATATAAAATGTTTCGTGATTTTTCTTTGACTTTGGATAATGCTTTACTAGAACTTAAAATGAAACTAAAATATTTCCTAATTAGTTGTAGAAATACTGAATTTATTTGTAAATTTAAAATGAATTCTAATTTTTTACTCGTGCGAGTGTAATGCCGAACTAATATAAAATGAAACTCAAAAGTTTCTCATTTTCTTGAGGAAGAATCGAATCTGTAATTCAACAAAAATGTTTTAAACTTTATAAAATGCGCCACGATTTCTTATGACTTTTAAATAATCATAGAGACTTTCTTTATTAAAATGATGCTTGAAAATTTCTGATAAATCGAACTTAATCCACAATTGAAAATAAAATGAACCTTTATTAATGCAACGTGCGTGATAGACAACCTCTTTAAAATGAAGCTTAATGTAGGTAAATGATGAATAAAGCAAGGTTATCAAAATAAAATGACTCTGTATCAATGCAATTTGCGTAGTAAATACAATTTATATTAAAATAAAATGAATCCACACTGTCATTCTCATTCATCCTTAGATATATTCGAATTTAAAATGAAACTAAAGTTGTAATTCTTTTTCGCCGTTTAACGAAATCATTTTGAATATAATGATACTTAATTTCTACTAGTCTTTGAATCTCAAATGAAGCTTTATGATCGATCACATATTGAACAATCTGCATTTTCTTAAAAAACTTTCAAATAAACTTTTAATTTTGAAATTTGCAAATTATTTTTATTTGCAGGAATGAATGAGTTTATATGTTATGTACAGTGACTATTTGCAGTTGAATGTTATTTACAGTTTCTTCTGAAGCCTTTTTGCAGTGGGCAACAAGTGTTCGAAGAAGTGTAGCGAAAATGATGATCCAGAAAATGTGGAAGGCAAGTGTGATCCAAAATGAAGTAATTACAAATGCAGCGAAAATGGCCAAAAGAGCAAATGAGAGGATTCCAAACTTGATAATGTCGGTCATCTTCTTCTTTCTTCTTTCTTCTTTTTCTGAAAACAAGATTTTTTGATTTAATGAATTCTGAAATTTCTCCGCCCTTAAATGTAGACTTTCCAGCTGTTTATGCAAGCAGATTTTTTACACCTGGACTTGGTTTCATTAAATGAGAATCTGGTTGTCATTAAGCTCGATAACAATCTTAATTGGTTCGATCTATTTTAATGAGCTTTCTCCTTAATTAAAAATTTAAGTTTCACTTAAATATTATATTTCTTCTCAAAGCCATCCTAAACCTTTTGCAGTCTGCACTTTATTAATTGCACGAAAAATTTGAAATCAACAACGAGATAAAAGTATTTCTTTATATTTATTCATCGATTGTCGAACAGAATGTTTATAAAAAAATCACTTTTTGTCTTCGGCTTTCTTTTCGGTCTCATTGTCGCTTCCAGATGAGTCGTTTTCGGCGCTTTTCAGAAGTCTCCGAGCCGCCTTTTTTTCTTCTTCTTCGCGCATTTGAGTGGTAGATCGTAGTTCTCGACGCAAAAGCATCAAATGAGGATCATTATTGACGGTAGATCCATAATAATTATAATCCCGTTTGTTTATCATGATCGTAAAATTATCGAAATTTTCGCCAGAACGAATTCTATCTCGAAGTTTACGCGGCACCTTGAGATTTTTTCGTTTGATTATTTCGGCAAGAGTCGACGCTGGAATAAAAAAGTTGTCGCCTCCTGCAACTTTCCAAAGTCGATATCCCATATAGGGCTCGAATTTCTTATTTCCATCGCCGATAATTTCTTCGCATTTTTGAATATATTCGTCGCGGGTCATCTGACAAGGCCGGAGAGCGGGCGCTCGTTGTTGTTCGCACTCGTCCGAGGAGCACGAATCTTCGCCCATTGTTGCAGGAGTATTCATTTGAAAACCTTCAGTCATTTTCTTGCTTGTACTTTTATTGAAGTCAAGTACGCCAAAGAAATTACGCAGCCGAATTTAAAGTTTTTCGCACCTGGCCGGAAGGAAGTAAAAATAAGCGTTGAATGTTGTTGACATTTACCGTAGGATGTTTTGGGCAAAAAATCTCTCGAACGTGTTTTTCTAGAGATACCGTTGTTTTCCGAGAAAACCGCATCTCTAGAACATCTCCCTATGTTTTGAAAAATTGTTGAAAATCGTCAGTTTGTCTTTTCAAGCAGTCGAGGAAAGGTCAAAAGCGTTATTTTTGCCAAAAATGGTAAGTTATTATTCGTCTTTATTTTTATGAAATAATTTAAAATAACTGTGGCTCATATTTATTCGATTTTCTAGCGAACACGATCCATCTCATCTCGGTTTTCTCGGTTGAGCTCAAATCTCCGGGAAGCCGAGCGACATCTTCGTACCTTAAGGCTCGAAATCTTCGGCAGCGAGGCTTCTTCTGACTCTCCAAGCTCCACCACGGATGTCGACATGTCCGACAACGAAAATTCTCGGGGGCTTCTAAAGTTTACCGAGTTGGGGTCGCTCAAGGACCGATCTCACCCCCTCGAGCAGCGATGGCGACTTCAGGCCCAACAACGAGAGACCCAAGAAAACGAGATTCTTCGTCAAGCGGCGGTGCTCCGAGACGAGCCGATTGCGGAGGAAAATCGACGCGACTTGCTTAATCGACTCGACCAGCGAAACCGACGATCTCAGCAGGCTGGTCCTTCAAGCGAGGAGCCTACTGAAACCGAGCAAGCTCGTCAAGGTCCAAGCCGGGGCGCGCGATTTGGCGAAAAAGGCGGCGTCGGTCCTGCTTTTACCCGGGGTATGAACGGAATCTTCAACACCATCGACGATGCTGCTCGTAATCCTGGCAAAGCGTTGCGAAAAGCCCTTACTCCGGGTAAAAAAACCCCGGGTAAAAAAACTCCTGCCAAGAAGACGCCAGGCCGTAAAACTCCTGGAAAGAAGAGTGCGAAGAAGCTGGCTGGCGCAATGGTCCGAGGTCGACGTAAGTTTATTCTTTTTTGACGCGTACTTATATTCTTTAGGGGAGAAATTCCAGCAACCCCCTCGTGACCAGAAGGATCACTGCGAAGAGCTTCCTGCCCAGTTAGTGGTGCGAATGTTGGGCGAGTATTTGTCCGTCGACGACCAGGAAATCTTGGCGGAGAAAGCGGCGGAGTTGGAAAGCGCCTTCGAACAGCGCTTCGGCACCTTTTGGGACGACGTCGTGTCTGGACGCTGCAGGGTCACGTTCTTGACGAAGGGCGGTAGATCCTGGAATGTCGACGGGCCCAAATGGGAAACCAACGCCGAAGAACAAGACGACTAAAGTTCGCCTGCAGAAAAGACAAATTTATGCGCTTTTAAAGAGCTGCAAATAAAAACAATTTATTTCTAGAGACTGTGTCTTTATTGTTGAATATAAGCGGTTTGATAAGTAGCGGTAGAAATAGAGGCTAGTCGAAGGGATCGTTTGTTGAAGTGAAATGGTAGCGCTCCAAAGCTACTCTGTAGTGGACGTTGAGAGTGAATTGTAGATCGCGAGCAATTTTCAGAGCTTTTCGAACGGTTGCTCCGTACTTATCGCGGCGTAAAACAGCGGCTTTCCAAAGGGGTTCGTTTAAAGTTTTTCTTACTTTGGCGAGTCGGTGGCAGTGCTTAGTTCTAATGTTAATATTTCAGTAAGTTTTCTTACATTTGGAATCAGATGTTCATAAAGCACCATTTCATCGTTCGCGCAGATAAATGCCAGTCGCACTGTATTGATAAACAGCCTGGATATGTAAATAAACGCTTTCATTTGGTCGAGATCTTGTGAAATTTTCTGGCGATATGCGCTAAGCTCCTGTTGAGTGTGACCCATCTTGAAAAAAAATGGATTAATTTTTGAATTGGCCTATTTATTAAACTAGAAATCGTAAGCATGCAGAAATTTAACGAAAATTAGTCGGAAAAAGAGTGAACTAGAAAACTAAAGAGAGAAAGAACTAAAATGAAGTGTTGATCAGGGTTAAATAGTAGCGGTCAAAAGCAGGGCGAAAATGGATCTTGAGGGTGTTTTCGAGTTCCTGCATTTGTTTTCGTATGTCGCGAACTTTCTTGCCGATATCGTCTTCTCGCTTATCAGCGCCTTCCCACATGCGCTGGTCAAACATGGCTTTCATATCGTCCAAGCGTTTGCAGTGCTAAAAATAAATAACAAAAGTTCCGTTTATCCGCTCTTTTACCTCAGGTATTTTGTGTTCATGAAAGACGATTTTCTCTGGCCAGACAGCGCTCATGAATTCAATTTCGTCCACAAAGTCTTGTGTGTAAATTCGAAAATCACGCATCTTCCTCAATCCTCTCGTATATTGATCTTCGTACGCAGCTCGCTCTTCATCAGTTAGGTCGGCCATCTTGAAAGACTGGTGGCATCTGAATTTCGCTCGGCCTTTTATACTCCGACTTGATTTATCGTGAATATCTTTGAAAAAAGCGCGATTTTTGATTTAGTCATCGGTTTAGCTTTTTCCAACTTTGAGCGAAAAGTAAAATTCTTCGTATAATAAAAAAGTGGCGCCCGAGGGGAGCGCTCGTCTCGTAGTTCTATTTTCTTTTTACTAGCTTTCATTTTGTAAACATGTTGATTAAAAGCTTGGAGTTTTTTGAAGACGTAAAAGCGGACTTTCCTTGTTTTATGGTTGAGAATTCTAATCGTCATTGTCACAATCCGATTCTCCAAACCGTCAAATCTTTGGGCGTTCTAAAGAAACTGCAGCGAATTTCTTTCTTTATTGAAAGTTATTTCAACAAGGAAACAAACAGAATAGAGAATAGAGTAGTTGTAAGACAACACGAATGGCTTATTGAGTACTCGCCTTCTTTTTGTGTTCATCAGATGTATCTAAATAAGATATATGATAATTTACCATCAATGACTTCTTACGGTGTAACTTCAAGCGGATGCCCAGCAGTAAACTTCGGTCGGCGGAAGGTTATGGATCACATGTGCAAAGTGCAGCGCGAGTTCATCTATGATCGCAACTTACCTGAAGGATTTTTTTGCAACATTCAGAAGGTTATTTATCCGAATTTGAAAGAGGTCTTTTTCTCATTGAATCCTGGCAAAAATTGTGATTACCCTTTTCGCATACTTCTCGTTTTATATGGACAGCTCTGGGCTCGATCTTTGTTGGAGAAAGATTCACGTTTTCAAACTTTGGACAATCAACCTGACGTCAAAGCAATTGACCATTTTATCGAAAATCTTTTAAAAGAAATCGGAATTCCTCATGATGAAATTTACCCTCAACTAGCGCCGCAGGATGAATTTCTGTATCATATTACAATCTGTAGATTAGTTTATGGAAGTTATTACAGATTAGCGTGCCATCGAATGGCGTATTATTTTGGAAGCGTCTATTCTTCTATGCCGTGGTTTGGAAGCAAGCAAATGTTTCGACGATATATTCAAGACCTAGAAGAAAAAGCGATGGCTTGCGGTTATACTTTCGTGAGTTTTCTTTTTTCGATGCTTCAATAACGATTAAGTTTCATCCGTTCTTCCTTACGACTAGTGAAGCGTCCGATATTGCGGCTGATTCTTACGTTCCTCGGCAGGAAGTTAGAAAATTCAATATCTTCAGGAAAATAGCCTTCGAACAATCAAGACCTGCATCTGTTATCGTTGATCGTGAATGTTTTGATGATATCATTGATTTGTATAGGCATAATTAGTAAAATATGGCGTTACATCCGAAGATTGAAAAAGCGCGAATCGATCTACTTTTAAGAGCTCTTGAGCGCTGTGTCTAATAAATATCTCTCTTATTCTTACTTTATTTGAATTATGAAAAAAATTTATGAAGAATATACTAGTAATAAACTGCATCAATATGATGTTGGAGTCGTGGTTACCCATCAGAATCGATTTCAAAGCGATCAGCCCATTCTTTACGAGTTTTTGTGCAGCGGGGTTACTAGCGTGTCGTCAAAAATTATGTTTTTTGTAAAAGAGAATATTGACGAAAAAACTGGTACACGGTCTTCTTCGATAGTTATCAGACAAGTTGAGGACTGTATTTCACCTGGACCGCCTTCAAATATTCATTCGTCGCCTAACGAGCTGGTAAAAATTAAAAAGAAAACCGTTAAAGAATTTTTGAACGATCGACTTCAAGAAGACGCGACTTACTGCTTAGGTTATAAAAAAATAAAGAATGGAGTTATCAAGCGGGAATTCATTTACGAAAACAAGAAATTATCGTGTACCGTTCAATGCTACAAATATCCAAATCTTACCGTATTTTTTCGAAATTTGAACTTGTTTGGCAAAGCTTTCTTATGTGAAAAGGCGTTATATGCTGCATACGCTCAAATCTGGGCGCGAGGACTTATGGAAATGGACCCTGCGTACGCGTCGGATAAAAAGAAGATTGATGAGCGCGTTTTTTCTCTATGTCGTGCGGCTCAGATGAAATCTAGTGAATACATGGTATCAAAAATGGGCGAAGTTACTGTGCATTTTTATTATGTCACTGCAAAAATGTTTCTCCAGCGCGATCGAGGCCAATATTTTGGAGACAACAAGGACCTTGGCGAGAAATGGATTGCCCTGCTCAATAGTAAATGTGAGTTTTTTTTTGAAATTTTATTAACTTTATCTAGGGCCAACTCCTGCACTTGAGCACAATTCGTTCCCCCTGCACTTCCGGAAATATCTTGCTGAACAAAGATGCTGCTGTGCAAACGAAGAATGCGATCAAAGATTTTGCTCCCATAAAGAAATGCCGTGTGTTTTTATGTAATTTTTTTATTCATGTCAGTATTCAATAAATTTATATTGGAAATCTATTGTGACAGGCCAAACATCCATGGTGCACCACCCAATCCATCCACCTCTCCGAAGTAATTCGTAATTACTCTTGGTTGATCCGCGTGTCGGACGTCACGTTGAAGTATGATGTAATTGTAGTTGGGGATTCTTCGTTCTTTGAAGAGCTTCATGGCTTGATTGTAAGGCTCGACCAAGCCGCATTTAGTTGCAATCGTTTTGTTAATTCCACAGTCCGTATGATTGTTCATTAGAACAAAACTTGTCATGCAGTTTCTAAAAGGAGCGGTTAATTTAAAAAAACATAAAAAATATTGAAGACAAACCTTGCAGTAATGGCCTTTTTGCCCTTCTCATAAAAATTCTGGGCTATAAAGGCTAACGAGACACCCAAATGTCTACGCCCGTAGGAAAGTAAATATTCACAAGTATCACTTTCAACTGAAGACGACCATAAATCGTCTACGACTATTAGGCTTTTACTGTCCGCCTCTATTTGAAAAGTGTCGTCTACCCACTCTCGTGAGGGAAGCCCTTCCATTAGATACAGTTGTTGGTTACTATGAGGGGTAATATGGAGCGGCTCTAGACGCGGCATAAAATAATATATAGATTCAATATCGCCGTTGATTCCGTCACACTCAATTAGGTTTTTTACAAAATTACTTTTACCTGTGCCGGTCGAGCCTGCAATAAGCAGTGAACAGGGATGACGGAAGCGAAAGTCGGGGACGAGTTTCGTTAAATGTTGATGCATTTTACGAAAGCGACTTCAAATTGGCCGGCAATCCTTCCTGGGTAGTTCGGAGCGTTGGTGTCTGGCGGCGTGTATCCGTTGATACAGACAATGAGAGTTTTGTCCTGAAGATCAGTAAGTAGACCTGTCGGCTCGTAGAAGTAATTTCGAATTTCCGCTTCTTCTTGATTCCAATTCCTCGGATTGAAATGAAAGAAAGCTTCGCGATTTGTTTCCAATTTCTCTTGGCCTGGAAAGTTTATATCTCCAAGCTCAAATTTCTTGATTTTTCCGGTGACCTTGTGAGTTCCGCCGCTAAGCCAATTTTGGACGTTCAAGTTGTCAATTTTGACTTGAGTATAAGATTCAGCTCTTTTCGCTAGTTCGTCCATTGTTCTGACGATTCTAATTACGGTCTCTCGCTTTTATACTTCTGTTTTCATGTTTCCGCTAAAGGGCGCTCGCGCCGCGCGTATAAAACCGGATACCGTAACAATTTACCTTTAATCTTATTATTGTTCCTTTTCAAGTGACAACAAAAAAAGAAAATCAATTATCCAGGTATTTATGCACGAAACTTTTATGTTAATCTGGGATTAATTTGTGTTTTTGTGAGCATGAGTGTAACACTTTATTTTTAAAGACAATGGCTGGTCAAATTGACCTCAATAAAATACCCTTGAACGGTGGCTGTTATTTTTCACTGTCGCAAATGTTAAACATTTGCTCCTTTTGGGAAATTAATCCTCTAACTAATAGAGTGAGAGTTCGCGCCCCAAAAACAAAAGCAGAGCCGTATCCCGACTATGATACCGAGGAAGAGGGCACCGCCAAGCTACTTGCAGGACTTTGCAACCGGAAAATACCTCGAGGACAGGCTAGACGGTCTCGACGAATTAGAGGTCAAGCGCCTCGAGACCGAGGCGAGGAAGCGAGTGAGCTCGAGTCCGGCTTTGAAGAGGAAACGGGGTCGCCCACGAAAGGTGAAACAACCCTTAACGGAGCAAACAATTACGACTACTCTGAATCCGAGATCAGCGACGACTATTCAAAATCTTCAAGACGGCGCGAAGTCAAATCAAGAGGTCGGAAAAGGCGGAGAGTTGGATCAATGGACGAAGACAGTATCGAAGAAAGTCAACCAGTTGCGAGGCGTAAACGAAGAAGAATTGAAGCGCCTAAAGAAGTACGACGAAAAAGGAGGAAAAACGACGATGGCTATACTATCACCAGCGATGATTTCAGAAAATTCAGGGATTCAATTTATGACGCAACTCATCGCAGCCAGAAATCCAAAAACAGGCGAATTGAAATTTCCTCAGGAACTGATAGTGAGCAAATTTCCGACTTCAACGATCAAGATGACAGATCTTCTACCAAGAGCGACTCCAAAAGCGCCGACGAGTCTCAATTCTCGGACGATGATAATGACAAACGAAACGCCCGGGATGGAAGAAAAAATTCAAGAAATCCAAGAGAGCACTCCGTCATTGTCGAGAACCCCGCGTACAACTTCCACAAGCGAAAAACTGAAAAAAATCGGGCTCCCGCTGGACGAGTTATTACAGTTAGAAAGCCCAAAGAGTCTGAGAAATCTGAACAGCTCCCCAAATCTCGAAAAAGGGGTAGACCTAGTAACTCAATTTCAACAAAACGGGCCCCAGCAAAGCGGAGACGAAAATCTCCTGAATACAGCGAGAATGAAGGCACCACCTCCGACACTGGAGACAACAACGAGGACGACGAGCCCGTTCTCGAATCAACAGCCAACTTCTGGTCCCGCTAATAAACCGCCATATACGCTAGATTTATTTTATAACCCTAAACAACCGTCTTTTTACAGCGGCTTTAATGTAGATCGATTTAAACGTATGAACGATTCTATTTCTCTCCATAAACCTCTTCATAGAAATTTCGCGCGTAACCCTATAATCGCGACTGACTTGTATTCTTGTCTTTTCGCTGATACAATTCTAGCCTATCAAAACTATGGCGAATTCAACAATAATTACAAATATATTTTGTGCGTTGTTGATGCCTTATCAAGGCAGAGCTTCGTTCGTAAATTACTTAGCAAAGAGTCTGGAGAATTAGCGACCAATCTTGAATCCATTTTTCAAACACTAGACTTGCCAGGGCACACTTTTTTCGTGACAGATCAAGGATCTGAATTTCAGCAAGAAGTCCCTACGCTTCTGGCAAAATATGGAATGACTCGAGTTTTTAATACGGGGCCTCATAAAGCATCCATTGTTGAGCGTTTCAAGTAAGTCTTTATTTTTAATTGTTTCAAAATAGTATTTAATTTCAGTAAAACTCTTGAAGCACGACTTGGAAGAGCTTTCACGAGTCAAGGGAACGTTAAACGTTGGGTTCATATTTTACAACCTGTAAATACTGCAATCAATAATACTGTGCATTCTTCCACTAACGTTAAACCTGCAGATGTAAATCGCTATAATGCTCGGCAACTATTTGACTATTTAGAATCAAAACGATCTAAGCAGTATCGTCAAACATGGAGTAAGCTTCATGTTGGCGATGTTGTTAGAATTCCTCGTAAGAATATCAAACGCTTTGAAAAAGGTTTTACTCCTAAGTGGACTACAGAACTTTTTCAAATTTATCAAATTCATCATGGAGCTAGGGTTTTTTCATTTACTCTTATAAATTCAAAAGGCGTTAAATTAGATAGACGTTTTTATGAAAAAGAATTAAATCTAGTTATGACACTTTCTGAATTGAAACAAAGACGCTTGCGCCAACGGTATAGATTTTTATTCGTTTTTGTTTAGATGACAAGCAGATCTTATCTTGTGAAACCACGATTATCGCGATTACGAAATTTGGGTCTAGCTGCACCTTCGACTCGTCAACGAAAACGGCGACGGCGACCACGCCGACGTCGACGAGCTCCTCGAACTCGTCGATTGAGACGTCAAAGAAGACCAAATCGAAAACGGAGAAAGCGCCGACGAAGGCGACGAACATGAACGACGGCTCGCCAAAATGTTCAAAATGCTCGGATTGCTACATGTCAACACTAAAAAGAACATATTTTTAATAATTTTAATCGCCATTGTTTTTACTCACCTTCTTTTAGTTTCCCTCATTTATGCTCACATTAACATAATATCTTTAAAATTAGGGGTTATTATACCGTTGCTCACTAAACATAAGCTTAGTGATCTTTTCGGCTAGAATTCACTTGTTCACTATTTGTTATAATAAAATTTTAGTGCTTCACCATGGAAGAAAACTTTGGAAATCTTCTTTACTACAAGAAACCTAGAAAGACTTCGGACCCCTACGCTGGATATAAAGTTCTTCACACCCTCGGCGATTTTTCTGCGGGTAACGGAAAAATAACATTCGCAATGCCGCCTGACAAATTACCAATCAAACTGGACAGATGTGCGATTCTTTTTCAACTCAAAATGCCTTCTAATTTTGTTCCTGATAACGGCTTTGCATCGAAGATCATAGATAAATTCAATTTTTATATATTGGATGAATGTATCTTTTCAACTTGGACAAACGGCTTGGAATACCTGTTTTTTAACAATTTCGTCAAAAAGCTCAATTACTCGCCAAAAGCTCAGGAAGTCGAATTATTCCCGGAAGGACACTACGACTCCTACGATGCTGACGCTGATGAATTGCTAGAGTTAAAGTGCAAGCACAATGGCTTAAATCTTGTTGAAAATCGACAGCAATATGCGATGGAAGAATGGAAAGAATTGGAGAAACCTATCAAAATTTCAACAGGTAAAAACGCTGTCGATTGCGAAATGCTGTATCATCGATACCTTGTTCGATCTCCAATTAGCCACGGATTGGCGAGACAGCAGAGAGTTTTACCCGCGGATTCACGAGTGAAGTTTGAAATCCTTACTCAAAGTGGGGTTTCAACAGATAAACCGGAGACACCTAGGCGGATGGCAATGAGGTGGAGCGAATATCAGAAAGTCAGAACTTTAGAAAAAAATATTTACAAGAAAGACGATAAGGGTCATCTCATCCAAATAATGACTTATCCATTTGACAAAAATATTCAATTGGTAAATGAATGGGTCGAACATTTGACGGAAGAAGAGTGTGACTGTGCTGCTTCTAAATTTACAAGCGCTGATGAAGATACCGAGCCTGAATATCTTCAAATCGAACCTATTGGGGGAGATTATTTACCGAAAACCAGACTTAATGAACTATACACCAAAGGTACACCAGTGGATGAAAAAAACAATATTCAAGCAGTTCAAGGTACGTGGAGGGCTCATAAGGTGTATCGAAGAGTTCCTAAGTACGATAATATGGTCGAAGGCAATAACACGTATGTTATATTCTGGGCGAAGACTTCCACAGACTTTACCTTAACTACTGATATGCTCAGACATTTACAAATTGAGAGTGTTTTCTGCACTCCAACAAAAGATGAGCGACCGTTTATTATCGGTAAGAAACGGGCTAAAATCCCTTTTTATCATCCTCGATTATGTGTTGGAACATGGGCTCCGGGGTATAGAACTTATATTGTCGAATGTTCTCGGGGTTTATTTCCTGATATGCTGATTTTTACGGGAATGAGCGAAGCTCGAAAAATCCCTTCTTTCGAAAAATGCATAACTAAAACCTCTCTTTTTGAAGAAGGTTTTGAGATTGAGCAGTTTGAGATTTTAGTCGATAACGAGCACGCTCATGGAACTCCATGGAATTCTGCTCAAGACCATTATATAAATTTTCTCAAGCACAACGGTAGATACGCAAATAAAACAGTGGGGGAAGGCCTTGACTTTTTTCAGTTTTGTAACCAAAACTGGTTTGTTCCCATTTATTTCGGTGATCGTCGAGATATGATGGGGACAGTTCAAATCCGAATAACGTTCAGAACTGCTCTGAAAACGGGTTGGGCTCCGTTTATCATGCGATATCCTGTGGACAATTTAATTTTGGACGCAGCAAGAAATGGTTTGTTTTAAATTTACAATAACTATTTTAACGATATTTTAGAAGCTTCCGTCGTTTCAAGGTCAAGCGTGATGTGCAAGGCGACTCCAGATAATCAAACTCCGTCAATACATCTAGATAATACAGAACAGATCGGGCGGGCTCCGCCGGCAAAACGATCTAAAATGTCGCGTTAGCGACTCCACAGAAGGCGCTGCGAGTTAGACTCATTGGTTTCTTTTTTGATGCTACTCTCTGCTGACATATATTCTATATAACGCTTACTGTGAATAAATCTCGTTGTAATACTTTTATCTTATGAAGCGTTTTCTGCCAAATAAAGCAAAAGGATTATCGAAAACAAACTATCAAAAAAGACGAAGGTATTTATTAGCTTCTACAAACAGTCAGAGAACTGCTGAGAGTGCTTTCTTAGCAGAAAATGATGACGACAGTGAATCCGTTGATGTAGTTAGAAAGGCTCGTCGAAGACCTGATCCGTTAAATAGCGATGAGAGTTCTGATGAAAACGGCGAGCAAGATGGAAACCGCAGCCGCACTTCGAGTACTTCTAGCGAGGAGTATTCTCCAGCGAATCCGGATGATGAGCGTAACCAGTCTAACGTGTATGATACAATTTTGTTGGGGATAAACTGGTGGAATTATTTAAAAAAGATTCATCCAAAAATTCCGACGAAATTAAATCAAGAGCTGCGCGAGGAACTTTCAAAAGTTGATACAAGCGAACTTGTCAGAGAATTTGGTTTGTCGCCTACTAGAGCTGACTTACCTAAATTAGAACGTTTCTTAAACATCGATATTTACGCTTTATACGGAGGCTATTTTCGACCTCTTGGAATCAGTTATCGCCCGCATCGAGTTGGATCTCGCGAAAATGTTGAACAAGTTATTGGTCGATTAGAGTCTGTCAATCCAATGTCAGATCGTCCCTGCGTTGTTCTTCAAAGTGCGCGTCCTTACTTTTGGCGCCTTGGAACATTTCATCTTTTACCAACTAGGCGCACTTTTGAAGACCGCGATAAAAACTGGGTTTGTATTTGGAACGCGCTGGTGAAAGTTCGTTGGCCTAAGCTTCATTTACGAGAGTATAATCTAAAAATAGCGGAGATAAAAAAAGAGTTATTTGGCGAGGCGTACGCTGAAAAACAATTTTCGATCGCAGATGGTATTTTTCAGAAAATAAGAAGTAAATACAAGGTCAATATTCGTCTTTTTGTCGGAAAAATTATAAACGACAACGTCAACTTGAAACGGTGTGTTTACGCGGCGATTGGAACTTCAGATTGTATCAATATGAATATATTGGCAGCTCCTATGCAAGAAGATGAGTTTGCAAACGAATTTAAACGGCTGACAAATCTTACTTACAGGGAATTCGATAATTATCCTGGATTGTTGCCACTTTATGCTGCAAACAAGGATTTTCAACGTCGATATAGTAAATGTTCAAGATATCTGGGTAAAAAGAAAACTGCTCAAATACTGCGGTGGACAAAACATCACAAGCACAATTTGCATGATGCGACTGAAGTTTTGCAAAGCGATGAAGAAGACATGCGAGAACTTGCAGGAACGTCTGCCATGGAAGCAACTGCTATGGACACAAATGCTATCGAAACACCTGGTATGGAAATGGACGCTATCGAAACAACTGGTATGGACACGACGGCTACGGCCACGCCTGCTTTGGAAACAAATGACGATGATTTATCATTTGTCGATTTTGATAATTTGACGGAGAATGCAAGTACTGAAAAAGTCAGGCAATAAATCCTTTCGTTGATAACCAATGCGCAGTTTCAAAGAATGGTGACGATTCTAATTCAGCTCTTCAGACAGATGATGATTTACTTCATTACAACTCTGATGATTTGATGCCGGAGCCGACACTTGAATCTAACTCTTCTGACGACAACAAAGATGAGAATTCGCTAATGCAAAATAATCGCGATAGTGTAGAATCTTCGCTCTACACCGAATATATGCCTATACGAAACGTTCTTACATTGATACCAAATGTTTTTAACGATCAAACTCTTGTTCGTATTCTTCCTGATCGAATGGTCATCGAGCTCCCAAAGTGTAAAACACCTAACTGTCTGTATACTCACGCTGATAAGCGTAAAATGAAGAAACACGAAGCAACGTGCAATATGGATACTATTGATATTATACATCAAACCGTCGAATCGCATCGAATCATGGATCACGTGCACGAGCTAGTCGCGGAAAACTTCCTGCCTTCATTTGACTACGTTCAAGAATATTTCGTCGTTTATGATATTGAGTGCACAATGAACTGTAATGGGCTTTCTTCAGGTGATAAATATCATAAACTGGCTACATTGGCGACTGTAACGAGTAACGGAGAGCGAGAATGTTTTGTTCGCAAAACGGATGAAGTCGAAGGGTCTTTAATAATGCTTACGGAATTCATCAATTATCTTCTTATACTTCAGAAGAAAATGGAGAGCCAGATTCCTGGTTGCATTTTTCAAGGCGTTCAGCATTATGAAAAGTTGATCGAAGATGAGAACAAGAAAAAAGAAGCCGGGCTGGGTAGTAATCCTTTTCTTCTGGCAGCTTATCGTAAAAAGCTCAAATACTTAAAGGACTTTTACAAGTTGAAGATTTATTCTTGGGTCGGCGAGAGATACGACATGGTTGTTCTTTTTCCGACACTTATTTCAGTTTTGTTCTTCTTTGTTGGCGGAAATACAAAACTCATCAGCTTTATAAAACGAGCAAGCGGATACATGGTTTTGGAAGCTCTTAATCTCAGTTTTCGAGATTTCAAAAACTACACCTGCCCGATGGCTTTGGAAAAACTCGCTCGATCCTGCGGCCTTAGTGAAGAACTTTTTGTAAAAGGTTCCTTCTGCTATGAATGGTACAATAAGCTTGATCATATAAAAAAGGCAAAAGAGCTTCCAGCGTATCCCTGCTTTTATTCTACTATGTCCGTTGCCACTAACGAGTACGTTATTGAGATGGATAAAATAATCGCAACAAATATTGAAGAAGGAAAATGGAAAAACGAGCAAAAAGAAATCGCAAGCCATGTTTGTCGGTTTTTAAAATTGACCCATATTTTTGACGATCCTGTTGCCAAAGAACACTACGACAATCTACCACCAGCCGAAGGTGCTTCGTCAGGTGAAAGTCTGTTTCAAATTCGCGATACAATTGATCTATATGTAAAGTGGAAAACTCAAATTGAAAAATTTATTTGTTGGAGCTCTGATAAAAACCGTTGGCATTTAGATGAGGATGATGAAGCCACTTGCGCTTTTTTTCGTTTTTCACCAAAAATGTACCGAGCATCTGTTGAACGATGGTACGCGCTTGAAGAAGCAGGTGAAAATGATAATCCAACAACGATGATGGATTTCCTTATCGACTATAATTACAATGATTGCGTTCTTTTGCAAGGCTCAATTTCTTCATTTGCTTTATCGAATCAACGACGCTTTGGATTGGGAATTCATTCTGAATTGAGTATTTCACAGCTCGCTCATAAAATTGCATTTCTGAAATACGATAAGAAATGTCCGCCAATATATTCAATTTCTCCTGACTTCCCAGAATTATTGCGCGACATGAGAAAAAATCTTACAGGAGGCATTGTTCAAGTTCTTCACAGAGCAATTTATTTGAACGGTCCGAATCCTGCGATTCCTGAGTTTGCTTGGAAAACTTTGCTTGGAAAAATTATCAAAGCCGTTATTACCTACGACTTCAACAGTTTGTACCCGCAATCCTTTCGTGGAGATCTTCCGTGTGGTCCTGGCATAAAATACACATTACAGAAAATGGGCTATTCTTCGTCGATGTGTTATTCTGAGGAGGAGCGATTTTTTAGCAAGGGGATGTTTCATCAGCGTCAAAATACTTCATTGGGGTCTATAAGATGGTTAGAATATCTGAATTGGTCGCCTGATTACTCTTTTAATGGATCAATTGAGCATTCTTACAACTTGGAAGAGAAGAAGATTGGAAGTTATTATATTGACGGTTATGCAGAGAGCGAGGATGAGCCAATCTTAATTCTATCAAATGATGATGGAAATTCGCCAATTAGACGTATAAAAAAACGATACTTTTTTGAATATCGAGGATGTACCTTTCATCCGTGTACTAACAAGCTATGCAAAATAAAACCTACTTGCGCACCGAAAAAAGAACTTACTGATCCGGCGACCGGCGCAAAAATCTTTGTTCCCTTTACCAAAGACGGCTTGCTGAAGAACGAAGATGCAAGGATGCAGAAAATTATTGAAGACGTTCGAAAAATGGACGGAATTGAAGACTGGGGAAAGCCTCTGAAACACTGGAACGGCTCCGAATGGGAAGAAACAGAAGGGCCACAAAATTTTCCTCACTGTATTACGATTAAAATGGCGTGCGAGTGGAGAAGAGAATGGAAAATATTGGAGTCTACTGGTAAAAGCCCTTCTTCAAAAACGTATCCATTTTTATTCAAGAGTGCGAGAAAACCTTCAGGATTACCATCAGGACACGAAGGAGTTACAGAAGCCGAGTTTAAAAAATTGGTTTTAGAAGAGGATGAAAACGGCGAAAGTAGATTCTTTGGGTTTGCTATGGTTGATTTACGGTCGCCTCCGTCAGTAATTGAAAAATATAAATACATGCCGCCTATTTTTGCTCGAAAGAAACTTGAACGTGAAGATTTACAAGGAGACTTGAGTGACACTCTTTCGGAAAATCAGAAAAAACGAATGTTTCCCTGCGAGGAAAACATATTTTGTTTTAATGTGGACAACTACTTTATTTCATCGCAAATGCTTCATTATTACGCGAAGATGGGTATCGAGTACAGGGTCAAGTATTTTTTATCCTATTACAGAGGCAAACCTTTCGAAAATTTCGTCAACGAACTTGTTGCAGATCGAGTCAAAGCGGCAGCGAAAGGCGATCAAGCGGGTCAAAACTGGATCAAGTTTATTCTTAACTCAGCTGTTGGCTATTTTGCGATTAATCGCTCCAAATTTCTCAAAACTCGAATATTATCATCCGGCGACTTATATACGGCGCTCCGTAATCCTCGGCTAAAATCGTTGACTACTCTTCAGGCTGAAAAGACCAAATGCGATCCTCTCCATGAAGCAATTTTTACGAAGAAAATGGTCAACCATAGTACAGCTCTTCAGGTTCAGTTGTTTGTTTATCAAAACAGTAAGCTTCTGTTTTTCAAATTTCGCGACGTTCTCAATGAATACATGGAGGAAGGATCAGTTCAAATTTGTTACTGCGATACAGACTCATTTGTGCTTGCATTGGCAGAAAAGACGTTGGACGAATGCGTTAAACCTTCTTTGAAGGATGAATGGGAAACGAAAATCAAGCCTAAGTGGTTTGCTACGGAAAGTCCAGCGTCTCAGAAAGAGCCGGGGCTCTTGAAAGTTGAAGCGGAAATTTATAGTGGATGGTTTATCGCACTCAGTGCGAAATGCTACATTATGACGGAATGCGAGCCCAACAGAATTGATGAAGCAATCGTCGCTCCTGAAAATCGGCATCGAGTTTTTGAAGTATTGGATGAGCACAATCGAGCTTTTTTGAATGAAACAAATGTGAAACGATCAGCGAAAGGTTGCGCTAAGAAGATCAAACTTCGATATTTGGATTATCTTGCGGCACTTTTTTCGGACAACAGCGAAGAGAGCGTCGTTAAAAATATGCCTCTGTTTATGTATGATCAAGTAAACAAACAGATCAAAACGAAAGTTATGTCAAAACGAGTAATTAACGGCGCTCTTAAAAAGCGCATTATTGATAAGGACAAGATTCGTACTTACGCCTTAAAAAAAGCTGACGGAACTTATTATTAGATATTAATTTCAATTTTTACACTGGCTAAAGATTATTGATGTGTTTAAAAATTAAGAATGGAATCTGAAAGTTTAAATGTTGAAACCGGCGAGGTAAATGACGTTCCGAATTCTACTGGAAATTATGTCGAAGACGTTTTTGCAACTGCAGCTCAAATTCGCAGACATAAACGACGTTACTACGCGGGCATGGAAAACAACCCTCCGCTTTCTGGAGAGCCGATGGAGGACTTTATGGAAGCTTTCAGAGTTCAACGACCAGATTTCGTACTCACACCAGAACAGATAGAATGGTTCTACCCTAAATCAAAAACTCAAGAAGATTTTGATTTTACAAAAGAAGCCTTGGCACCAAACGTTATTCACGAGCAAAGTCAACTGCGACGACTTGTTCCGCCGATCACTCCAGCAGATGATTACTTTGAACCCGAAGAACTTGACGCGCTTATTGGGAAAGATCAGCCTTTACGAGCACCTACTAGACATCTTATCAGTAAGTTACAATTTTAAGATTTTACTAAAATTATTAGAACAGGGATGGCAGCATTTTTCACTCAATCCAGGCGCTGACAGCATGGGGCGATGGAAGGATCTTTGCAACAGATATGTGATAACTGTATTAAATAACCGCGATATTGTTAAACTTATTCGCGATTTAGTAGAGGTATTCTCTGGCTTATTGCGAATCAGCGTAGACGCTTTTTACAGCACCAAATCGACAGCAACTGTTTATAATTATGAAACAGGCGAACCGGAAGTTCAGACCCAAACTCAAATAGCTTACCCTAATGGTTGGGGATCTGTAACGATAACGGAGTTTATTCGTCATCAAAAAGATCTGGATGATCTTTGCGCAGAACTGAATCCAAAAGATTTCGGCTCCAAATTACTGACAAATACTTATCACACTAGAGACGTCTTTTCAGAAAGTAATGTTAGAGTTCACCGCCTGCTTGCCTTTCAAATCGTTATCAAACAATATCCAACTGCCTGGCTATTTAAATAAAGAAAAAAACCAAAAACTGACTTTTAAAATTATTTGACATTTATTTGAAAAATCGAGTAAGGAAAAAACATAGAAAGAACATTGAACATTAAAAGGGAAGATGCAGCGCGTAGCTCGGGAAATCGGCGTGTAGAGCAGGCAGGGATGAAAAGCTAAACAAATATTATTTTGTTGTAAGAGGTTGAAAATATACCTGTTAGTATTTTTTAGTGTCGCTTTTGTTTTTCTTCGCGCAGGGTTCATCAAAATGAACGTGTCGATCGATCGCGGAATTGGTTGCATGAGTTTGCTGAGTAGGGTTCGTTGACAAAGGAGGAGACGGCTGTTGTGTACGAGGAGGTGGTTGTTGTTGAAGATCCGGTCCCGTGAAAGCCTGTGGATACGTCCAAGACGGTTGGCAACAGTGGCACAGGCGCTCTATCTGCAAAAGGTGCCCCGATCGACTCAGCCGAAGTCGCGAATTCGCGTATATGATCAACGAGCTCGCTGGTTGTAACTCTTCTAGCGGGAGATTCTGAGGAGGCTGCCAAACAGGCGAAACTACTGGCGACGGTTGAACTTGCGGCGGAGTCCAATAGAAGGGGTTCGGATTGACGGCGGGAGGCACGTGATAGTTCACAGTACACGGGCCCACTGTATGAATGATCGTTCTCGGAGGGTTTCCTGTTTGTTGATAAAGCGGTGATTTCTCGAGGTCGGGGACAACTTGGTCTGTTTGCGGCTCTGTTGGCTTTTTGGAGACCAGAGACTCGATTGATGGGAATTGGATCGGGCTGGGAGTTCGAGGTTCCTCTGAGCTTGTTGAAAGGAGTTCGTCCTGAAGTGTTCTCGACAAATCCGGAGAGATGTCGTAAATTTTCTCCTGTTGATCCGGCGCGGGCTTCTAAAATATGTAAGCGAATGATGATTTAGAAAAAATACCTGAGTGCTCATTCTGCGGCTGCTCTTGATTTTGTTGGCGATCTTTCTTGACGGGGAGCTAATTTATAAGTTAGAGAACTAGATGGTGCTCGTTCTTACGATTAAGGCGTCAGTGGGGGCGACGACAAGATTTGCTTCTTCATGAGTAGTTTGTAAGTCGTCCGGTTTTTTAGCTGCTAAGAATAATAAGTACTTATAATCCATTCGTAAAATCAATGGCTTACCTTTTTTTCTGTAAATGTCGGGCCAATCAATACCGAAAATAAGCAACGCGTCCGGACACAAGTTATAGGCGAGTTCCATGTAGTTGAGTACTTTGGTCATTTGCATTTGTTTACGTTGTAAGTAGATGCTGGGCAGGTTACATTCGAAATTTCGAAAGAGCCTCATTCGATAAAATGAATTATTTAGACGGCTTGAACAGCGGTCGCACGTAAATACGTCGTTTCCGATTTGATTTTGTTCAAATGGATTGATAAACGATGTTTGAAGAAATTGTTGGTCTTCAAAGGAGCATTTGATTTTTACCGGCAACTTTTTATCAAGCTGAGACGGGCAACTCGTGCAAAAGTCGACATAAAGAATACGGAGCTTTGTTAATAAACTTTTAATCTGCCGCTTTTGATGAAGAAGAAGTTGCTTCCTGGATCGTAAATGAAGTCGCATCAGCCGAAAACGATTTTGACGCTGTTGAAAAGTCTCCAAAGAACCTTTTTTCCACGTCGATAATTCATCAATTTCTTTTCGTGAAAACAGGATGGCTTGCTGTGCCTGTAAAAAGAGTTCTTGGACAAAATCGTTGAAATACTTCTTTATAGAAAGAAGTAAATGTAGAGCGCAATTGTCGCTTTGATTCTTTAAAAGATGAATTCTGAAGACGTCCTGATTGAACAGCTTGCTTTTCATCAAACTGACATTTCCTTCGCACGTTTGAGATCCAAATGAAGGAGCAGAGATGAATGACGTATCTCCTGATCGCACCCTTTTCTTAGAAATTTTACCGATTCGCCAATCTTTTAACAGCGTTTGAGGGATTCTTTTCTCCAGGGCGAGACTAGGAGCGTCATTGGTCAGAAGTAGTGGGCAGTGTTTATAATAGGGCGCCATGTAATAAACTGTTTTTCCCAACAGCGTCAGATATTTAAAAAGATCAGTTTGATTAAAATACTTGCTTCGTAATTGATAGTCACTTTCTTCAAAATTATACGTTCTTTTCTCCAGCGGCACTGTCAAAAATTCGTATTCCTCATAATCATTAGTATTTGTCGTAGATGAAGGTTTAGCGTTTTGAAGTTGTTTGGATAACGAAGCTGCATCTGCCAGGAATTTCTTCGAAAAATTATAACTCTCGCAAGAAAAGGCTCCAAGAAGCGTTGTCATTTCGATCGAAATATCAACTTCGTCATCGAAGTTATTAAGTACAAATTCTTCTTGATCAAATTGAGCAGGATCGTTTGCAAAACGGTTACGATACATAACCTCAGAAATGTCAGGATTGATCAGTCGGAACGCCCTAGAAATGAGCCTTGTAGATGGAGCGCCTGTTTGAACATCTTGCACTACTCTGTACTCGATATCGAGGACAGAATACATGAATTCCAAGGTTGCCAAAGCGCCAGCAGGATTTGTAAAGGTCACATCCCCCAGTAAACCATCAATTGAAATAAAATCAGCGTCAAAATTTTCAGGGCGAGCTTTGTATAAACGGGGATTTGGTGCGAAATCTTCAGAAGTAATTAGCGGAGCGTTTTCGGGATAATCTGTGTAGACCTGTGCGTTTTTGTCGTTTGCAAGGGTAGGTAGAATTCGGCTTTCTAAGGTTTGAAGAGATTCATTCGTTTGTTTCGTCAAAGTCGTGTTTAAAGATGTTTTTTCAAATGGAAGAATTACAGGTGGCGGGTTATTCATGATTCTGTTTTTGATTTTTTGCCAGTCTTTACACTTTGTTGCAACTAGAAGTGTATTCCTCCACTGTCCATCAATATACGGCGAGAAGGAAAAATGAAAGGTCTGATCTGGTAAACTGAAGTCCATGAAATTTGTAAGACCAAAAAGACCTCGACGTTGAAAACATTCTTTAAACACAGCGACTTCCAATACTTGCTCATAAAAATTAGGTTTGTCTCGTTCATCAGTTAACGCGGGTTCTCCCACTCGTATTCTAAAAGCAAAGTAAGAATCCAGTATTAAAAAGCAAAAATTACCGCTTTGGAGAGTGTTGATGAAGTCGATCAGTACTTTTGTGAATTCGTGGGGGATCAGAATTGACCCGTCTGGCGCTCGGTGAACAAGAATCGCTTCTTGTTTGCTCGGAAGAATTTTCGCTTGTTCTGGCACTTGATCTGTCGGAAGTACTATTTTTGGCGATATTGGGCGCGTGTTTAGGCTTCTGGCAAAAAGATAACCGAGAAGAATCATCAGAAGTGTTAGTAGAATTGTGATCCCGAGGATGATAAGAATCATCTGATGTGTTGGACTCCTCAAAGGACATAGACGATCCCGAAGAGAAGATTGCGATATTGTCGCATTCAGGCTCGTAGTTTCGGTTTCGCTGCAACTTTCCGTTGTCGTTTGATCCGTTGTGATCGACTCTGGCGACTGGGCTGCTTCTTCTCGCGGTATCCGGCCAAATATGGCAACGCGGATCGGCTCCTGTATCAAAGTTGTCTGCGACTCCCCTTCCTAAATCGTGATTATCAACTTGCTCATGAAAAATAAATTTAAGCACCTGATACGTTCTCGGAGCTGGCATACGATGGGCCAACGGATGAAGTGCTGGAGTAGGTGGGACTGATATGAATGCTTGATCCTGAAGCGCTTTTTTCACAGAACTGTGGACGAAAGGCTTTGTCATTTGATAGTGATTCTGTTGATGATAATTGGGACGATGCTGTGGAATGAGATAGGGCTTCTGCTTCTCTGGCTTGAAAGTGGCTAGTTCGGGGACTAACTTTGGCGTTAGCCCGCTCTTTGATGTCGATGGTGCTGCCGGGAGCGGCGGAAGTTCCAGCATTAACTTCCCTAACATGGTCTTTCGTCGCTGTCGTGACTGGACTTTCCAATTTTGCTCTTTTTGCAATTTTGAACTTGGAATCAAAAGCGTCTGCGGTGATAACGACGAACTCCTCGTTGCTGCCTGCGTTTTCATTATTTGTTGAAAAATCTCTACTGTTAACTTTGCCCATCAACAAAAAGTCATTTTTGTCGGGAGAAAATTTTATTTTTTCAATATTTCTAAGTGAACTAAACAGCGCGAGGTTAAATTTATAAGTTGGAGGGCGACACAGCCATAGATGGAGCAATGTTTTTCAAAAACAAAAGTTGATAATAAAGTATAAACGCGTTAATTTAGAATGCTAAAGTGAGTCCTAAGGGTTCTAAAAGCAGAGTTAAAAAAGATCGCCGTGATTGTAAGTCAGGCGATCGGTTTGTCGACACTTTCGTCTGGGATATCGTCGAGGAGAGTCCGTCTGCGCTGGTGCTGGTTTCGCCTTTTTAGCCGACTTGGTGGTCGACGCAGATTGGTCTGCTCGTTTGCCCCTTATAAATAATTTGTTATTAATAAAATTGACAATTTGATATTACTTCTTGGCTTGAATCGGATCGTTTTCGAAGCTAACGGCATCTTCTTGGGCGGCAGACGATTGATAACCGCTAGTTGAAGTGGAGCCCGATTGTCCGCTTGTGCAGGTGGAGCCTGATGATGTTGTCGTGACGGTGCTTTGAGAAAGAACAGATGACGCGTAAGACGACACTGAAGACGTTGTAGTAGTAACAACTACTCGGCGATCGTGAGGAATGCCTTCAAACACGTCGTCATCACTGTAATCGTCGCTATTACAGTCATCTTCCACAGAAGCACTTTCCGACGGAAGAGGAGTAACACTAGAAGACGATCGAGCAGGATCTCCGTTATCGCCCCCTGATTTTGTTGGCTCTTTTTCGCCTTCGATTTTGACGCAAACTTCGTCGACGATTTCGATATTATCGGAGTCGTTTGAGTTCTCACCAACTTTCTCAAATCGGTTATACGATTTGAAGCTAAAATGAATTTAAAAACGTTTGTGATATGAGTAATTTTACCTATTCATAATCGCGACCGGGGAATCGTATGGCATTGAAACTGCACTGTGAAAAGACGCGCCGCTTTCATCTAGATCATCCTTTTGCTCTGTAAGTGAAGCCATTTCTTTGCCTTCTTTTTCAATCGACATTACGGGAATATCTGAATCCTCTTTTACAAAAGAAACGGAATCGTGTTCGTCGACCAGGGCTTCTTTTTCTTCCGGGGGGCTTTTAATCAAGGGCGCAGCTGCGTTACGACCTGGGGGACCCCAAATTCGAGGTTGTTGGACAGGACGCTCATTGAATATCTTTGACATTGGACTCATCGGCGCGCTTTCGTACTCAAGCTTGACATCCTGGATCTTGAGATCTTTGTTGACGAGCTTCATAAGATCGTATTTTTTACGAATGCTGCTAACCACTTGTCGGAAATTTGGCGAGTCGTCGTCTTCAGCACATTCTGGAGTTTTCGGCGGTTTTTTTGTAGGCCCGACAGCAGGATCGATAACCTAAATTATTTCATAAGACGAGAATTGAAGCGTAAAATTTCGGCTTGAAACCGGGGCACCGTTAAATATTGACCGGACGCAAAAAAGAGCGTTGATAGTGCTAAACCAAATGGGAAAGCAATCGAGCGAATGAGGCAAAACCGGAACTAGCCCGGATATCGTCTCCGGAACGGTCAACGCTTCGCCCGGGAAATGCTAAGGCCTGTCTGAAATATTATACACGTGCCAAAAATGCTCCTGAAAAAGCACGAGCAGAGGAAGTTAACGTGATCCTAGCCCAGCCGTCAGACGGCTGGATTTCAACTTATGTTTCATTGAAAAACGTGCGTACGCTCGCCCGTTTAAGTGTCTGTTCAGATATCCGCCAAGCTGGGGGACAGCTTGCTGCAACGCTCGATTTACCTCATCCGCAGCGGAAGCTTCTTCTTTAACCGTCTTCTTTTCCAAAAAGGACGAGCTGTCGACGCTGTGGGTAGCAAGAGGATGGGCCGGGCACGGTTGTTTCCGTCGAAGAGATCCCTTGCGCACCAGATGGCTTAGTTGAGGATTCGTTTGGACAACCGACGCGGGCTTCACAGGTTCTTTACTAATAGAAAGCTCCTCTACGCCGGGATTTAACTTTTTTAGCTCAGCCAGCGTAGTGGAATCAATCTCATCTTCGCTTTCGGACGAGCTCGATTCTTCAGACTTGACGGGCGCGGCTGAAAAGTTCTTTTCTAACCATTGCGCGGCTTGTTCTTCTTCTGTCGGCGGCTCTTCTTCTTCAGAGATGGAATCAAAGTTTTCTTTTTCGGTAAAATCGTAACTCGGCGGCGCTGGTTCGTTGTTATTAGCTTCACCTATCTCATTAACGATGTTTCCCATTGAAAACTGAGTCGTTTGAGCAGGAGCTCCGCCAGAAGGGCTCTTTTTTTTCGGAGACTTACCGAAAACCAGCTCTCGCAGAGATCTTTTGCGGCGCAAAGGCTCTCTCGGGCCCTGGTTTTCATCATCGTCTGGGTCTCGTGAGAGTTGAGCGTAACTTGGAGGAGGTGCGCATTGTTCTCGAGTCAGTTGGCGACGCGACTGAGGTTGACTCTGGACAGGAGGTGCTGGATGAATCTGCGGCTCTCGTCGTTCAGAATGCTGCTGCCTGCGTTGTTGATCGAAAAGAAGCCACTCTTGACGCTGTTGCCGCTCCTGCATCGCAAGTCTTTCCGCTTGAGCATTTGCCCTCTGCCACTGCTCTGCCCGTCGTTGGTTCTTTCGTTGCTGCTCCTGGTAATACTCGTCGTTTCTTGCAGCGTCACGGTCGTTTCGATTGGCTAAAAAGCGTACGACTTTTGTAAACATGCAATTGTTAACTAATATCAAAACTAACATGAATATGCGCTAGCTCCAAAAGTTCCATTATAAATTCGAGACCCGCTTCCATATCGAGAGCTGTTTCGCGAAAAGTTAACGACATTATCACGGTCCAAAAGTAGTTCTCTTGCAGTCATTCGTTCTGACAAACCTGTTGGCCTTTTGAACATCAAAATCTAACAGCTCAATTAGGAGCCGTATAATCATGTTCGGATAATTAACTCCGAAACTTACCTCGACAGCACGAAGGGCACCAACGCTGGATCCGCTGATCGTGAAACATTCCCCAACGCGGTCGCTGATGTTCCCGCAAACAGCCACACCAGTATCGAAAAACATCCACCAAGAAGAACAGAAGATCGAAAAAGAAATCTCGAATGTGCTTGAAAATTACAACACGAATGAGACCGCAATTTTCGTTTGGATTTCGGTATTTGATGATGCATGAGACGATTAGGTAGAAACTGAGCAAGGCGGCAACGAAGAGCAGAAGGATCTTCCAAGTTGGCAGCCTGAAAATATTTTTCTGAGAAAAGTTCATTAAAAGTTCATCTATTTCCGGTTCCGAGAAAAAGAAGCACTGGAATTCCACGAAAAACGGATTAAAAGTTCGCGCGCATCCGGTTCCGAGAAAATGATGCACTGGTATTCCAAGAAAAGTGGTCTAAAAGTTTGTGACCTTCCGGTCGCGCGAACACTAGAAGACACGGTCTAAGCGCACGGATTAAAGTTTACACAAAAAGATGCACTGGATAATTGTATAAAAGGAGCTGCGCGAAAAACTCGGCTCATTCGAGTTCAAGCTAGGATAAGGAAATAGAAAAAATAAAATTTAAAGTTGCAGGGTAGCAAAAGTTTCATGGTAGCAAAAAATCGCATGGTAGTAAAATTTTTATGGTAGCAACTCTAATTTACAAAAGTTAAGTAGCATAATTTTGATCTGACCTAAACTTAACTCACTTAAAAATTTTTTGCTACCTTGAATCAAAGTATACCATGCAACAAAACCCTACCTTGACTCAAAATTTTCTTCGCCGCCGGCGGCAACTGCGCTGGGCTCGGTAGAATTCTGCCGTGTTACCAACTGCTCGGTACTTGGAATAGCTGTGGTCACCTCTTCTGTAGATGTTGTAGTCGTTTCAACTGTCGACGTCGTTGAAGTAGTTTCAATGGTAGCCAAAGATGAAAACGTAGACTCTTTACTGGTCGGAGGTGGAGCGGGGGCGGACTGCGTTGTTGTAGTCGGCGGGTCCGTAGTTGTTGATCTTGACGCCTCCAGGCAATGCCGATTGTAATAATGCCCTCGAGAGCACCAATAGTCATGCTTATCAAAAGGATGAATTTCTTCGCATTCCCATTGATTATAAGCGACAAGGGATCCTATTACGAAAACGATCGACTTCATCCCCTTTCAATTGTCTAAAGTAATAAGATTTAATAATAAAATCGGAAAAAACAGATGTTACGTCAGAAAGTACTGGAAAAACAGTCTGTTTACATCGAAAATTTTTTAAAGCTCCTCGTCAGAGGAGACAAGAGCAATTCGTGAACCGTTTTTGGGACGACAATCTCGTCTTCGCTGCTTGTCGATGGGCAATCCAAGCGGAAGTCGGCGCCGGAACGGTCTTCTTCGTCGCTCATGTATTTTGCAGGAGCATCGTCACTGCTTATGTAAACAACCTGGGAGTTGTTATTGTTGCTGTCCTCCATCGTGGCCGAAGTTGCCTTTTCTTCATCGCCGCTGTCGTCCTTGTGGTCTGGCAGTCGACGAACGGGCTTGGACTTGAATTGCGTTTCAAGGAACGGTGAGGAGTCGTCGCCCAAGACCTTTAGAATCGATGGTGATTGCGCCTTGAAAGCTGTGATAATTTCGTGTCGATATTTGACAGCGAAGGGCAAAACTTTTTCAAGTTTTGAAGATTGAGGAAATACCTCAAATGCGTGCGCCTTGAAGAACTTTGCAGGGATCGGAGAAGATAGGCCAAACTTAATTTGATTTTAATTATAGTTTCATAAAATTTTAAAAACGTACCAATGCAAGAAAAGCCCCATCTTCACTGGCAGGTGTCTGCGAGGCGCGGAGAAGGTAGATTTGAATCGCCTCATTTGTCGGGATATAATCGACGTTTTCTTGAAAAACCTCCGGAAGTACGGAGCGAAGGTTTTTCAGCATATCAAGGAATGTAGCGGATCCTCGATACTCCGTTGAGTGGACACGGTCGCGGCCCAAGTACTGGTCCATTCGATCCCGAAGAATAGCAAAACGCTCAAAAAGCGTCACATCGTCATTCTCCGAGCTGTCAAGAAAGGCCGTCATTTCGTGATCTGGTAGGGCTCTGATCCCTTTGAAGAGCTTTAGCTCAATTGAGTCGGATAACGCCTGGATTTGCGCTGGCGCGGACTGTCGGTAAATTTCGTCGGCTCGGCCAAGAACAGCGAGGATCTAGAATAGAAATAAGAAGCCATTCATAAAATCAATGTTACCTCTGGCGCAGGAGCGACCATTTTAGCTGGAGGTTCCGTCGGTAACGGAACAAAGTCGAGCGCCAAAAGAAGTCGAGCCTTATCCACGGCGAAATTGTCCTTGAAAAAGGTGGGCCATGGGAAGTACGGCTTCATCTTCAACTCGTTGATGGCCATCATGACAATCGACGGCGGACCGAGCTCTGGATCGTTGATGTCCAGAAGTTTCCAGTTTTCGCCCCCGAATCGAACCTATTATCGTTAATATTTTTTTCAAAAGAATTAGCTTACCCAAACATAGAGTACTTCAATGCACAAGTTGTCGGCGAGGTCCTGAGAAAATTGTGCGTGAAAACCCGCCAAAACTTCCCACGACTTTTTCGGCCCAGCGTATTTACCGGGCTTCGTCCAGTACTTGTCATCCTCGATGTTCTCGATTTGCGCGGCAATTACTTTTTGACGAATGATCTCGACATCGTCAGACTCGCCCTCGACAAGTACAGCAGAACGTTGAAGAAACTTGCCAACAGTCGTTTCGGCAAGAGTGGGACGAAGACCGCGGACGCTATCCGCAGCGGTAGCATAGATTGTCTGGAGCTCGCGGCGATTCAAGCACCAAGAGCTTTTTTCTTCGGCGAAATCTTCAGCCGCTTTTTTTGACGACTCAGAAGTCATCGAACCGCCAAGATCTTTTACAATCTTCTGTTCAAAACGGTCAACTTTGTGGTACAAAGGCGCGACCGTGCCCGCCTTGACGTCGATTTGAGACGGCTTCGCATCTTTACTCCAGCGCTTCTCGTCGACTCCAAATGGAAGACTCTTTTGCATTCCAACCGTTTTTTGGTCGAGTTGAGGAACACCACAGCGACTTGTGGACGGAACGGAATCGTCTTGACGGGTCGACATTGGCGTAAAAATCAACTCCGACTCAGAGTCGCCGTCTTGGTCAGAAGCTCGCGGAAGAGGCTTTTGACGGCACTTGTTCTCGCCAGCGTCAGTGCGAACGACGTAGCGAACGCCTCCATTATCCTCCTTGGCGACGATGAAGGACCGCTTTGGCTCGCAGGTAATCTCAACGATAGACGGACATGTGTCTTCTCCGTTGAGCATTTTTTCGATTCGCTCCGCTTCATGCCAATTGAGTTTTAAGGAGGGGTGGGTAGCTCGGGCTTGGAATTCGCTAATGCTAGAAATCGGCACCTCCGGCGCGTGTTCCCACTCGTAGGGCAATCCAAAGCAGTCCTTGACGCCGATAAGGCCACGCCGCCGTGTTGGAGATGGCGAGTTTTTTCTATCAGCGAGCTTTTTAATCGCTTCAGGAACGATCTTTTTTAGGCTTACTTTGACGATTTTCAAATTCAAAAAAGCATAAAAGCGAACCCCATTCCTTTTTTTCACGTCGCTGACGTCGCGGCGGTGTTTCAGCAACAGGAAGATTGTCAAATCTGACGCGGCGAGAAGCTTTTGATTGCTTCTTTTTCGAAATTCGAAGAGGTGGCTCAAAAAAGCCGCTGGTTCCAGATTTGAACGGGTCTGTAGGATGCTTACATGATCATGAAATTAAACTCATTAATCATCTAAAGCACCTTCCTTCAAGAGGCGACATCGGCGGTGGAGAAGAGTTTTTGGAGCCCTTCTTGAACTTCGGAGAAGGTGTTTTTTCATCCATCGAGCCCCTTCCGCGCTCGATATACTCTCTTGGAGTAAGCTTGGTCGATTGAGCTTTTTTGGCTGTGGCCGGTTTTTTCTTTTTGCGATAACTTCCTTCGTCAAAAGAAAACATTCGATGTGTCTTAAGAGGAAAAGGTTTGTTAATCGTAAAATGTTGTGAAATCAAAAAGATCAAATTTCAATCAGTTGCAGTGAAAGTTTCAATTAAAACCACCGAAGACAGTAGAGAGCGGCAGTTATCAAATTCGTTTCGAATCTAGCGTTCGCCAAATTTGGCCTTGAGGTTGTCGACCACAAATGCGTATCGATCAATAGGCTTTGGCGAGTAATGAAGAGCGTCCAACGCCTCTCCAATAGTATTAGCCCCTAAAATATCAGTTAAAAAACGATCGCAAGTCAAAGCCCACCTTGAGTCTTTATGAATTCCTCGTTGGACATGAAACCACCGAATGGAACGAGAACCCCTCGACCCTTGATGATTCGTGGAGTGCGGGCGGCAACCGGTGTTATATCCTGAGCAAGGAGTTCACTCACTCGCTGTGGCGGCGCCGGAGTTTTTGGTGAATTGAGTCGAAGGGGAGGCGGCGGTGTTTTCGCGGAAATGACCTCTTGTTCCAAAGCCCTATATTTCGACGGCGTTAGCTCGAAAGTGGCAGTGTAAGCACCCATCAAAATGGAAGTTGTCAATTTCGGAGGGTGCTTGACGATTGCTAAACAAAGTCAAGTTACGATTTTTTAATAAAAGACACTTACCTTTTGCAGCATTTGCAGTTTTCTGACCCCACAAGATCGCTTTTTTCTTACATCGTTTGACGATGTTACGCTTCTTTTTTTCGGGAGAGATTCGAGTCGCGTTGGGGGAGTAGCGCGGGGAGGAAACTCGCTTCCGTTTTCCAGCTAAACTTGTTAGTTCTAATCCTTGTGATGAAAAGTACCTCGAGTTTCGAAAACAACGGGCAATTTCGGTCGTGGCAGTGTTGCAAAAGGCGCGCCGCTAGCGGCCTTTTCTGCTTTAGCAAAAAGCGCTCTAAGCAAATAAAATGACAAATGGGCGCTTTTGAATAATTTACCTCGCGCTTTCATGCGCTACAGATTTGACTACATCCGGAACAGGCGCCTTTTTTAATCCAGTTTTTATCCAATTTGGAATTGGAGTTCCTGGCCGCACATTAGCCTTTTTCTTGCCCATTGCTGAAAATTACAGAATAAAAACGCGAAACAATGAAAATGTAAAAGCTTCATTGACGTAACAGATCGAAATAACAGTCGGCCGAATAGAAGCAAAAGCGACAGTTCAGTCAAAAACTACTGAACTGTTGGAGTGTAGGCGAAGGGTTCATTAAAAGGGCAGTAATAATTTTAGATCATGATGGCATCAATAACGTAGAAAGGTGCAGTTAAATGAATTTAAGGGTGGGAAGCTGATAAGTTTCAATGTGAGCAGAGAAATTTTATGAAGCGTTAATTTAAATGCAGTTTAGGAATATCGAGATACACCAGTACTTAGTATTTCTGACGGCGCTTAAACTTCGTCGTCGTCGTTGATGGGGAGAGTGTACTCAACTAAAATTTATGTTTAGAGAAAATCAAACGAAACTGTTTTTACCTTCTGGAACTGAGCCCCAGAAATCGTCTCCGCTTCCAATGTCGTTCTCTCCGAATGGCTCGAGAATAGTAACTCCTAATGCGTGTAATAATTTCCATAAGCGTTTGAGATATTTACCTGGATCGACAAAAAGGTCGGAGTCTTCGTTGATCTCAGCAAAGCCAGAACCAAAAGTGGTTGTCCGTCGAGAAGTTGTCACCGTCGCCATTGTAGTTGTCAGAGGCAAACTACCACCGCTTCCACCTCCACTGCCGTCGCTGCTGCCTCCGTTGTCCCCGCGGTGATTCTCGTCTTCGTCCTTGAGAAGAACCGCGCTGAGAAGATCGAGCAAGTCGCGGGCCAATTCCAACTCAATGTCCGCCGCACTTTTCACCTGTTGCCCGTTGACGGAGATGGTGTAGTGGTCAGCGTTACAGACGGGGCGCTCGTTCGGTGTTTCCAACGAAATAGCCCAGCCATTATCGCGCGGATCGAAAGAGCAGGAGCAAAGGAAATCGGGTGTAGAAAGCGATCGGCGGCGTCGATGCTGGTTTGACGGGCGACTCATCCCTCCAACGTCGTTGCCAAGGGTTGGCAAACACTGCTGGGCTGAAGCGAAAAGCACGTAGACAGCAACGCCGCAAAGTCCGCTAGCGAGCATCGAAACCAAAAGACACGCTAGGTCAAAGCGAGCAGCTCCGCCGCAGTTGTTGACCTAATGAAAAATTAAAAAAAAATTCGTTAAATTTCATTTAATACCCGCTTTGGAGATGGACGAGGAAGGGATCGACGGAAAGACGTAGCTTGGGGAGAAGATGGTGTAGCCGGCGCCTGGAAACGACCAGCGCCGATAGGCTCTGGAAGACAACCAGGCTGCGGAACGGGCTGCTGAGCGGTGACGAAACTTGTTGTTTCATACCCGAGTACAGCAGGCTCGCCTACTGGTCGGGCGTTACCTTCATTATGACCTTGATGGTCACTCGCTTTAGCAGCTTGCATCGAACTATTATTTACATAATTTCATATCTCTCAATTCTTACTTACCGAAGCGGTACACTCGGTTTCGCGAAGGAAAAATCGTCAAGCGTTCTTGCGCTCGGGGTCGGGGAGAGACGTACGCTCGATGCTCGACTCGAACTCGCTGGCGGGAAAACGACAGATGCACGTGGAGTTCCCGGTTGGGAGCCATCATAAGCGAACATAAACTCTCTTACGCCAACGAGTCTGAAAAAAGGGAGGAACTATCATAAACGTAGGCCGGCGTCGATATCGGTTGTATTAGTTTGCGTGAGAAAAATTAATGTTGATAGCGGTCAGTAAGAAGAATTTTCTCTCCGATTTTAACTTCCTTCTCTTATTCATAAATTCATTCTTCGCGCTGATTTGATAAGCAGATTTTCCCATGTGCGCACAAAAAACCTCCACAATTTTGAAAATCAAATTCTCGAAATGAAACACTGCACTTCTGGAAATGATTTTCGCCGCTCGCCGACTGATCACGCCACGCTCCCGCTCACGCTTTTTTCTTTTCTAGATTGCTCACATTAACGAATTATCAAACATTTTCACTCAAGCCGCATTTTTCAAACCGCAAGTTAAAATTAATAGATTAGACGTAACTGAATAATAAAGAAGTTTTTATTTGACAGCTGAAAATTCTGAGAGAATTGAAAAGTAAATTTTCAAGGTTCGAGCGCGTACGCAGGAAGTTCATCGTGCTCGGGCTCTCGGTCTGGATCAGTCTTCTTGAGATCCGCGATTCCGAACTGGATGTTTCCAACTGGAAGCAGATGGGATTCGCTTTCGATAATCACCCCAAATTCGCCCCGCTTTAACTCGTTTTCCAGCTCTTCCATTTCGTGGGCTCGATTTCGGAAGAGTTTATCCAAAATACGAAGCATTCGACCAATGTCGTCGCCACTGCCCTCGTACACTAAATTTTTATAAATAGAAAACAATTTAAAAACTTACATGACTCGTTGAACTTGAGCCACCCGTGGCTCGTGCTGCAGAATCGGGCGTACACAGGGCGAAAAAACCAACGGCCAACGTCGCCGGCTTTTCCACTCGCGTAACGAATGACTTCTGCAGGATTGTTTCGGCTTTTCTTCTTGATGAGGCCCTTGTACAGGATTGCGTGCTTGGCACGTCGTGGCCCTACATCCTCAATAAAAGCCTGGTCGAGCTCGCCACCGTCCGAGGACTCATCCGTATCAAAATATAGTTGCCGATAAGCACGAGACGGTTGCGCAGCTTCAATGGGAAGACGGTTTTCTCCACCGACGATAGTGTCTTCTAGAGCAGAATCGTTAGCGGCGACGGTTTGATTTCCTACGAAGAAGGAATCGAGAGGGTCCAAACTGTGCACCTCAAGGTATTCTCGAGGGGAGAGAGGGGAGATTCAGGTGGAAGACCGCGGTACGGTTTAGGTGGGGTTTTTGGCGTGCGGTCTCGGTGTTGCGGCTGCTGCTCTTTCGCTGCGCTTGCTGTAATATTTTTATAAAAGCACGTTTTTCTCGAATTCATACCTTCTTCCGGGCCATCACGCAAGATAAAAACGACCACAAGTGTCTTGTTTCGCGGCTGTCAAACACAAAACTGAACAAAGCGTCGATCTACGGCTGCTTTTATAGATTTGCCTGAGAAAAACACTGCTTTCTAGAGAAATTTTAACGCGTTTTGCAAAGATAAGTTTAAACAACTAGAAATTTTTTGTTTGAGTTGTATTGACAAAACAGTAAAAAAATAAAAGTTGAAATAGAAAGAGTTTTAACTGATCCCTACAACAGTAACTGTTCATAATTCAACTAAGCGAAATTGAGGTTTTCTTGGCGGCCTAGCTGATAGGTCGAAGCTGATCTTATAAAAATGAAATTGTCAAAACTGATACTAATACTACTGAAGTCGAAGATTATTCACGGATACATTTCACAATTTTACACACTGGCTGTAAATGAAAGTAAATTTAGTTGTAGAGTAGATTCGAGCGTTGTTTACTAAAATAGCGAGAAACATTGTTACGATTACTGGCTAGACATTCTCCTGACTTAATATTTAACCTGTAATCAAAAAGGAAAACCAAAATGAAATTGCAATGTGCACCAGATAGTTCAATTAAATTTAGCACCAATTTGTTCACTGAAAATGAGCAACTGAAAAACTATAATGAAAATGAAATAAAAATGTTTTAACAAAAAAATAAAAAAAAATAGCAGAAATCAACAAGGACTTTATGCTTTTGGCAAGTAATTTACCAAAAATTATATTTTCGATTCTTCATTCTAATGACTCTTCATTCTCCGATGTGTCGTTTTCCTCCATCTGTTTCAATTGAGCGGAAATGACTTTGCCGATAAAAGAACACGGATGAGTAGGAAGACTTTCACCATAGATTTCGTAGTCATGTTTGTTACCACCGTCGTTTCCCACCGATGATGAAGTAGATCCTCTTGTCCGCTCCCTGCACTCCTGCAAATAACTCTTTCGAAACAGTTCGTCAAATATCGCACCATCTTTTCCAGCAAAAAGAGCAGCGCGCTTACAATCGTTGATATCCTTTAGTTTAAGAGGGATCCCACATTTCACCTTGTATTCGGCTTCGGTTTTGCACAAAACGTACAATATTTTACAAGAAGCAGTTCCAACGGGGTCCTTGTCTTTGATTGTTTTCAACATGTTGTGAAATTCAAAAGTCCGTCGAGAACAGTTGGCTTCAGGCTTTTCATTGTCGGCAATTTTCAAACCTTCGAAAGCTCCAGAAATAACATCCTCTTTATCATTTAGAATGGGATTATCTACTGATAAAGAAGACGCGGACTCGGAGTTCGGAATCGTTGATGATTGCAGTCCAGGCGCGAGGGAATTGCCGTCGTCGTCTAACTTGCGTTTGCGATGGGCCCCATCTGAGCACATTAAATAGTCTCCATCCGCAGCTCCAGCAGAGTAGAACTGCTCAACAAGCAGCAAAAGACGTGCGCAAGAAAGGTTCAATTCGTGAGAAAGCGCGTCAAAGATAGCTAGAAATAGGTAAGTGATTAATTGAACGAAAGCACCTTGCTCATTCTGAAGAGCTAGATCCGCCGCCGCAAAGTCGTCAAACTGCTTCATTTCCTCGCGCTTTCCTAAAAAAACTCGCTGAAGAATGGCAATACACTTTTTGCCATCATTAAGCGAGTAGTGCATAAAGTAAAGTTGCCAGGTAAGCTCGCTGAATATATTTCAATTTTCAGCGCAAGAAAAAATTGCGCCCTCATCGATCAACGAAAGCGCGCCTGATCAAGAGCGTATTTAATTCTCATCAGCGCCATACTTGACGAGAATGGGTAAATATGATTGAGCTTTGAGAAAGTGACAAAAAGCTCTGCATTGCCTTGCTTGACAACGTTTTTACTCAATATAGGCAAGGGTTGGAGCTATCTTGTCAAGTTCACAAACGACAATATTATGAAATACATTCCCCTGTGTCCAGTGATATAATTCTAAATAATACTGAACACGGGGAATGATTAAATATAATTGAACACTCGACTTACCCGCTTCAGCTAAAACATTCCATAAGGGCAAACTTGCCCAAGCCGTAGAAAGTGATTCAAGTCGCTGAGCAAAATTCTCGTGCTCCTTTTTCGACGACATAATCAAATTGTCGCGATATTCTATAAATTCCTTCTTTTTAAAATCGATTCCTAAAAGAGAGCTCCCCTAACAGCTCCATTTAGTGGCATCAAGTGCGCCAATGTAAAGTAGAATAAAAACATCGGTAAAGTAGAGTGTTGAACATAAAATGAATAATGAGCTCGAGAAAAATAAAATGACTCGGTATATAAAAACGTTTATTTTTATAATGATTTTTAGCGACAACAAGTCTACCGGCTTGATCTTCCTCCTTTGAACCTGCAAAGATGAAAAGAAAACTACTCAGAAACTTTAATAAATGAATCGTAAAATGAACCTTCAATTCTTGCGTCGAATATTTTCTCACGAACGTGTTCTGTAGTAAATTATTAAAATGCTGTCAAAACCAGATAAACTCCATAATGATTTCTTTATACCTAAATTAAATGAAACGTTAATCCATTCACCTGTTTCCTCCTTAATATCCCAGATAACTATAATAAATGAAACGTAAAAGTAAGTCATTACATCCTATTGACAACGATGAAAACGTGTGAATACTTAAATAAAATGATCCATAAATAAGGAACTTGACTATAAATTCTCGGATGAGATAAAATGAAGCTAAAATTGTACAACCCGAAACACTGTGGATAAACTCATAAAATGAAACCAAAAAAAAACTGATTTTCTTCTATTCGTAAAATTCGAATAAATACTGTATTAATCTATATAAGCGGCTGATTCTTTTGTTTCCGTCAGACATAAAAAAACATGAAGAGAGGTAAGAGCTTATTTTGGAATTTATTTTTAACGCTTAGGCCGAAACGGAGAGTTTAAACTCGGGCTCAGAGAAAATACACTGAAAGCCTTTAACATTCCAATAATAGATGATTCTGTTTTTGAGGATTTAGCCAGACGACTACGCCAGTTTCATATTAACTGGCGTTTGGACGAATCATCAGACGAAGAAATAGAAAACATGGATTACTTTGTTAACAACGCCACATCTACCAGTATGGATTGGAAATAAATTTGAATAAACATTGAAAACCCATTTATCATCGACAACTGAAAGCAAAATAAATAAATAGAAGAGAGAGGTTTAAAATTAACTGTAGCTTATAAAACATTTTCTTTAAAATGAAAACAGTTTTCTTTAAATCATCTGAATCCACTTTGCCAATGAAATAAATACGACAAAATAAAATTTTATCTTTGTATTTTTAAATTAAAGAGAAGGGAAACAAGAAAGAATACATATTAGAGCAGAATGGCAGTGAGTGTTTTTTAGTAGTAACGAGAAGCGCTACGGTAGCGGACAGAGTAGGATCTTCGGATGGTGGCATACTTCAGTGTTTCGTCAGAGAACTGGGAGTGCATTGGAGGCTCTTCTTTCGTAGTCATCGCAGCTAATCCGACAGATTTTGGGTAGGGTGGTGGCGGGCAATGAAGGACTGAGTTGACAGAAGCTTTTGTCATGGCGCCGAGATTGGTCTTGGTATTTGTATCGATCCAAAGAGCTCTCTGGTTAATTTCCTTGATTGGGTATTGATACGAGACGAATTGTTTCTTGAAGAAGCTGACCATCTTTTTCGCGACTCCCTTTTTCTTTGGCTTAACTTGCTCGATTGGTACAATCATGTTGCTGTGTTTGATACCTGTTGCAAGAAAGTAGTGGTTTTATATGGACTCTGGAGCTGAGTGCGCCAACTAGGTGCCTCAGAAGGATCAAACGAGCCGCCAACAAGTACTGCCGAAAGATAAATCACACCGCCATAAAACAATAACAATATCCGGCGATATCAGTTGTGCTTTCCCAAGATCGCACTTGATTTTGATAGATAAACAAGGTGCGAATAAATCTGATGTTATTTCAACTGTAAAATTGGAGATACACAAATTGATATTCAATTTGTCGGAACTAATTAAGATTCTAGATCAAACCAAGAGCAGCTGACAACTCTCGCTCAATGAACATCTGCGCTATAAAAAGGTTGACCCTGGCTCCAAAATTTCATAAAACAAAAAATCAAATTTTCGAAAAAGCAAAAATGAATTTTTTCATCTTCGCCCTCGCTCTTCTCGTCCTCTTCTACATCTTCGCCATCGTTTGCGCTTTTGGCCTCCTCGCTGCTACCTGCTTTGTAATTGTCAAGTTCAACTTATTTTTTGCCAGCCTTATTCCTGCTTCTTTTGGAAAATAAATTGTAAAAAAAAATAAGATGTCCTTTTTAGAATTCTTCAAAAAAAATATAGAAACATTTTTAAAATATTCTCACACCCAATATCATTACGCAAATAATTCAGGCTGAGCTTCATTTGTTCAAATATATTAGGTTTTATTGAATGATAGGAGGGTTTAGGCAGTGAAAGGGATTACGGTGTTTGGCTAGTGAGAAAAAGATTGAGCGCCCAGCAGATAATTCAGCAGCGGCAGCAGCGTGATAAGAAGTCGTCGTTGTTGTTGACGCGGCGCGGGGCGGGCGGGCAGAGCTAAAAATCAATGGTGAGAAAGAATGTTCGAGAGAATCGATGGATAGAATGTTCTAGAGGAAGATGACTAACCGGAAGAAAGAGCGGAGGCGGGGGGAAGGCGAGTTAATCCTTGAGCGTGGATCTGCGCTCCGAATGGCGCGCTGGGATTGGAGCGCTGGTCGGTGCAGCGAAGAGAAGCGGGGCATAAGCACAAGTTAGCGTATTTTCTTTTTCTAAACGTAGCTTTGTTAGGGTTAGAGATAAGTTAAGAGTAAGGGGATAGCATAAAAACGTTCAGTAGCGTTAGAAATGGGGGATAGTGCGTTTAAAATAATTTTTTTTATTTAATAGGCGAAATAGTAGTGACTGACCATTAGAAAAGCGCTACAGTGGAGTGGACTGAAAATCACGCCGCCCTATAGTGTAAGATGGTGCATGCATGTAATGCATGTGCATCTGCACTTTGGTGGTGGTGTTAATGCTCTCATTTTGGTGTCTGATGACTGGCAAGAAGGCCCTGAGGGGCCTTCACCCCGCACTGAGCCATGCGTACCATGGTTCAGTGCTCCACTGCTCTCTACCAATCGACTCCCAGAAAAATTATCAAATGGTCAGTCACTACTATAACTACTATCCTCTCTCCAGGACCCTTCAATCTGATACGAAGCTGTTGCTAAACCCCATAAAAAATCATCTGGAAAAGGAGATGTTTCTAGTTTCTCTAAAGGTTTATTGCAAGGGTCTGCGTAAAAAACCGCAAAAAATACTAAAAATATATTTTTCATTTTACAAAAAAAAAAGAGAAACAGAAAACTCAATAGTGATTTCAGATTATTTGCTTTTGGAGGGTCCCGAGTAAATGTTTTACGTAATGTGCCAAGTTGCGTAAAAAATTATCATAAAAATGAAAATTTTAATACCACCAAGATTCTCCATCATATAATAAACTCTGTCTGTGCTTGAAAAGTCGGGCCCATAAGGGATTGAACTTCAATCATTGAAGATTGATTTACGGTCAAAGAAAAGTCGAATTCCAGTTCATGTGGAGCTAAAGATGATCGCGCCCAAGTTAAACGAGAATCAGCTAATTTTCGTCGCTGAACGTGGTCAGAAAGAAAACGACAAGTGGCAGGAAATTGTGGTCGAGATCGTCGATACTTCTACGGTACTATTGACTGAGAAATGCGATTTTCGTCCATTGTTTTCTTGACATATTTTACGGAATACAAGCAGATGCATCATAAGCTACAATTAACATAATTTTGCTATATATGCCGAATAGAACCAGCTTCCTTCGCTTAGCGTCATACCGCGTAGAATAAACCAGTTCTCGTCCGATCACTGAAGTCAAACTACGACGGGCGGGGTTAGTACTTACATGGGTGACCGGTTGGGAATACCTCGTGCGCTAAGCATTTTTGAATTTTTTTAATGCATCCATTTACGCAGAGAACGCTTTCGCATTGTATTGTTGATGAATCAAGTCATCAGTCATCGAAAAAAATCCGAATGTTTGAGTAAAGCAAGCATTGAGCGTTGAGCTTGCCTGGCGGGCGGCGTGGCAGATGTGAAAAAGCGCCCTCTACCGCGCGCTTTTCTGAAAAGAGGCCGAAAATAGGAGCGTGCAGCGACAAAACGACCTCGAAATCAAGCACCCCTTTTCGTTACTCATCCCATTTTTGAGTCCGATTTCGATTGTCTAACAGGTAAGAATCGTCTCCAAGCCTTCTCTCTCCTATCCCTCTCGCCTCTTACAAACGCTAAATCTTGTCCAAATCAAAGACTGCTCTACCTGGAGCTGCTAGAGTCTTAGTGACGCGCTTTTTTTAAGGTTCTGGAAGTTCTGAAAAAATTGGCCCGTCAAGGTCACGTTACCGGATGGTCAAGGGTAAGGCACGTGTCAGTTCCGCTCACTAATTGGTTTCCGCCACGTGTTGAAAATCTAACCGCATTGATTTAAGTCAAAGATATTTTTGCAGGAAAGCCCATTCGCAGGAATCAATTTTAGAGAGCAACATGAAAATTAAACGAGAGATCCGTGTGTAGATAAATATACTCATAAGTACTTAATTAATCAAAGGGAAACTGTCGCAAAAAAAGAACCTCATGAAGAAACTTCTAAACAGAGATTAAATCCCAAACCGATACTCAGGGCAGTGGCTTCCTTCAATTGAGTGGCTAATCTTGAAGGATCTTTCTCTTGAATTGCTTGGTTCTCATCATCGTCTCTTCTCGGAAAAAATTGATGTTCGAACGTAAGAGAGTATTTGTCCACGGAGTATAACGATGTTCAGTCTTCTATGACTATTGCAACAATCAAGAAACGTGGCCGTCAAGGGCGTCATCTTGGCGAATTATTTTTTAATGAAACTCCCCGTAATTCGGAAGATTATGAAGAATTTGAGGCTATGTTAAATAATTGATTTAAAATTTTTGCTAATAAGATTAAAGACTTCTTGCTAATCAGTTGAATTCGACGGTGAATGAAAACGGACCCGCCCCTCCAAATCTCTCGTTTTCTCTTGTTCCTCCTATGTCTGACCTTGGAGCAAATGTCTCTTCCTTGATTTCACAAATGCCAAGTTTCGTTAGATCGACCCGGAAGTTCAAATACTACCCGATTCTCGGGAGGAAAAAACTCGTCAAATTGCTCTGAATCTGGTAAAACCAAATGTAAATTGAATTTTTAAAAATATTAAAACGTAAATGTTAAAACAATCTAGACCGCGGGCAAACAAATAGGTTAAAATAAAAAAATAAAATAAAATAAAATAAAATAAAATAAAGAACCCTTTGTGGTAAAGCTTTGAAACTTTGGGACAATATGTATTTGGGCCCAACTAAAAAAATTATTATTGAAAATTTTTTTGTGTGACCACGTGATCACGGGTTACAGACCCTCGAAAAGCTAGAAAAGCTTGCCGAGCTTGATCCCCTTATGGCATCATCTTCTCGTTAGGCCAAAAAGAAAGGTCTTGGTTTGTTCTAGTGGTTTAGTCAAAAAAATTCTTGGTGCCATCTTTACAGGACACGCTTGAAGCTATATAAGGACCCAAAACTCGCTAAAATTGAGGTAAAAATCCAGGTTTTACGGGTTGCTCAGGCCAAAATACAATGCAAAAAGGGCCATTTTGGACGCTTCACTTCCCTCTAGCGAGTCATGTGATCTCGCCACCAAAAATGTTTTGGATTCTATAGGAAGGACTTTTTGTGCTCTTTCATCTGAGCTACATTATGATCACCTGCGGTCAGGGGATCGAGGTTGGCAAGCTTTTCTAGCTTTTCGAGGGTCCGTATCACTTGATCACGTGATCAAACCAAAAAAATTTCAATAACAAATTTTTAAGATGGGCCAAAATAGATATAGTCCCAAAGTTTTGGGCAGTTACCGGAAGGGGTTTTAGGGGTTGATTTTTTGCTCGTCGACCCTAACTATTTCTTCCGATGAATTGATTATGAGATGACTCAAACCGATGAAAACTTTTTTTAGTTTTAACCTATTTGTTTGCCCGCGGTCTGGGCTGTTTTTCTTCTTAAATGACATGAAATCTTTTAAGCATCATTTTGAGAGGTCACACTTTATCCAAACTACTTTATTTTGTCAGCTCTAGAATCGGACCAGAAGTGACTTTTCTAAAATTGAAATCGGTCAATTTCTTTAAAGTTATCTGCTGGTTCCAAAGAGATAATGTTCCAGGGTTTATACGGCAGAAGTGGGCTTGAGAACTTCCAGAACCTTAAAAAAAGCGCGTCACTAAGACTCTAGCAGCTCCAGGTAGAGCAGTCTTTGATTTGGACAAGATTTAGCGTTTGTAAGAGGCGAGAGGGATAGGAGAGAGAAGGCTTGGAGACGATTCTTACCTGTTAGACAATCGAAATCGGACTCAAAAATGGGATGAGTAACGAAAAGGGGTGCTTGATTTCGAGGTCGTTTTGTCGCTGCACGCTCCTATTTTCGGCCTCTTTTCAGAAAAGCGCGCGGTAGAGGGCGCTTTTTCACATCTGCCACGCCGCCCGCCAGGCAAGCTCAACGCTCAATGCTTGCTTTACTCAAACATTCGGATTTTTCGATGACTGATGACTTGATTCATCAACAATACAATGCGAAAGCGTTCTCTGCGTAAATGGATGCATTAAAAAATTCAAAATGCTTAGCGCACGAGGTATTCCCAACCGGTCACCCATGTAAGTACTAACCCCGCCCGTCGTAGTTTGACTTCAGTGATCGGACGAGAACTGGTTTATTCTACGCGGTATGACGCTAAGCGAAGGAAGCTGGTTCTATTCGGCATATATAGCAAAATTATGTTAATTGTAGCTTATGATGCATCTGCTTGTATTCCGTAAAATATGTCAAGAAAACAATGGACGAAAATCGCATTTCTCAGTCAATAGTACCGTAGAAGTATCGACGATCTCGACCACAATTTCCTGCCACTTGTCGTTTTCTTTCTGACCACGTTCAGCGACGAAAATTAGCTGATTCTCGTTTAACTTGGGCGCGATCATCTTTAGCTCCACATGAACTGGAATTCGACTTTTCTTTGACCGTAAATTGAGAAGATCTTCAATTTATTCATATCAAAAGTGCCTATTTTAGAGCTCAGAATCATAAAAGTTTATTTCCGACAAAATTGCTGTATTTTTCTAACCAAGCTACAGGCCACTCCATCCTCTCTTCCCCAAAATGAGCGTGTAAATTTTCTTTTAGATTTTCAACTCTAAATATGTTAAGCAAAACATTTTCTTTGCGGAGAGGCTCTTTTTTACCTTTCAACTTTGCATGCGGGATCATTCATTAATCTATCGAAATTGTCTTTCATCACTAGTGGGTCCCTGTATTTATGAGCGACAGTGAGCCCTCTGAGAAAGCAAGTATCCGTTAAATTCATTTGCCGCGGCTTTACTCCAGAGCAGATTGAAGTTGACAAGCCCATTTTATGACTAAAACAAATACTTTTGGACAAGAAAATCGGTTTCATACATGAGATTAGCATTTTTAATGAGTTCTCCGGCGAAGACATCGTCCATCGGCAGCACTTCTGTCATTGACAGAGCCTTAGCCATTTTCATCGCAAAAGATCCTGTTGTCACATAACAAGCACCAGCGTAGTAAGGGGCGAAAAAGTTGTCTTCAAATATTTCTTCCGGAAGAAAATATCGTGACCTTGGATTTCGAATCACGTCTGCCTTAGGCTTTCGACAACCAATCGCCTCAAATTCGTTGTCTTCACTTTTCAACTGTTCTAAATCGTGGATAAGCCCTTGTGGTACTAGTAGGATATCATCGTCGCCTTTGAAGATAAATTCAGCATTTGGACACTTTTCCTCTAGAAAATGGAGATAACCGATATCTTTGTAAACGAGATGATGGAAACTCTCGGTGAAATCAAGGAGGAGAATATCTTCGAACATCTCAAGTTCTTCTTTGAGTTGCCCTTTCTTTCCATCCTTTCCGATAATGAATACAATCTTTATTTTGTATCCAAATGTTTTCCATAGTTCCAGGTCCAACCAGCTTTCTCTTATAGCCATCCTTGCGCTTTTTGCATCTGGCCTTGATTTTATCCCGAAAACAATATTTTCATTTCTGCATGAAGAAGGGGAGATGATTTTAACGGGGTTGATGTTTGCATCGAAATCGAGTAGAGAATTGAGATGAGAATACGGACCTTTGATCATTGATTTAGTGGAAGAGTCTTTGGAAAACTTTACTTTTGAATAAACAGCGTCCATTTTCACTTGTAACAGTTCCCTCAAGTTCTTGATAGCGGCGGCTCAAATCGGTCAAATTTAAATTCGCTTTATTCGTGCATGTTAAAATATCGTTTTCTTCTTCGAACCGTGTAACAACTGAGACTTTTTCTTCATTAACCTTGTCCAGCTGATATGAAATTCTCTCATACGTTGTCTAATAACACTGTTTAAATAACAGTCTTTCAGGATTATTTGTCTTACTTTGTTCAAGTTCAAGAACCAAAGAATAATGGAAATGTAGATCACCGAGATTATGATTCTTTCTTTGGTTTTTCTCTGCATTTCTTATATTTTATGCTTCGGCAATTTTAAAAACAAGTCAGTCAAAAAGTGCAAATTTTTCTTTTTTATATGACGATCCAATTGTGAGAAAGGAATATTGACATTCCCGTGCGCACAATATTTTTAAGATGGAGGAAAGGAAATAAAAAATTATTCTAGCAGAACAATGTAAAATTATGACTTGCTTGAAAGCGCGTACCAATTTAAAGATTAAACCAATTCAAAGATTAATCGTTATTGAAAGACGTTTATTCTTCAAACATCCGAGAACAATGTCAAGAACATGTAATTACGAGCAGCCGAGCGACTGATGATGCTCGGGAGAGTACTGTACATGCGGACAGCCTCGGCAAGAGCGGAACTGGACTATGGCTCGGCAATAGCGACCGTTGGCTTCATAGTTGATCTTGCATTCGTGGACGTTGTATCCGCCGAGCATCATCTCGGAGTGGGTTTGGCGGCAGTGGACGCTGTTGACATCTTAACAAAAATTACTGATTTTCTGGACGCTAAGGTGTCTCTCACGGATTTCAGTATTTGGGCCGACACCGATTTCAGGGTGTTTTAGCGCAAGAATCCACTTGGAATCGTTGACGGTCGCCCAGCCATTGTTCGGGAGGAGAATGACTTGATCTTGAGGAACTGATGGTGGTCGCCCATTGTCCTCGGGTAGCACCGGCAAGTTGTTAGAAGGGCTTCCGTTGAAACAGTCCCGGAGGGCGCCAGCTCTTGCAGCTGCATTCAGACCGGCAGGGATGTAATTTTTGCAGTCAAAGTATTTTCTCTAGGAAAATAAAGCTTTTCATTGAAATTTTTATAGCTCCTTACCAAAAGAGGTCCAGAAACGGCCAAGTTGTCATAAACCTCGTGAAATTCAGTCGCATCACATGATTCTTCGAAGCATTCTCGTTCCAAGTTTCCTGCTTTCCACTCTTCGAATCGGGTGTTGGCCCGTCGAACTCTCAAGAACTCAGAAGCAGTCTCTTTTGAAACAGCAAGGGCAGATGCTCCGGCAACGAGAGCAAAACTTCCAAAAAGCTTCATTTTCGAAGTTATTTCTTGCCAGATCTATGAGGATCTTGAAGATATGAATGACTGTTTATTTACTCATGCTCAAGGTCAGCTTGAAGGCAAATAAATACATCAATGACAACAAGTGCAAGTTCATTTGTTGATTGTTTATTATAAAAATATATGTTTAACTCGTTTTCAAAAAAGATCTAGATTTGTAGGGATTTTCAACGTTCAATATTTCCAGCCGAAATTTTGGACGACGAAAGTCTTTACAAAATTCTAGAGCGTTTTTGAAAATCGACATCTGCCTTTTATACGGAGAAGTATGCGAGGTTTTTGTTGAACAGATGGGTGACTTTACAAAGACTCGACAGAGTTGTCGAAAACGACCGCAACGATCTTCTCCATCTTCTCCATTTCTTGCTCGGGCACAACGGGCAGGGGCGTTGGGTCCTTCTTTGACTTTTTTGGCCGCTTTCGTAAGTTCGGCGACATTTTCAAGCTAAAATATCTTTCAACAGTAGATTTGAAAAGCCTATCTTACATTGTTGAGTTTCCTCGGGAGTCACCAATCAGACAAACTGGGAATTCGGGGTTGAACTCAAGTCTGGTTATCTTTGTTTTCTTCTTTTGTACGACTACTTGTTCACAAAGAGGCTTAAATTATCACATTATATTTGATCATTTTTTTTCCAAAAACCTGATATTTATTGATATTGAGATCATAGACGAAGCATTTCCCGTCCGAAGTCACAGCGCCAAAGGCGGTGGATGAGAAGATTGACCACGAGATATCTCCAACAGGGCTTTGAAGATCGAACGAAAACAGAGCTATTTGACTGTTTTGACTCCAGACTTTGACGTGCCAGTCGTCAGAGGAAGACAAGAAGATGTCTTTGTGGAATGGGTTCCACTTGATAGAGCTGACAGCCATGCTGTGGGCTTTCCAGCGACCTAAGTATTGAGAAGAATAGGCGGTGGAACACTTGTAGATTATTCCCTCTTCAGAACCGACAAGGAAAACCGGACTTTTATCGGAATGGAAGGCAATCGCAGTGCCACAAGCCTGTAATTACAACTATTTGTTTCTATAGAAATCAAGTCGATCTACCTTAGCACCTTCTGCAAGCTCATCATCAAACAGGGTGATAACCTCCTTAGTTTCTCCACTCTTTGGATCCCAGCACTTTACAGTTCCATCAGATGAGACGGAGCAAAACTGATCGCTTTGCCATTTGATAGCCCACACAGGATCCACGTGTCTTTCCGCCGTTTTACAGCGGTATATTTCCTCCTTTTTCAATAAATTGAAAACAGCAACAGAGCCATCGTAAAGGCCGACTGCGACGAGGTGGCTACGCTCTCTACTGATGTCCAAGCACATAACACCGACGTCGGTTTCGAAGATAAATCCTTAATAATTTGTCAAACTATAATTTGAAATATTTTTCACCTGGATAGGAAGGATTTTTGAGCGAATAAAAGAGAAGATATCCGATGCCCTGCCTTGCGTAATCATAACTTCCAAGTCCAACTGCAAACAAGTCGTGGTACCTTTTGCTCCATTGAGTCGAAGTAACCGAGAGTTTCTTCGCCTGCGCAAAGTTGTAAATCCAGAGCGGAAGAAGAGTTCCTTCTCCATCGCGGTACTCGTCAGACTCGTCTTCGAAAAATCGGAAATCATCGGCAATATCGAGATGTGTGTTTTGATTGACGATTCGTTCCATTATAGCGAGGGACTTTTCCAACGAGGAAGATTGCACCGGAGTTGATTCCTTAGGGGCGTCTTTTTTGTCCTTGTTGGTTTTCTCTTTCTCAGCTACTCGACGGGCAAGCTCGGCTTTGTATGCATCGTAGATGACGTGTCTTTTTATCTGTTAGTATCTACCTGATTTTTTCTACTTACTGGTTGATGGTGACCGAAATATTTTCCCGTTTCGGGGGCTCAGTCTGTACATCTCGCTCACGCTGCAGCTGGGTTACTGTTTGAGCAGACCTCTCCCCAAAATTGAACTGGTTTCTGACAGGTTTTTCAGCCTCTGTTTTATGATGAGATGCCCTTGATTCTGCTTCACTCGAATGATCTTCTAAAAATCCAATGAATTCAACTTTTAATTTTTTTTTTTGAAGATGATGAAGTATTTATCCACATGCATGAATTGGATGAAACGAGTACTCATAAATGAGATGACGAGATACAATTCACGACATTAATCGTTTGTTACTCTTTTTCAGCAAAAATTGAAGTCTTTTCCATAATTTAACGCCTGAAGAAATTCAAAGATCGCCAAAACTAATTAATTACCGACTGGTTCGATGGCCTTCGTTGGTCCGTATTTAGCTTCATCAGAGTCGACATGAATGAGGTTTCCTTTCAGATTGAAGTGCACTGCGAGTTGATCGACATGAGATTCCTTTTTGAATTCATTTGCAGCGAAATCGAACCGGATGATGTTGTCTAAAGAATTTTTACGATTTTCGAGCTAGTTGTATGAGTACCGGGTGCTTGTGGGTTGTTCGCGGTCAGAATTCGGGTGTGTTCTTCTTTCAGTTCCTTTTCAGAAAGCTCGAGTTGGTCTGGGGGTTTCATTACGACATTTCCCTTCATTAGATCGTCGCCATACGTGGATTGGAATCCCATTGTGGACTGGTTGTCGCGTCCATGTCTAATCGTACTCCTCGTTTCATCGCTTATAATCCAAAATTTTAATTTGGGAAAATAAAAGCATTTTTATAATACGGAAATAAATTATTAGTAAAATTTTCTAACTAAACATGAAAATGAACTCGTACCTCAGGATTTTCGGGGAACTTCATAAAAAATATTATTTTATCCTAATTTTGGTACTCTTTTATACCTTTGAGTAGTTCCAGCATTTTTACTCTTCACTGGGGCTTTCTTTGTTTCTCTATTTTTCGGCGGCATTTTAGACTACGACTGAAATCTCTCACTCTCGATGATTTCCAGTAGAAGTATTTTTTCAAACAAAAATGACGAACTGCGCTCGCGTTTCTATGGAAACTGCTTCCTGCATTGAGCGTGTTCCGTCGATATTTTTATTCATAGATCCGATAAGATGCCTTTTCAGTTGGAATTTATTTATCCCATAGTTTCAAGCTGATCAGGGGTCAGACAATCTGGGGGATGAGATGAATCGAATGCTGATTTTGTACAGGGGCTTTCAGCTATAAATGAATGGACGGTAGCATCGAAGATTCTCCGAAGTCTTTTTTGTTCCATATTTCCTTCTGCAATTCCCGTAGCGTTGAGCCTTTCTATAAGGCATTTATGTCTGACAATTCCAGGTTTTACTAGCGCAGTTTCGCTTCTTTGACAATCGTCAGAAACACCGGCGAAAACATCATTACGAGTTTTCCTAAATAAATTAACGAAACGATAAATTGAAATTGACCAACGCTGAAAGGCACTGTTCTCTTTCTGATAATCGTATGCAGTCGAGATGCTTTACATCCATCATGAGTCTGAGGGATTTACCAGCCATGCATCCCCCATCACAGCCGAGGGTTATCATTTTGCAAATAACTTTTTGGGCTTTCTTCTTTCCGGTTTTTATATATTTTTATAAGATTATTGATTATCGAAAACATGCCTGTTAGTTGTTCATAATTTTCAATATCATTCGCTTGGGATAAAAATATCTTCTGACATAAAGCACAGTATTCGATTCTTTTTGAAGGCCTGCAAAGATGTGTTTTTGAAAGAGGAGCCTGAAAGCTCATCTAAGCTAGAGATAAAGACTTTTCATACCTGAGAACAAAGATTTATCAGAAAAAATAAAGAGAAATGAATAAAACCCTCATTCTCTGACTTTATACGAATTTTGGCAATCGTTTGAGTAAGCTCTTTAGTCACGCTCTTCTGATGAGATTTTCACCTCGCTGCGAGGTAGAACCTTGAGACATTACCTTCTTTGGAGAATTTAGAGAGAAAAATGGAACCTCCAAATTTCAAATGGGCACTGCCAAATGTCGCCATTCTTGGTCTTCCAGATCATCCGAGTGAGTTTTTTATCGAACAAAAAAATAGAAAAACTGACAAATAAGAGATGTATGAGTGGCTCTTGCAAGAGGGAATTTCGACTCTTTACTCGATTCATCCCCAAGTGCCCAAGCAAATCAAGGCTGTTCCAAAGCTTGAAAACATCCACGTCCGAAAGTATCCATACGAACAACTGAAATGCGATGAGCTTCTCGCTTTCGTGGAAAAGATTAATGATGCCCGTCTTCGTGGCAAGAAAATCGGTAACGAAAAAAATCACTCAATGTCAAGGCAGTTTCCGGCGGGTCGCTGAACTCGCCGAGTTTGACACCACTGGCCTTTCCCAATTGACGTCACCTGTTGATTAACCTGTCCGGAGAAATTAGATACTCCGGAAGCTTAGCGTCCATTAATAATCGTGCATTAACATTCTTGCCACTTTTATTTATGAATTTCGATTTTTACGTCAAACATGTTTTTTGCAGCGTTTCACGATGCGGATGGAACTGGCCATGCAGCTATGATTGTTGCTGCTTTTCTTCAAGTAAGAAAATTTTTTCACGGGAAATTTATTGATGTTTTTAGAAAGAACATCCAATCCGACCAGCTGAGATTCTTGAGAAAATCCGCGAGATTCAGCCAGGCGCAGTTCCAAACTACCAACAAGAGGAAAGCGTTCTTATTTTAGCGATTAATTTTGTTGATTTTTTTCACTTAATTTTTTGTTGATAAAAATACCTTCAGAAGGCAGAAGTATTTTTTTTGGAAAATTTGCATTTCAGATTGATCAATTAAATAATTACCTTTCGAGACATTCCAATCTTGGTTATTGCGTTTCTATTTTTGTCCAAATAACAATAACTATAATCCTCTTAAATGCTAAATCTATAAGTGGCATGATAAAACGACTTTCACACCAAAAATTAGTCGCAACGTAATAATGGCCGCCCGTAAGTGTTAATGCATCTCGCCGCCAAAAATAGATCGGCGGGTTGCTTCTATTAGCGCGTGAATTCGCTCAGAATTTTAAACGTCCGTGCAAAAATTGCACACGCTCTGACAGGATCGACTACTCGAGCTCTACAAACATCTGACAGCTAAGAACGGATTCAACGGAACTTTCTTTCCTTTCGATTCTGCGGATGAGTTTTTCTCTGTAGATGGAAGATCGGGTCGAACTAAGAACTATTTTGTATGTCTGAATTATTTATTTCTAATCTGATTAAAATTTAAGCCTCACTCGATGTTGGTCGCTCCTGATAGATATTACCGCGATGCTCATTATTACCTTCAAGATCAAATTCAAGAGTTTGAGCCACAGTATCTTACTCCTTTTCCATACTGAACATTTTCAATAAATATTTTTGTAAAATGATACTCGCAATATTTTGGCTGGCAAATGCTTGTAAAGAAAAAACTTGAAAATTTTATTGAAACATTAAAAACCAATTTGTGTCGATTTTATATTTGCCAAAGAAATCAATTCATATCTTTTATTTATGAAATCAAAATCTTGCAAAAGTATCAAAAATTGCAGGAAAAAAGTATCCGGGTGAATTTGGATGAGCTTTGGCGCCTCCTCTGATTAACTCAATGTGTCCAACTTGGTTGTAACTTGTTTTAGTATGCTCTGAGCTGCCAAGATCCTTTTGATCGTTTCCGCCACAACTGTCATTTTCCTCGAAACTCGTCTCACTTCTCATTTTCGAGCTGCTTGAGCATAATCACGTGTCAATAGTCCGTCCTTTTTTATAACGAGCGAAAAGGCTGAGAGTTGACGCTTTCAGCAAAAAAAGAGAGAGACTTTTGAGAATCAGAAAGTACACTAATCGGAAGAGAAAGAGAGAGGGAGAGACAGTATGATGAAAATCGTCTACGTTCTTCTCTGTGAAACAGTTTTATCTGCAAAATATGACCACAAAAAGTATTCATGGTAAGTAACAGTGCGACTTCTTTTTAATTTTAAATGACATGAACGAAGATTCGAGAGCTAAAAATTTTCTTCAGGACAAAAGTCATGGAGTACGAAGAAGTTCCTGTTCATTCTTGCAAGCACTTTGCCCCAGATATTCGAAAAAAGACCTTTTGTCACAACTATCCAAATTTGATAAACGAGCTCGCCCTTGGATTCCGCATGGCCATGCATCAGTGCAAAGCAGAAATGTCGGATGAAAGGTATTGGCGTTTATTTTTTTCCATGATTCCAAATTATAATTTAGGTGGAATTGTCCAACCACGTCAAACCTCAGAGACCCCATCACGAAGATGGACATCAACTCTTTTGATCTGATGCTTGGGACGGGTAAGAAACAAGTAAAATAGTTGATTCACGCGTAAGAGCAATTAGTGGCTTATTCCGTGACATGTTGATTATGTATCACCTTGTAATTAATTGCCTGCTCAATCATCACACGTTTTATGAAGCGTAAGCGGCCATTGACACGGGCTATTTTCGGGCGGGGCTTCGAAATAATTCTGTTGACAGAACCATTCTGTAGAAAACAGAACTATTCTGTTTCAGTAAAATCAAAGACTGGGTGTGCGCTTCGCGCCTGTTTTTCAGAAAACTCCAGAATTGAGAGTATCATGTTTTTTGACCATCGCTTTATATTTATACCGCCGCAACTACCCATTTCGGCAGCAATCATGCCCAATTAAAATTTTCTTAAAACAGAATAGTTCTGTCAAACAGAATGATTCTGTCAACAGAATTATTTCGAAGGCCGGCCCTATTTTCGCCTTCGAATTCGTACAATCTGATGATGAAAGAATCTTTTAGGAACCCGAGAAAGCGCTTTTCTCCATTCGCTTGTCTCAGCAGGTGGAGCATTTGCAATCGCTGCTGCCGAAGCTAGAGGTCAACTCAAAAAAGAACGAATTGAAAAATGCAATATCGATGGACAATATGACGAAAATACTGACCAAAAGAAATTCTACCTGACAGAAAAGTACTCCAAATACGGCGGCTGCGTTTCCGATCACTTCTACGAACCCGACTCATCAGGTCATATCGAAAAGATCCATCATCACAACGCACGCCAAGGCCTGAAGGTAATGAAGAGTTGAATTAATTTAAAATTGTTACGAAGAAATTCAACGTGTGGATTATTTTGATCGAAAAGGCACTAAATTAATTCCTTTCGCTTATTTTCTTTTCAGATACTAAAAGATACAATGGTAGAGCACTGCCGCTGCCACGGTGTTTCTGGAAGCTGCCGGTTGAAAACTTGCTGGAAATCGCTGACATCGTTTGAAAAGGTTTCCGCTGCCACCTTTGAGAAATTCAAAAAAGCAAAGAGGACGAAATCCGCAAATGCCATCGAAAGTTCAAAGTACAATGACAAGCTGGTTTACTCCGAAAAAACGCCGAATAAATGCGAAAAAGACGAGAAATTCGGAATGCTTGCTTCTGAAGGTCGCGAATGTACACTCAAAGGAGCAAATAGCTGCAAGAAATTATGCTGCAAGGGAAAATACGAAGCAGTCAAAATTAAAAGCATCGAGCAATCGAACTGCAGATTCAATTGGTGCTGCAGTGTTGAGTGCGACGAGAAACAGGTGGAAGAGACAAAGTACTACTGTATATAAACACCAAGGGAAACATGTTACTCTGTAAATACTACTTTTAACTGTTCAGATTTTTCAATTGCAAGGTTCTTTATGTTACACCAAATACATCAGCAGATGAAATCACCAAGTGTGAATTAATAACTCTGGTTCGGCATTCGGCCCATTCCAAGCGATAAAATCCGTGTACGCGTAAAAAGCAACTGGTAGTGGCTGGTCGATTTTTCGAATTTCAGTCATTTGAAGAGTCAAGTTGTCGAAATTGAAAGTTATTTCATATTGAGACATTATGATTTCAGAAGAGATCGCGTTGTCTGTTATCGCGCAATCGTGAATTTGAAGTCGTCTGAATTTAGTTTCTATTTTTCTCGTTTCAAAAAATCTTATACCCAAGTGATTCTAACGCCTTCGATCCGTAGTCCAGAGCTTGCGAAACCAACGGAAAATTGTCATCTGCCCTTTCTGAGTGGCTGCTCATCTCCCCCAAAAACACCCAGGTCTTATGGAGATAACGGTAGACTTGCACGACTCTTGAAAAATCCCGAATTCCACGGGTCATTTCGCCAACTGCAATTAGCGTCAGTCCTTCGGAATCAGGCACGGGATAAACTCTTTCAAGTGTTTTGTCGCCCGACATGTGCTTTGAAATATGCCAGCTCCACTTGGTCCATTTGTAGGTGTTTTGAACAAGGCGCTCTCTTTCGATTTCAAGCGTTTCGAAACGCACAATTTTCTCGATTTGATATGTTTGAACAACTGAGGCTTTATTTTTATAATTGAACATTATTTTCCGCTGCCGACTGTATGAATTCAGATTTGCTTTTCGAGATAGTTCAGTAGAACACAAACAAGAGCTTATTAACTAGAAATATCCTTCCCTGAAAGATATCTTGTCAGCTGCCCTCCATATGAAAATTGAGTGTAGTACCAACACGCATCTAGTTCTTGATAAGACGAGCAAAATAATAATGCTGTCTCCTTGTTGATTTCAGTAACGGCGCAAGAAGAGAAAGTGTTAAAATTAAAAGTATTCTGGGTTCCGGTCACATGGGAGATCAATTTTAGATCATTTATCTTTCGAGGAAGGAGAAATACTTTTCCATTCGCTTTTATTCGAGTTTTAATAATTATTTCTAAATATCTATTAATTTATCTTCTTTACTAATAGTAATTTCTATTACAAGAAATTTAAAACTCTAAGTGAAACCATGAGATAACTTCCTTTGTAAAAAGTAGCACAGCTCCCTTCAAGTGAATTTCTAGTTATTGTCGGCGCTGCAATTTCATAAGGACCTCGTCTTTCATCTAGTTCCTTATGTTGAACCCAGATATTTATCGTCCCGCCATTATGAAAATAATTATGAGCTTTTTCTTTTGAGTTTCGAGTGACAATATCGTGTTCAATAAATTTCTTCTCACAATAAAATTGTGGACAAGGGCAGCCATTAGGACATCCAGATTCATAAGGACAGTGGTTTGTGCCCGCACCTGCTAAATGCCGACAGATGGCCCGACATTCTTCGACTCTTTGATCATTTAAACAGAGTTCTTCGCAAAGCATGAAGCTAGAAAATTCATAGCGCTTACAGAGACGCAAATTCGTCTGTTGCTCTAATTCGGTGAATTTTCGATTGTCAGGTTTGTTTCGTCTGCTTGTTGTTCTAATATATTCAACCTGAGGCCAGACGAAGACTTTTGAGCTCCTACAACTTTGGAATGCAGACTGGCAATCGGAGAAGAGCATAAAATCACTAAAAACTTAATAAAATCTTGAGAAAATAAAAAATGCATTAACCTTTTTAAGCAAATTTTATAAGGCATTGTGCAAACGGTCGTCACTAAATTTGGTAGCATTGATTTTCTGAGTTTCATGACGCCGTAAAGATTTGTGATGAGAATTATAGTCAGCCAGAACGTTGTCCCAATACCGACGTATGAAAGCATTTGCTTCCATGATTTATTGCCGCTTGAAAGTGTAGAATTGAGATTTTCAATTTGAGAATAATTATGTAACTTACTGTTTTTTGAAAAGCTTGCCATAATCATCTGGCCTGTTTTTCCAGAGTTTGGAGTTAAGCGAAACAAGATACACATGCCCTTCCACCATTGCGAGTTTTCCATCGCAACTGCATCTAATTTCTTTTAGCGCTAGAAACTTTATATTCATACTTACTCGGAGCAGCGAACCAAGGTCTTGACATCAAGTTTTTGCATTTCTTGGTATCTCTTTTGAGCTTTTTCAAGCTCAATTTGAACCACGGTTTTACTCAGAATCGTTCTTGACCTTTTTTCAAAATACCAGACTTCAAAACCGGATATTAGGCAACTCATCTACAGAAATGCACTAGTTATCAGTGCAAAGGAAAGTGAACGCTTAAATTTGCTAAACTTTACTTTCTAGCAGACTGTCTGCCACTAACGGCCAGAAATTCAGGGTGACAGCTTTAAAATCTGAATAAATATTTTACGAAATTGACGGCACTTTTTCTTCGGGGTAGCGTGTTCAAACACGAGAAAGTAGAGCGCGAGAAGACAACTGTAGAACTTGAGATTCAAAGTTCGAAAAATGACGGATCCAGGAGAATGTGTCCAGGATGGATTTCAAATCACTTGCTTGACTTATTATAACTTTACGGTTGCTGATTATATCATTTTTTCCTTTATGTTGGTCATATCTGCAGCTGTTGGAGTATTTTTCGCTTACAGGTCACGAAATACTGAGACAGTAGAAGACTATCTTCTAGGAAACGGTCGGACCCTTTTCTTATTAAAATTGAATGATAAGCTAGAAAAACCGTAAAATAGCCGGTCGAACAATGCATTTCTTTCCAACTTCCTTGTCAATTATGTGCACAGCTCTGTCGGCGATTACGATTCTAGGTACTCCGTCGGAGTTCTATCTCTACGGTGGAATGTATATTTGGGCAGTGGCATGCTTTTTCATCAATCTCACTTTATCTGCCGAAATATTTGTTCCAATTTTTTATAAATTGAAGATACGCAGTACGTATGAATTCCTCGAGCTTCGATTTCATCCGATAACGAGAAAAGTGACTATGGGGCTTTTTCTTCTTGCCACGGTCGTTTCTACTGGAGTTGCAATCTATGCACCTGCCACAGCCATCTCAGCAGTGACATCGATGGATTTGAATCTGGCGATATTGTCGTGTGGAATTGTCTGCGTTTTTTATACGACGTTAGGAGGAATGAAAGCTGTAGTTTGGACTGATGCTGTTCAGGTAATTCTTACATCAAGACAGCCTAAGTAATCTTTGAAGTCTGTGTGGATGATTTCCGGGCTTCTCGCAGTAACGATCTACTCCGCTGTTAACATCGGTTATGATGAAATCTGGCAAAAGGCAAAGGACACAGGCCGGACAGAGTTTTTCGTCACCTCATGGAATCCAACAGTGAGAAATAGTATCCAAGCATTTTTGATTGGAAAAACATTTGGGTTGGATGGTTACTCTTTCTGTGTAAGTCAGAACTTTGTTCAACGATTTCTTGCATGTAAAAGTTTGGGTCATGCTAAAGGCTCGGCGTATATGTCTGTTGTCTGGTTTGCAACGATCATTACTTTTTGTTTGACGAGTGGTTTTGCTTTGATTATCTACTACGAGCTTTGCGATCCAGCTGCTGCGGGCTTTTTAGAAACGACCGATCAACTAATGCCCTGGCTTACTACTTACATATTTCAAGAAAACGCGGGAGTGAGCGCGATCTATGTCTCTGGCGCATTTGCCGCATCATTGAGTACTGTCAGTTCCGCACTTTCTAGCATGGCGAATGCCTTGGTCTCCGACTATTTATTCAAATGGACTAATAAGTTGTCCGAAAACAAGCAACTTATAATTTGCAAATCGATTGTTTTGATCCTTGGCGGTTGTTGTATTGGATTCGCGTACATGGCAGCTTCGCTTCGCGGTGGTATTTTAGAAGCAGCCCTCGCTATTCCCGCTATTGTTGGAGGACCCACGTGGGGAGTGTTTTTGCTTGGTGTTTTCTTCCCGTTTGTGGAGTTTATTGGAGTCTCAGGTTGTCTTGTTTAAATATCTTACCTTCAACGATTCTTTAGTGGGTATGCTTTCTGGAGTCATTGTTTGCACCTGGATGTACGTTGGAAGAAATATCGCCCCGATTCCAACAGAAATTATCGAACTTGCTGGCAAGTTGGAAGTCAACACCGATCAATGCATGTATGAAAATGGAACCATGTACCCTGGAAGTGATGCTCAGCCTGAATACGTTGAGAACACACCGTAAGTAGCGAGTTTTCGTGAATTGGTTCTGGGATGTTTTAGGTTGCTTTCGTTCTATAATATTTCTGTTCATTACATTGGAACTCTTGGCTTTGGTACGACAGTAGTTTTCACGCTTTTGACCAGCTCAATTGTCCATTTTCTTGTAAAAGGAAGAAAATACAAGTAAGCCGCAATTTAGAAATAGAAATTCTTAGCCACAACATCAAAATTAAGCTTGAAACAGCGAGATCCGCGTCTTCATTGTCATCATCTTTCAAACCTATGGCGTTTTATCACCCGTAACGAGGTCAGAAGCGAAGATGATGATTTCTGGATTTTGCCTGACGCCGAAAAACATGCCGTAACAAACTCCGACCTCTCTCCGGCCGAAGAAAGACCTTCAACGACGAGTAAATCCTCAAAGAACATAGTGTTCCCCGAAGAAGTGCAAACTGATTTCTAAATCTGTTGTCTTCTATGTATTCAAATATTTTTACGCAATTTAAGAATAAAGAATCAATTTAAAACTTTGTATTCCTCAGTAAAAAGGTAAAAAAAGCAAGAAAGAAAGAAATTAGAAAATTAAAATAATCATAATTGAAGAAGGAAATTTTCATTTTTTACCACGACGATTTTTGTCATACTTGACCTCAGGTCTTTTTGAAGACCGTCAACAGTCTCGAAAAATCCCCATGTTTGCGAATTGACGCTCTTAGGCAGTAATGCGATAGACTTGTATGAGAATGACAATAGCAACAATGGCAAAGAGTAATTTTAGAAGATTGCGGAGGGTTTGGCGCTTGATTTTTTGGGTGAATTCGGTCTTCGAGTATTCTTCGAAGAGCTCGCCTCTTGTGTTTTTTCGTGGAATGGGTTCGTTGGGAATCTTAAATGTATTTCATAAATCTGGACTTTTTCTAACATTATCTTTTTGGACATCTAAAACAGCGCCTAAATCTTACCGGAACTTGAAGAAATTTGCAAAGTGGCTCCCAGCCATCCTTAATGTTCCAAATGAGAAGCTTGTCATCCGGTACGACGGATTTCACGTAAATTATATGGCTCAGGTAACGCTGTTTCATGATACGCTTATTTGCAAGGAATCGGTTGGATAAGGCCTTTTGCTCGAAGCAGCAATCGACGCCGAACATAATCCTCACCGAGTGTATTCCTAAAACACAAGTTTACTTTCAAGAAAGAAAGGAATGTTGCTTACCAATTCTGACCATTTCGTAAATTTCTTTGCCAAAGAATCCGTGCCACGCCAAATGTGTCGCTACGTTTACAGCGATGCCTTTGAAGTTTTGCTCAAAGAAATTGATCCACGACTCGTACCAAACATGTTCATTATCTCGAACGGTGAGAACGACCTGAAAAAAGAAAGCTACGCGCGAGAATTTACTTGACGCATTCTGTGAGCAAAATGCGGTCAATGCAAGATTTATCTTGTTTTTGGTTCTTGCTAAAGAAAGAGACATTTACCAAAGAGCGGAAAAATTTGAAAGGGAAAACTATGGACTCTACTGTATTTACGAAAACAATTCAAGCGACAGGTTAATGATGGATAGCAATTTTACCTTTCCTTCCCCGTTTGCTCTCCAAAGCTCCTCCCAATAAATATTTCCGGGGAAGTCCTGGTTGGTGTCAAAGTTGTTTCTCTCATATGCATCCAAAACCTTCTTAATGGAGCCCCTTCCTTCCATGTACTCGAGCCACTCCTCAGTCAGGAACTCGCATGTCTCAATGTAATCAGCCACGCGAAAGCCCAGTTTTTCAAAAGCAGCAGAAGCCGATTTCGAAGCAGTTTTCGGAAAACCAGCGCAGATGAATTTCATTCTTAGAAAATAAATTATTTTGAAATAATTTTGAGTTAAAGGCGATCAGCCGTAGAAGATCCCAGAGTTCTCTTTGATCGGGTTTATATCTAGATAATTTTTATTGCTTCGTCACTAACAGATAGACCGGCTTTCTGATCGGAAAGTGATGAATAGGATCAACGACTTCACAAATTTACTCGATTTATTTTTCGAAAAAATCTCTTGATGTCAGTACATCAAAGTTGAAGGACTGGAACTTACTTGTGTGGCATTTTATTATTTGCTTCATCTTTTATGTCTATCAAACAGTAGTCCGCGTTTTCCATTTCAGAATTACAGTGCGCCGATTTCTCGATTTCGAAAGTTATGAAAATTTCAATCTCTGTCCGGATTGCAATTTCTAGCCACGGTCGGATGCATTCCTGTGCAAATAGTGCGGAAAATTGTAGTGCGGGGATTGTGCGCGCGAAGTTTTATCACTTTTGGCATAAAATCAAAAGATTCAATCGTTGCCCGCTCTTTGGTGGTACCAGTTCTATCATAAAAAGGATCTCAAAAGGCAGATCATAATCCGCAGTTATTATTTGAATTCTTCAATTGAACATTTGTTTAGTTAAAAACCTGTTAAGAAGCCCTTCGATGTTTCTTCTTCCGACCTTCTCTTAGTTTTTAACCATGCATTTTTTATCCCAACAAACCTCGAACAAAAGTCCTATTGTTTCGTGATTATGAAAAAATTGAAAAAAAAATTTCGGAAACAAACGATTCTTGGCCGCTCAACTCTCTTCTCTCCGGGAATCAGCAAAGTTCAATCTCAAGTAATGTGGACCCGTGCCCGCAGCTGATCAATATTATGAAGTTAAAATTCTATATTTAGAGCTCTGATCAAATGTCAGGACTTTTACATTATCATAAAATTAACATACGGTACCTCGATAGTTGAATGATCCCAGAAAGAAAATCGTGATTGATTTAATAGAGCTCTCGAGAATCACTTCTGCTGTAGCAACTTCGCTGTTCTCCGGATGCTACTTTCTTCTTTTCTTCCTCGGGGAGAAATCCGGTCTTGGAGAATGTGTGAAAAAAGAATTGTCACGCTGTTCGAGCGTGCCCCTTTTCGCCTTTGACAAGCAGTATCCATGCCTCCCAGGTTTCTGCCCATTCTGAGAACATTAATTAATAATTGCTCAGTTTGACTTACTGTTTAACTATCGCGTAAGTATGGATAATGACGTGACGATTCCTTGGAAATGAATGAGTAGTTCTACATTTGCGAAAGAAGCGGCCCTGTTTGTTCTGTCTGGCGATTACCTTCGATTAATTTTATGAATTTATCTTATTGTTTTGCAAAATACCGTTAGATGGATGGAGATCCAGGTTATATTAGGTCATAATAAACAGTTCAGTGACGCATGATTACAATATCATTCCCTCAAAAACTCCTTTCACCACCATTCTAGCACTTTCTTAGACAGCGAGACCCCCTGACAAGCGCTCGACACATCTCAGAGGGCGCCAACGAGCGCCGCGCGAAACCTCCGATAGCGCGTCGATGGTTGAGGTCTTTGCACAATCGGAAATTTTTCGACTTTTTGAAGATTTTTACTTTTTAAAAGAGAGAATATCCAGGCGATTTTGCTGAGGTAAGCTATCGGTAGAATCAATGAATTTGAAATGTTACGTAAAGAAAAGGAGACATTCCGAGAAAGATCAATTTGTTTCAATGTCAGTTTTACGCAGCGATAAATCTACGTCAAGTGTTTGAGAAGCGTGCATAAGAAAGCAAAGAATGATCAACGCACGTTCCACTTTATTTTTGCACTTCAAATAATTCTGAATATTGATGACTCAGGTTTTACTAAGACCAATTTGTTTGTAAATAAGGGAAGTTTACAACACGTTTAATCCCCGGATGCTTCCACTGGGGTTTACTACTAGCGTATTTTTCCGGCTTAGATGTCTCTTTCTGAATAAACTTGTCAGCCAAAATGTGCGAGATAAGAGATATTTTTCAAATATGATTTCTGATATGATTTTAGGACGGTCAAATGCGTTGTAAATTTTTGCTGCTCGCCCTGCTGGGTCTCGTTTGTGGACAATTTGGGAGTTCAAGCTCATCCCTCCTCCTCCGTAGCCTCGTCGAGAGCTTAGAGCGCAACCTTGTTGCAAAAATTGAACACGTCGAGCGGGTACTTAGAGATGATCTCGAAATCCTGGACGATAAAATATCAACTTTCGAGGATGAACTTCACGACTTGAAAAAGACCCAATCGGAGCTGGAGACGCATGTCGAGTCGAACTCGGCGAAATTGGATGGCGTTGAGGGCAAGATCCAGGCTGCTGGAAATCAGTTGGCTGACCAGTTCATGGACAATATCAACATCGTCGGCATGTCTGTCACCCAGTTGAGCGACAGAACTCAAATTACAGAGGATTTAATCAAAGACAGCCGCTCAAGAATCGATGATTTAGAACAAGCCTCTTCAAGCATCCGGTCAAGAACGGAGCGACTCGAAGCTTCAGCTGAACAACTCGAATTGCGACCAGAAGACATCACTAAAATTCTCACTGCTGTTGAAGAGCACATGGGTGGTGCAACTGCTTTCGAACTCGAGTCCAGAATCGGCGATTTAGAATTAAGATGGGATGGAAATGTCGACGAGAAAATCGAAAACGTGACAGTTATTTTCGACAAGCGTCTCGAAGAAATGGCCACAGAGACCATCGGAACTATCCAAGAAGATCTGACAAAGATTTCAACCAAAACTGACACGCTCCAAACATCGGTCGAGACTTCGGTTGCAGACTTGTCGGTGCGAGTTGAAACTGCGGTCGCGCAAAGCGGCGCGCTTGGAGACGCTTTAGCTGGAACATTTCAGCAGTACGCTTCGCTCAGCTCCCAGATTTACCAACTAAGCAGCGACGTAGACCTCAAGGTGGCCACAGTGCAGGATCAATTCACAGATCTCAATCAGACCATTGAACTCCTTGGCTCGACGATGGAGTCGATTCTTGAAGAAGGCGCTGCTACTGCTGAATTTTACGAAATCAAAGCGAAGGTTCTTGAACAAGAACTAAGCTCGAGCGCGTTTGAATTGAGAATCAATACCAAACTCGATGAGTTTGCTCAGAGAAGCGACTCCGTTCAGCAAGAAATTTCGAATATGCAGACGTACCAAGAAGAAGCAGGAAGCCGACAGCAGCGACTTTGGGATGAGTCCGCAAACTTTACAAAGACTTTCAAAGATTTCATTGTCGAAACAAACGAACACATTACGGATTTGACCTCGAGATCAGCAATGTCGAGCGAGAAGTTGACTCAGGTAAACAGGATTAACCACAAAATTGTGTTTGAAAGACTCAAAATGAAACAACTCGCAAACCGTTATTCAAGGCATACAACATGGCCGAATCCGCCAAAAATGGAATCAAGAATGCCATCCGAAAAGCCGACGCCGCTGACAACTCAAAGGAAGTTTCAAGTCTTAGGTCCTCCTTGTCGAATTTGGAAAAGAGGTAAGCTCGATTAAAAAATCTTCAGATAAGAAGACCGGAGAACTGGAGGCAACACTTTCCGTTCTTAGCAGTAATCTAACCACCGTTGGGCCAATCGTGGCAGAGAATACAGAAGCTGCCAAGGATATCAGACGAATGAAGGTATTTATAAAATATAGAGTACACTTATCTAATCACGTTGCGTAAGATTGATATCGACACTCTTCGCCGCAATCTGCAGTTCCAGGCCGCAAGAATTTCGGGTGGCGATTTGGGAGCACGAGTCGGCGGGGAAAGTACCGGAGCTTCTTCCGAAGAAATCGAAAATTTGAAAGCTCATATTGACTCCATTGACGGCCAAATCGACAGCATTCAGGTGGGTACAATCGAAATAAGTTGTGAATTTAAATTTATATTCAGGATGATATCGACCGAGTTGAGAGCAAATCTGACGCAACTAGCTCAGCGTTGAAGGAGTTCCAGATTCGAAGTGCTGCGGCCACGAGCTCACTTGAAAACACAATCGGTAAGGTGTCCAATTCATTCAATTGAAACCCTTCGTTGTAGAAGCTCAAGGAAATAAGTGCTTCGCGGGGCTCAATGAGCAAGGACAAATTCTCAACACCGTGAGATTGTCTGTCAAGGAAATCTCCGACGATCTCTTTGAAGAGCAAACTTCCGCATCGAAGAAGTTCGAATCCGTCGAGGAGAAAATCTCAAACTTTGATTCAAAGGTACTTGTCTAAAGAGACTCTTATCGCTAATCCAATCCAGGTCGATGAGTTTGGGCGCACGCAGCAGTCATTGTCAAGCTCCGTTTCCAATTTCCGACAAGATGTGGAGATCTCCATCGCTGGTTACCTCACCTCCTTCACTCAATACATAGGTAACCTATTTTTCTATTTTGGCCATCTGGTGCTTACGCAACTAAACCGCGGGCATCAAACAAATAAGAGTTAGAAAAATCATTAGAAATGCTTTAATGATTCTTTATCTTCGCTTTCTTTGTTTGATAAATTCATACACGTCTTAAACATTTCAAACGTGAGCGGTCTTGAGAGCCAAGTGAGATGGATTGGATAATCGCCGTGCCACCTGGAAAGAGGACCAGTTTAATCATGTTCTTTGCGTTTAGAAAAACGGCAGCGAGGAACTCACACAACGTTACGATACGTGGCTTCGAACAAGGACGTTTATTCTTCGCTAGAAGATGCCTCGAGGATTCTCCCATTCAACGATGTTGTCACTGATAGCAACGGTACAAACTTTATTAAACAACTTTCGAAATCTAAAACCTAAGATATGAAAATAACGACTTAGAGTAAGGGCTTACCTGAGAGTCTTAGAAAACCTCAATTTCAGTAAATGGAGCGCTAATCGCAACCAAATTTAGGATCCGCAAATGGCTCGGGTATCAGCATTCCATCCGATGGGCAGTATGTTATTAGCGCGACGGTTACGACTGTCAAGGGCTCAGTTATCTTTGTCCAAGTCCTCAATACCAGCGGAGAAGGTACATTACTCGTTTATAAACCGCTCTCTAAAATATTCGTGAATAGTTCGAGAAACTGTTCGTCTCTACGAAGGAAGCTGGTCTGCCGCAGGAAACAGCATCGTAATGGATCTCGTTCGAGGCGATACAGTAATGATCGCCCTCTCCGAGAATGGCAAGGTCGTCGATGGAATCTACAACTACTTCACTGTTTCGTTGGCCGAGCCAGCGTAAGCAATTCGATTTCATCAGACTGGAATTTCGCGGACACCTCATAATTCTGATCACTTTTACATTTCCCAAAATTAAAGCAAATTTTAATTTTCGAAACGCCTCGCTACGAGATAATCGAACCGAGATATTCGTAGAAATCGGCTGCTACTGTATATAGAAATTATTTGACTGTAAATAAAACTCGAAAATACTTAAAAAAATATAATGTATTTTATTCATGACAAAAACAGGAGAGACCAAAATTTTTATGAAGAGCTTTTGGCAGATTGGATAGAATCGATGAATCGAGAGTATCTAAGCTTTCAGGAGAGCATGAATAAAGGAGTCGTCAGATTCGTCAGTTTTTTCTGTATCTGTAAGATCCTCCGAAGAAGAGTCCAAAAACGAAAAGGGATCATCTAAAATCATGCCATGCGAAGTCAGAAATAGTAAGTGAACCTTTGATTGTGATTGAATTCATGAAACTTTTTAGTCCATCATACTCAGCATCGGCCTTTTCAATCTCACGCTCAGCATCTTTGATCTTGTCTTCAGCTTCCTTGACCCTGGCGATGGCTTCTTCTTTCTAAAAACCAAATGGTAAAAACATGATCCCTTTTTTATCTAGAAATCACGATTCTATAAGTGATATTGTATGACCATAGTATTTGTCAATGCAAATTAAAAATCAATCAAACACAATGAAATTCATCGAGTGCAGAAATATATTTACAGGAATGTACAAATGTAATTATTCAGAAATAGAACAGTCTGTTGAGTTTCCAAATGTCGACTCCAAAATGTTCCAAAAGTCTTCAATACTTCCTTCGCATCCGTCAAGGCAAAAGTTCTTATTCAATGCTTCTGGAAGTCGGTTGAAAGATAAATTGACAGCTTCCAAGCTTTCTCTTCCATCAGAAAAGGCACTTGGGCAAATTGTATCGATAAAGTTTTGGTCCAAATCGAGAATTTTCAACTCTGCATTCGCTGAGAACGTCCCGGGCAGGATAATCTGCAATTCATTCCTCCCGAGATCCAGCCAGGAGAGTTCTTCTAAGGACTGAAACGTTTCCGGCTCCAGAGACTTGATCGAGTTTCGTCGCAATAGAATCTGCTTCAACGCTGTGCTGCGTGTAAACGCGTTGTCAGAAATGCTTGTGATTTGAGCACTCGAAGCATCCACGTATTCCAACTTCTGGTTGTTGTTGAAGTGACTGGATCAGGGGATAGAAAATTGTGAGTATTTAAGTTTGAGTGGAGCTTCATCAAAGATGCCAATTAAGACGAAAATTAGAAGTCGATAACCTCGGATTAGTTTGAGCATTTTGAGTTGGCGAGAGTTGGAGAAATTGACTCAAATATTACTGTTTAATTTCAGCTTTACTCGACAAAAATGGCTTTCTTAAGATAGACAGTCATGTTTTATGCTAATAGAATTATGCGCGTTATTGATAAGCACTAGAAAGCTTATGCGTGAATATAAGATAAGCATCAGGTCATGTCAAGGCCAGAAAACAATCCCCTTTCCTGCTGCTGAGTCGGCCCACATTATTAAACTGCAAGAAGAGATATTCAAGGTTGGTAAGTGGAGCCAGCAATTCCGGATTGATGTTCGTAAAAGCAGCGCCCAGATCAAGTATTTTTACATTTGTTGCTCCGACGAAGACGGTTTCCGGAAGTTTTACTCCATTATTTCCATGACCTTGAAATTAAAAAATTGAGTCATTTTCGCAAAATTGAATATTTTGCAAATTGGTTACTATGAAATTTTCTCTCTTGCAGTACCTAAGGAGATGACTTCGAGGTTACAATTTTTGGCGAACGTGGCTTCGTTCAATTTCGCGAGCTCATTGCCATGCAGCTGCAACTCGCGGAGTGAAGTCAACGTGACCAGCGTCTCCTTCAGCTGCTTTTCATCGGTCATTCTGTTATTCGCCAGCTTCAGAGTCTAAAAAGTGACTGATGAGGAATGTCCTTACATCATCTCTTTTTTCTAAAGAAATTCTTGGGCGACTTACTTGAGTGTCTCCAGGAATGATGGTCTTGTCTAAAATGCTCGGGTTGTTCAAATTGGCGCAGTCCATTTCTTTCAAGGGCTGGACAAGAAGCACGTTGGCTAAGATCACTTGGAGCCTCGAGTGACCACAGTTATTCAACGTCTCTGCACTCTAGTGTTTTAGTTAGCCGATCCTGAAGCCGATCTGAATATCGAGGCTGGCCGGTAATAGCATGGGAATGGCTTTGAAGTATCGGGCTCGTTGCACCGCGCGCCCGTCCATCCACGTTGGCAGGCATCACCTTCCGCTCGCGATTGATGCACTACAGGTAGGCAATTAAGACTCTTAGCTCTGCCTGGTGTTTAGCTTACCGCATGTTCCATCGAGCATAGTGAAGCCGCACTTGCACACGCACTCGTAACCGGGGGATCTTTCGAGAGTTTTTGATCTGTATCACTTTATTTGTACCAATGATAGCGGCTCAAAACCTTGCCTATTGACGCAAAGTGCGTTTTCTCCACACACATCTCCTTTGTCGCACTCGTTGATGTCCTCGCAACTTTGAGAAAGATCCATGGTCCAATCACATTGCGACGGATTTGGGCACGCGCAGCTTCCAAACCGCGTCTTATCGAAGACCTTCCCTCCAAAACCCTGGCCCGGATCTGAGCAAGAGATCTTGCAACGTGTTCCCTTGCCGTACTTGTCCTTCTCCGCACAAGACGCCGTAACACCTTCAGGAATCTGCTCTTGCGTCAACCCAGGGCAGAAATTAACAGACTCGGCAGCTGAACATTTTGAATTTCAAATTCAAACGATGGGAATTCGCTTACGTTTGCAAAGAGGGGCCGCGGAATCGCCGACTGTATCAAAAGGAAACGGCCGCCAGCTGCAGCCATTCCGCTTGCAAGTGCACTTGTGGCTGCTACTGCCGACCAGAGTGAATCCATCGTCACATTGATGCTCGCAGAGAGATCGTTTTTGCTAAAATAGAGTATCTCTAGTGACTTTCCTTTAGAAAAAAAACTAAAATTGAATCCCTTTTTAGTAAAAACAATATTATGAACTTGTTGTTGAACACTTGAAGTTCTTGTAGCTCAATTTGTGATGTCGCTAACCCCAATTAGTAGAGCTACTAATTTCAAGTACCACCAACACGATAAATATAACTCTAAGCTGTCTAACAAATTATCTCTGTCAACAGGGCATAATTCAAAAAAACAAAAAAGAAACGCTTGAGATTCAGAATCTTCTCGGTATAATAAACTATTACGAAAAAGGCACACCCTGTTGATTTCCAAATAAATTCGTTAAAATTATAAATAAGCTTACGTGATCGGCGTTGCAGTTCGAAGTTCCGTGCTCTAACTCCATTGGAAAGCATCCAGGTGCTTAGAATGAATGTTAGTTAGATGGACACACGTTTGGGTAATTGCATCTTGAATTCAATTAACCCAGTTTGTTGTGTTAGCAAGCACCAAAATTGATTGTTCGTGACGTTAGAGAGGAGATTGTAAGTAAGTTGAATCAAAACACCAGACACTTATGAGATCACATGTGTCTAATCATCACTCTCTAGTTACGGCAATTCTGATATAATGACACAAATAGAGTGGGTAACATATTGTTCACCGTTTTCATCGAACTTACTTCCTCGTCTGCCCATGTTGATTTTGTCAATCATGCTTTCACTCATTTCTAGGCCTAGATTTTTCGATTATTGAAAAATATAGATACAGAACTGTGATTTGCTACTAGAATCATTTAACCCGACTCAATATTATTAAAGGAAGTCCGACCTTCAAATATGGACCCGCGTTAAATGATCCTAAGTAACTCGTAGACGCGTGGATAGTCGTAACTTCAGCGGAGACTAAAATTTCAAGCAGCGAGAATTCACGCTTATATAAAGGTATATAAGCGTAGCAAAAGCATGCAACAAAAGCTTCTATAAAAATGTACCTGAGATATCTGCACATGCACTTGGAACGTCAGGCGTAAGCTCGCACTGATCTCCAGTACAGGTGCAATTCTTCCGGACCTGCCCGAGACGCTGAAAGTTTTCGTTGCACGAGAGCGTACACTCCTGTTCCAAGGGCTCGACTTTATTTAAATTTGCCTGAGCATGTATTTTTTAAAGGACTTAGGCACTTCAAATGTTACGCAATGGGGGGAGGAAGTGGTTATAAGTATGCCGAACACTAATTCTGAGAGTGCCACATGTGCACAAAAATAAATTCTAAAGAATAATACCGTTAACATCAAATTATTTTTAAGAATAATATCGAGCCCTAACTCAGTTTTATAGTTACAAAGCCAAGAGCCGTTTTCAACAAATGCAACTGCATCGCATTTTGAAAATTGTCTTCGTCCTCGACTTTTCCCTCGCTTTTTCTTACCATTTGTAGCAGCCATGAAAAACACATCTGTGGCTGACTTTTCTCCGGCTTGCAGTAGCTCGGCTTGTAAAGAAGACTGGGCTAAAACCGGCACTGAAGCCAGCAGCAGGTTGACAAGCATCGTTTTCTCTTTTTTGGAAGATATTTTTTCTCGAGGAAGAAATTTCGAAAAGGCTCCGCGCGGGAAGAGCCGCTGAATTCGTGAAACCTCTGAGGGCGCGAGTGAGCGATTTGCGCTATCAGGGGGTCCGCGACGGCAAAGTACAATAGCGTGAAGTTATGAAGTTATCTCGTTAGGCCAGCTGCAATACAAGTTAACTGTTGAGAACATAAACATTTATTACGAGAACGTGAGAATTCTAACACGTTTTTATTAAAACTCAATTTGGGCCTGAATGTCTGAAAAAACGACTCAGACAGGATTTTTCTTGAGCTTTGCGAAACGATTGACGGAATTAGCTTATTCAATGTTTTTGAGTTACTGTAGTCAGCGCTTCGATTTAGCACTCCCATGCGCCCGCTGGTGAGTGCCGAACGAGATTTACGAAATTCGTCTTGAGCCTCAAGACATGAGGCTTCCCCTCTTCGACAATTAGAACAAGAGCCCAGAGGATGATAGTCGATCGATAAATTTTATTCAAACAAGAAGAATCAATCAGTTGAAAGAGATCTTACTCCGCTATTTTACTTTATTTCCCTGCATATAAACTGTAATTGCATTCAGAGTAACTATGATCTCGCGAATTGCTCGTCCAGCCGCTCGCATGGCTTCTCAGCAGACCAAGGTATGCTGTTATCTTCAAGGAGTTCCATCTAAGATCATTGATCCTAACCCACATTTTTAGAAAGAGCTGACTTTAACCAAGCCCATGAAAATCGCTCTAGGCACCACTCTCGCCCTCCTTGCAGTTGAGTACAACTTTCTCGTCGGCAATCTTACTCCTGGTTGCAACTCGATGGCTTTTGTACCCAGGAATTGCATCAAAGGAAATTACTAATTTATTGAAATAAACTGAATTATTGTCTACTGAATTAGCTGTCCCAAGTATTGTTATGCGCTCGCCTGTCACCCTGATGACCTACTTGCACCTTTTTGGTAAACACGATGATACGCTCGGATCCAAGTCAAACCCCGGCTTGAATCGAAAGTGACGGGCTAAATCAACGCAATAAAAACTAACATCAGGTGCAACCAAAGTTGTGGTACTCGTCGACTCAGCCCAAAAATACTTTTCGAGATTGTGGGCATTGGTGTACCCTCAGCGTTAATTCAATCCTTCTCAAGCGTTCGTGAAATCGCGGAAAAAAACGCACGTGGCAATTTTTCATCAGTGACGAAAGCGTTTATTCTGAGCATTCTCCTTTTTAATTTTGTAAGAAATTTCTTGAAATCGAGATCAAGCGATCTCGTTGCTGAAAATTTCGATCAATCACAGATCGGACGTTGAAGCCCTCATTAGATAACTAAACGTTACTCGAGGACATAAGAGCAGAGTACTTTTGCGTTCCACGGAATCCAATTTTAAATTGCAGTAGACTTATCATCGCTCAAACTGACTCACTTGGAACTTGAGTTAATGCTGGGATGGTAGATTTAAGCAGTACTCGAGATAAAACAAGAAGAAAGAGTAAATGCCCGACAAAAAGAAAAGAAGCAGCGAAAATGTAGTCGGTGGCTGTGGGAAGATAGGCGACCGTGAAGGGAACTAATCGCCGACCGCGGCCAAATATTCGCCCTGATAAAAGACCTTATCAAAATACATTTCCGACTGTACAGTTCTAACTCTTCTCTAACACCTTGTAAAGACAACGTGTTCCTATCGTAAAACATTTTGGTTGCAAGAAAGATAAATTAGTGAATAAGCTCTTTTCGCAATTTTGAAGAACAGAGCTCCAAAAGAATAAATAAAAAAGGGTTTATTTTCTATAAATGTTTGCGTGTGTAACAGAATTGTCAAAAAGGATGAATACTTTCTTTTTGATACAGATTTGAAGAAGTTTGCTAAAATGTTTGCCGCCACCGTAATTAGTTAGATTACTAGAGAAGACAGGTATTTGGTTAATTTACTACGAGAGTCTAAAAATAGTGGAGTCTTCTATGTCCTCACTCGGCCGTATTTTTGACTAGGGCGGTCTTGGAAGAAACTGCGAAGAATGACGACGTGGCTGAGCGAAACCAAGACCATGATTACTGATTGCAAGAAGCCCCAAAAGTGAATCTTTGTATAAAGCTGCTCGGCAAAACTGCGACCGGAAGCTTCTCGAAGTCGATGATGGGTCTAAAGAATAATTTCAATCATCAAAAAATATCTCATTTCGAACCTGGAAGTCCCTGACTTTTCGCATGTTCGAGTGGACCATTTCAGCTGAGATATCCGCCTTCGAAAGGGGCCCTTCTTCGTCGATTGGCAAATCGTGTCGTTCGTACTCTTGCTGATCTCCAACAGCCCAGTCCAAATACACGACCTGGTTGTGTTAACTCATCAAAATGAAATTGATGAAATACCTTGTGCGAGATTGAAGAGAACTTGTTGCTAAAACATGCTTTGTAAATTCCTCCTATCGTGGCGGTGAATGGCGCTTGATCATATGAAGTTCTCTTTTTCTAAATAATCATTTAGAACTTGGTCGAATCATTTCTTCGCAAACCTCATAGACTACGTTGTCTTCGGAATCCACCAGTTCAACATCGATATCTAATTTGCCACCTGTAACGACTTGAAATTCAAGCACACTTTGTTCTCCTTTAGGGATATCTTCCATGAAACACTATTATCAATATAACTTCCAATATTTTCAGCAAAAATGCGAACCTGTATTGACCTTTGCTCCAGCTCAAAAGTAAGTTCTGTCGCGCTAACGATCCCAAAAAGCAGAAACAGATACATTTTCTGAAAAAAGTGAATGCTACAGTGTTCGAAATTAGACTGATTGAATTGAAGTATGGAAGGTAAATTGGAGAATATTAAATAATAAGCTCTTCAATGGGCACTTTCAAATGCTTTGATAATTTTTCAATGAGAACGGGCGCCACTTCTTCAACTGTCACTTCCCTGCCGAGTTCTTAAAGTTTGAATTGAATCGATCAGGTCAAAAGAGAAATCCTACCTCTAGTAAGGCTCGTTACTCCTTTATCTTGAATGCCGCAAGGTACAATATTTCCAAACCATGACATGTCGGTATTACAGTTGATAGCAAGTCCATGTGAAGTGACTTCTTTTTGCGCATTGATTCCCATTGCGCAGATTTTATTATCGCCGATCCAAACGCCTGTGTGAGGACTGGTTTCTCCTTTCAACCCGAATTCGCCAAGAAGGTCGATTATAGCTGATTCTAGCGTATCCACGTACCATCTAATAGCATTTCTTCGCTCAAGTTTCAAGATTGGGTAAGCAACGAGTTGCCCTGGCCCGTGAAAAGTGATGAGTCCGCCTCTGTTGACTCTGTAGAAATCAGCGCCTTTTTCGCGAAGATATTCCTCCACGGTTTCATCGTAGATCTGTCCTCGCTTCCCGACTGTGTATGTCGGTGGATGCTCCAGCAAAAGCAGCTGGTTTGACGTTGCTTCTGGCTTTGATAGGTGTTGGTCGACGAGATTGTGCTGCAGTTTAAGCGCCTCCCCGTAGTTAATTCTACTCAGCCACTTGGTCCGAATCGGTCGTGTGAGTGCTGCGGCCATTCTTTTTCTGAACAATTTTTTGCTTGAAAAAATGAAACTGAAATGAACTCAGTGATGAAGAAAGAGGATGAAAGAAGGCAAAGGAAAGAAGGAACAATAAATGGCTTAGACTTCATCTAAGCGCGAGTAGATCTTTTTAACAGCATCATTTATTTTGTGGTTGGAGGAGTTTTTCAAGAGATCAACAGCCTTAATTCAAATTATCTCCTGTTGCAAGAACCGATTTACCTTTAGAACGCCGAGGTCAACAAGGAGGCGCTGGCGAAATGGAAACGCTTCGTCGGAATTTCTGAGAAGATTGTTCACAAGAACAACGATCTGTGTTTTGACGATTTCAGTTCCGGTCGTCATGAGATCTATCAGATACGTCAGAAGATCTGGATCTTTGCAGAGCTTTGATACTCCTTCACAATGATCGGAAAAATTGATGACAGCGTGAAGAAATTGAACAACAGCAACTTGAAAGTATTCAATTATTATCAAAGAATAAGAAAAAGAAGCTAACCTTCCGTGATAGGGAGATTTATCAACATCTGTCTGAATATCTCCATCAAACAGTCTTGAGAATCGGACTTCACATAAATGACGTTATCGTGAATTAGATTCCTCAGAAGAGTACCAAGTTTTTCAATAACCGACTCATTCGACGAGTACTTTTGCACCAATTCGAGAAACTCCTCATGCGAAATAGAACTGGAAACTTCGTCTTTGTACCGATTTGATAGTGTGCCAGAGTAAGTCATATTTATCAGCGCTAGAATGTTTTTAACCATCTGTCATTACTCATTTTTCTCACCTGATAGAGTATGATCGATAAATTTATTTCCGGTTTTTATGTTCTCAACGAAGTCGTCAGTAACGAGCCCGACAAAATCATCTTTGTAGGGACAAAAGTCCACGAGAAAGTTTCCAACAACAGGAATAATTTGCGACAGAATTTCCTCGTCATTTCTACTTTCCTCGTACAGTTTCACAATAATCTGAACATTCTGGTTAATAAAACATTTAAATTAAAAGACACAGTCTTTTAGGCTCTCTCAAACCTGATAAATATCACCATCGACAAGACTTGTTCTGAGATGTCGATTCGACCTTGAGATTGATCGGAGACAACGAAGAGAACTTATTAAAAGAGCGCGCGATTCGGGATTAGCTGGATCTTGATGCTCGTTTAGCCCCTCGGAAAGCCTGCTCATAAGCCAATTCACATGGAGCAAGGAACGTTCTTAATTAGCTCTGTAAAACTTCGAATAAAAGACTTATCATACCACTGCCACAGCTGTGGACAAGTAGGGCGTCCCTCAAAGACTCATCTTCGGAGAGAAGAACCGCTAAAAGATCAAAAGCGGCACTACGTAATCTCGGGAAGAAATTTAGCTCTTTCGTAAATGTTTGAACGGAGTGAACATCGCTGGAATCAACAGCTATGAAGCAAGCCATTATCCGCAGCTCATTAAAAATTTATTACCTGGAGGTCTTTGGAAGAATTTCTCGATTTTCTTAGGTAAACGATTGGAATAGAATGCATGATTTTGAAGATAAACACGATTGCGAAGAAGTTTTGTAAGGGATGAAGCGGTTTGAATGCGGATTTCTGGGTCTTTTTCGGGATCACATAGCTCAGAAAGGACGTTGCACACATTTCTCGACAATTGCTGTCTGTATTCTATCGACAGTATTGTCACCAAACATTGAGCTGCGTTTGCGCGGACGAAATCTTAGAACAATGAGTATAGTTTTTTTTTGCTAGCAATTTTACCTGGAGCATTAGCGTCGTAAGTAATTGTTGGTTTGACGCGATAGTTAGTCAAAACCTTTTCCATAACATTTTGGATCTTGTTAGTCCCCGATGAGACGTAAATAAAAGTTCGTCCAACTCTGGATTGCTCCAAAAGAGTTGCCATAGCTCTGGTACCAGCGGCGACTAGTCGAGGCTCGTCGTTTCTATCTAGCAATTTGAGCAGCACTTCCAGCAGTTTGATACCAACCAATTCGATAACTAGACATTTGCTTTTTGAAGAGGCGACTTTGGCGATTATTTCGAGAGAAGAAATTTTCAGGGAAGTGTTTCCGAATTCAAGAATTTCCACCAGTCTTGAGATGAGTTTTTCATCTTCGAATTTATCGAGGATAAACGATTCAATAGTGACGGTTTTTCTGTGCTTGTGATGTTGATGTGCGACAGTCATCAAAATAGTTCGAAGAAATCGGACAGCAGCGAGGACGACGCTGTTAGTTTGAGAGGAGAGAAGGATGGATATGACGGCGTCACACGCTCCGTAGTCGCATAGAGAAGTAACGTTTCCATTGCCGCCTGTAATTAGTTAGCGAAGACTGGATATCTCAAGAAACCTTTTGCTAAAGAAGTAAGCAGCGTTATGCAATCCCGTCTGAGCTCATCCATACAGTCCTCCTGCTGGATGATATAGACCAGCCTCGGAATAGCGCCAACGACGATAAAATTTGCTTTTTGGCGGCGATTTCCCGCTGTCAGATTTCTCATGTCATTGACAGACTCCCACTGGACTTGAGGATCAGCAGAAAAGAGGCGATCAACGAAAGGCTGCCCTGTTGCTTTTACTTTTGCTAGTTCTGATGGGAAGCTTGCACTCGGCATAATCTTAAAATTGGATGTGAAGATCGTTCTTTTTTTTATAAAAATGAAATAACAGGTATAAAAATAAATCAGGAGAAGGAAGGGAAAACAATAGCGGAGCCAATAGTTTGGAGAAGAAGAAAGATCCAGTAAATACAAATCATAGGTCGTTCGAAAATAAAAGTGTAAGTTTGAATCTGGAATACAGAGTTTGAAATGCTCGCAAATGCTCGCGAGCGAAAAGAGCGAGAGCAAAAATTTATCATCGCTCGGAGAGCAGGGGAGCGGGAGCATGAAAATGAGTTGGCTCGAGAGCCAAAAGAGCACGAGCCCAAATTTGAACCCGCTCGCGAGCGCAGAGAGCACGAGCGCATATGTCGACAATGCTCGGGAGCTAGACGAGCGGGAGCTGCTGCTCTCGTGCTCGCCATGGAATTGACTCACGAGCGGCTCGCGAGCAAAATTAAAAGAAAAATTTTTTCGCATAATTATTCACTTTCATAAATAAATTTCTTTGAGGATCAATTTTTGGTGTTTTCAGTTTTATGTTAGCTTCATTAGGTCCGTAATCTCGGCAGCAGAATGCGAAAAGCCGAGAGTAAACAGATAAAACAAGCCCACCGCGAGGTGCTAAGTCCTGTGACAGGGACTCATATGGAATTAGTCACGGGGGCGCCGAATCATTTGAGGCCCTTGAAAGCTGCTCGCGAGTCAGTTTTTTCAGCTCGAGAGCCGATCGAGCGAGAGCACAATTCGACCAGTGCTCGAGAGCCAAGAGAGCGAGAGCGCGAAATGAAATGCGCTCGCGAGCGCAAAGAGCGCGAACTCTGAAATAAATGCGCTCGGGAGCACAAAGAGCATCATGCTCGTGCTCGCTCGCTCTCAAGTGAGCCGCTCGCGAGTCACGAAAATTTCAAACTCTGCTGGAATAAGTAAATGGAAAATAAAATGACAACAGGCAGTAAGGCGAAACTAACTATGAGCGGGGAGCGTTTTCCGCACTTGTTTCCGTGCTGAATCGATCTTCGTCGTAAGTTTTCAACCCCGATGAAGCAGATAAGTGTGACCCAATCGCAGATGATGGAGAGGACTTCGTAGGTGCCGTGGTAGTTGATCGTTTTGATAGCAAGAACAAACACTAGAATAATCATTATGGAAAGATGCGCCAGCAAATATGACCTACCATCGAAAACAAGGAAGAGAACCAAAAACCACTTGCCGAATCGGCAATGCAACTCAAGCATCCAACTTGAGTCTTCCGACATTTCGACTTTTCTGAAAGACTCATCTCAAGTTTCTGCATACAAAAAATAAACTCAAGGTTAAAAAATGAAAAAGGCAGTAACAAAAGAAAATTCCGTTTCAGTTGTAAATTCCAAGACCGATGAATTTGGGTAAGATTTGGATTCCGGCGATCGTCCAATACATAATGACGATGGTTTGTTCAATCGAAAGAACATAAGTTTGCCACTGATAGAAGTAGACTGAAAGAAGTACTGCTGGAACGGTGAGAGCAAGAGAGAGGCCAATCGGAGATCGAGCGGCTAAAATAAAATTTATTGCAACTACCAAATTTATCGAATAATTACCGGCTTTATTTCCACTATCAGCAACCGACAAACGGATAAGGTCGACTCCAAGGAAGGCAATGAGACAGACAGAGTCTGTCACAAGTCGCTCGACTTCGAAGGGAAGCGTCAGACCTTTGTAAAGTAGAAGTCCAGCTAAAAATTGTGAGTAACGATGTCTATTCAAAAAATAACCTTCAAAAAGAGAAAAGAAAACCGTAAAAATCCTCCCAAAATAGATCAAAACTGCGAGACTGACTTGAGATTCCGCCATGTTATACTCTAAATTGATGTGTTCATCGTACAGAGTCAGAATAGAAAAGATAAACATTTGAACAGTAAAAAAATTTAAGATAAAAAATGAACTCGTGAAATTATTTCGGGGTGAATTGCGCGAGGTAAACCCACAGCGAGTGGACGGCGGCAGGATATGGTCGGACAGAAACGGCCACCGCGAATTCCGCACGATGCTAGAATGAGAATCTCAGGCTGAATCAAAACGGAAAGAACTTACATTAACCGTTTTGTGAAGCTCAACCGCTTTGACAGCGTCGAGAATATTTTGAATGTGTGTCATGGGCAGGTGCAGCGGAAAACCAACAACCTCATGTCGCGGGAATTTCATGCGGATTGGCTCTAAAAGACGACGAGCGTATTCCTGTGTGATTTGGCCGCCACACATTTCCTCTTGCTCGATCTTCTCCAGAATATCGCGCATTTTTGCAGCAACGTCCGTTCGATATTTTGTCAAATAACCTGGCCTCCATTCTCGTATTTTTAACTGAATATATCGATTATAATCATAGACTAAAATATTTTTGTACCTTGATGTCTGCTTCAATTTTCCTAGCTTCTCGACTTGCCAAAGAATTATCTGGCGGCATGTATTCAATTTCTAATGGTTGGATCGTCGGTAGGTCGCCCTTTGTTCCGCTCCATAATTTTCGCCAGCTGTTGAGTCCCCAGTCGACTCTGTTCGGATGGGCTTCTGTTTGCGCGTTGTAGTAGATGTTCGATTTGTCCGCCATACATGTGACTGAAGTCAACGGAACAGTAGGATCTGTCGTTCTGAAACAGCGACCATTGACGGGATTCCAAAGGACTCCTACAGCTGACTCGTCAGTTTTTGACAGGACCCAAACTGCTTCCCCAGATTCCATCGATTCTCCAAAAACAAGCCTGGCAATCGGAACGTTTAGTTGAAGAAAGTAAGCTATCAGCAACAACGCATGCTCCTCGTCATCGCCGATTAGACAAGACAAAAACTCTGCATTATTGCTCCATAGATCGTACATGCCAGCAAAGGAAATCTTATCGGATTGGTACGGAATCATTGCCACATATCTTGCCATACGACGCATCATCTGATCTAGTGAAAGTTGCTCGCTGTACATGCCATCTGGAAGCGGTAAAGGCGATATAAATCGACACAAGAAATATGTCTCTCCCTTGAAGTCAGACACAAGGGCTGGGAAGTTTCTTCCAGGGCGGAATTTCGAAATGTCAGTGAGGAAGTTTTCACAGGCAGTGACTTCTTGGGGATCTTCATGGCACATCAGCTAAAGCACAGAATAAATAATCGTCTAGTTTTTTGGTGGAGATGAATTCAACAATCAAAATGTGAAATTTTGGGTAGTTTGAATCAAAGTGGTTGAGTATATTTATTGAAAAATCAACTGGTGTCGAGAGTATATGACTGTGAAAGTTATAAACAAAATTTTTCTTACCATTCCTTGACCCTATGATAACAAACTGTGAGTGAAAAGTCCACACGTGATATAGAAAAATCGCAACTCAAATCCCAAATCCTTACCTGTTGCTTTCCCTTTTCAGGTTTTGAATAAATTGCATCTATTTGAATATAAAGCTCGAGTGTGGCTGGATTCGAGTCTTGAGTTGACTTGTAGCCCATGAGTAGTGGAGGAACTTTGAGGTGAATCTGTCCTTCGATTTGTTTCGCGATGAGAAGAGAGGAAAGAGGGATGACAGAACCGCCAATCCAATGCTTGCTTGTTGAAGTCCGGCGCTCATCGGGATTGTCAGTTGCTTCCACTTTGAAATTCTCGTCGAAGATGTTGATAAAAAGGTATTCTAAGAAATTGTTTTTTGCTGCAAATTATTAGGTAAGTCTACCTTCTTTGTCCATCCCAATAAAGCCAGATTGAAGCCTATTTCTACCAGCTTCCCAGTCGAGCTCAATCTGCTCATTCCACGATGGATTTCCCCCGAAAGCAACTGATGTTCGTTCCGTGTGATTTCCGAATGAAACCGAAACAAAAGGTTTCAAATCCTTGAAAAAGAATTTAAAATTATGAAAAAACGGCGCGCATGCATAAATGATATTTTGAATAAATGAAGTTGCTGATAAGTGAAGTGGTAACCTGTTTGATCTTTTTTAAACCTGTTGAAGAAGTCCAGAATGCGGTTGATGATATGGCTGATAAGCTTGAGGCATTGGATTAAATGGCTGCTCAAAGGAAGGTCGATTGAAAGAGGCCCCAAGTTGATCCATGGGACTGTAATTTGGGTATGATGGAAGCGAGTTATAGTAAGGATATTGATTGCTTGCTGCTGATGCTTGAGGGAAAAAACCTTGATTGCCTTGCATGGGATTATATGGCATTGTATGAACTTGACTTGATCGGCGTCCATACTGCTAAAAATAAAGGATAATTTTTTAATTCAGAAATATAAATTTTTTGTCGATGAGTGATCTTCGAAAATCTGCTGATGATTTTTTGAAAGCCGAGCGCCCGCGAATTTCGCCTTGGTTCGATCTCTGGCGCGCTGACTGACGCAAAAGGGCGCTAAAGATCATCCGCCAATGAGCGCGCGTGCTGCCCTGTTCTTTCCAGAACGGGCTTGTTTCGCTTTTTCAGAAGTCAACTCTCGCCAAGAAATTCAAACGAGTGACAGAAAGTGAAAAAGGAACCTGTCACTTTTTTGATAGAGAGATGGAAAAAGATGTTCTCGGAGGAGTTTTGGCGGATATTTGGGGATCGCCGAAGAAACGAAAATCGCCAGATGGCACTCCTATAAAATCAAAAAGGTAAATTTGACGGGAAAAAGCTATTTATCAACTTCTCCAGGAAGCTTTTTATGAATAGTTTTTAACGCGAAAATAATCGTTTATTTCAGCCCAAAACTCGCCTCACCCAGAACACCGTTATCGCCATCAAAAATCAACATCGACAACAACAGGCTCGTTACAGAAGCTCAAAAACGAACTGTCAAACGAAACCTCTTCGACGACGTTCCAGTAAAGAAAATCACAGCGCTGAAAATAGCCGCCAAAAACGAAAAAGTAAAGGTCATCACTCCGCGAAAATCGAAAAAGAGCCACTGCGAAATCTTCGGTAAAATCAAAGCGGCGCTAAATTTGGAGTGCCCGGATAAGATTCTCGGACGAGAAGCCGAGTTTGAAGCGATTAATGGATTCATTTCTGGCTGTTTGAAGAAAGAAGAGGGCAAATCGATGTACGTTTCCGGACAACCTGGCACGGGAAAGTCCGCTACAATCAATAATGTGATAAAAGAGCTTGGCTACGAACACACGGGTGAGAATTTGTTAATTATCGATCTATCCTTAATCTTTTAGACAATGATTAAATTTCGGTTAAAATATTTTTCAGTTTTTATCAACTGCATGGCGGTGGAAAAAGCAGATCAAATCTACACAAGTCTACTAGAAAAATTCAACTCAAAGATCGCCATTCCAAAAACTCTACGATGGCAAAAGAAAAAATTCCACGATTTCGCAACTGATCCCTCCAAGCCGATGAAGCTGCTCGTCCTCGACGAGATGGACCAGCTCAGTTCGAAGAGCGAAACTGTTTTGTATGACTTGTTTGATTTGGCTGGCTCGAGTGGCTCGCGTTTGATACTGATCGGCATCGCCAACGGTTTGGACTTGCTCGATCGAGTCCTACCAAATTTGAGCAGAAGGAATCACCCCAAACAGTACAACTTCGTTCCTTACACGGCGACGCAAATTTCCGATTTGGTAAAAGACAGACTCACGCCAGAAATGCTTACGAAACTTGAACCGACCTCAATCCTCATGTGTGCAAAAAGGTAAAGCTAATCACTCAATCTCAAAATCTAAAAAACTCCAAAGAATATCAGCTTTGGCTGGTGACGCTAGAAAAGCACTAGACGTACTCCGCGGAGCTGTTGAACTCGCTGGCCGGGAGCAAGCATCGAAAATTACAATTATGCACGTCAACAATGTTCTGAACAAAACATATACAGATCGAAGCACTGAAGATGTTCCCTTACAGCAACAACTAATTATCATCTCGTTAATCTTGCTAGCTAGAGAGGTACTTATCTTTAATAATATGCAATCACTGAATGTGTTCATAGGAGAAACCTCAAAATACGATGGCCATATTGCTGAAAAAATACAAAACAGTTTCCGAGAAAGCTAAATTGCCGAAAGTCGAGGACAACGAAATAAAAGATATTATCGATCTTATGATTCAATCTGCGCTGGTAACAAAATATCAACCGGCGGGGCGAAAGTTGCCTAAATACAGCCTTTCGATGGATGAAGAAACCGCTGCTAGAAAAATTGCGAAAAAGTCTCTCATAGCTTTGCTGTCATAATTAAAATATAGAATGCTCATTTACTGCCCACTACTCAATAAATTTTCAAGCCACGGAAACATACCTCCTCATCGACAACTTGTTCGCGCACTGGCAGATTGTTAGCACTTCGTATTGAAACAATGATCTTTGGCACTTGATCAACACCGGCTGTTGGGGCTTTCGTTCGATCTCGTCTATCCGGTCTCAGAGGTCTCCTAGCCTCGAAGAACTTCCCGAAGTTTCCGATCAATTGTCCGAGCTCCGGTAGAGGATCTTCTCGTATCACATCGCTGTAGCTTAAAATTCGGTTGCAGGCACGAAGTCTTTCCATGACAAGAGCACGTGTTCTGTTGCGCTGACGCTGAATTATCTCTCTATTAAACGGTTCAAGCTTTTATTCTTCGTTGCTATCAACCACAAAAACAATTTAACTCAAACAAGAACCTATCCTGTGATCGAGTCCAGAAGTATCTTGGTCCATTTCTCCCATGATTCGATCTTCGTAAGACTGGATCTCTGAGTCCTTGATTTCATGATCTCTTAGAGGAATCATCTTCCGTCCCATGAACTCGGCCACATCATCAGCACGTAATTTCAAGACTCGCAATCGTTTCGAACTTTCTAGTGCTTCAGAGGGAGCGAAATAGCCCTCAGATAAGAACGGATTGAGAACGAAACCGGAGAAGGTCTGACCACCAGTTGTGTTGCCTACAGGCACGAAGTCAGGATCATTTGGGTCGTCGATTGCTGTTTGATCTTCGAGGTGAAAGCCGGGATCGTAAATGTCTCGTTGTCTGTGCGACTGAGTGAAGACAGACGGAAGTTGAGTGGGAACAAGAAGCGCGCCAGTTTGAGGATCCTTACCCCACCAGCTGAGGTAGACGACGCGCCCACCAATTAACGGATTATTGTCAAATATTGCTACGTTCTCGGCGGGATAATTTGATGTCACAGAACTCGTTGGAATCTGGAAGATGACCTCTCCGATGTAAGTGTTGCTAATCATGCTATATTCGTAGATCTGGCACTTGAAAGACTTCGGGATCTCCGCTGTCCGGACACGGAGAGGGTCTTGCGCAGGCAAACGGAACTGAGTATCCAATGCAAGTTTTTCGGACACGAAGAACTCTTTTGAGTTGAAATAGTATTTGAGGATATATCTTGCTTTTCGCGCGTTTTCTCTCCGAGATTTCTCCGTCTTGTTGACCATCGAGTCTGGACTTTCCAAAAGACTTCCTTGGATATCCAGATCGAGGCTTTGAACAGGCTGTCCAGGTCCTCTTCTTGATTCTCGGCTGCGTTGCTCGATCTTCTCGCGCTCTGTCGGCTCGTTGAATGGAGCCGGCTTCTTTGGCTTTTTCTTTTCATCAATATCAGTTTCATCTCCATCTCCTCCTGAACTGGCTCTCAGTTCATTTTTGTATCGACGATACTCGGCCATTTCATGCTCATATTGAAGCATTCGGTCTTCAAATCGAGCGGCTTCTTCTTCAAGCTCGTCCTCAATATCTCTGTTCCAAATTTCTGCATCATTGTCTGGAGCTGGAGTCGAGTAAATGATAAGTTTTGAGCGTGTCGAGTTGTAACCAAGACCCTCACGAATAGAAACAAGTCTGTCCCATTCTTCGAGGACCTCCACCATCGCTGCTTTTATCCTGAATCGTTCAAGATATAGTGTTTCTCGAAGCTCAATCACTGTCTTCAAATCACTTGAGACTGTATTTCGTGATGGCGAGTCTTGCAAGCCCTGAAATTGCAGATTTTGTTGCCGCTTCATTTGCCAATTGTATCTGTATTCTTGGAGCGATTCTGCCACTTTGGAGCTCTCGTGACGCTTGACTGCGTTAACATAGTTTTCAAATTTCTTGATAAGATTCATCTCGATCTTGTGTTCTTCGGACATCAAAGTATGTGACAGAAAACGAAGCTCGGTTAAATTTACGCACAGTTCGTAACAAGGAGTTTCTTCGCCAACAAATGTTTGTGCTTCTTCAAAGGGGTCTGTTGATTTGGCAACATTTTCTGGCTTCATCAAATTGTCGAAGTCTGTTGAGTGATTCAATACCTTCCAGCTTCGGACAGGGTAGCTGTAGACGAGATCTTTCAAATGAGGAACAGTTGAGTTCGTAAGCCAGTTGTCCCGCATCAGACGAGCTTGAAGATTGGAGCTCATCTCGGGCTCATCCCCAACGAAAAGTCCATCTGCTTCTCGTTGAGCTTTTTCAGCCTGAATCGCAGCCCTGTCAACAAGTGCCTCCTGACCGGGGATAACGTAGAGATTAGCTGCTTGCTCCGCAAGAACCCTATCCGACCACGATGTGTAGTACACTTCTGCCGACTTGATAAGCGGTCGTGGAATATTCAATTCTTCTTCAAGTAGCGGTAAATTATCTAGATTAGGGTCGGACAGCGTTGTTTCCACAATAGCCTCTGGATCAACATATTCTTGCTCTTTAGGTTCTTGTTGGGCAGGCTGTTCTTGAGCAGATGCTAGTGTTTCTTCGCTATCAGCCTCGAAAACTGTACAGTGGAAGAAACGGTCTTGCTCAAGCGCAGATACCATGTCAGCATTCTGATCGGCAATGCCCATATTGGAAATAATCGTCTGTAATTTTTTCCGACGCTTAAAATATCATGAGGCTTGTTGGTAAAATAAAGCGAATACCTCAAGTGCAGCTTTAACTTTGGCCTCCTGGTCAGCATCAGCAATTGCATATTGCATGTCATTCTGAGTGTTTTGCTTCTGAAGCCTTCTCCGCAATCTCTCTTCGTTAACATTACGCCTTGTAGAATTCTTTACGCGAGGTCTTACATTGTTCTGTCTACGCGATGTGGAGCCACGTGACGAAGGGCGTGTGCTCGAAAGCGTCTCTGATAACGTCAGCGACTCGCCAACTAGGGGTATCGAGGCACTCATCTTTACATTTATCTAAATGAAGCCAAACTGATTATTTTATATAAAACTTTATTGACAAAAATAGATAAATAGTTAAAGATTCGGGAATTATTCAGCAATTGATGTTCTTGCAAGCTCAGATCCAGGTCTTGGGGATTGTTTTGCTGAGTTGTTGCTGCAAAGCGAAGAGGACGATCGAGCGCCCTTGAGAAGAGTTTTTGTTTTCACCTCAATGACTTCCGTTTCGTCGTCCAAGAGGAGTGGTGACATGGGACGACTCTCACCCTGATCGGCTCCGTTAAGAAGGTTCTTCTCTTTTGATAGTTTTCTCATGATCCCGATGTTGTCGTCTATGAAATCAATTTCACAAAGTTCTCAATTTTCATGTTAACTCACCTAAATCAGAGTTGTAGTTGTCAGTGATAAGCGATTCTGTCTTGATTTTCATGAGCTGAGGCGAAACCGGCGACTCAGGGTTGCTTCCATTTCTGGGTGAGTTTGGCTCTTCGCTCATCCCGCGAATTTTTGTCAATAAAACCGTAAACAGAAACGCTTGTTGCCTGAAAAATATTTCTAGAAAAATAAAAGATGGCAACCCTACTTTTTCAAATTCAGGGAACTGGTGGCATCGTTGTGTCTGTGCGTTTAAATCCGATGATGAGAAACCCGACGATAAGTGGGAGAAAGATCCCATATCGATTTGCTCGGCTCATTTCCCCAGACTCGCTTTGAAGGACGCGTGAAGAATACAGCTCGATTACAAAGAGCATGACAATAAAACACATCTCGAAGGTCAGGTTGACTTGAATCAAGCGTTTTTGAGCAACTGATGCGCTAAAATTAACTTTATTTAGGTCAAGCATAAGCGCTATATTACTCTCGACAGCCGAAGTATGCACGCATGAAACAATTTATCTGATGCGTGGCTTGAATTGCGTTGGCAATATAAAGTGGGTAGAATATAAAATGTTTGGAGTCCGCAAAGTATTCGAATTCAACCTAAAATCGATCAATAACAGGGACCTGAGAAAATTCTTACCATGAGATAGATCATAACAGAAAATCCCAAGAACCCGCAAAGTTGAATGATAACGTCGAAGCACTTTATGTGACACATATGAATTAATTTGATAGAATCCAACAATACCATTCTATTAATCTGAAATATTTATCTAACTAAGATTGAAAAAATAACTTTATTTAGAAAATATAGAGGGAACTATTCGGAGAAAGAATAAATGAATATAATGAATGTCTACAAATTAAGAAGCATCAAAATCTTGCAAAGCTTGTAAATCGTGAAATTTTGCTCAGTGAATTCGAGATCGCCATGATCAGCGACTTGAGCCATTGTTGGTAGGATTTTACATCCTGATCGTGGAACAGAGAAATCTGGGGTAAACGCAGCCGCTTCCCGAGCAACCTTTTGCTTCCACTCTTCTGTGGCCGCTTCGAATGAAGCCATAGCTTCTGCGAAGCCTTCTTCTTCTTCCTTGATTTCAGGTTTTTCGGGAGAAGGAGGTTGAATGTAATTTTTCTCAGCAATGAATATTTTTTCGCTAAATGATTATTTAAAATCTACTTTTAAATTTGAATGCTTACCCTGTGATCACACAGAGTTCGCCATTGAGATCAACAACGATAGTATTTGCTTCTTGATCCTGATTGAACTCGGAGTCTTTGATAGAGCTTTTTCCACTGGCGTGAGCCATGTTCAAGTATGCGTTCTCAAGAACCTCATCATTTTTGTCAAGGAACTCGAGAACTTGCTTGCTTTCCTCCACAGGTAAGATGTGCAGACTTTTCGTTCGTAGATCTGAAACGAGCTCACGCAGCTCTTGAAACTCCTCGTTCACAAAATTATCTAATCAGGTTTAGGAAGGAGCTTACTCGGTATATTACCGTTGATCTTGAGTCGGAGCTGTCCATCAGATTTGATCGAAAAAACATGGGGTACGGAGTTTTGAATAATCGTTAAATCAATATGTTCGCCAACGGGTCTAATGATCCAGCTATCGAAGACATTTCCGTCGTTGAATCTTTTTTGGAAACATTGGAAAACGCCAAGTGATTTTGTCGAAAAAGTAACAAGCCCGTTCTCGACGTTTCGAATTTTGATCCCTTCAGAGGACCACTTTTCTCCAGTCCATCGTAGCAAAGAAAAATATCTCGGGCAATCGGAAACTGGAAGAGTAATCTCGAACGCTTCATCTTCCTCTCGAAGATGTTCGAGAACTTTATAGTCTGAAGAAACAAGCCATTCTCCAAGCATTTTCGGGCTTGGTGGAAGGCCGAGGTATTCGATTCGCCAGACGCCGCCAAAGCCAACCTTTCCTTTTGTTTCATCTTCTTCAACAGGATCAACTTCAGAAAGAGGAGGCGCAGACGGCGGTCGAGCATCATCGAGACTGCTGTGGTTACTTTCTACCTCAGACTTATCTCCAACTTCTTTCGTATTTCCTTCCACATCTAAATTTGCTGGTGCTTCACCAGTCTGGGAAGCGTTTTCGTCTTCTTCGACCTTCTCGGGTTCTGGTTCAGGCTCGGCAATCAACTCTTTTGCGTAAGATCTTTGGAATGTAGGAAACTTGACGGTGTACTTATCATCCGCACTCCAAATGAGCCTCAAAGCGATGTCCTCGGTCGCATGTTCCTTTTTCAGTTCTATTTTAATATCCCGCGGAGCTTCGATCTGTCGCTTTCGTGGGTTCTTGAGAATATTCGCCCAGATGTAGATTCGAAAATCCTCCATTTCGTAGCTCTCTTCAAAGTCAGCGGTTGAATCCAGAAACTTTTCATGTTGAGAAAGGAGATTTATTGAAAATCTATCAGCAAGATTTGCCATCATTGAGTTTAATTCATCAGTTGCCTGCTGATAGACGTCAATGTTGCTTTCGTAGTCGAGCGACAGATGCAACATCTCATTTTTTAGGCGATTTACTTTCGTGCGGGTTGCACTCAACTGCTCCCAGCTTGTTTCCTTCTCACTCTGATGCATGAGAAAGGAGGCGATTTCTTGCCTGGAATTCGTGTCTGGCAGCCCAGATTGGTCCATGTAGCGGTCCCAGCTCTGCTGTTGTTGACGAGCTACCGTGCGACTTTCCGCCTTTCTTAGCGCGTCATTGAATTTCTCAAGCAATCCATTGGTACACTCAACGCGGATAGACTCGAATTCCGTATTCAGACCTTCCAGTATTTGTTGTTTCTTTGCTAAAGTTAAGATCGATGAATAAGTTAGCGTTTTACCTCTTCTTCTTTTCTACGAGCTTCGGCAGCTTCTAGCTCTGCTTTTAATCGAGCTTCGGCCTGAGCAGCCTCTTCCTCTAACTGTTTTTTGGTTTTCCTTTTGCCTCCCCGCTTGGAGCTAGGTTCAACAAAATCGCCCGAAACCAAGATCGGGTTTTATCGGGTTTTAGGAGGCCGGGTTTTGTTGGATCGGGTTTTGTTGGATTTTATCGGGTTTTTGTCGGGTCCGAAATCGGGTTTTTATCGGGTTTTTTGTCGGATTTTTGTCGGGTTTCCTACAAGCAAAAATTAAAAAAAGCAAGTCAAAAGAAGGTCAATAACTTATCTTGAGCAGATTTTTTCAACAATTTTCGAGGATCATTAATAATATTATTTAGAATGTTCATTTTCCCATTGTGCATCTCCTTATACAATAAAAACGCCTCGTCTAAAACCGTATTATTAGTAATACGGTAGAATATAGAATAAATAATCCAAACCCTCTTTATATGTTTAGAAAGCTTGGACCTTGCTGAGTTGCAGTTTAGGGGGTTAGGCCTTGCCGAGGTCACATGATTTTAAATAACCCATGGGGTTGAAAATAGTGGGAGTTAACCTAAAAGACTGTTCTGCTAAGGCCTTCAAGCTCAGGCGTTCTCTGAAATTCTGCCCTCGAAATGGATCGCTAATTGCCAGGGACCTCGCTGAATTTCATTCTCTCAATCGCCAGAAGATTATCTTTGGTAAGATTAATGTAAATGTCCTCTAGAGCTCGTTCTCTGCCTTTCCCGGTTTTGGAGGCAGTTCTCATCTATTTCGAGTGCTTTTTGAGTAAAAAAGGGCAAGGGAGGCTATTTAGACCGACTGTGATTGGCTGAAAAGGCAAGAAAAACCCGACGAAATTCCGACAAAATCCGACAAAAACCCGATCCTACGTCGGGTTTTTGAAATTTTCAGGATCGGGTTTTGTAGGGTGAAAAAAAACCCGACAAAACCCGATAAATATCCGATCCGATATCGGGTTTTCCGGGCATCGGATTTCGATTTGTTGAACCTAGGCTTGGAGCCTGCACTAGATGGCGGGGCCATTCTTTAACGAACAATCATAAGAATATAATATTCATATCATATTTACAGAAATCGTTAAAAAATATTCTAAAACTTGAAGACATCAATAGAGGGTAAGTAGTTGAAGGTAGATTAAACTAGAGGCAGTTGTTGATGGAATCGCACTCTCAGAACATTTTCGAGAGCCCGTTTTTCATAGAATTGTCGCGTTCTGCCATTGCTTTTTGAAGTTTGCGCAGCTCAGCGGTGACCTTGGACTTCATCGACGGTTCGATTTTGACCAAATGATCGAGGTCGGCTTTGGCGCCGTCGATCTAAAGAAGCCGAGTAAGGGAATTTGTTGATTACGCGGCAAAACCGACGGTCGATTCACCCTTATCGCAGTCCGCCTCCGAAGAGCGACGTCAATCAGTAGAGAGCTTCTTTCACTCCGCCTCACTTTATCAAAAATCAACCCAAGAGCAAAACAGAATTAAGAAAATGAATGCCACGGACGCTTTGCCGGTAACAGAGATAAAATTATCGTTAACTTAAATTTTAGCTATCCACACCGATTCGAGCCGGCCCTAGACCCTTGATGGAAGACGAAAGTATTTTGGACTACGCAGCTTTAATTATCATTGCAGTCCCAATCTTCCTGATCGCTTTGATTCCCTTGCTGATCGTTATTTACACTGGGAAATGCTGTCTAAAGTATGCTGGTAGACCGCAAAAAGAACATAAAATTCTGAACGAAAGCGTGCTTGAAGGTAAATTTTTATTGCATGATTATTCGCTCATTGAAAATCAGAATCGATCGCGGCAAAATCTCGGTGTGGAATGGCGATTCCAAACCCATATATTATGCACGGTTGGTAAAAGCATTAAATTTGTGAAAGATAAAAAAACATAGCGAACCCGTACTACCCAACTTTTGAACATCGACTTGGCGACCCACGTCCCCACGCACCCTCGCTTGCATCTTACTTCCAGCGAACAATGACCGGTGCTCAATGTCAACATGACACGGCTACAATCATCGAAGGTATTTGTATTCAGAACGAGCAAAATAACTTTCATTTTTAGAGGACGAAAAAGTTGATGAAATCAACAATGAGCCAGAAGTTCTTAGCACCGCTCCTAACGCCTCTCAACCACCAATATCTCGAAAACAATCTCTTGAGATTTCCGATATTTAGAAAAATAAATAAAATACCTCCATGAGTTGAACTCGCGATCTTCCTCGTCGCCAGACTGCCTTTGAGTTTTCAGGGTCAATTTCTAGTGCTTCTGTGGCGCGACGCTCTGCTTCCCGCCATCTGCTCAAGCGAATAAGGCATTCAGACAAGTTACTTAGATTCTTGACTTTTTCTGATAGCAAGTTGTCACGTTCTTTTCCAGCAGAAAGAAGTAAATCTTGAAAAGATATGATATCATAAATTTGCATGAAAGACGCGTACCAAGACACTTCAGCGCTTTTTCATAATTCTCGCCAGCAGCATGGTAATTTCCCGCTTTGAAAAGGTCGTTTCCTACTTGCTTGAATTTAGGATAAGCTTCTTTCTGTTCCTCTTTGTTCATCGCCCATACTTCTTTTTCGTGGTTATCAGAGCCTTTGACACCCTTAAAATGTAGCTTGAAGTTTTCCTTCTTTAGACCCAACTTACGATTAACGTGAACTCAAAAGTGAGTTCTTCTGGATTCTTGATCAGGGTTTGAATCACATCTCCGTCATTTTCCCCATGAGAATGGCCATGTGCATTTACCATCGATCCCATACAGCCACCAACTTTTCGCCCCTCTTTCATATCACGCAGGGCTTTCGAAACAGAAGTATATTGAATACAATCGTTGATGTCGGAAGATGCAAAACGGGCGGTTTCTCCAACTTGCATCGTTCTCAGCCAGGGATCCCAACGTTCGACCTTGAAGCTTTTGCCGAGAAGCATCTGAAAAACGCCGGGAGGGTCCATCTTTGAGCAGAGGTCAGCTGAATCATCCAACACCTCCCCAGTATCTCTAAACAATATTCAATAATCTACTTTATTTATAGCATCACTACCTAAATACACGAAACTTAAAAGTCGCTTCTACCGCGTCGTCCCAAAGAACTGCCGGCTTCGCACCCGTCCCTTTTTGAATAACAGACTTGTCCATTATCCGACTACCGACTACTCTAAAACCGATCACACTCAATTAAACGAAAGATATGAACAAAGGGGTATGAGAATATATGAAATTATATTATAATAAATAGAGACAGTAAGTAAACTCTTCAAAGCCTTCATAAAGCGGCAATCATTCGTCAGTTTCTGACTCTTCTGGACTCTCATATGCATCGATGGCAATATCCACAGGGATGTTATCGGGATTCGCGGACATCGTTGCGGGGTGTGACATGGCGAGAGACTTGCGAGCTTTGCTAATGAACATTTGATTCATTTCTTCATTTTCGCTTTCTTCCTCAGATTCTCCTTAGATAATTATATTATTAAACTTCTAAAAATCTAACTCCTACCGGCATCTTCTACAATTGGCACAGGTTCGTCTGACTTATGCTTTTCCAAAATGCGGGGTTTCTTGGGCATCACACTCGGTCTCTGAAATCTGTTCTCAGCATTTTTGATTTTCGCCCAACGATCAGAGTTGTAGGTTAAATTTCCACGCCACAGCTTATCAAAGTCATCCATCGTTTTGAGAATAGAACACGTTGACAATCGTTCGTGTACATAGCTTGATCCTTTCTTCGCGCGAGCTGCAATCACTGGTGCCATTGATCGGAGGCAATCTGAAGAAAAAACGTTAGAATTTTAAAGGAAGAAAGAGGAAAGACTTACTCGACATAGACTCATAGAGTGGCTTGACAAGATATGCGATGAATCCTATTTGACTGTCTGGTATGTTCGTGGTCGTCCTGTTTGACAGAGGAGGCAGCGTCATGTTTCTCTGTTTGAGCTCATCTCCTTGGAAGAAGAACTCTTGCAGAATCTGCATGGTGAATAATTGCTGCAAGTGCCAGGGCTTCGCCGCATTCGAGATGTCTGCTGCATGCAATACCATAGCTAAAAGACTCTTCTTGTCGAAGGGGGCGAGGAGCTCTTCATCTGGACTGTTCTCGTACTCTGACCATTTTTCAGGAGTCATCACGGTTAGCGCAGAATTGATGCTCTTTACTTGATCGAAATGCTTTGCCAAATCTGTGTGTAGAATCATCTCTAAAAAGGAAAGTTTAGTTACCCGGGTTTTTTTATTTTATTCTTACCTGTGACAAGCTCCTTGAAATATTCTAATTGCTTATCATCAAGTTTCGCTAGCATGTTACAATCTTTTTCGTTTAATGTATTCCACGTCGTTGCTAAGTGGTGATTTTCTAACACAGACACGTTGTTATACATCTGAAAAATGAAATTTTATATAAATTCTCTAGAACACGAGGTGTTTACCTGAGCAAGCTCGCTTTCGGTATCTTTATGAAAGTCATTGGTGGTGCCGGTATGCTCGACATCGTGGCATCCAGCGGCGAAGAGGATCGCTAATATTTCCAGATCGTTGAGAAAATTTATCAGCCCGGTGCTATTGATCATCACATGTACAGTCTGGAGAACGTCTGTACCGTGGATACCATTATGGTAGAAATTCCGATGCTAAAAAGTAAGATAGATTTTTGGTGAAGTCATTTTCGCTTACCCTGGAGTACTTGAATTCGATTGAGTCACAGAAATTGAAAAAGGTACGAGAGTCGACAAAGCCTTTGTGAAAAAAGCCATAGCGTTCGAACAAGCTGGCGAATGTTGATCTAAGCGGTCTTCCTCCACAGAGAACGGACGCGAAATGAGATGACCATCCCCAGGAATCGATCTTAGCGAAGTACTCATCTTTCGTCTTCGGGACGAATCCGTCGACGTCGATGTTGAACTGATAGTTTACTTTATCGTGATGCTTCGGCTTGTACTTTGAGTTTTTTGGCTTTTTCGGCTTGGATTTAGGCGTGTATACGTTATGAAGTTTGTCAATTAGCTATGAAAATTCATTTGAAAACGACTTTGAAACAAAAAGAGACTTACCTCATCCGAGACGGCAACATGGACTCCTAAATGTCCGTGATCTTGTTCTTCGATTTCGTAATCTTCCAGCGCCATTTGATGCCGGCCGAGTCTACTGGAGGCACTTGTAAACTGAAGCGTTCTATCTTGTACTGCCGAATTGCAACATAAAACAACAGCATTCTAGAAAATATGGGATTTTTCCAGGAAAAACGAAAAAAGTGACTGAATTGACTGTATTCTTTCAGATTTGATACGAACCCTAGAGTAGAGTACCCCCGGGAAGCGTTATACAGAATGAAATGGTCTATTCAGTTTTATTCGTTGTGTTTTTATTCTTTGCTTTCGCCCTCCTCGGCTTCCTCGTCGACTCCACGAATGTAGAGGACGTTGTTGCAACGGATGAGGATTTCACCGAGATGTCCAGCGAGAGCACCGTCGATGTACTCTTCAGAGTTGCCGAGCTGGAGGTTCATATAGCCGTCGACGGCCATCAAATAGCCTTTGTATTCCATGCCCCACTTCAGCTTGACTTGGACGGGCTTGCCGGTCAGGGAGTTCAAAAATGGCTTTACCGAGATGCGTATTTATAATCTCTCTTATCTTCAGAAAAAAAGTGCAACACGATCCTTTGGGTTAACTGGAGCAACAGCCGACATTTCGCGACTCTTTCAAAATTCTAAAAATAACATTTTCAGCTGCACTTTCTCTTGAGTAAGAAAAAGAAATAAATGAAGGAAACAAAAATTCTTGCAATCGAAGTTTATTGATTTCCGTTAAATCAAAGAAAGAAAGTAGTTTAGAGTAAAAATTGAACGATTTTTGTGAGATTGTTTTTTTGCGACTTGGTATAAAAATGTGAAAAGATAAATGGGTCTCCGTAAAAAAAATTAAAATGTGAGTGTGGATGCTCATGTGTGCTGGAACATTTGCGAGTCTAGAAACTGTTAGGAGGAGCAACGATTGTTCTTTATTGGCAAGAACGAATGAATTTATCAGTGAATTGTGAGCACCAAAGATAAATGATAGGCAGGTAACCTGGGCAGGTTTAGAACTGAGAGGTTTATGGCTGTTTTCTATTGAATTTACAAGAAGATTTTGAGGCGGCCGACTTCTTCGCGGGAGTAAGTAATGACGTCGGAAGAGAAGAATGAATCGAGCATTTCGAAGTCATTGGATTCGAAGAAGTCATCATCGATGTTTTCTAAATAAAATATAAAAATCTGCGGATTGAAGTCAACAAGGACGTACCTGTCCAATGGAAAAGGTCATCTTCGTCAAGTTCTGGATCAGAAGCTCGCTCGTACAATTCTTCGAGTGAAATCTTTCTATGAGACTCCAAGAACTTTCTGAGCTTTCGCTTCTTCGGCTTGATCATTCGATTCTTTGCGAGACTGTAGTTGTCGTAAATGTAGATGAATCCATCTTTGACAATGACGTCGCGAGTGAGAAAAGTTTGGCGCCTTTTGGACCAGCTTTTTTCATCAGGGACTCTCGAATATCCCTTGCAATCGTGCTTCGTAGGTTGCTGGAAGCGCTCAAAGCCGGCGATAGAATCAAGCGTACCATTCTTCTCGTTCTAAAGTAAAGTTTAAAATTTGGTTAATAACCAAAGAAATAAATAAATTTAAATAAAAATTTATAATAAAAAATAATTTTTTTATCAAATTTACCGGTGTGTATGCAAGGACTTCATAGCAGTTCCCATGGCGATCGTCGAAGAAAGTGGACATCTCTGATTCTCTCACAACGAAGAGCTTTCCATTGACGAATTCAAACTGGGTATCGTTCGAGAAAAATTCTTGATCGTTGACATTGATCTCGGAAATTTTTCTCGTGCTCAGTTTGAAGTGGAGCATCTTCTTGTCCCAATCATTGAGATAGTCCATCGAATCCTCTTCGTGGGGCTTTCGGTAGATGAAGAGGAAGTAATTATCGTAGTCACCGCAGTAGATTTCGAATTTGTCTTCGTGGTTTCTTTCATGGCGGAATTCCCAGAACATTTCGGTCATGTCGTCTCGGCCGATTTTAACTTCATGAACAACTAAAATTTCATTAATTTATGAGGAAAAATATGAAAGAATAATACCTTTTGTCGTGTATGGAGTAACTTCGTGAACTCTGATGAAATACCAACCCTTGTGTCGATAAACAACGGGCAGCTCAATCTTCTCAAGGTACTTTCGTCCATTTCGCAGATCGCATTTTGGCTTGGACTTTACGGTAAAGTAGCCAAGGTGGGAGTGGACTTCACTGACGTGCTCGATGACAACTGGCTTGATCGTCTTTGGGTCTGTTTGATCCAAACAGAAACAGTGCGTCTTTTTCGTCCCGGGTACGATCAGAAATGGCTCCCAAAAGTATTCAAAGTAGAAATTCAAGTCGTTGATCGGGATTTCGTCGAAGAAGGCAGTGATGGCGGGAAATTCGACTTTGCGGATACTATAATCTGGGCGGACAACTTCGTAGAAGTGAGGGGCGCCACTGACCGGGACTCGTGCTGGTGGAGTTGGAATCTTTTCCCGGACACCGAGTTCGACAAATGGTTGTGAAGAAACAACCCAATTGCCCCCAATGCAGACGTCAGCGGATTTGTTCGTTTTGTATTCTTTCAGTGGGCTTGCTTTTCTCATTTGGACGTCTTGTTTGATCTAAAATTAATGTTACAAAATGACATTTTTCGTTGCTTTATTACCTTCATCGCGAAAGACATGAGTGAGAGTCGATGAATATCGTTCTTTTTGAAGGCAGTTGCGAGTCTCATCTCTACAAAAGGCCAAATATAGTCGTGTTGGAAATGGCGCTTCGCGTAAATTCGCCAATATTGACTGGGGAAAAGTTCATCGTAGTCACCAGTTTTTTCATCGAAGATATTGTTCATGATTTTTGAGCTCTCATATAGAGATACCAAGTCGCTTGGCAAAAGACGATCAAAAACTTGCGTTGCCAGGATAGGTCCAAGAGGATGGTTGAGAAAGTCATCAAGAACTTTCATGGCCCTCGAGCTTGGAGAAGGGGATCGACGTCTTTGTGATCTTGGCATAATCTCTTGTTGAATATTGTTTTCCTCCATTTTATCTAGAGAGGGCCTTTTATACTCCAGTAGTATAAAAGTCAGGTGGCGCTCCCTTTAGCTACCAGCTGGAGGCGATCTGGGCGCAATCGAGAAATGCAGGTAAACGCAGCTGGCAACTTTTCGAGGAGCGTTCAAGCAAATATGGATGATCTGTTTACAATTTCTAAAAACAAAAGGGACTTAATTACGAAGGTTTGGATAGGCATTGATCGTGAAATTAAGGACAGTTGAACATGGAAATTATCTTTTCAGGAAAAGAAGTGAAGCTGAAAGGTAACGAAGATTTTCTATAGAAACAAGGAAATTAAAGTGAAAAGGACGAGTAGCCAAATTCGGAATCCGCATCAAGGAAACGGAAGGCCCCGACGATCGTAGCGAACATAACGACGTTGCTACCGAGGGTTAGCCAAGTTGCACCCCACTGAATGAAGTTCGTAAGGAAGAAAGTCTTTCTCTCTGCCCTATATAAACCCATCTAGTCCGAATAAAATCACTCAGAATCTCCAGTCACAGCGCATGAGTTTCGCAAGGCAAAAACTACCTCAAAATTATCAAACCTGAATGACATCTCTATTGGCCAGTACGATAGGTAAAGCAAAGCTGGAAACAACAAGGCCGGTAGTCAAAAACGCTATGAAATTCCATTAACAAAGTTTTAAACATAAGAGCTGTACCTGCTAAATCTACAGGAAGACCTCCCTCGTCAGAAACTTTTGAAGCGACCAGGAGCGGGATAGGAGTTAAAACATAAAAAATGATATTGAGAAGCGTGTAGGCATTGTGATATGGAATCGGAACATCCGGATCTGGGGCATCGTCGAATTGAAGCGTGCACTTAAAAAATGGGATAGAACATGAAACGCTATCACGATACATACTGATAAAATCAGTAATAAGGTGGCGATTGATCCTACAAAGGCGAGTCCGACAACATATTTGATCGCCATTTCAATCTCTTAAAAGTGTACAGTTTAGAAATGATTACAGCTTTGGCAAACAAGAAAAATGGAAATTTCACGCTTTTTTCGAGCAGCCAGTATTTATTCCCTTTGGCACAGATCCACGCTCTTTTATGTATTTTTGTTGATTCTGTGATTCTTTCCAAGCAATAAATGAAATAGCTCTATAAGTCGCAGGAATTCCATAATCGTCGCCGAATTGCGCCTAGAAATATCGTCGACACGGTTTTTTTTACCAATTTCTAAACCTGATAAATGGCAGCAGCCGACATAAGAATATCCGGATGAAGGGGTCGGAAATTAAAAGCGCATTGAGATTCTCCAGAGTTTTGTAAATCTTCAATCAGCTCGAAAACTGTTGGATACCCGAACTGTTCTTCCCAATAATCGCAAGTGATCAATTTGAATCCCGCTCCATGTAAAACGGACGAAAAAGAGTCTCCTCTCGTCAATGGCCCGACGCGTGGAACAACACCACCCCTCCTCTCCATTTCAGCGAGTTGAATAGACTGACGAAGTTCGAAGAGCGAGTCATTGCCCCAAATTGCGCCGACAAAAGCCCCGTCGGGCTTCAGAACGCGCAGGATTTCACGGCAGGACTTGTCCAGGTCATTAACCCAGTGCAGGTTTAAATTTGAAATAACCAGGTCAAATGTGTTGTCTTTGTAAGGAAGGGCATTAGCCTCGTCAACAGCGTTTTTGTCGATTTGAAATTTTGGAGTGTCAGCTTTGTAGGTGACGTAAGGGCAGGAGTCTGTTTGAATCAGAAAGGACATCACATTTGAACTAACAATTAAGTGTATCGATTCAAAAAAGAAAAAGATTTTACCTGAGACTCCTGGAGCATTCGCCTTGATTTGCCCCGAGCTCAAGTGCCGATGTGAAAGATCTCTTGATATTCAACACTCGATCCGCTGTCTCCTCGGCGAGCATCGTTCGAGCATAATTAAAGTCTTCTCTATCTTCCCGCTTTGCTGCCCATGACTTCTGCATTCGCTTTTTTGACCGATTGAAAATCTGTTTTTGAACTTGACTCGCTGCCTGCGTGAATCTCATTCTAAACAGGAAAATTTAAATCTCGAGTTTGATTCCTTATTATTTGACAGTGAAATTTATAACATGTTTTCTGTGACATTGCCAGATGAATATTGGTCGAAGTCGTAGAATCCGCCGATGAGCCGACGCCCGCCGAATATTCGGTTGTGTAGCCCGATAACAGCTAAACCGAAAGTTTGTTTGATAGCAAGGATGAGTAAACAGACCTTTCATTGCTTCTTCCATTCTTGAAAATTCGATGAATATTCTCACTGACGATTCTTTCGGCACATTTGGCACCTCCACTATTTTAACATTAGCGACGGCCCCATATTTGATGCATTCGCTCGACACTTCATTAGATAGCTCGCTGTCAATTTCTTCTGGATCGACCATATTTTGAAGACAAATAACTTTCGTCGGCTTTGCAAGATTAGGCAAAGGGCGTGGAGGAGCGACTCCGACATTTTGCTGTGCGGGCGGCGTAGCTTGGTTTTGAACTCCGCCGGAAGTGAAATTTCCGTAGCTCGCTGTTTGTCCGCCGATAATTTTTCCACCTCTTCGACTTGTCTTTTCAACTTCTAGTGGTGCAGAAATACCCTGTCCTGATTTTCCAAGGCCAGCGCCTTCTTTGTGACCATATTTTTCCATGATACTTTCTGCAATAGATTTCGCTTTCACAGCCCCTTCTTCGGGAGACTTCATCTGTTGAGGGGTCCAAGAGGGCGTTGAAGCTGGTGATGGTACGGATTTTCCAAAGAGAGATGGCTTCGGCTGTCCAAAGCCCAACTTCGAGCCGAGTGTTTTTGTTCGACTGGCAGTTTTGCTACCAAGTGCGTTCAAGTCGGGATTCTTCGCCGCTGGCAGGTTGGGCATGGAGCTTTGCCCAGTATAAAGAGCAGATGGAGGAGCAATCATAGCCTTAAAACAGCGTTTTACTTCAGAATCAATCATCGGAAAAAACTCACCTTTCCCATTCCCATAGCCTTCTGTCGTTTACTCTTCTCTGCTTCATCGTCGGACGAATCAGAATCGTCACGAGGATTCTGTCTCTTAAAATCTCGCTCTTGCGACTTTTTCTGCTCCGCGTATCTCGTAACTTTATGCTTGCCCTCTCTGCGGCGGCGTAGGTAGCGCGAAAATTCATTTGGCTTCACCGGATCGTACTCGTCTTGGTATCTACTGATGTATTCTGTTTCGCTTGCTTGTGGCTTTTGTTGAGATTTCATATGGACTGGCTTGTACCCTGGTCGAGGGACTTTTTTGAGGTTCGATCCACGAGACATCGACATGGGCATGAACTTAATTAATTTGTTACAAGAATTTTAATTCAAAGAAGAAAACCTTCGAAGGAGTGAATCCTTTTGGCTTCGGAGGCGTCGGAATCTGTTGCTTCATTGGAGGGGGTTGTTGAATCGTTGTCTGCTGCTTCCGCTGCTCTGCCATTTTCTGCTGATGCATCTGCAGGTTTCTTGCTTGCTGGGATGCTGCAGCCCACCCTCCAACAGGGCGAGTGACAGCCGAGTCATTATCGTCGTACAATCCCATCCTGAATTTCCAAACATGCTAGTATCACTCTTTGAATTGAAAAGTTTGAAAATGAAGAAGTGAACATTTTTGTCAAAAGAATAAAGCTTGGGCTTGGTTGGCTTTCTGCTCCGTCGGGCTAGAATAAATGAAAAAATTCTGATTTGACGGATTGACTTGTACCAGTAGGGGCATTTGATGATTTTTCCGTGCGTATGAGAATTTGAAGCCAGTTTGTCAAGAGCATCTTTGCTAATAACATGCCCGCAGATGAGTCTCATCGGAGGATTTTCAAGTGTTGTTTGCTCTCGTAGAATGGGACACGAAAAGACCGAATGGTACCTTGGAAGAATGAGTTAAGGAGGAAAAGCCGAAGTATTACCGAAGACGTTTGGGCAACTTTATTTCAATGGGTAGAACTTCAGGTCTGTCGTCGGACAAGTAATTGTCGTTGCCAAAAACTTTAGATAGGCTCATGTTCCGCTGCTCGAAGACGGATTTAATGCCGACCAGGGCGGGAAGAGCGTGGCAGCCGGCAGCGTGAGCGGACATCAAATGTTCATAGCGAAGCTGGTTGATCGAATTCACAGAAGAAAAGTCACTGAAGACTTGTTGAAGTAAAAAATGAAAATGTGGTATTTACCTGATGAGTTCATCACAAATTTCAGCTAAAGAGTTGGAAAAGCAGTTTACTAATTGAAAAATGCTTTCATTAGCTTCAAGATTCTTTCGAAAAAGCAGCGCAGTCATCAATTTCCCCACCTCTTCGGCATCAGAATCCTTCGATTCCAAGTACTGCTCTTTTTTACAGGAAGTCATCAGTCTGCTCATGGCGATGAGCTCTTCGAGTGAGGATTCGCCATCGAGAAGCATCCGACAATACTGGCATCGTCTAATTTTCCACTCAAAAAGACTCGCTGGATTTATTTTTGCCCGATTTTCTTCTATCCATTTCAGAGAAGTTTCGAATTCCCCATTTCGAATGGCTGTTATCATCGTGGCCAAATCAACGAAGAGCTCTTTTTTCTTACTATCATTACTGTACAAGTCGATTTTGGACTCCTTTTCGAGGCACTCTGCGATTTCACTGTATCCAGAGCAGTAAAGGTGCTCGATGATGCTTTTCGTTAGATTAGTTCTGGATGCTTCGTCACTCATTGACGATGTGCCAAGAAGATTTGAGTACGAGGAAGTAAAGTTCTTCTCGATTTGCTTCCCCAATTTCGAAATTCCTGCATGAATAGACTTGTGCTTGGAGGCTATTTGGCTTGGAAACGGATTTTAATAAACTCTTCCAAAAATTGACTGTTTGAGAATATTAGAAACCAAAACTGGCGTGCTCTTTGACCGACTGAACAATATCAACAGGCATTTCTTCCTCATCCAGCAATTTCTCAATGTCGTCCAATTTGCCGAGCGCAAAATCGCGCCACTCGACCAACCCATTTGAAGTCAAATTATTTGCTTGCTCAATATACTCGAGTCCTTCCATCTTTAAAAAAGAGATGGTTTTAAAGAAATCATTTATTTGGTTTATTTGAGAAGTAGGCAACATATTTCTTTTCAAGGGGCACCGATTAGTTAAAGGAAGAACTGTGGTAAGAGTTGAAGCAGGAAAGGTTTGTTTAGCGGATTGATGATAGAAATTCATCAAGTTCAAATTGCACTTGACCGGCAGTCGGTCTAGATTCTGGTTCTTTCGACCAACATTTTTCAGCGATATTCCAAAGCGCCCTATAAAATTGTTTGCTTTTGCTTTTCAATATTTTGACTAACGGGTCGACTCCACGTATTTTCTCTGGTCGCTGACCGCGCATAACTTTTCTCCAGAGCTGTTCTTTATCTGAACACATCTCGAAATTGTTAGGCAGCTTGCAGGTGTTCCGAAGCAGGTACCAGAGTAGAATCCCAAAGGCGTAGATATCAACTGATTGATTGTAATTTCGTGTAAAGATCTCTGGAGGCATGTGAACGGGAGTTCCAACGATGGAGCCTTCTATGACAGACGTTGGTCGGCAAAAACCCATGTCCGAGATTTTTGCGTTTTGGTTAGAATCGAGGAGAATATTCTTCAAAGACGATGAGAAATCAAAAAAATATCTCACGATTACCTTCAGTTTTATATCTCTGTGGATGAGGCCATGTGCATGGAGAAATCTCAGGCCAGAAGCTACATCTGAGGCAATACGTAATCTCTTCTTTAGTTCGTTTATCCTCCGTAATTTCAAGGCAGTATGGAGATCTGATTCGCACCGTTCCAAAATTAGCTGGACGCTTGGACACAACCCGTTTCCAGGTCCGTAGCTATAAAAAAATTAAAGAATGAGAGACTTGAGCTGACGTACTTTTTGTCGATAAGAACACCGAGAACTTGGACAATGTTTGGGTGTCTGTCGACCCAGTAGTGCATGTAAAAGTATTCCTGCGATAAATCGCCCCACTGAGAGTCATTATCAGGGATCATCGTTTTTATGGCGATTTTCATATCCTCCCTAATCAGAACTCAAATTCATTTTTCTAAACAATATGAATACCTGGTGCCAGCCCAGTGATTCTTCGTTGAGTAGACAACACCATACTGACCTCTGCCAATTTCTTTCTCTAATTTAGGCATCCCATTTATGATATTATCCCTGAATGCAGTCACTTCAAGCAGCAATCTGGAAATCTTCGGGCCAAGTTTTCGCTGGAGATCAATTTTCTTGTTCAAATTTTCATCTAGAGCAGCTTGTGAAAATTTAAGTCCACAAGAACTTATACGTACCAACTAATCTCATAAGTCGCTGTTCGAGGATAATAAAAGAGGTGCGGAAGTTTTCAAAATCATAGGCAATTTTTTCTAAGAGATCGCTGTGTAAGCATTTGGAGAAGGATGGGGTGGCGATTTGAGAGAGAATATCGGCGCAGGATTTTATTCGGAAGAAAGGATCGTTCTCGGTAAAAAGTGAATTTTGGCTTGAAGATGTGTTAAATTCGTTAAATTATAAAAAAAAGTTACCTAGGACGGAAATAAAGCAATCTTCGAAGAATTTTCCCACGAAGACTGAGCGCTCTATCCAAGGTAAAACGTTTCGGCGAAAAAGGAAAAGCGAGAATATTTTTCATCAAATAACTGGGTTGATCTTTTGACGTCAACACGCGTTCATATTTACGAGATATGCGAACCATTGTCTGCAACTTGTCGAGCAGCCGTAACAGTGGATCCGCATCGTTTGGATTCGCATAGGGTCTGAGCTCCTCGAGAACGCTGTCACGCACTTTTACGATCATGAAAGTCTCGTACTGCATCAGCGCGCCGTGGAAAGTCTTCTTTTGCTCAATGGACGCTAGGGACTGATGAAGATCAGAAGTCGGATCCATCAAATCCAGCTTCAGCTTCGAAACGACCAAATCCAGAGTTCCCTGAACCCGGTCTACCGTAATCGAGATTCGTTTGTTTTTGATTGATTCTAAAGAGTTCTCAACGTAGTCCATCTTTTTCGGCAAAACATCAGCTTCATGTGTCAACTCGTAACAATGCGAAACAACCTGTTTCATACAGTTGTTCAGATACGCTTGCATTCCGGTGATAGCAGCGAGAATGTACGCCCGAGCCTGGCGTCGGATGAATTGAGTGATATTCTCGTGCATTTTCTTAGCGTTTTCAACAAACATACAGCGATTCGCGCGAACTTGCCAGTCTCCGTTTCCAATAAAGCCTATTTCTTTCAATTGATGGAGGAGAGTTGAGTTTTCAAAAGAGCAGACGAAGCAAATGCTCGGCTGAAGAGGCGATCGTCGACCGGGGTCACTTCGAACATCGCTTCTTACTGATGACATTTCCTTCATGTGCTCACATTTATGAACTGGCTGGGCTCCGTGAAGCGTTGAAAAGTCATTTTTTCGACCAGTATCAACTTTGACGAACATAATCGCTGCTTCTGGAAGTCTTGCTTGACATTCTTTCAGCTCATTGAGATCTTCATCGGAAAGGGGAATTTCTTCCACGGCATAGAGAAAGAACGGGATGTAGTCGTTCTTGAGCGCGTGGATAATGTCGTCAGAATTGAAAACATGCGGGATTGATGGGGAAACAATCACCGTTGCGGCAGAAAGAAGAGGATGGGAAAAACTTACTCGGCAACAATCGTCTTTTGACGTTACAGCTTGTTCAAGCTTCTGCTTTGAAACAAGAGATGATCTTCCAGTTCCAAATTGGTTTCTACTGAAAAGCGAGACGACTTGAAACGATCCAACAGTTTTGGAAGTATCGATTTCAGATGAATTGTGCTCTGAGTAGCGAAGCTGTACCATACGACCTTCTGATCCAAGGCGATATCGGATGCGATCCGCATCAGATTCCGCGAAGAGATCATTTAGATTGTAGACATCATCAAAGTTATCGTGTTCATTTGATTCTTGTAGAGATGTCGTTCGGGCTAGAGGGATCCCTGAAGACCCTGTTGCGAGAAAATTGCGAGTTTCATCAAGTGAATTTTGACGCGGCAAGAATCCGAGCTTTCTCCGAGCCTCGGGAGTCCGAACTTTTTGGGTTGGTTCGAGTACGTTATTGTTTCTTAACGCGAAGATGTCGTTCACGACGCGAATTTTCGCTTCATAGCTTTGGCCGATCACGCAAATCGCGACTTCTTTCGAAGCAATGTCGTTGAGTGAGGGATCACATTGGAATCGCTCGACTTTAAGGCGTTCGGTGAGACCCTCCATTTGGAGATGGCGGTAGACATCATCGATTCTTTTTCGCAGATCTTTTAGCTCGTCTGTTTTTTCCTAAAAACTCTTGAATCAAAGTGGCGTGAAATTTCATACCTGAAAATTTTTGAGGATTTGTGAGATGAGTAGGTGACTTTTTGGGACATCTTGGCCGGTACTTCCTCGACGAGCCATTTTCTATATCATATAGAACTCATCTCTTAATATATTTTTGTTAATTAAAATCAAATGATAATTGGGAGTACGGTGCGAGAATGAAGATTGTGGGTGCAGACAGAAAACATTATGAAAATGATAGTGTAGTTGTAATAATTGCAAAAGGTCTTGAACTTGATCGAGCGTTGTTTTCTTTTACCGGCGACTGACCGTATTAAGCAGCTCAGCAGCTTGTAAGCTACTTGTGCGAGCAGCTTGAAGCCACTGTATTGGCGTTCTTGAGTGAATAACTTGGACGACTTCTAATCGATGCCCATTAAAGTCGAAAACAGTGCCTTTAAATCGGTGGATTAAATTTTAACGAAGTATTTTTGCTACCTTTTGGGTAGAAGAGTCTTTTGATAGGAGGGTGAGCGTTTTTAGAGGTAGTCTGGACGACGTAAAGTGAAATGACGATGTCTTTTGAATGGACAAACATATTCGAAAGACAGTCTTTAGGTAAAAGAGGATTGAACATATTGCCAAAGTCGGATTTCATCAGACCAGCAAGTGTACTTGGCACGGGGCAATCTTGGGAATCTTGTCAAGAGCAGAAAGTAACCCTCTTACCGATTCGAGACAGTCCTTTTCGAAGCTCAGTGAGACTCTCTTTCGCGGCTATTTTTCCGTCTTGAGCAATTATCGATGCTAATCCAATTGAATTTCCACAGTCTTGTAATTGCTACATGTGTTATTGTGAGTTAATATTTATCGAATACACATATCGACTGGTGTACCTGCAAACGCCATTGTCTGTCAATACGAAAAGAATAATGGACAGGCGGGTTGTTTGGCTTCGTTTTCAGTGCAATTCTCATATCTGTCACCATTGCGGATTGAAGAGTGAGAGTTCCCCTGAATGAGGATTTCGTAACAATGAGGTAAGGATTTATGTGAAGATGGATGAGCCCTTCTTATCACTGATATTACATGGCATTCCATAGAATATCAAAGGTTGCTTAAAGGTTTATCAAAAACATGGTGACCTTATTATTGACTTCAGTAAATACAGTACATATTATCTTACGTTAATCGCTGATCCCCTTGCAAATCGAGTCTCTCCGGATGACAAATAAACTGTGCCTTGCTAGCCCTCAGCAGCGAAAACGCTCTGACCATCTCTTCAGTGAACTGCTTATCCCCGTCGTCGCTTTTCTCGATCATTTTACTAGAAGCAATCAACGTGTCAAAGAAGGTACTTTTATAGAGAGCAATCACGAGATAACTGATGTCAAGGTCGTGCAAGTTTATATTTTGGGTTGCACCTAGCTGAACTCCTCGTAGAACAGATGACATAAACAAGACTTTGCCGAAGGCCAGTAAAAAGGGATTGCTGCTAGCGCTAGTTCTGATAGAAAGTGACATAAAGTCAATTTATTCTAAATGAATTCCTAACCAATAAGTGAATATTTTGAAGGGTTCATCAATGGTCAAAAATGGTACCTCTACTCACCTCATTCTCAAGTCTGACAGCATTTTCCTCTCATCAAAAGTCTCGCCCGCGAAAATATTAAAAAACACTGAGCAAAGCGGCCGAAATAGGTTCACTGAATAATTAAGCATTCGAGGGCCCCGAGAGAGATAAGAAGTTTATCCCAACTGTGTATATAGAATAATCCTACTTTTGCCCTAGATTTCATTCCAAAATTAACAAGTAATGCCCTGCTACAAGTCGATGCAAAACAAGTTCTACACAGTTTTTTTACTCATGTTGCTGAGGCCCTAGCCTGCTCAATAAAACTTCACTTTTTATCTTCGAGATCCGAAAATGCAAGAAAACTACGAGGACTTCCTTATTTTTATTTAATTATTGCCTGGCGCATGTTTTATTGCACAAAAGTAGGAAGAAATTGAACGAAAGTAAAACTAATAGTTGACTTTTCCCCCGAAAGGGAGAAATTGAGTTTCAGCAATTTTGAGTTTGATGAACTTTTCAACTTTGAGTATACGCACACACAAAACACCGCTAATTTTTTCAATGAAAAGTAAAAAAAGTGGGAGTACTGTTTGTTTCGAGAGGATGCTGCATCAACTAAATCCTTTCAATAAAGAATAAAACAGAAAATGATAATTTCTAAACGGTAAAAAATGGTCAGAAATGTTTTTTTTTAAAGGATAGGACTCCTATCATAAGAGGCGAACGAGGGCGAGGGAGGAATACTTTGATGGGCGAAAATGGATAGGCTTACCGGACTGATTTTTGGCCGATTTTTCTAGCTTAGTTGGGGGGTCTTATGATACAGCTTTAGAAAGCCCAGAAGCTGAGCTTTCATTTGGGCTCAATATCAAGGGGTCAAGGTCATGCCCCCAAGGCAAATTATGTGATCGGAAGTTCCGAAATAGGCACTTGAACTCTTCAATCGATTTTTTCGATGTGTTTAGGAGCTCAAGAGCCTTGAGGAGCGGTTGGGATAGAAAGCTCAGACTCTAAGCTTTCTGTAAAGCCCATAAAATCTAGCTGCCCTCGGCTCTAGCGCCCTCTTGTGGCCCTAGAAGTTGACTTCATAAGTGCTTAACCTTAGCCGGCCAAAATGATATTTCTGACCCTACCGGCCAAATGCACCATGAGTGGTGCATCACCTGTTTTTTTTCTTTAAAAAATCAACTCAAAGTCTATTACGTTCGTCTTTGGGTTTGTTTTTGGGTTCTTGGTTAGGGTTCGGATTTGGGTTTTAGTTGGGGTTTTGGTTGGGGTGCGGATTCGGTCTTTGGTTTCAGCATCAGATCAAGTCCTCTAAATCGAAGAGGGAGACTTTTCGGCAAATTTTTCGGAAAAATACTGCCTACCGGCCAAAAGCACCATCAGTGGTGTCGGCGCCATTGTAGCAATGCACCATACATGGTGCATGCAGTAATTATCAAAATAAGCGTATTTCCGAACCCTAACCCTAACCAAGAGTAGTCGAAAGTTGACCTAAGGGTAGCTTATCGATAAATAGCCCTACAGTTTCTTCAGTTTTTCGAAACTCAAAATCACTTCGGTTGGAGACCTAATTCTTTGACCCCTGTTCCATAGATGGTGCACCCTGGCCGGCTAAGGTTAAGTCGAGAATCTTCAGGTTTCGAGTCGAATTTCCGACTTCTTAAGTTACTTGTACTTATAAAACAATTATAAACAATATATGAGTCTTTAGTAATTGAACCGCGGTAGAACCGGAAGGTTTTTTTTCAATTTCATTTCGGGTTCCTGTCGAAAAATACCCATATTCTCACCTTCTTTGACCACTAGAGGCCGCTAGACCGAAGGGCAGCTAGATTTTATGGGCTCTACAGAAAGCTCAGAGTCTGAGCTTCCTATTCCAGCCGTTCCTAAAGGCTCAGGAGTTCCTAAACGTATCGAAAAAATTGATTGAAGACTTCTAGTGCCTATATTGAGACTTCCGGTCCCATAAATTGCCTTGGGGGCATGACTAAGACCCCTTTATTCTGTGCCCAAATGAAAGCTCAGGACATGGGCTTTCTAAATATATGTTACATGACCCCCAAATTTAGCTAGAAAAATGTGCCGAAATTTAGTCCGGTAAGCCTAAAAATGGATTAACGTCACAGTAATTATTGCAGGCCCATGAAAAAGCAGATTTACTCCTCGTCGGAGTCGGTCTCGTACTCGGAGCTGGAGGGTTCTTCGGAGTCGGAATCGGTTACGAAGCCGCCTGAAAAAATATATTTTTTTTATGTATATACAGTTTTATTTATACAGTTTATTTTATGTATATACAGTTGGTTCAAGAAGCTAGTAGCATTGATTTCAAAAAATATGAAAAGAAAAGTGTTTTTAGACATCTAAGAATATCTAAGTAAACATCTCTAACTAAGAGTCTAAGTTGCCGAGCCAAGATCTCGAAATACATTATGTTTCTATTAAAAACATCTGTAAATGTTCGAAGAAGTGTTTTACCGTCAACGTCAGATTCAGCTTCTGAGTCCCACATTTCCGGAACGATTTCTTCCTCAACCCTCTCTTCGACAGTGATGGTGAACTCGTGCTTCATGTCGATGTCGATGTAGCTGTCGGAGCGGACGTAGACGACGAAGTTGTACATTCCTGGGCGGCCAGGGGCGGGGAAGCGGATGTCTACTTCTTTCACGTCGACTAGTAAAGAAAGGTTGAAGAAAAATGAGTTTGAAGAGGGGCTTACCGAGGTTTTGAACTTGAACGGGTTCGCAGAGAAGTCGCTCGGAAAGCTTCTCGCGCTTGGGATTCGTCATGCAGAGATATACCCACCACCACTCTTGCTTCTCAACCGGGAAGCGCGGCGCATGGACTGTGTGCGTCAATCGCGAATTGTCTTGAGTTAGTACGTTTTTCCGCTTGTCTGAAACAGAAGGATAAAAAGGGGGTGAGGAAGAGGGCTTACTTTTCTTTTGGAGTTTTTTCCAGCTCTTTTCTTCGGCATCTTCGTTGTCGGAATCGTTTTCGGGTGCTAGATTGCGGATTATTCAATGTGTTTTGATGTCTTATAGCTGGCCAAAATGTTTTAGAAGCCACTTACTTTCATCTTCATCCTCGTCTTCCTGTTCATCTTCTACAGCGGGTGCATCACCAGCGCCTTTTTCAGCGGCTTCACGAGCAGCTGAAGGAAATCACGTTTTACGGAAGAAACATTTACACGAGACAAAACGAGAAGAACAATTACCTTTGGCAGCTCGTTTAGCAGCGGCGGCTTGAGGACCTTTCTTTGATTTGACCTTTTTCGCTTGATTGGCAGTTTCTTTTTCCTCCGCAGTGGGGGCGATTTTGACCTCGCCCATGTCTCCATCATTGTAGACGATTTCCTGAAGGATTAGAGTTAGAGAAGTGATTTAGGGTGGGGGAAAAGAGGAGTATTCAAATAGAAGACTAAATCTGGGCTTAAAAGCGAAACAAGAAGTGCAAGAAAGTGCTAGGAATGAGGTAAAAGTACCTCTCCGTTGGTGGCGGCTTGGGAGATATCTTCCATATTGTGGCGGGTGAGTTCAGTGCTGACAGTGACAATCGAGCCAGTAGTGATCTTGTGGTCATCATCGTCGTCCTCCACTTTGACGTCGACCTTCACTTGCAGCGCTGGAATGTCGCGGAAGACTTCGTACAGCTCGTTGAACTCCTTTTCTGGAAGCTGAAAAAGGGGATGAAGAGAAGAAAGATGAGATTTGAAAACGCATTTAATGCCGCATATGATATAGCACGCTGTGAAGAAACCTTCTCAAATCAAATTCTGAAGAGTCTAGCAGCTAAACTCTAGCTGAAGGAATTTTTAACTTACAGATTTGAAGATGGCTCTGATTTCTTCGACTGGTCTTGCGGCCAACTGCTTGAGAGATCGAGCCTTCTTCGCGTTGAGGAATCGGATAAAATCCTCTTTGAAATGGGGCAGCTGCATAAAAGCGACGGATCTTTGATTCAAAGGAAGACCTTGGACGAGATTCTGCATGTTTCGGATGATGTTATCCAGAGTTTCGACTTTGGGGACTTTTGGCATTTGCCCCTGCTGGAGCATCGCTTGGGTGAGGAAGAATACTTTGGACACCAACTCGGCGTGGAGATCGGGCACTTTTTTGAGGATCATGTCGAGGTCTTCCTGCAGTTCGGGGCTCAGCTTGATGTCGTACATGTGCGCAAAGTAGAGGAGGCGAACCTGAATGAAAAAATTGGCTTTGGTTCAAAGTTATCCTATTTAGGGACATTGAGAGCAGGGATCTAAATCTTTTCGCGAAAATCTCAATTTGCACATATTTAGCGATTCCGAAGCGAAACTTCGCAGATAATTCGCAATTGACATAATGTCAAATTTTTACCTTCATAGAATAGCCCTGATCAAAAGGCTTGTCAGTTGGTGGCTTGGAGACATTTCGCTCGTATTCCTCGATTTCGCGCATCAAAACCGGAAGTTGTTCCGCATCTTCCGGCCGTTCCTTTATGTCTTTATTATGATTGGGATTGAACTCAAACGCGCCGGAAAAGACCATCATCGCGCGACGGCGATTCATCAGCGGCGTCCTGTAAACGTAGAACTCGAACAGCTTCGTCGTCTTGATCAGAACGGCTTCGGAAGTGTACTGGATCGACTTGTACCACCAGTTTCCGACGATGGCGGGAAGCATGATGCCGAAGAGGAGGCCGTAAACACCCAGGACGTACATGTGGTTGTCTTCTTCGACCAGCCAAGCGGGCAGGGCCACTCCGTATTTTGTCTAATCAGGGCTTTCACTTTGCATGCCAAAGCTCTGCAACCTGTGTAGAAAACCTGAGTCAGGTTCTGGACGATCTAAAATGAAAAGGCCTGCTTCAATCTGAGTCAGGCTTAGAAGATAGAAATCTGAAAGCCTATTCCTGAAGCATTCCATCGGGGTTTCCATACTTGACCCAGTTTTCGAACATATGCTCATCCGTCAGCGTCTCGTAGGCCTTGTTGATTTTTCCCCAGGCTTCGTTATTAGCTGTTTCGACATCATCCGGAATCTCAGCGCCGTCGTTCGCTTTCAAATACTCATTTCGGAGCTTGTCTGGATGCTGAGTTCGCGAAAGAGTTCTGTACACCTTCTTGATAGCTTTTTTGCCGCTTTCGAAGTCTTGGAACTGCGGATCGTTTTGGGAAACTCCCAGAATCTCGAAAGGATCGAAGGCTACGGTAATGACTTCTTCGGTTTGTGAAGCATTGTAGCCGATGAAAGCGAGAAGGGCCCAGCAGAGAAGGATAATCAAACGGGTGATCCAAGGACTGGCGCCGACTTTTTTCAATTCAGATTCTTTATTTTTGAACCATTTCGAGTTTCCATGTTTCGCCTTTCTTTCCCTCATTCTTTCTTCCTCTTTCTTATTCGCTGAAGATCGGAATTTCTTCATGGTTAGTGGCGCTAAAAGCGGTTTTAGGCAAAACCAAATGAGTCGAAGCTTACTGAGAACGAGAGCTCCAAAAGCGACGACATAATAAGCGAAAAAATCGCCGACGTACTCTAAGTTCATCGGCATCTTGCCGTCTCGATTCGATTACTTTTTCTAAAAATGAGGGAAATTAATTGATTGAACAATGGGAGTTCTTTTCAATGAAAAATCTTGCGCTTGGCTTGAGGACCTTAGCAAAAACCTTACTCAGGATACTGAATACGTTGGAAAATTAACAAGTAATGCCCTGCTACGAGTCGATAAAAAAACAAGCGAAATTTTGATAGTGATTTAATTATATTTCCATTTTGTGATAGAACTTTTTTAATGGTAAAGGAGGCAGTGAGTGCTAAATGAGTGATGTGACTTTTTTCTAAAACATGGTTCATGTAAGGGCTCGTGCAAAAATTTTAACGCTTGAGCTTCTTGGCTGTGTTGCCTTTTTGCTTTCCAGCTTTTCGTTTCGCGTCTTTCTTTGGGGTCGGTTTGGAGGTGGAGACGACTTTGGAGATTTTGAAAAAGTCGTCCATTCGTCCCTGGTTGATTTTCCCTAAAGTTATCGAAAAGCTGAGTTTTTTCAAACGAAGATCTCTTTACCTTTGGACTTTTCAAGTCGTTTGAGACCGCTGCGAATTCGCTCTTCGTTGAATCCATTCTTTACGCACATGAATTCGATCATTCCTTCGATATCGGGCGATTTCCACTTCGGTGGGTCGATATTCTATCGCGTTTTATCATGTAAACTGTTGTTTGACAAATTCCATACCTTGTACACTTCAGGCTCGACGAACAATCGCCTGGCATCCTTGTACTGCCAGTCGTCGACAACCTTGTACTTTTCCAAATCAATGTTTTGGAGGATCGTCTCAATGTTGTCGTGTTTTTTGATGAGCTCGAACGCTTTCTTCGGACCAATGCCCTTGATGTTTGGCACGTAGTCGCAGCCCATGAGGATGCAGAGATCGACGAATTGAGCGTGAGTTAGTCCAAGAACCGACATGATCTTTTCGTAGTGGAGCTCTTGAACAGGCAGCTTTCGAGATTCGGGCATCGTCAATCGTCGGAGAAGAACGGGGGTCTTGAAGCACAAGGAATCTTTTGAAAGGATTGAAGAGTGTTCAATAAGATTTGCTTAAAAATAATAGTTCTTTTTCAGCCCTTTCCCATATCCTCCGTGGCGATGGAATTGACAAGACCCTCGATGCACATTTGCGCACACTGCGCTTCCGCCTCACAGAGTGCCTCGACGTAAGGAACTCCCAAGAGTTCTAGCACCTTCTTCGCGTCCCTGACGTGATCTTTTGTAACTTTCACGAGTCGCCTCTCCTGCTTATCGATTTCTTGCGCAGTTCCAGTTTCTTTTGCCTCTTCGAGCTCGTCCTTTGCTTTTTCGCGGCCTTCCGCTCGTTTCTTCAATTCGTGCGACTTCATCTCAGGTGGCTTGCCGTCGAAAACGTACACTGGCTTGAGCCCGTTCTCGATCATCCTAACCGTTCTACGACAAGTTTAGGGATGATCTATTTCATCCAAAATTACCGGTAGAACATTCCGCTCAAATGAGAAGTAATCTCTCCAGCTTCATTCGTCAGTTGAGCACCGTCTTGACGCACCGCAATCAGAAATTGATACAAACTTAACGAAATGCATAGAAATCAGAAAATAAAAATTTCCGACGTACCACATAGAAGCATCGACGGCAATTTTCCTCCCGAAATAATTCTTCATTTCGCCTTCTTTTACGCAGGAGGGAGCCTCATCGCCGATCAGTTTCATCAACCCTTTTATTCCCATCTTGACTCAATCTAAAAACGGTAATGGTTTAGGATGGTTTTAACATTTCTTTTAATTTTATTCGTATGATAACCGGTTTAGTCTGAAAATGGGAGTCGTATTCATTTTAGGATTCACATACACATCGTAATAATATCTGAATGGAAGCCTGCAGCAGTAACGCTAGGTCGATTTGTTCTTCATTTTATTTATTCGTATTTCGTCCTTGAATGTTTTCCTTTATGACAGACTGTCTCTTTTTTATTGTTACCTGTAAGAGGAAAAATCCTACAATAGGCGCCCATAAAAAGGCTCATGTCAAAAAAGTCAAAATTGGCAGGATTGGCGCGGCGCGGCCAATCGCTGGTCCGTGGAAAACGCGCTCTTTTGTGAGAGTTCTTTGCCAGGGTCTTTTTGAGCTAACAAACAAAATTCTCTGGAAAGAGGAAATTCAAGAAAGAAAATACGAAAAAGCGCTAATCTTTTTCAATAGGACAATTTCCTCATGAAAAAAAAATGTTAATTTGAGTATTCAAATGTGAATTTTACTGGCCAAGATGAAGAGACAATTCCGATTTTTCCTACGAAAATAACTGTTTTTAACACATTACTATCAGAAATATCATTTTCAGAATGTTGCTTAAACTGGCACTACTCGGATCAGCCCTGGCAGTGCTCGGCGAGGCGGAAAATGATTACACGGTACGAAGAACATCTTATTCTCTTATCTTCAATCAAATATCTAAAGAAAGTAATATGTACTCAATGTATTCTGTAGATTATTGTCGGAGCTGGCAAACGGGACTGCTACTACGAGGCGTTCAAAAAGGACGTTGAATTCGAAATCGAATACCAGGTTCTTTTTACTCCTTCCTTTCAAGTTCTCAAAATTCTCAAAGGTTGTTGATGGCGGCGATCTAGACATAAGTTTCCAGGCTTTCGATCCCAAAGGAAAGCAACTCTTCACAGATCACAGACAAGAAGATGGCCTCCATTCTGTCTCAGCTGAGAAGAACCCTGGCGGAGATTTCCAAATTTGCTTTGACAACAGACACTCGCGTTTTCAAGCAAAGGTTTGAAGATGTTTTGTTTTCCATTTTATTTCATTCATTTTTGGACAGATGAATATTAGAAAAATTGACCACCGTCCTGTTGTTTTGGAGTTTTTTGAGTCTATCGTTTCATTTTAAAATCGAATCGGAATTATTCTGGAGCTTTTAACATCTGATAAAGCTTAGCGCAGCAACAATGCTCTGATCCTTTCGAGCAGCTTGTAGAAATTCCTCTCTGGAAAGTTCTCCGTTTCCGTCAGCGTCCATGATTTGGAAGATTTTTTCCACTCGATCTTCCGCTTTTTCACACGAATTTACGCCAGTAGAACCAGCCATAGAGATCATCGCATTGATGATTTTGACCATTTCTTGCTTGTCGATCGTGCCCGAATCGTCCAAATCGTAAATTCTACGTAAAAAGTTACTTTTGAAGAACGTAGGAAAGCTTACCGGAAAGCCCATTCTAGTTTCTCCTCCATCGAGCCTTTTGAAGTTATCGACAAGGCGTTCAAAAACTCATCGAATTGAATAGTCCCATCTCCGTTCACATCAAAAACCGAGAAAACCATTGACGCAAACTCGTGCGAGTTTCCATCGGGAAAGAAGCCCCGGTAAATTTCTGCGAATTCGTTGAGCTTCAGCTCGCCATCGGGACAGTCTTGGATGAATCCTCTGTACCAGACTTTGATCTCTGCTTTGGTGAATTTCGTCGTCGTCTCAAGCCTCTTGATTTCTTCTTTCGAAAGTCGAGATTTATTCTGGCCCATCTTTGTTGCTTCCTTTTTTTTGATATTTAGCTTTGTTTTGATGTCCTTTCAACCCATATTTTCGCTTATATACTCCCCATATTAGCTCTTTAGCGCTCTTTTCCGCACATATGAGCATGATAAGGTGTAACTACCGCTCATTTACGAGCGTAAGTCTAATTTGGCTCTTCCGGGAAAATGATCACAAAGCTGATTTCGATCTACGCCAATATCCCTAATCACCGATTCAATTTGACCTACATTATTGCAAAGTTCAAACTGTACTTTTCAGACGGTGTTCTTCGAATTCTTCATCATGGACGATGACTACGAATACGACGATTACGATTCCGAAGAATACCTCGACTTCAAGAAGACGCTCAAAGAAGACGACTACGAAGAAGACACGCTCAAGTCACTCACCGATCGACTTCACAAAATCAAGCAAAACCACGGAAAAACGATGCAATACCAGGCCTACATCAGAGCGCACGAGGCAAAAGACAGAAATATTATTGAACACAACTACGAGCGCGTCAATTTCTGGTCTGCAGTTCATCTTCTTGCTATGATCTGTACTGCCGTTTTCCAGGTAACAAACAGGCCTCTAGCCATCTTGTTTTACCCATATTCTAGGTCTACTTCCTGAGATCTCTGTTTGCCAATACTGCAACAAAAGGCCAGCGTGCATAAAGAATTCCATTCCTGTTTTCATTATTCTCTAGGAAAATTATGATTTGCCTTGACCAAGAAAATTTTTACGAAATCGTTGCTCATAATACCTTATCTTCAAACAGAACCTGTATAAAACTACAATCCTGCAATAAGCTTTCTTTGAATAGTGTTTTTATTTCTACTTCCTCCTGTATTAACATTACACATCCACCAATCATGCCTTATTAATAAAATAAAAATGCATACAAATGAATCAAACGAAATTCGCAAAAAAGGTCTCGTTGAAAGAGGCGTTTTTTGCGACCGCGATTTAAATTATTGTTAAATACATATTGGCGAAAATGATAAGAAATTATGAAAAGAAAGATGTACAGGGGATGATCTCAAGGTACAGAATGATAGGATGCGCTACAGGTAGAGTTGTTGCTTTTTTATTTATTTGAACTAGCAAAGGTCCCGTTTTGTTGAAAGTAGACCGTGAGCATCAAGGCAAGAAGAATTTGAATCGGCATCGTCATGGATTTGTTGACCAAAGGGACGAGTAATGGTGCGCCAATCGCGAATTTTAATGGATCCCCTAAACAACCGAAGTTTCTCATCTTGCCTTCGTCGAATGGATACAGTACCTTTTGGCGAGAATATGATCTTTCTACTGGCAAGTTGTTGAAGCCTAAAAGTGAGCGCCACAGGTCTCGTGCTGGCGATAGAAAGAACAGGAAAACCAAACGAGGCGTATTGAAGGAATGATCTTTTACGAGTAGCTCCGCTGGAATCGTATACGGCAAGCGAAAGGGCTTCTTTCCTTTCAGCGCGAAATAAAGCATCGTTGAGGATATTGGTAGGGTAAGATAGTCGGCGATGATGAACGAAGTCGCCAGGGAGAGGCCGAAGTCTCCGAAATCTTTAGTAAGGATTGTTAATTTGATGGATTACTTTTATAATTTTTACGCAGAAGTGAGTTATTTTGTCAACTATCCTGGCATTTTCAAATCACAAAAAGGTGTAAAAATTTCTCTCGCCGGGTGTTTATATCGAAAAAAATTTCAAAATCGATTGGCTGGAAAGTTTTTGTACTGCGTTCTGTTCAGTCACACGCGACCCACCACGCTTCTGTAGTTTGACTGTCTCATGATGTGCCCCTCTGACGCGCTTTCTTCTTCAGATTTCAAATTTCAGTGTACTCAATTTGACGCCGTGCAAGGTCCAAATCGTTCGTCAGTTCGGTGTATCTTGTTTGCAGAATGAGTTCTTAGCTGCCTGAAAAAATGTGTATACGACTGAGAAGCGGTAACCGCCTTAGATTCTGAATCTGTTAAAGCGGCGTCTCGTGATAAGTCTGATTATGCAATAAATTAACAGTGGCGCCATATTGTTGTTTCAGGGGCGGGTCTTATTGTTTCTAGTGCCAATGAAATACCAAGTTGAATGTTCAAGTTTTTCATCCCTAACTCTGACTACCTTGGATTATATTTAATGAAAAGCACATGAAAATAACTGAATTCAATTATTTGGTCAACATTTTTAATATAAACATCTAAAGATATAATAATAAATAAACAAATATTCCTGTACAACGCAGCGTAGTATCTCTCTCATAAGGTAGTATCGAACATATGAAACATAGATGTCGCTAGAGCGACGTAATTATAAAAACTCAACGCTTTCAAGCGTTTCCAGATTAGCAACAGAAAAATGGACCAAAAGCCGATTAATTACGTTTTTGAGGAGACACCACTAGCTTCAACGGTCGAAGAACAGCCCTACGTTCAGCCAGAGATCATGAAGGTAGCAAGATTAATTATTTGCAGGACGATTGTTAGCCATTCTAGAAAAATTTCATACTGTTAGAATGTCATGTTCTAAAGCAGCGTAAATTGCAGATTTTAAAATTCTATGAGGTCGATTTCACTAATTTTTTTGCCCTGACTTTTACTTTTTCTATAGAAATACAACATCACTAGCGAAGATCTAAAATGCACCAAGCCAAAAACCAAGAAGAAACGCAACTTTGTCAATGAAAACGAAAAGAACGAGGCGTACTGGAAAAAGGTCAGAAATAGAAACGTTTCTTTGTAAAATTTGACATATCGATTATGAAGCGTCAAAAGAATAATTTGGCAGCGAAGAGGTCAAGAGAGTCGAAAAGAGCGAGGGATAACAAGATCGTGGATACAGCGAATCTACTGGAGAAAGAGAACTCATTCTTGAAAGAGCAAATCTTTCGCGTCCGGTAGAAACTCTTCCAAAGAATCTTGTCTTTCATTTTCAATAATTTAGATCTCAAGTTTTGGACGTTCGCGAGCAGCTTCAGCGATTGACGCAAATTTATGGAACGCCACCTTTTCTCGGCGATTTCTGATGCTTCTGCGCAGTTTTATGATTGCAAGAATAAATTCAAAGAAATGAATAAATCGTCATTTCTTGCAGGGGATAAGTTATCATTATAAATTTATTAATAAATACTAAATAGACTATCTCAGCAGGGACGGCTCAGAATTATCTATCGAAATAGACGGAAAAGACAGAATAATCATAGTTTGTTTACTCGAAGTACATGTTTTTGAGGCAGATATTAGCTGATGTCAGATTCTTTTAGATAAGTGTAACATTTGTGGTAGAACCAGGTTGTAATGCCCCAGCTCATCGATGTGCGCAAAATGGCAAAGCGGAATCCGCGATACAATGCGTGGATTTCTTGATTTCGCTCTTTGTAAATTGACTTCAGCGTGAATAAGGTACTGAAAGATGAGTTCGTCAACAATGCAGTAAAAACCTTTTACCTTCTGTATAACTTTGATTCGCTAGAATTGAGAATAGACTGTTGTCTAGCTCTGACAACATTGAAGATATAGGCGTAACAAGTAGCTACGATGCCTCCAAAGGCTCCTCGAATGAATAAGTTGTCCGTAATCTGCGACATTTGATCGTAGACTTGGAAATAAATAAAAGTCGAAATTCCATTTCGCAGGATGATCGGCCTGATTCCACGGTAATATTCTCTCATCGGGAGGCTAAAAAGAAATCATCAGATTAGGTAAGCTTTCATAAGGAAGATTGCGTTATGCTTACGTTTTCACTAAGTGCCAGGTATTCTGATAGCGTCTATTGCTTTTATCATCTTGCAAAATGGTCTGTAGGCGTTCAAATGGACAGCAGAATATACTTTCTATTGTTCCTAAAGATCTCCTTTTTCAAACTTTATACCGGAAGCAAGACTTACCTGAGGTTAGAGCGGCGAAAAGCTTGGCAATATTAACATGGTTTTGCATACAGTCGTATTTTGAGTAAATTTCTATACAGTTGTAATATCCTCCGAATGTGAACATGCGCGCGAGGCATCTGTTGAAGGTGGGCGGAATAAGACCTCTGTACAGATGAGCCACATTTCTGGGGAAAGGAAGAGGCTTCAGCTCGTCTTTTATGATAAATGATTTACTGTTTCATGACAAAGACTTACTTTTGAGTGAATGAATTGCTTGGGAAGGTGTGTAGCCATTTAGCTGCTGGCGGAACATGAGCTTATTAACAGGAAAGGTAAGCAGTATGTCCGCAGCGCCGGAGCTGAAGCCGCATAACCAGGGACGCGCCAATTCGAATACATCTTTTGTATTTTCACATCTACTCATCCCATATCTGAATAATTTTGTTCTGAGAGCGGTTTCTCTATTTCATAAAAGACAGACAGTGTTTTGAGAAGACAGATCGATCACCGCAATTTCGGGGTGGAGATCGCGCGGATCTCCAGGCAATCGGAGATCCAAAGAACCCGCGCACCACTCATTGGTGATTCCTCTCGAGCACCTCATTTCGGATCTCCAACGATCACCCCCGATCCTAGACCTAGGCTAGAATTGCGACATTCGCGGTTGAGAGAACAGTGAAGAGTTTTGTGAGTAATCTGGGTCTGGGAATATGGCTCTTCTGTTGATGAGCACTGGTGGAGGGGGAGTGTAGTTGTTGCATACGGCTTTGTGATATTCGATGAATCTTCTCGACTGGGTGTCGTTTTCTAAGACCTGAAGGAACCAAGGGTGTCTGATGAAATCGTGAATCATAACCCGCTTTGTCAGACAGGACTGAATAATTCCAACAATAGCATCCTGAAACTCAAATTCAAAGGAATATTAAATAAAGCAAAACTCACCTTCGACAATCTGCGGTCATTCCAAACCCTTGGCTCAAAGTTAATCGAGTTGCTAATCACGTGTTGAAGGAAAACTTGGAAGTTATCCGGTCCTTCGTAGGGGTGAACACCAGTCGACAGAAAGTACGCGACCAGTCCGACCCCGTAATTGTCTATTCGGCAATCGTAGGGCTCTCCCTTTAAAACAAACCAATGAATATCAAGATTACTCAGAGGCAATTAGTACCATAAGCATTTCTGGTGCCATGTACTGAATTGTACCGATTCGCGTCGTCCGTTCAAACGCCTTTTTCTTCTCCGAAAGCGTTGACAACCCAAAGTCGGCTAATTTAACCGTCAGCACGAAGTTCCCCATCGCATCTGCTTCAGTCTTTATAAGCACATTCTCGGGTTTTATGTCTCTGTGGATGATTCCAGGATTCGTCTGAAGAAATTGAACCGCCGCGGCGAGCTGCAGAATGATGATGCCAACATCGAACTCGCAAAGATTACGCTTATTGATTCTTTTCAAGAATGAAATCAAATCTCCTGAAAATGAATATTTCTTTCTTAGCAATAGAATGGATATTGTACCTCCATTGCAGAATTCTGTCTCCAAGCAGACAAGAGGAGGAGAACCATCATTCCGCTCGATGTAGAAGGTTTTTTCAAATCTTAGAAGTGATCGATGCTCCCTACAGCGCTCAAGCAGCGTAATCTCTAGAAAAATGTGCGTTTGTGCTAGGTGACGAAAAATAGGATGGTCCTCACGACGTTAATCCCTCTTTTTCACACACCTCTCAATATATTATCGAATGACTGTTTCGATTGAACATTCAGAACTTTCAGTGCCTTCAACTCCCAATTTTGATACGGCAAAAATCTGGAGCAGAGAGGAAACACGTGACCAAAACTTCCAGATCCAAGAGGGGTTGGTCCGATTATCCGTTCTCTGTTGTCTTTTGTAGCGCTCCTTTGAAGCCTTCGATTAATCTGCGTTAGAATCGGATCCACCTGTGAAAACACTAGAAGATTTCAACCCATTTGAAAGGGAAAAAGTTCGTGTACCGTTAAAATTCGCAAATGAGTTCTGGACAAACAAGTACACTGGATATTTCCTTATCGATACAACATCCAGCATTTGCAATTCGAGCCATTCATCGTGTTTAATATCAATATTCGTGGAATTTCTTGCGATCCGTGCGCTGTGATGCTTTTTGAATGTTCTGACACGAACACGTCCATCTTTGTAAAGAAACTCCATGTGATATCTGCCGATGAATTGGGAAGTGCCCCAGAAGACCTCCACAGTTGGCTTATGTAACGGAGCATGGGGACATTCCGGATTATTTGTCGCTCTCCCGAATGAAACTAGAACTTCTTAGAGAAGAGCAGAGGAGATTGCTTACCTTTGGTTTCAAAGGAAAATTTGGAAAAATCTATCGGAGCGTATAAGGGGCTGAAAGGAAGCAAAAAAGGCGAACTATTATTGTTCATTTTCTCTCAACTCACAAAACTCTGCGGCTCTACCTGCCCGAATCAACTAACTACCGAATCAAAAGGGCCTCAGCGCTCAGAGCTACCAGATGCCACTTTTTTAGCTTCGAGAATAAAATTTTCCATGAGAACAAGACTGCGTCTGTAAGACACGATTTATATTTGATTTTTAGTTTATTCGCAACTTGGTTCTTTTTTGGATAGAAGTATAAAGGTCGGTTGTTGAGGTCTTTGAAGCGTCAGAACAGAAATATTAAAACATAACATAGTAAAAGCGTTTTTTCAACTTTGATTTGACAGATAATGAATGAAATAATAAACGAGTTTCGGATAGAATAAGGTAAATGATAGGATGCGTTTGTAAATTGCTAGAATATCCTTCCAAGAAAAATGCCGATGAAAAAACCTGCGCTGATTCCAAGTAAACACCCAGCAACAAGCCCTAGCACTAGAACGTCGACAATCGCATTCGATTGACTTTTGTTCTCGAGGTAGTTGACGCAGATATTGGCGATTGAATTATGCGTGTAAGCGGTCGTTGAGTTCAGCTTTTTGATGAGCGCCTCTTTTGTTTGAACTTTTTAGGGGATTTTGAATGCTTCAATGTCGAGATATGAGTTCTTTTATGAGCAAGAGAGTGCTTTCCGATCCATTCCTGAAAGAAGACTTCCCTTCATTGAGCTGGCTATGGAACTACTAGTAGCGGTTGTCTTTGATTGCTGCGACTGTAAATACGGCGAGCCGCGATTAATCAAGAGCTCGTCAGGGGAAGAGTAGTGGCGCTCTTTTCTATGATCCGGCGGAACACACAAACGGAAGTGTCTTCTCCTTCTGAGCGTGGCTTTTCTCGACCCAAATTGTACCTCGAAGTCCCGTTCCAAAGCACTTGCCAGGATTGTATCAGAGTAGAGCGAGGCTTCTTTCGCAATCGATCGCTAAAACTTAATTATTCACTTACATGCAATACTATTGGTTCTGATTTTAAACGAAGCGTACTCAAGCGGATACAATTTCTCAATTTCGATATAAGTACTCAGTGAGTACTACTCACCCGTAGCATAGATTTTGATCCAATCAGCTGATTGCAAAAGAAGTCGATAACGTTTTCATCTTGGAATTGCCGATACATCTCATAAATACTCGACCCGATTTTCTCAAGGTCAGTTTCGTCGGCAAGCAAAACGACTTCTTGGAAAGTGACGCCAGATTCAATCGCATCTTTGGCGACGGCGAAATTTCTGTAGTCAAACGAGAGGCGCAGGATTTCATGACCTTTTGAAATTGAATTTGAATACTATCGACGACATAGCAGCTTACCTAGAGCAGGATCATCAGCATTTTCAATGCATCCTCTGACTAAAGAAGGATCTGCGATGCTCAATTCAATAATTCTCCTGGCCAAATCTGTGACGACTTTGTCTCCCTTCTCCGCTGCATCAATCGACAAATCAGTGCCTCTCTTTATTTCGCTCAGAATCACGGCCGGATCGGACAGGTCAATTGTAGGTGATCCCATTTGTGAGCATCTCCATTTGAGTCAGCTTCAAATTAATTCTGAAAGGATCAAGATTTTATTAGAGGCAGCGCCCTCGCGAGGACTGTAAATATTTCCGACTCATCAATTTATATAAAAGGAAATAAACGCGATTATTATGGAACATGAACATAATGGTGCTCAGATAAGTGAGGGTGAACCACAGTTGAAAATGAAGAATGGATAATTTTGGCTACCCTTGGCTTCGAAGAATGAATTGTCTTCGCCACTTCTTAGTACGAAATTTTTAAAGCTACAATAATAAGTGGCAAAGACAAAACATCTTTCCAAAAGAAAAAAATAGAAACAGAAGGTAATTGCCCTAGTTCAAGAGCAGGTGATAAATATAAGTTTAGGTATTGCACGGACGGAATATGCCGAATAATTATCACAACGATGCATTTTTGGTGAAACAATGAGTTTTCGTGAGGTTTTTCGAGTGGATGTTTACTTCATCTCGCCGAATTTCGCTTCAGAAGACAGAATCAGCGCGAGAATGATGCCGAAGAGGCCGAGTACGGAGCCAAAGATTTCGATTACCAAGACCTGAAAAGGAAGCAAATGTTACATTTATATTTAACGACTATATTATCGATAAGATGGATTCGAAAGTTTGATGGCAACGGGTCGACGATCTGAAGGATTTATCCTCTGGGAGTTCCACAAAAGACTGTATGTTCCCTGAAAGCCCTACTGAGGAAGTTTTTTTCAGAATTTTCGAGTTGTTGTAAGCTAAGCCCATCAGAACGTGACATCTCCGTCCACCATTTGGTGGTGCAGTCATCAAAGAGGCGCAAGTCCTCGGTTTCCTGCTCAAGAGACGCCACCCTGTCACATCATCGGGTGTTAGTGGGTGTCAAGGTTAGTTGACATTTTGTAGACGCATACTATAGAAATGATCCCTAAAAGTATGATCTTGACTTCAAACGGTCACAAAAAAGACCCAATTCTCCCGATGGGGTGGGTGATTATGGTTTTCAAAAATAGCCAACCAGGGACGGAGTGGTTACGTAATCACCTTGACGAAGAGTTTATCGTTTGCTGCATCCGCTAATGCCGCCGAAGAACCGATGATTCCGACACAGATGCCACAGAAAAGGTTGCAAAAGCCTGAAACATCAAGTTACGACAATATCTTCTGCGTTATTTGAGAATTTTCTTTTACAAAATTGTCCGGAAGCGCTATTTCTCTCTATTAGACGTTACCAGTGATCATTCCAGCACCAAAAACACGGTAGCCAGATTCATAATTCATCGCCAGGGTAGCAGGATCGTCTCCATTGTAAGGCTTGAGGCCTGTGGCCATGATGATCGAAACGATGATTCCATAAATGGCGACAGCTTCACAGAAAATGATCGAGACGAGGTTTTTGGAGTAGATCCTTGGGACGATAACACCACCCCCCATTACGGAGGCACCGGTCGACCAGATTCCCCAGGCAGCGCCCATAACGGATAATCCCATTGCGAGGCCGATTCCTATAAAATTCTTTTAACCGCGTGTTAGCAGAAGCGCTCCTCACCTAAGGAAGCCCAGTAAATAGGTCCAAAAGCAGTGAGAAGCCATCCGATGTCCAGTAGGAAAAGTTGATTTGTCAGCAGCGCGTACACAACATAAAAGCTAATTACAGTGCCAAGCAGCGTTAGTGCAGACACAATCCCAGTTTTTATCGACATGATTTATTTTAATCTAAAATTCATTTTCATCAAAAATTTTAATGAAGGTTTGTATTTCATTTTTCTCTTTGCTAAAGGCAGTTGGTCAAAAACGGGAGGTATATGAGAAGTAAAAATAGAGTGTTGAGCGAAAATGTACAGTCATTTTGAAAAGCGCTCAGGTACGAATTGAAAAGTCAGAGGTCAGCAACAATTTTCAAGTCATTGGAGATGTTTTGAAGGGGATCAGGTTTGGGAATCGATTTCTGCTGCAGCGATGAGTCAAGCGAAATGGAACCAGCATTCAAATCGATTTTCAGTGACTTTTCAGCAGTTGGAGGCTCGAACTTGCTAATTTCAACACCAGCTAAAATTATTCCCGGAAATAAGCAGCAGCTAGTATTGTGAAAAACGCACCCATTCGGAGGAGTCGCTCAGAAGCGTCAAAGGCAGGAATTGAACCAGGTTTCTTCTAAAAATATCTTTTTGAACAAGTGCTTCGCTGCATTTTTACATGTTATTTTTTCTCAGAGAGGATTGAATTGAGCGTTGTTTGCGTAAATACTCACTTTGGCGTAGACAACCCCGGTGATTCCAGATTGAATTATGAGTTTGGCGCATTCGTTGCAGGGATATAAAGTTGTGAAGATGGTCCCGCCATCGATATCCGCTTGGTTTTTGTTGAGAATAGCGTTCATTTCTGCGTGGCAAACTAAACCTCGCCGTTTTTATACTGTTTCGGGTATTTTTCTTCACACTGTCAGCGAAATATTACCATATGGATATTTTGTATCCATCCAATCACCAGTCTTCCCCCATGGAAGTTCCTGATCAGAGCATCCGTGCGGAAAGCCATTGTAACCAATTCCAACGATCCGCTGTTTCTTATTAATAATACAGGCTCCTACTTGCGTGGCGGGGTCTTTCGAGCGTTGGGAGCTCAGCAACGCGATAGACATAAAATACTCATCCCAAGAAAGGTAATTTTCCCTGGGCGTGCTCATACTAAAGAAAGAAGATAGAGTCTTGGCTGTTTTTTATACTTTAATCGCAGAAGAAAGTATCTTTTTCATGAGGTCAGTGCAGTTATCATGTCTTTGAAACAGGAAAATGTCGGGTTCTACAGGAAAGTAGGGAAAGGTTTCTCATGCCCTGAGAAGCAGGTTTTAATTCTACGCTTTTTTATTAATCTAAGGTTTCTAGAAATTAAACCCCTTTTTAGCTGAAATGGAACTTTTTGGAATAACAAAAATGGAACATTTTTTGAACTTTTAAGAAAAGAAAAATGAATAGAAGTTGGTTTGAAAAGCGATTTTCATCACGGATTCAAGTTTTGAAGCTGTTTTCTTGATAAAAGTCGGAGAAGTCGAAGTTTTTCACATTCGCGTGTAGTGGGCAGACAGGTCTTTGATTTTTCGATAGATTTGACGAGCGTCTGGTCGGTAGGCCCCGTCCGACGCCCAGCAATCGCGGATTACGTCGAATAGCGGCGACGACCCGCAACGAGGGCGCAGGTTTTCTTCGTTGACAATCTAAGGAATATGTTTATCATAGTCTATGATTCATAGATCAATTCTATTTTTGGGAATTTCTTCGTGCACTTTGATTTCAAAAACAAATAACTACCTTGTGCATCAGCTTTTCCTTTTCTGCTAAGCTGCGCAAGTTTATTTTCGTTAGATCTATTTTCGACTGCGAGGAGAATTCGTGGAATAGAAAGTCATCAACGTTGGAATCAAGCTTGTGATCCGGCACAAGGAATCCGTCGCATTGAGAGAGAATAATCCACGCGATCAGGCCGAAGCTGTAGATGTCTACCGAGCAGTAGCGATTCACCATGTCCGAATTGGTCGGTACCATGTCGCCTGTATCAAACATCGAGAGCGACAGTACTTCGGGAGCCATGTATAGCCATGTTCCATCTGGGCATTCTGAAATTAATTAAGGAAAGAGACTTAGATTAAGCCTACTTTGGTAGAAAACGCGTTCCCTTACGTCATCCAGCTTTTGAAGTATTTTTCTATTCGGGCATCCAGGTCTGTCATGCGATTCAAGTTTGAGCAATGTAAGCGGCTCAAAAGGTCTACATGGTCCGTTGCGATCATCAGGCTTGGAGAAACAATCGCACTGATGGGGCAACTCGCGGATAAGCGGTATCGAAGAGTTGAAATCGCAAATGACAGCTTCGAATCTGTCCGAAATTAGAACGTTGGCGGGCTTCAGATCGCGATGGGCGATTCTCGGCATAGGATTATCGATCCCCTCGCTAGCGCGATGCAGCTCATACAACCCACAAGCGAGAGTTCGCATTAACTATTATCGAGGGTCGTTTGAGTTCGGACATTGAACTTTATTATTTGAACATTGCTTGAATATGCAAATTGACTTTTAAATATGATCTTTAAAGAATTGTTTGACCCATTCCTGAATGGCCAACTCTTCACTGATGCCGCCTTCTGTATCAAACTTTCGCTTGAGGAAAGAACCGATATCACCCTAGAATGAATAAGTAAACAGCAGGCAATGAGACGCAATCGGACTAGTTCCAAGTTAGAAGGATCAGCTATTGAACTTGAGCAATTGCTCAATGAGCAATATCTAAATTACCTGCAGATATGCCGGTAGGAGTAAGACAGAAGTCGGACGGTCATTCGGGTCGCAATGCTTGGAGACATATGCCGTAAGCCGTAGAAGATTGTCGCTTCTTGATCCGATCAGGTCAAACATGATTTTTTCGTGTTCTGCCTTCTCTTCTCGATCTATACATTTGACAGCGATGCATTGTTCTTCATAATTAGCCTAGATTTCGAATATTTATAAAAAAGCAAACAAAATAAAGTGTACTTTGTAGACGAATCCGTATCTTCCTTCGCCCAAGACGACTGGCCGTTTGTTTTTATAGCAATACTGAATGTCGGAAGTCAATTTTGGGTGGGCGAGCTTGATTTCGTGCGATGCTGGAGGCTTGATTTCATTCGAGTTTCTTGAAAAATAGAATTATGAACAGTAAAGTATTCAAATTGTACCGTTCGTTGTTGACTAATGACTGAGCTGCGTTTCCGTGGACATACAAGTTGTTCTTCTTGAGCCATTCGGGACACAAATGCATCATATGAATCCGGTCATAGTAGAAGAAGAAAATGCTCAGTACGAACATGAAGAAGAAGCCAACGATGATGCCCTAGAATCCTTTATAAACGAAACGTCAATTAAATGTTCCCTACCCATAAGGGAAATTTGTCGCAGCCAGTTGTTTGATAGAGCGACGGAATGAACATCATGACTCTGTAAGACTGCGTCCCTAGGTCAGTTACTTTGCACCACTTTTCTACCGACTCGTGCCAATCGACAATCCTCATCGAGTGCTCGTCTTGGGTCATGTTCTCTCGGTAATGCCAGCGGAATCCACAGCAGAAAATATGATTTTTGCCTAAAGATGATAATAAAACCAGACACGGAAACCATAAGAGTTCTAAATTAACCAATTAATAATCATAATTTTTGATTGTAAATTAATAAGTTCTTGGTGTCTGGAATCCAGTGACACTTCATCTATGACAATGTCATAATGACATGTATAAACACCAAAGAAAGCTTAGTAAATCATCGAAACAAGGAAAAATAAAGCAGGGAAAACATTTTTACAAAAACAAAAAACGACATCATTTCATTTGGACAGTTCTTGTTCTGATGAAATGTATAAACAAGTTCGATCATAAGTACAATTAAATTTCTGATACCAAATACAGTAAGTATCTGGGTCACAGCGTGTTATTGGATTAGTAATCAAGCTAAACACCAATTTACCTTCATTGTTACTATGCGCTAAAAAGGAATAAATGTTAGGGTCAATCATATCAGGTTGTTAGAACAATGAAGACATTAAAAAATTTCCATCAAGCTTCAAGCTTTTTGTTTCACCTCGACGGAAATCACTTACTCTGGCAGTTGATCATTGGGAAATCATGGTCCACTTTTTAGGCTGATCATTTTTTTGAGGTAATGCCCTTTATAAACGGAGTGTCGGAAATATATATTCATAACTAAGTTAAGCCTTTGCCTGTTAAACTTTCAAATGAGACCTGTTCTTCATCATCGCTTATTGTCATCATACACATAACCTGTTGCGGATACTCGATGTTTTCATGATGCAGAAGCTCTGTGGTTTCATATTCCAGATCCTCTTGGTCGTAAGAACATCCAAGCTACACCTGGGTTGAGTTTAGACAATTGCAGAATTTCCACAAAAGAAAAGTGGAGCTCGGGGCGCCGGACTTAGTCAACCACTTAGTAAACTATTTGAATAAGCATAAACAGATGAGTGAAGGAAATTTGTTTCCACAACAAACAAGTTACTCTCTCAACCCTGGTCCTTGTAGGTCCCTTTGGGGCATTGGTAGACAAGGTCTGTCACATAGTCTCTACCCGTCGAATTCGTCTCTACTTCATCTCGCACTGTTACCACCATCGCCTGTTGCGCGGTTGAGAGTTCTCATGTGCCTCTCACAATCATTTCCGGTCCATGGAAATAATTGGATCGCCTCCCTTATCTTGCCAACAGTTTTCAATACTCAACTCAGTCCAAATAAAGTAAAGCTTTGATGCACATTAATTTTTATCTTTCTTCCAACATTCGTTAATTCAGAAGTGCGAAGAAATGCGTATCCAACTCATTCAGCAGACTTCTTATTAAATTTATAAAGAAAATACTCATTAGCGACATGGAATATTCAAAGATTAACAGATCAATATTCTGAGGCTAAATTATTCAGCTATATTTCAAGTAAAAATGGTTAGTTTTGCAATCGATTAGCTTGTAAAACTGAATTTACGCTTCCATATTTACACTCAGTACAAGTCTATTTTTGTTAACGACGAATTTATTGAGCCTGAATCAAATTTGTAAGCTTATTGAAAGGAAATTACGCTGTTTTTTAACTTAATAATTTTAAAATTATAATTGGTTTATTGAAAACATCCCTATTTTGAAGGAAAATGAACCTTCTTTCTCGAAATCTTCGATAAATTCTTCCAAATTGCTTCTTTTTTAAAATCTCTCCGTAGAAAAATCTTCGAAAATCTCTATTTGTCACAAAAGTATGAAAAAATTAACAGATTTAGTTGTGTTTATGGGATTTTCTGCATGGAGCACCGGGATCGTTTTTCTCCGCGGCCTGTTCTTTTGGGAAACGCAGCTCGGACGGGCCCAATCAAAAGGCGTTGAGCGCCAGAGAGCTCAGCCGCGATTGAGCCGAAGGACACATCAGAGATCCGAGTTCTACGGATATTCAGGACTTCTGAAGGACTACTGTCCACAGATTCTATCGGATACTGACGTCTTATTTTCAATCAAATAATTAACGGTTGTTGGATGTCAAATATTTTCTAATGAATACAAATTTAAATTGCAATTAAAAGTTCTATCCAGCAAACAGACTAACTAAACCACATCAATCATGTGAAATCGTCAATGAAACTTCTTTGTACCCGCCAGTTAAACAACTAATTTGATACCCTTTTAAAAATAATCAATAGATGGATGCTGCATCCAGGATGCACGAAATAAGCACGATCTGGTTAGTTAGCAACAAACATGCGGTTAAATTTAACCGCGGTCGAAGTACATGAAAATCCTGCCTTCAAGGGACATCTTAGAAGGAATCCTTCTAAAAATCCACGTGTTCCCAGAAGTCTTCAATTAACAGTTTTCATCTCAAAATATAATTGTAGTGGATTAATATATGCAAGTATGACTTCTGCAACAAAGTTGATTTCCGCCGCGCGCAATGGCCATAAAGCCATTAGCGCGCGCATTTCAAAACCACTACCACCCTCTGAATCCGCCACCACCTTCTGTCGTAAAGCGCACTCACCCGATTCCACCGCCACCCTCGGCTCGTGAGGCCCGATGAAAACTCGCCACCCGGAACGAAATGCTATAAAAAGAAGCACCCTTTTTACTCTGTGCCAGTCTGTACCAATCTGCGCCAACATCTATACCACAAATTTCTGAAAAACGAATACTGCTCCTACTGACTGTTCTGTCAGTACAATAAACGCTCCGTAGTTGTTTTCAACTACCCCCACAACAAAACGCCTTAGTCTCCAACATTTGTTATTGCATATATAAAAGCACTACAAATTTTGGTGACTGAAGAACGGCGAGGAACTTTAAGACTAGAGTCCATCGCTTAAAGTTCGAAGACCCCCGAAGCCTACTTTACCGACAACGATACGAAAAGAGCTGCTGCCTACGATCTCCGAAAAAAAGAAAACTTCAACAAAGGTTAGTACCCGGTTCAAAGGTCCCTAGATATTTCTCAAAAGTCCAGAGCGAGTCCCACTGAGCGGAGTGTTATCCTTAAGAGGCACCACCGACAGGCAAGCTTTTAGGACTTATAGGATCGGACCTTTAAGAAAAAGGCACCAAATCAACAGCTCTCACCAAATTTTCGCTCATCTCTTTGAAAACATGTCCGAAATGTATTTCAAGCACGTACAAGACCTTAACAAAGGGGAACTACTAGTTATTTACGATAACCTCGAGGGAAAAACTTATCCACCGAAAATCCCCATAAGCGATAAAGAATCCATTTGCCACAATATTCTAGCCTTGGATAGAGATTTTTTCGATAAAAATCGAAAATATGTTTTTGAAAAAAGTACTGATGGACAATTCGTTCGATATTTTCCCCAGTACCAGGAGGACTGCCAAAACCAAAAATTCGCGCAAGCTCGTCATAAAATTGACACAGAAAAGATTTTGGCGTCCCGAAATGTAGAAAATCTAGATGCTTTGATCACATCGCTCAAAATAGAAACTGAATCTGTTTCAGGCTCAGAGCTTTCAAATGATTCGTCAGTTGATTCAGCTGATGAAACGGTCATTCAAGACGGCCAGGAAGCTCTGAAGCCACGAAAACAAAAGGTGAAAACTGAAAAGCCGGAATCAAAAGATGTGCCGCGTTTCAAGAAAGAATCGAAATCGACACACATTCCAAAGCAACAGTTTGAACCAAAAATTTCGCGTTCTTCAAATCTAAAAGTAAAACCCCCACGTTATGACGCATCGATCCCGATCCCAGCTTGGCTTAAAATCTTGAAATCTATGCACGATGTTCAAATCTTTCTAGCAGCGAAATTATAACCGTTGCACTAACATCGTTGCTCAATGAGTCCGAAGGATCTCATATAATTCAATCTCTGGAGTCGGAAGACATGCAAGACTGGGGCAGATTTAAAGATCGATTAACAAGTATGCTTGGGAAGGATAAAGAGTTCTTTAAACATCAATTTAAAGATTACCAAAGAGGTAGTGACAGTTTCGGACTAGCCCTCTCAAAGATCACATCATACTATAAACAGGGCTACGACCTCACTCACCTCAATGAAAATGATCGTTCTATAATTATAGAAAGATTTTGCGAAAGCCAGTATCAAAAAATGAAAGAACTTTTGATGCGAGAAAAGTCACAGCTCACTCTTGAGAACATAGCGAAGCGAGCAGCGGAAATTGAGGCCTCCATTCCAAAAAAGGAGATCAACTTCAGTATCCAAGCTGAAGATGATGAAAAAGCTCGTTTCCGCGAACTCGTTAACAAGCTCTACCAAAAACTTGACTCTTCCCAAAGCACACACTCCAAATCGGGCAGCAAACGATCAAAAAGGTCGAAAATCGACATTGAAAAACTGAAAGGGCACTGTTTTTCGTACACAAAGTACAACAGATGTAAATATGCAGAAAACTGCAAATATATTCACTCTGACAAAGTTCCAGCAGATGTTTTGGACTACGTGAAAAACAGGAGTGACTAGACGGCCATAAACATGCCATTTTCAACTTTTGTCCAAACTATAGATCCGCTTCTTCAGACCTAAAATTCATCAACGTCATTGTCGAAAACTTTCAGTATCCAGCCTTGATCGATAGCGGCTGCACCCGAACTTGCATTAAAAACACCCTCCCTTTTGTTCGTAAAACAAGAAGTTCTGATGTTGAACTCTTGGTCGCAAATGATGAAATAGTGCGCCCAAGAGTAATGTGCTCACCGGTCAAAATCACGGTCCCTTCTGATAATGGTAAATTTACCCTAGACCCCTTACCTTTGGTTGTTTCGAACCTATCCTGTCCAATAATTCTAGGACTTGACGTCCTTAAAAACGTCTCATTTTGCGATGGTGAGAACTTTATCACCCTTGAAAAACATCGGGTAAAAACAATTAACCCATCAATCTTCTCGAAACAATCAACGAAAGTCTCAGCAATTATCGAGGTTGACCTAAACTCTGACCTTGAATCAAAATCGCTTGAGAACTTTCAATCAGTGCGTGAAGCACAAGCGAAAAGGGCGAATTTCGTACCTGAAATTGGGAATTACGG